CAGTGAGAGTGTGAAGCACTGTAGGAAACTGAGGATGAAACTGGGTACTTTTTGGTTTTACTTTTGAATAAGGCGTAGGTTGGACAGCTTTTTAATTCGTTAGGGAGCGAGTTCCACTGACTTGGTCCCTTTATTTGCAGTGTGTTTACACAAATTTAGCTTGACTCGGGGGATATCGTAGATACATTTTTTCTGGTGTGGTAATTGGGTTCTATTACATTTGTCAAGGAAGAGTTTCAGATCAGGATTTGCATTTTGGAACAAGGTTTTGTACATGTAAATGACACAAGGTAATGTGTGGAAATTTGTCATATTTAGGGATTTAATCAGAGGGGCTGTATGTTGTCTGAAAACAGTTTGTTATTGTTCTGATAGCAGATTTTTGCTGGGTGATGACGGGCTTTAGGTAGTTTGCAGTGGTTGAACCCCATGCACAGATACCGTATGTAAGATAGGGATATATTAGCGCGTAGTGTAGTATAATGAGAGCAGAGCAGAGTTTCGAACATGTCTAATTTTAGAAAGTATACTGAGGGTTTTTGAGACTTTTTTGGTTGTGTTGTATGTGGGTGCTAAAGTTGTCTCTTGTCTATGTATAGGCCAAGGAACTTTGAAAAGACATCAGGCAGATCATCTTATCTTGAGATCTTGAGATGATTTCGGGGCTTTAGTGTCCCCGCGGCCCGGTCCTCGACCAGACCTCCACCCCCAGGAAGCAGCCCGTGACAGCTGACTAACACCCAGGTACCTATTTTACTGCTAGGTAACAGAGGCATAGGGTGAAAGAAACTCTGCCCATTGTTTCTCGCCGGCGCCACTGTGCTGGTTATTGCAGATTTGTGACGGCAGATTTAGTTCCGGGTTAATATCAGCTTGCATGTAGATGCAGTGGAATCAAGATAGAATAACGTAGGCGGTTACAGAATACTAAAATACTAAATCTGCTGTAAATCTACTTGCTATACTTTAAATTTACAGTATGCAAATGCAACTTATGTAAACAAACATGCAAGCAAATGCAACCTTTGTAATCAAATAGTGTTGTCTATGCAACAATTCCTGTCCATTGGCCTACATTGCATACCCCGCTTCATTGGCCTATATTGGCGATTCTTCACATCTTGCTAATAGTTTATTTATTGTTTCATGGTTGTTTGCTCCATCTTGCATACTCCTTATTACACAGCCTGTCACGCGTCGTCCTGCTCTGTCGTATCCCGCGCGTTCTGTGTCATGGCCTGCATTGCCCAACCAGTTCCATAACCTACGCCGCGCGCCCGATACCATGGTTGGTCGCTCGTCCTGTGGTAAAGCACAGAGGTTTGCTGTATTAGCTGGCAAGCAGGCAGACATGCAAGCATGCAAGCTGGGGGCAGGCAGGCAGGCAGGCAGGCAGGCGGGCGGGCGGGCGTGAGACAGTGTGGGCTAGACTCGGAGGGAGGGTGGGTTGTGGTGCTTCTGCGGCCGCCATTGTATTGATTACCCCCTGCCACACACCAGGCAAGTATTGCTCCCTCTCTCCCCCCTCACCAGGCAAGTATTGCTCCCTCTCTCCCCCCTCACCAGGCAAGTATTGCTCCCTCTCTCCCCCCTCACCAGGCAAGTATTGCTCCCCCTCTCCCCCCTCACCAGGCAAGTATTGCTCCCTCTCTCCCCCCTCACCAGGCAAGTATTGCTCCCTCTCTCCCCCCTCACCAGGCAAGTATTGCTCCCTCTCTCCCCCCTCACCAGGCAAGTATTGCTCCCTCTCTCCCCCCTCACCAGGCAAGTATTGCTCCCTCTCTCCCCCCTCACCAGGCAAGTATTGCTCCCTCTCTCCCCCCTCACCAGGCAAGTATTGCTCCCTCTCTCCCCCCTCACCAGGCAAGTATTGCTCCCTCTCTCCCCCCCTTCACCAGGCAAGTATTGCTCCCTCTCTCCCCCCCTTCACCAGGCAAGTATTGCTCCCTCTCTCCCCCCCTTCACCAGGCAAGTGTTGCTCCCTCTCTTCCCCCCCTTCACCAGGCAAGTGTTGCTCCCTCTCTTCCCCCCCCCCTCACCAGGCAAGTATTGCTCCCTCTCCCCCCCCTCACCAGGCAAGTATTGCTCCCTCTCTCCCCCCTCACCAGGCACGTATTGCTCCCTCTCCCCCCTCCCCAGGCAAGTATTGCTCCCTCTCCCCCCCCCCCTCACCAAGCAAGTATTGCTCCCTCTTCCCCCCCTCATCAGGCAAGTATTGCTCCCCCTCTCCCCCCCTCATCAGGCAAGTATTGCTCCCCCTCTCCCCCCTCACCAGGCAAGTATTGCTCCCTCACCAGGCAAGTATTGCTCCCTCACCAGGCAAGTATTGCTCCCTCTCTCCCCCCCCCTCACCAGGCAAGTATTGCTCCCTCTCTCCCCCCCCCCTCACCAGGCAAGTATTGCTCCCTCTCTCCCCCCCCCTCACCAGGCAAGTATTGCTCCCTCTCTCCCCCCTCACCAGGCAAGTATTGCTCCCTCTCTCCCCCCCCCCTCACCAGGCAGGCAAGTATTGCTCCCTCTCTCCCCCCCTCACCAGGCAGGCAAGTATTGCTCCCTCTCTCCCCCCCTCACCAGGCAGGCAAGTATTGCTCCCTCTCTCCTCCCCCCTCACCAGGCAAGTATTGCTCCCTCTCCCCCCCTTCACCAGACAAGTATTTCTCCCTCTCTCCCCCCCCTCACCAGGCAAGTATTGCTCCCTCTCTCCCCCCCTCACCAGGCAAGTATTGCTCCCTCTCCCCCCCCCCTCACCAGGCAAGTATTGCTCCCTCTCTCCCCCCCTCACCAGGCAAGTATTGCTCCCTCTCTCCCCCCCTCACCAGGCAAGTATTGCTCCCTCTCTCCCCCCTCACCAGGCAAGTATTGCTCCCTCTCTCTCCCCCCCCCTCACCAGGCAAGTATTGCTCCCTCTCCCCCCCCCCCTCACCAGGCAAGTATTGCTCCCTCTCCCCCCCCTCACCAGGCAAGTATTGCTCCCTCTCCCCCCCCCCCTCACCAAGCAAGTATTGCTCCCTCTTCCCCCCCTCATCAGGCAAGTATTGCTCCCTCTCTCCCCCCCTCACCAGGCAAGTATTGCTCCCTCTTCCCCCCCTCATCAGGCAAGTATTGCTCCCTCTCTCCCCCCCTCACCAGGCAAGTATTGCTCCCTCACCAGGCAAGTATTGCTCCCTCACCAGGCAAGTATTGCTCCCTCACCAGGCAAGTATTGCTCCCTCTCTCCCCCCTCACCAGGCAAGTATTGCTCCCTCTCTCCCCCCCTCACCAGGCAAGTATTGCTCCCTCTCTCCCCCCCCCCCCCTCACCAGGCAAGTATTGCTCCCTCTCTCCCCCCCCCCCTCACCAGGCAAGTATTGCTCCCTCTCTCCCCCCCCCCTCACCAGGCAAGTATTGCTCCCTCTCTCCCCCCCCCTCACCAGGCAAGTATTGCTCCCTCTCCCCCCCCCCTCACCAGGCAAGTATCGTCCCCCCCCCCTCACCTCCCCCCCCCCCTTCCTCTTTCGACACGTTGGTAAGTGCAGCGTAAATTGTATACTAAAGCCTCATGGTTGATAAATGTGTGTGTTCACGGCGCCAGTGGTCTCCTCCCCCCTTACCATCTTCGCCCTTCTAATCTCCCTATCTCCCTCCCTGCTTCTTATCTTTGACTTCCCACTCGCCTATCCAACCATCTTGGATTTAAGTAACTTACATATGCAGAATTTTAGCGCCGAGTGATGCGTGATATTCACACAGCAGTTGCCTTTGGGGGCGGGGGGGGGGGATAATTGCCTTAAAACTCAACAGAATAATATATCTTCAAATTGGGGCAAGTGCTGTTGCCCCAATGACGTGACCTTTGATCTTAAATTTATAAAGTTTTGTTTTAGGAAAAATTTGTTAGTTAAATTAATTTTCTCTGGTATAAATTTCATTTTATGATGGCTTTGAAAACCGGAGTAAAAAAAAATCATAAGTTGCATACCTCACATTCAGTGAAATACCTTAGCACTTACGTATGAGACCCATTGTTGATGTGACGACTTATATTGAATTTTGTAACTAGCTCATCAAGATTGTAACTTGCTTAGCTAAATGAATTGTGGGGTTCAGTCCCTGAGCCCATTATGTGCCTCTGTAACCCCTTTCCACTACCGCCCACGGGATGGGTATGGGGTGCATAATAAATGAACTAAACTAAAACTTGCTTATGAAAATGACAGTATTGGAAAATGACTGTCGAATGCAGCCTCGAGATTATATAGTCTCCAAAACTGGAGACTAGCAATGCTGTACTCGCCTACAGCATTGGGGCCTGACAGTTGAGTGGACAGCTCTTCGAATTCGTAGTCCGGAAGTTCCGGGTTCGATCCCCGGTGGAGGCGGAAACAAATAGGCAGTTTTTCACCCTGATGCCCCTGTTACCTAGCAGTAAATAGGTAAATGGGGACGCTAAGCCCTGAAATCATCTCAAGATAACGTAGTTATACTAACCTAGTTGTGCATGCGTATTTTCCACGGTTTTTCGACAGCCTCCTAGCGAGCATATCCTTCATTGGCGCTTTGGTCCCATTTCTCAACCATCAATCAACTGGTGTATAGATTCTTAGTCTACTGGGCTCTATCAAATCTACATTTGAAACGGTTTCAAATGTAGATTAGAAACAAAAGTTTCAGGAATTTGGTAGATTCCTATTATTTTGTAAGTGGTGGTCATAACGCCACTTTTTTTTTTTTTTTTTTTTTTTTTTTTTTTTTTTTTTTTTTTTTTTTTTTTTTTTTTTCTTCTAGTTTTGCATACTTAACACTTCCAGCCTGTCTTCATAACTCTGGGTTTTCAGTTTTGGAAGCCATTTTGTAGCATGCCTTTACACATTTTACAGTTTATTGATGTTCTTATTGGGTGTGTGGGTTTGTGTGTGTAAGCTGTACTAATGAACAATTAGCAGGGTCCTTTGTGCAATTTGCATTTTTTTAACTGCATTGAAACTTTTGCCACATTTTGATAGTTATCTGTAATGTTGCAGGAACACCATGAGAGCTACAGTGGTCACCATTCTTCTGCTGGGAGTCCTTCATGGAGGTGATTGATGTGCACAGTAAAACACGTACAATATCTATACACAAGCCATGGCCAGGACCATTTGCAGCATTTACACCTTGAAACACTTGCATGCAATTTTGTCTGGCTGGTACCTGGCAGCCACCACTTCCACTTTAATTACAGTATTTCTAACAAGTTGTGGAGAGAGTACCTCATGTACTGAATTTAGACAGATGACTAGAATGGAGTGTATGATGGAGCAAGAGGTAGGGAAGAAAATGGTCATGACTAAAAAGTAAGCAGTATTTGCTGTACTTTAGTCATACATAAAAGGTAAATAGTTAGCAGGGTTAATAGCTAGATTTTTAGGGTAAGAATCGAAGGTAAGAGGCGATAAAAGCAATCATAAAGTACAGTACTGATTTTTTTGGCATTTACTTATTTATATTGATGACATAACATGAGCCACAACTCCATATACTGCTAAAAATTTATGTAACTCATTATACAGTACTGCTATTCTAACCCAGATAGGGAAAGAATAGCAGTATAGGGTGTTATAGCAATATAAAATAGATTTTATATCCAGTCAGAAGAATTTTTCCGACTGAACTTTTGACTGAAGTGCTGTAATGTACCTGATTGTACCTGGATGGGGCTCGGGGAGTTCTTCTACCCTTGCCCAGCCTGGGGCCAGCTTAACTTGTCAGAACACGCTGTTCCTTAGAGCGGCCCGCAGGCCCACATCCACCACAGCCCGGTTCATGCAGCACTTCTTGAAGGAACCTATCCAGTTTTCTCTTAGATATGCTCGCTAGGAGGCTGTCGAAAAACTGTGGACCTCTGAGATTTATACAGTGTTCTGATTGTGCCTAAATCTGCTCTTCATTGGTTCTATTCTGCATTTCCTTTCATATCATTCATTACAGTGGATTATTTTACTGTGTAGATTTGGGACCTGGCCCTCCAGTATTTGCCATATACTGTTATTATTTGATGCCCCTTTCATCTCCTTTCTAGGGAGTACATATAGAGCTTTGAGACGATCCCAGTAATTTACGTGCTTTATAGTCTGATTGCCGTACACGTTCTCTGTATTCCCTCTACGGTATTTCTGCAATCTCTCCTGCTCTGTATAAATGCCAATGTCTTGGTATTTATGACTTTGGCAGTAGGCTGTTTCATAGGTTTATAATTTTTTTTTTTATTTATTTATTATTATTGAGAATCATTTGAAGCAATGATGTGACTTGAACAGGTGTTCTCGCGATTCCCATATGCTCGCCTTTACCCACTTAGCCACAAAAGGACAAAACGATCAACCTGGAACTTGACTGAATTCACTGGGAAAGTCTGGAGGCCCCAATTGGGTTTGGTTTTTGTCTTATCGTGTAAAGTTGATTAAGGCAAACATCTGGGAATCGCTGAACATTTGTTCTTTGCCTCGTGATCTCAAATTTTCTCAACAATAATAATAATAATTAATAATTTTATTATTATTATTATTATTATTAATTCCCACTGTTGCACACGTAACCTGTGTATACATAAATTTTAGGCTTGTCGAGTTCCCCCCCCCCCCTTGGGTTGAACTACTGTCTGTCCCAAGGATGCAACCCCACAACAGCTGTCTAACTCCAGAGTACCTATTACTGCTAGGTGAACAGGAGCGGCAGGTGAAGGGAAACAACCGCTTGTCCCACCCAAGAATCGATCTCGATATCCCTAAATGAGTCTAGAATGTGACCTATGAGTGACAAATTGTCATATTTTCTGTTCTACATTGAAGCTAATAAAGTTTCCCCCTTGTTTGCCTTATATTTTACGTATTAAGGAAGCAGTCTGGAAGATTACCCTCCCTCTTTCACTCATTCCACTTCATTGCTTTTATTATTACGCATCCTTTAACAGTTTTGTAATATCCATATCTTGAGGTTATCTTGAGATTATTTCGGGACTTTCGTGTCCCCGCGGCCAGGTCCTCGACCAGGCCTCCACCCCCAGGAAGCAGCCCGTGACAGCTGACTAACTCCCAGGTACCTATTTTACTGCTGGGTAACAGGGGCATAGGGTGAAAGAAACTCGGCCCATTGTTTCTCGCCGGCGCCTGGGATCGAACCCAGGACCACAGGATCACAAGTCCAGCGTGCTGTCCGCTCGGCCAACCGGCTCCCCTACAAAGCAAATCATGGCTATTTGCTTTACTTCTGATTTGCAGTGTTTTTCAGTATTTTGTCTAGAAACCCTTTGGGGAACATGATAGGAATGAATGTAGCTGTATAAAGAGGAATCTATTTTATATTTAATACACTGAAGTAAAACAGAGAAATAGCATGGCAGTGAAATATTAAGAGCTGTAAACATGGATGCTCAAAAAAATTATTACTGTATTAGGAATTACAGAATAAGGAATGAGTGTTGTTGAAAGCTTTAGTTTGAGTCTTGTTCATAGGTTTCAAGAGTTTTCTAGCAACACAGTTGAGTTTATATTCTCAAAGAAAAATTTATTGCGGTATGGAAGGTCTTGCATATTAGAGCAGTTGCCACTGACTGTTTTTAGCCTTGCAATAAAATGTTTTAAACTTTTCAAAGTGAATGCCTTGCATCTAAATGAAAGTTAGATGGATAACAATGGTTTTTGTCTTTCAGCTGTTGGGTTCCTGTGCTATAGCCGTGACTTTGGCGATGACAACACTGGTTTGGTATTCTGCCCATCCGGTTCCTGCTTTTCTGTTGGAGGCAGCTTCTGTGAGTTTTTATTCAAAATTTAACATGTCTTTAAGGCTTTGTACCGTTTTGATTTGAAGATGGTAAACGGCCAGATGCCTATTCCTAGAATCTAGAGTATTCTCAAAGTGTAAGGAAACATTTAATAAAAAGCCTTATTTGTGTCTTCAGATACATATCAAACACTTTAAATTTATGAAATGCTTGGAATAAAATTACAGTGCATCCTAACTCAAATGAACCCCACTTTAACAAATTCCTGTATGGTCTTAATAAATTGCATTTAGTACAAATTGATCAGTGGAGAATACAAATGTTTGATTGAGGATTGTTCGTCTAAGCCTTCACCAAGTCTGCATGTCAGGAGGAGGCAGTGTTATCATTGTTGATCCACCTAATTGAAGTGTATACTATTGTACACAGCTTAAAAACTTTCAATAAAAATTAAATAAGCATAATATTTTACAAAGCATCAGTGGTTCACTGTAGGATTCCTGGGCCAACAACCAGATGCACGGGTCCTGCTGCTTCTAAGCGGAGCGTCGGTCATCCTTGGACTTTATCCTGTGGGGGACATTTGCTTGGTATATCTTCATATCTTGGCTGCATCTTCAGTCTGGTTTGGGTTGTGTGGTCCTGCCTGGGTTGAAGAGTGCTCAGAGCTTCTTTCCCTGTATGCTCCCTAGTGCTGCCCCTACACTGACAGTTCTCTTAGGTGTGTTTAGAGACTGCTTTTTAGAGGCCGGACCACTGGGGTGGGGGCCTAACCTTGAGCGTATACTCGTCTAGTTGAAATGCCTAGTTGTGCTTGCATGGGTTGAGCTCTGGCTCTTTGGTCCCACCTCTCAAATGTCAATCAACTGGTGTACAGGTTCCCGAGTCTATTAGGCTCTCATATCTACATTTTAAACCGTATGGAGTCTGCCTCCACCACATCATGTCCTAATGCATTCTATTTATCTACTGACAATAAAAAAGTTCTTTTTAATGTCTCTAAGGCTCATTTGGGAACTCAATTTCCATTTTGTCCCCTAGTGCATGTGCCCCTTGTTAAATAAAGTCTTAATCTACCTTATCAATTCCTATGAGAATCTTGTATGTGGTGATCGTATCTTCCCTAACTCTTGTGTTCCATCAACACGAGGTTTAGTTTCCCTAGTCTCGCCTCATAGCTCATACCCCTCAGCTTGGGTACTAGTCTGGTGACAAACCTCGGAACCTTCTCCAGTTTAGTCTTGGGCTTGTAGTAGGCTGTATCTACATAAATAATACCCAGCACCAGTGTGTCCCATTTGCCCAGTCCTTTAAATCATTGAAATCCCCTGTGGGTTTTGGTGTGGCCTGTGGATATCCCCTTTGAACCTGCTCTCGCCTTGTGCAAGTTTGAGGGCTGTTCGTTGTTTGTGCCTTGGGAAGTCAGTCTTTCTGCCTCTGCCATGCTGCCTGTTGGGTCGGTGACAGTCCTGTGGGGTTTCTCTCTTCCTGTCCCCCGCCATGTGGCTCTTCTGACCCTCTTAGTGATGTACAAGCTTATCAGGCAGCTACTGCCTTAAGAGTTCATTTTGCCCACCTTCAGTGTTTTGCAGCTTTTTGCTCAGTTGGATATCCTGGAGGTGCTGGTATATTCTACCTGTTACATTTGTGCCTCTTTGCATCCTCTTCGGGTGTGTGGTGCACCTAGTTTCTGTTCCTCCTGCCCTGCTTCCAGCTGTGAAAGACCTGAGGGTTTGTCAATGAGGGTTAGCTTGGGGGTGTGGCTCAGCCTCCACCAGGAATGCGTACTTCCATTTCAGGCACAAAGTCAAACTATCTGGCCCCACCAAGGTTTTGTAGGTTTTTCTTCCTGCCAGCCTCTAATAAAACATTGTGGATTTTTTTTTAAATACCTCTTATGTAACCCAGGTTTTGCTTCTGATGGACCAAGTCTCTCGAGTGTGGGTCTTCCTTGCCATACTGACTGTTACAAAGTACCAGTGTCTTTCTCGGTGATGAGCAAGCCCCCCCCCCCTTTTTTTATCTCTTGATGCAGCTTCTGTCATTCCACTAGTGAGGTGTGACGTTTTGAAAGTGTGTTAGATGTTTATGGGTAGTTCCTCTTTTGAGCCACTCGGTAACTGCCTGCTTGCTCCTGCTCTCTCAGGATGTGGGGTTGATGCAGTTTCATGCCCAGCTGCATTTGCTACCTGCAGCGATTGTGGCATCAATTGCAGGAATTTGTTTGTCATCCCATGCATTTTCTTGCATTCAAGGCATTTTATTTTGACTGGCTCTGTGAGGACATTGATTTGCTGGGCCTGGGGTTGGTATAGGTGCCTTGTTGCCTGCTGTGGCAACATCAGAAGCTTTGCCCAAGGTTTTGTCACTTGTGCTTTGGGAGGCAGTTGCCACATTAAGTGCCAGGCCGACCAGGCTGCAGTGGATAGGAAAGTTCAGGTTCCTGGTGAACTGGCAGAAGCTCCAGTTGGTCCCGTCCAGGTTTGGGCTTGGCTGGACATCGTGTCGGACTCTCGGTCGGTGTTGCTTTTCCTTCCTCTGGCAGCTTTGCTCCGACTGCAGTGTTGCTGCCTTCTGGTGTTGAGGTGGCCCCGGGTGACTTGGTGTTTCCTTGAGCAGTTGTGTGGGAGCCTGAACTTTGCCTTTGTGGCCTTCCTGGTGGGTAGGGTTTAGCTTTGGGGACCATTTTTTCTCCGGTTCCACCCCTTTCACCATTGGAAAGACTGTTAGGTTTGGGCCCCAATCTCTCCTTATTGGTGGTTGCTTTGCCACCTTCTTCAGGCTTTTTAAGGTTGTTCCTTAGCACCTACCTCCACCATCCCTCAATGCTTATGGACACAATGACTCGGGTTTAAAAGTTCATGACCAGGGTCATTAGTGAGGTCCGTTCCATCAAGGGCACCTTATGTTGTGCAAGTTTGTGGCAGTGTGACATGCCCAGAGGTGGTTCCAGACTCCTCTGGGCTCCATGCTCCAATTTCATTCGGACTGTTCCCACATGGTTGTTGCCTGAACTGAAGAGGCTTCCTTTGGTCTGTTGAGCTTTAGCGCTGCATGCTGCTGGTACCTCATCTACTGGATTCTCTGGGTTTGGTTCTCAGTGCTGTTCATGTTTGGCGAGTATCCAGTGTTCTTGTGGATGCTCGCTTGCTTCCTTCCCATCTCCATGGAGTGATCTGGTGGTACTGCACCCTTCCAAAGGCTTTGCAAGACATTCTGGCACACTGATGTGAATATCAATGCATCAGCTGGGAATTGGTATCTTACACTCTACGTGGATCCATTTCCCGATTCTGAGGCCCTGCCAGTGCGTGCTTTACTGCTAGCCTGGTTGAGGTGAGGGTTTCTTTACTTTAGATCCTGGACAAGTGGGAGTCCTAACAGGTGGACCTTCTAGCTCCTTGGTGGACAACTTTGCCTTGGTTTCAGGCATTGCTTGTTCAGTGTCCAAACTCGGACATTTTTCCCTGGCTCTGCCTCTTTCATAAGATCACCCCAGTGATGTATCTCACTGGTTCAAAATTCTTGCCTCTTCACATCTGGTACTTGACACATCTTTATTGCCATCTAGATGGCGATAAATGGCCTGATGGAGGAGAGGAACAAATTTTTCCTTGCTATGACTGTATTGCCTTGGATCATCTCTCTCTTGGCTGGGTGTTCATTTTGACTAACTGCAGTTTCTCCTCCTCACCTGGGAAGTCTGTCTTCTTCAGTAGTTAGCTTTAGGGAGCCACGAAAGGCTTCCCCAGAAAACTAGAGCTGAATATAATGAAATGCCTCTTTGTGGATGAGCTCTGGTGGCTCCCTGTTTTCCTCCCTACCTTCCTTCCAGGTCATTAGTTGGTAGATATAATCTCCATATCTGCTTCAGGACTGGCTTGGAAGGCTGGGGTAGACCTGTAGCTCTGCCCCCTACCCCTCTCCCCACTGTTAGTCCTAATCCCCCGATGAGCTCGTGCTGATTTCAAGAGTGTGTCGTTTGTTTACATTGTTTGGAGAGTTCATTTGGCAGTTTCTGAGGTCTCGGTTGTTTTTAACTCGGCAGTGGTCCACTTTGCTTCACTGACTTTCTGTATGCTTTCCCAGTGAGGTGAAAGTGTCACCTGACATCTGTCTCTCTGAGAGGGGCGAGGTTCTAGTTCTGGTCCCCATAGGCCAAACGGCATTCCGTGGCTGATGTGACCTAGTAGTTAAGAGTCGTCTTGACGAGATAGCTTCAGGGAGCCACTGTGGCTCGTCTAGAAAGATGCGTTTAATTACGTTCAATGCAGTTATGTTTTTCTCTTTAATGACTTTTTTTCTTTATTTTTTTACAGTAGGGAAGTCTGACTCCAAGAAAGGGTGTTCTGAGAAAGCCTATCCTTTCGGCTGTCAAGGAGTGGGCCTGCCAGGATTTCTTTCAGAACACACCTGTTTCTGCAATAGTATCCTTTGTAATTCTTCAACCATGCCCTCTGTTCTTGTGCCTCTTCTGATACTCCCTTACCTCCTCCAGAAGCTCCTGTAGGGCACTGGAAAATACAATGCCAAATGTGGTCAGAAGAACTATACAGCATTTAATAGAAATGGATAAATTAGATTGGTTAAAGATAAATTGGTTAAAGTTAACAGATACATTAAAGATTTACTTGTTTCTTTGTTGACCAGTTTTGAATGTATCAACAGTATTCTATGAAATTTAATTTTTTATACAAAAAACTTCTCTAACCCTTGAACTGTGTATTAAATGTGGGGCCAATTTTAAAAGGCTGGAAGTGAAAAATAAATATTTAAGTTTTAACATTGAATAATAGTTTAGATTTATCATGGTTCTGTAACTAGTAGAGATGTTACGTATTTCTTTAGTGAATTACTTTCTACTTATGAGGAACAAATTAATCTAAATAAAAAATCACATTCTACTGCCTAAAATTTTAAAATTCACAGTATCTTGGTTTATAGTTTATGTATATTACTGTTGATAAATTCTTCATACTATACTACGGTACTATAAAAAAAATTCCAATTAGTTGCGATGAGTCAAATGTCAGTGGTACAGGCTGTCTGTATTTTCAGTTTCTAACTCTGGATCCATTGCCACTATGCATGCAAGACTAGGTCGCCAGCATTTCATTATATGCAAGTCTGTTGAATGCAAGATTGGATTACTTGCACACTGTTGCATGAAAAATCAGGTCACTATTACGTGAAGATCAGATTACCTGTACCTGAAAAACCTTGCATATACTGTTGGAAATTACTAAAAGAACATTGTTATATTTTTGTTTATTATTATTATAGCGTTCACATTCTATAATGTAATTTATATTCACTAGATAAATATATTTTACATGTTTTTATAATGGTAATTTGATTGCTGTAGTTACTAGTTTACCAGTATAACAGTAGATACAATAGTTACTATACACTGATATTGAAAGTTTTAAGTCTTTGATGGTTTTGGTATTGAAGAATTATTTAAAAAATGTCTTGACTGGGTAAATTGTGTAGGTATAAGTTATCAGTGTTGACAATAATAGGGTTGTGCTGTGCCTGGAAGTATTCTTGATTTATAAGACAAGTGTCAAGCAACTCTGATGGGTGTAGTTTGACCAATTATTATCCTGCAAGACCTCATGTTATCTCTTTTAGCTGGTTCATTTTGTCTATTAATAGAAGAATCACATGTTCTGAAAGTCCATTCATATAGTGTATTCTAAATGTTTGTTTTTATGAAGCAGTACTGCTATGCAAACATAAGCTGTTAATAATTTAGGTACTGACCTACTTTTACATTTAAGAATTGATTGAATGTGCTGGAATTTGTAAATACTGTAGAGGAATTAGATTGAGGTCACCGTGGTAATTGTTGCCTTGTGAGTCTACACACTTCTACTGGCATTCCTACAGATTTTGTAATTTATACAGTACTTTATTTTTAGTTAAGAGTGCACCTGTCACACTTGTTTGGTAACCAGAGTGTTCTCAAATACTGTACTTTGATTTGTAATAATTTTTAAATTAAAGAGAAAAATAACAAAGAATTAGACATTTTAAACCTTGCATTAGAACTTGTGATGAAGTAAAAACAAAAAAATTCATGCCAAAAGCTGTTATAATGGTGGTGATATGGGGGGGGGGTCTTCTTTTGTTGGAGATATTTTTCATCACAATGAATTTGTTCTGGTACTTAAAATAGTCAAATGCCAGCACTATTCTGGTTTCTTTTCATCATTATTGTGATGCTGTCCCTTGCAGAAGACACACACACACACACACACACACACACACACACACACACACACACACTGAATACACTTGTGATTACTCTTTGGCACTGGCAAACACAATGGAATAAACTGGTATACAACAGTATTCTTATTAAGACACTTGTCGGGTAAAAATGAGTGATGCACAGTTACACAACAATGTTATATTAAATCTTGTAAGATGGCAGCACAGTAACAAATAAGTTATACATCACAAAGACACTAATAATCACTGTTGTGTAACTAATCCACTAACCACATGCTAAGTATAACAAAACGATCCCTCCATACATCACTAACAGTTGTTCGATGACAACGTTGTGGCTTGGCTACGGCGATGGATTCACTTGATAGGTGCCCCATGTGGCTTAGTGCCGTTGAAAGGGATGTGCAGTAACACACTACACACCGTGATGAGACTTTTGTGCTAGACAGTGGCATAATTAGTGACAGCTGCTACACACATTTGTGGCAATAGTCATGTGGGTGTTGAGCAACAGTTTGTCCTAATCTCGTATAATTAAGATATCCACTCATCTTTGCACACGACACTTGCGCATATACTGTATGTAGTTAAGCTACGCACTTGTGCTACTTAGGCTTATGATAAAACAGTCTGTTACTACTGTGACACTTTATCACGTGGGATCTGTTGTTCTATGTCCACACTTCTATGAAATTCCTCTATAACAGAGAACACGACTTGGTTCTGTAGGACACACGTCGGGAACACATGATATGCTGTAGAAAACTTCATGGAGTCTAGAGAAAGACGGTTAAGTATTTTGACTGACTGCATCTGCTAGTGACTACTGTACATAGAATAGCAAACACAGCCTCAACAGTATGGCTGGTGAACTGGTTCCTTTGTGTAGCTAGACAGAGATGCCTTATCTAATAGGTTATCAGCTCTCATAATGAGCCAATTACAGAGCAGCTCTTATTATAGTTAGGGATAGTGGAACTTTCCCAAATACTGTTGGTTGAGAAGTGTATACATGACCTCACACTAGGTAGACTGACCAGGCCTCACTAGCCTCGGGTAGTCCCAGGAGAGTGGTGTGATGCCTCTCTCCACTGCACCAAACTACCTCTGAACTCATGTTCTGCTCAAAGCTGAATACTGTGAATTCAGATAGCTGATCTGAGAACTGAAACATCTCCCACAAATGACAGTGGCCAGAGTAGCATCACTGGACTACTACTGTTGTCTTATCTCATGATAACATACTCGTTTATCCTAGCTGCATGCAAATGCAGTTAAGGATAACTACTTTTTCTCTTATCGTGCACAATCCTTGCACTCGAGGTAATGTGAATTCCATAACTCGCAACACTATAGTCTTTATACTCCCATATTGCCAGGTCTGGTGATGAGAGGTATATATCTTAAAAACTATATGGTTTTTAAAACTGAAGATTTAACACTCTGACAAGACTATCCAACGTATGTGACACTGCTCTTGGCTGCTTTTTTTTTCAAGATTACCGAATTACTTAAGATTACTAAAGAGTTCGGCTACTGAAGATTTTTTTTGTTTAAGATGACTTCATTTACTACTGGATTCCAAATTAAAAGTATGGGAATTAATGTTCTAAAACATAGGGATTATGGAAGTTTTAAATAACAATGAAGTGAATATGGAAACAAATTTGGGAAATTCATAAATTGTATTCAATTAAGTATCTTGGGGTAAATCTATATATATAGTTGGTAAACCCTGTACAGTATTATTAAAAGGTAAAATGGATATAATTTTATGCAAATCTATACACAAATCTTGAAAGAAATAGAATTTGAATTCAGTAGGCCATTTCGTATAAAACACTGTAGTACAATGTAACAAGTTTGAGTAAATAAAATGTGTTGGATTCACAAAGGCATCATATTTCTGATGAGTCTATGAGGAGCAAAATAATAGGAAAAGTGTACCATACTTGGTGCTTGTACCACTGTAAATTGGTTTATTTTGCCAATTTCATGTAATTTTTATGCCAGCCTTTGTTTAGTAAAGGAATACACACATTGCAGTGTTTGAATTGGTGAACAATTAGAGGAAAGACTTTTATAAATAATCTTGACATTTAACTTGTATAAGCCCCGTAGCTCATGCTGTATTGCAGTTCTACTTATCGATGCATTCTTATCGCATTACACACCTACTTACATTGAATATTTGATTATCGACTCAACTACTAACACCAGGCTTTAACAAACATGGCCTTGGGGCCCTTACTGGTACCAGGTCTACACTCAAGGGTCCATTCTACATGTTGGCACTAATACACTCTTTGAACTGCTGCAAAGAAAGGGCCAGTCCTCATGTGACTGCTGAGGGCTTCAGTCATTTCCAGTTGACTGTTTCGCTAACACTGTCAACTGCTGCACAAATGGGCTGGTTCTCGCATAACTGCCTGAGGTTTCATCCACTGGCCTCAGTGACTGCATGAATAAGCTGGTTCTCTCACAGGCTGGGAATTACTGCACTGGCCCCTTTAAAATTATGATTGTTCATCAAGACACTACAGACCCTTACTCTCAGGGTTCAACTACTGATGTGAGTAGCTCCATCTGCACCCTAGGTGATGTTGCTCACACACGACACCTGGTAAATCTCCCAAGTTTCATACAATCCAAGATTTTCGGCTTGACTTGCGTTACCCTTGGTTGACATTAACTTGAGATCCACGGCTTCTGTCGGATTTCCAAAACTTGTTGCCTTCCCTGGTACACTTGTAGCTTCGCATCCTTCTTTGGCACTCCCACAATTTTGAATGAATGTCGTCCACGTCCGAGATGACTTAGACCTCTTACGACAGGTCTTGATTTTATAAGTGTGACGTGGTTTATGTCTTGCATGCAAGGTCTTACATTTTTCGATATTAAAAAGCATTTGCCAGTCTTCTGGCTATATGAGAAGTTCATGTATAGCCTCAATATTATTTTCACTTCCGATTTTACCATAAATCTTGGTGTCATTTGCAAATTTGATGTGGTTTGTAATACAGTATTCTCGTCTATGTCATTGTTGTATATGACAAAAAGGGTTGGCCCCAAAATGGACCCCTGTGGTATTCCACTCACCACGTTTCTCCAGTCAGATTCATTCCCATTTTGGCACAACCCTTTGTTTTCTTTAACAGTTGTTTATCCATTCAATTATTCTACCATTTATTCCACATGTCTAATTTTCTTGCTAGCCTTTCATGTGGTCCAGGTCGGGTAAATCAGGTATGTGTTACGTTATCAAAAGCTTTAACAAAGTCCATGTATACTATATCTACAAGTAGTCCTTGTCAGTCAGCTTCCTTCCCTATTCTCCTATCCACCTTTCATATATTTCTCTCCCTACCTTGCTATATCTCTTCTACCTATTCCAGACATCAAGAGTCAGCCAGCTGGTCTTGCTGGTGCCATGTATGTCACTTTTCGTAAACACAACTCCTGAAATTAATTATCACTTATACCAGCCCTCTTCAAAGGAATGTGAAACATAAGCCTGGGTCTACCAAATTCGAGTAAGCCTTCATTTGAAGAGGCCTGGTATAAGTTGCAATTAATTTCAGGAGTTGTGTTTATGAAAAGTGACATACAGTACTGTATTTTTTTTTTTTTTTTTTTTTTTTTGAGATATATACAAGAGTTGTTACATTCTTGTACAGCCACTAGTACGCGTAGCGTTTCGGGCAGGTCCCTGGAATACGATCCCCGCCGCGAAGAATCGTTGTTACAACCAAGTACACATTTTACTGTTGCGTTAAACAGAGGCTACAGTTAAGGAATTGCGCCCAGTAAATCCTCCCCGGCCAGGATACGAACCCATGACATAGCGCTCGCGGAACGCCAGGCGAGTGTCTTACCACTACACCACGGAGACTGTCATTTAGCACCAGCAAGACCAGCTGGCTGACTCTACGTCTGGAATGGGTAGAAGAGATATAGCAAAGTAGAAAGAGAGATAGGAAGATAAATATAGGAAAATGGGCAAGGAAGTGTAAGCGGAACTCTGTTACACCCAGGATTGTCTGTCTCATTTCTCATCTCCACCTTAATCCCCTCGTCCCCACCCTCTTGGTGCCTATCCTTCATCTGTCCCCAGTCCTCCCCCCTGTTCCCCTTCCTCTCTATCCCCCCCACTTCCCCCCCGCCCCCCTACAGTGATTGAAATTTAAATTTAAATAAGTTTATTGAGGTAAAATACACACAAAGGGATGAGGTAGCTCAAGCTATTCTCTCCCCGTTCAGTACATCGTGTTAATACATACATAGACACACATCACAAGCAATAAACGTATTACCGAACATTCTGAGAGATAAACATACATTTCCTACTATCCCCCAGTGATGGGAATGATGAGATTGTGTTGGAGGCGATGAGGAAGGGGTGTGTGGTGTGTGTGGGGTGATGGGGAGGGTATGAAGATGTGTAAAGTGGTAAAGACAGTGTGAATTGAGATTACGTATGTTGGGCCTAGAAATGCTTAATTAGGCTTAGGACTTAATAGATTGTTGCATTTTTCTTACGTTATATACAGGGGTGCCAAACTCATTAGGTATCGTGGGCTGCATTTCATACGATTCTACACATGATGATGGCATGCATGTCAAGGACGACCTCGCCCCTCCACGAGCAAAAGCCTGCCATTCGTAAAAGAAAGCTAATAAATAATAGATAATTATTGTTTACCTTATTGCCTGGTATTACTGCTTCCTGACACTTGGCACCTCTTGGTCTGGAACACTGCATCAAAGTCAGGAGCCCGTGACTGAACTACAGCAACCTTGAGTATTGAGTTCCGGTGTGCATATGTAAGTTTTGAATGATGCTGAGATTTGATAGTGATCCTTATAGAAAAAAAAGAGGCCCTGCTCATTTAGTATATGTGCTTCCAAACATTTGCGTAATCTTTGAGGCAAAATACTTGATCTCGAGATCATTTTTTCCTAGTTATTGATAAAATGTAACAAAGTTCACTCTCAATCTTCTCAAAACAGAAATACATTGTAACAATTATTTGCAGCTGAAGAAAATCTGGTGCTTCGTAAACAGCGATAAAGACTGAGCTACGAAAAATGGATAAGTATATATTGGAGCATTTAAAGTACAAAATATTTTGTGAAACTGATGGTTTTAGTAATAACTCTTGCTTCAGAGCACTTCTGTACGTGAACCAGCATCAAATTCAGATAAGTCTTGCAGGGATTTTAAGGTTGGAATGTATGAAACGTTACTCTACAAGTTTCCTCTCAGAAAGCTGTAGTTTCAGCTCAAAGGCACAACTGTCCTCAATTAGATGGGTGCTATTGAAGTAGGGAGTGCGTCGAGGGCTTAAATTCAATTTCTTTATTATGCACCCCATGCCCATCCCATGGGCGGTGGTGGTAACGATTATAAGACAGTGTTACGATCTCTCACACGTAAGGTCAGCGGTTGGAGACCCATTCAGTGAATGGAAGGCACATAACCGTTTCAGGAACTGAACCCCTATAGTTCATTTAGTTAAGCAAGTAACAATCTTTTGAAGCTAGTTACACAATTGTTAATGGGCCCCACATGTAGAAGGTGGCAAATATAGTACATCAATTGCTGCTCTAGTACATCAATTGTGCAAACGGGATGTTATTTCCGGGAGCAACAGTCCATATTTTGTACATTCCATTTTGTACATTCTATCGGTTTGGATAACAGGTTACCAGCAGTACAATATGTTATGTAATTGTGTTGATAAAACAAAAAGTATGAGGCGTGTTCACTAATTATGCTCGTAATAAGGTAATATATTTGTTTAGGCTCACTTTAGATATTGTCATAAACATTTCAGGTCTAAAAGACATACCTTGCAACTAATCTGAATATAAGACAAAAAGGCCTGCGGTATTGAAACTTATTCACAAACTGATGCCAGTACTGAAGTTTCAATTATGTTCATGCAAACCAAGAGAAACATAAGCGCAGCATTTGAATTCTAAACAGGTTTCAAAGAGAACATCAATATTCACACTTGCAGAACCACAAAGAGGCAAGACTTAGTAAACGAAAGATAAAATCTGTAATAGTCAGCAGGTAAGTGGTAGCAGGTAAGGGGGTAAGAGTGCTTGCAAGGACAGGATCGTCAGTCGGTGGCTGGCTCTCGTGTGGTGAGCTTCACGTCTCCTCACTCCTCCATAGCTCTCTCTCTCCCTCTCTCTCCAGGTCATCTCGCTTCAGCTCTATTCACTAACATGGCACAGATCTCCAAGCGTCAGAAAACTGTCAACGCTTCTAAGGATGAAGAGTTCTTCCCAGGTGGGAATACTTGTCGTTATTAACTTCGGCGTTATTATTTGTGTTTATTAAGCTCGCTATATGCGAGCTATATATGTTTGGTATGATATTCTTCATTATTCAGTATTATCCGATGGAATGTATGCCACATTAGGAACAAATTCGCCCCCATCGTTTGTATTGTTATTATATGTATTTATTACGTTTAACTGAGCGTTTATTTAGGAATTTATATATTGCTCACAAAACATATATGAGAGCAGAGTGGCGAGTGCGAGCAGTAGCTGAATGGCAGACAACAGGTGGTAAAATATAACCAATCAATGAAGTATGCCGAAGTTCTGATATATGTTGGGCAGAGGTTGAACTGGGCCAGTGCTTCCTAACCTTTTCTGGACTTGCCGCCCTATTATCTATATACTCAAAAGACCTATTACCCCGGGGGCACCTTAACAGCCTTTTAGACCCTTAGCGAAAATGCCCTTGGGGGCCTCTTTCTAGATGATGGGCCCCGCCTAAGGGGATAGAAATAGCCTAAGCTACTCTATCTCTTTGAGATGTATTTCTTTCTTGTCTCAATAAACATAATTGAACTTGGGCCCCGCCCGTCCGCTAAAGTACAGGATATGCCGTCAGATAGTTATGCACAAATTATTTATATTGTAAATATTTCAAACGGGATTAGAATCCCAGACCTTTCAAGTGGGAGGTGGAATGATTATCCACCCTGCTAAGAGATCTCTCATGAACAATATGGCATGGTGACAATCTAGAGTTGTGGGCCCATTGATAGGGGCCACCAATCAATGGTGGCCCCTAGAGTTGTGGGCCAATGGGTCACTATCTGCCCCCCCCCCATGAGCCTATGCGTTAAGACAGCACTGCCGACGTATCTCCCCCACTACCACACTATCGTAATTAAAGCATATTGTATACTCAGGATACTCACTACTTGCTAATTTTCGATGATTCAGATATATTAGTACTCAGAATCTATAGGCTCCGCGACCCACCAGAAAATAATTCGACCTCCACCCGGTGGGAACTACAATTAGGCTATAGTCCCAATAATAATAATAATTTTTTAAGAATAATGGGGTAAACACTTAAAATTAAAGAGAAGTAAACTAACATATGTGAAAATGTTCAAGAAATATAACACAAGATATACAATATAAAGGTGATACTTGATGACAGGAATTGACTAAAACATTATGGAATCAGTTCCAGCAACAGCCCAGAAGTTGGTATTAACATTAATAACAGCGAGGAAATACAAGGGTGTGTTTTAGAAAAGCTCCTAGATCATAACATAACAGAGTAAATTAGCAAAATTGAAATGTTAAATGGGGGTAAACACATACAAATAAACAGGAAGTAAGATAACATATATATCACTTGAGTAAGCAATTTTACTATAATAGGTATATCAATTAGATGACGATGAAGAAAACCATTGATTTATAGTAAATAAAATATAACTGACGAACGTGTATACTGGGCGGGCCTGGAGGATGGGTACTTTTATATATATATATATATATATATATATATATATATATATATATATATATATATATATATATATATATATATATATATATATATAAAAACTGTGCCAGACCACGAAGGAAGAACTGAAACAGGAATTTCCTTAAGTACTTTCGAATTTAATAATACATCTTCAGAGGGATGTATTCATCCTTCTGAAGATGTATTATTAAATACGAAAGTACTTAAGGAAATTCCTGTTTCAATTCTTCATTCATGGTCTGACACTGCCATATTATTCATCACTTGTTAAAAAGCTATCACTATGACTTGGTAGGGGAAAGTACCAGGGTCAGGCAATTCATTGCTGGCGTTGTCTGAGAACCATCATCTAGAACAATGGTCAGCCTTAGATATGAAACATTAGACTAAGCTGAAGGCAAGTCCAAAATAGGCACAAGGATTGGTACCTGTTAGGGTGACATTTAGGTTTTGCCACAAAGGTCAGCCTTGTTAGGGATAACTGTATAACTGTCAATGTTGGTTTCGGCACCAGCATTGCTTGCTACCAAATAATATTGTGCGATTTGTTCTTGGCATGCTGAAATTTAACAGTTACAGTGAGAGTTTATCTGCAATGGAGGTGGGTTCGTAAGGCAGATGCAGCCTCCCACCCTTGATAAGATATGGCTGGGAAGGTCACCTTGATAGGAAAGGATAGTAAAGTGTTTGTTCTCACCTACATGCTTTAAACTCTATTTGAGAGAAAAGCAGCGAGTTGCAGAACATACCAGCTTGTCCAAGCTCAGGAGAACATGCATACTTATACTGATCATATTCTTTACATTACTTCAGTACAGTATACTGGGACTGTACTTCAAGCAGTCCCCGTGGCGCAGTGGTAAGACACTCGCCCAGCGCTTTGGCCTGGGTTCGTATCCTGGCCGGGGAGGATTGACTGGGCGCAAATCCTTAACTCTAGCCTCTGTTCACGACGCAGTGAATGGGTACCTGGCTGTTAAACGATTTGGCGGGTCGTATTCCGGGGAAAATTAGGATTAAGGACCTGCCCGAAACGCTATGCATACTAGTGGCTGTACAAGAATGTGAGAACTCTTGTATATATAAATAAATAATCTGCGTGATCTCTCTTGAGTACATGCACGGTTGCACTGATCATATCTGCGTGATCTGTCGAGTGCTTTTGTCAAAAGTTAAGCGATGAAAAGTATTTTTCAGAGATTCTATTTTCAGATTTCAGAGATTCTTAGATCAAACTGTCTGGTAATAATTACCACTGTCGTGGCCAGGAAGCCTGCACCTAGGTTTATCGAAGTCCCCCCTTACTGATTTTCCCAAGGATGCAACACAAAAATTTCCTAACTGCCGTGTACCTCTTTCACTGTCAAGTGAACAGGTGAAAGAAAACGTGTCCAACCTTTTCTTTCATGCTCAGGGATTGGGTCCCTCGGTTGTGAGCAGAGGGCGTAGACCACTGTGCTACTGGATACTAATCCCATACGGGTTGCTGAGGATTAAGTACTACCTTTACCTCCTCCTCGAGGTGCTACTTTGGTCACGCCAACGACGCAGGTATACTCCATACGTGCACCCAGGACATTACACACCTGCACACACACACACCCGTCACACTACACAAACACCTGGTGCTGAATAACCTAACCGGTTCCTGCACCTGGCCCTCCCAGGTACATCTATATATATATTATCATATTAGCATTAACCAACCTGTCCTCCTAATATCACGTCGTCTTTTGACGTATACTCTACCTAAAGCCAAAAATTGTCGTACTAGAAAATGGAAGTGGCTCGCGAAATTGACTTTGTCCCGTTTTGTGTTTTGGGTCTTCTGGTAGGTTAGGATAAGGGCACTTTTGTACAACAGTTTCTTGACGTTGGGAAAGCTTAGGATGTTGTTGTTATAGATTCAGCTACTCGGAACAAGTTCCAAGTAACACGGGCTATGGTGAGCCCGTAAAAACTTAGGAGCACGGGCTGCATTAACAGCTTGTGTAGTTTCCGTCCTGGGAGGAAGGTTGCCAAAAACCTGCTTGAGAGGGAACCAGTTTAATCGCGTCTCGCTGGTGGTGTTTTGTAACTCTCATGTTACTTAATACTTGGCTCGTATGGATTATGAAAAACAAGGTGGTTGGCAACAACGAGGATTGACCAGTTCGCTTGATGTTTTTCAGGTAAAATGTTTGTATTTAAAAGTTTAGATAGCACAGGCGGCCGTTAGTATCCCATCATATTCAAATTCAATTTATTTTTATTCAGGAAAAGTACATACATAGATGATTTACAATCATAATGTTGGATTTATAGATAGAGCTAGTACATACAATACCTAAAGCCACTAATACGCATAGCGTTTCGGGCAATCTTCCGTCATTAACGAAAAACTTTGTACCATAAAACAGAGCACAAGTGTCAAGCGAAGTGCATCAATACGTTCCTCCTCCCATAAATATTCTTGTTATTACCAGCATTTAGTCACTTATATTTACTGTATTTTATAAATTAATATTAAAAATGTAACTGTGGCAAAGGAACGTTCCCTGCATCATATACATATGAGCGGGTAGCAATATTGTCACGATGATTCGTAGATTGTGGGAGACCTTGAGCAGTGGCAGGTGTACGGGGGCAGTCACCACCTCTGGCTTGGCGTCGGTGTACGGGGGTAGTCACCACCTTTGGCTTGGCGTCGGTGTACTGGGGTAGTCACCACCTCTGGCTTGGCGTCGGTGTACGGGGGGTAGTCACCACCTCTGGCTTGGCGTCTGTGTACGGAGGTTGTCACCACCTCTGGCTTGGCGTCTGTGTACGGGGGGTAGTCACCACCTCTGGCTTGGCGTCTGTGTACGGAGGTTGTCACCACCTCTGGCTTGGCGTCTGTGTACGGGGTAGTCACCACCTTTCATTTGTCACCAACAGTAATGATTGCTAAGGTAAAAATGTCAAGGTCAGATATACAGATATTGAGTGAGAACTAATATAGTGCCACACAGCTGCCTGGAGCACCGTGTTTTGCTGGTAAAACACGGTCTATCGTATTCTGATTGGCACCATGTGATCGCCCGAGTTCTGACTGGCGTCACATGATCGACTGTGTTCTGACTGTCGTCACATGATCGACTGTATTCTGACTGGCACAGCACAATCGACCATGTTCCAACAATGCTTCATAAAAATAATAAGCCTTTGTTCACCTATAGCAGTAAACTGGTACCCGGCAATTACTCAACTGTTGTGAGGCTGCATCCTGTTAAGATTCTCAACGCAGCATTACGATAGGCTACTCAACGCAGTATTACGATAGGCTACTCAACGCAGTATTACGATAGGCTACTCGACGCAGTTTTAAGGGGTTAAGAGTAGGATGTATGTGGGTTATCACTGTAAATGAAGGTGTGGCAGAGGCATGGCAGCAATACTCAGTAGTATAATCATTGACCTTGAGTGGTGTTGAGTGGCTGCTGCTGGCCTGCCAGACGTCGGTTACTCAGCGCCAGTACGCCTTCACAACCACCTCTTTCATAACTTTACCACAAATTTAAGGCAATGAAGACTATATATATATAAATAGACTGTTTATGTATATTAATAAAGTCTGCAACTGGCTCATCAATGTTGTAATTTGTTTAGCTAAAGGAGTGGAGCTCAGAATCTGAGCCCGTCATGTACCCTAGTAACCGCTATGTACCACTCACAGAAGGGTATGGGGGTACATGAATGGACTGAAGTAACCCGTTCGTCTCTGGGCTATACAACATTGGACATACAATTTAAATACAGTGAACACACTGAGCACTGAACGTTGCATTTAGCTATACATACATTATCTATAGACAGGATATAACCGTTACACAAAACTGGATTTCAGAGTTCACAAATGTGATTGAACAACTCAACCTTCGGAAAATTAGTAATTTAAAACATTAGTCCAAGATAGTTGAAATAATTATACTTCCCGATGTACTCTGTAACTTACCCACAAGATGGGCATCGGAGTTTTAATGTACTAATTAAACTAAAGATGAATTGCTACAGCTGTGCTACGAACATGTATAAGTGAAACTTCATAGTTATTAAAATGTTTTCAATAATTACACATTAACCTTAATAAAAGAGAGGAATATATATAGCAGTTTAGTTCATTTATTATGTACTCCATACCCATGGTTGGTAATGGAAAACAGAGAGCGATCATAGCTTCAGTCTCTATGCTAATAACATATATATGTGGTACGTGCATGAACCTTAATATTTAGAGAATGTGGGCGTACTGTGCTCCACACAAGTATAACACGCTATGTGCATACTTATGGAATCTTATGTAACTTTGCCAAATATTTGCTTATTCGATATTGGCCTTGGTGAAGATGACCCAGAACAATGCCGCGACATTGCTGCCGGACGCAAGGTTTTATTTTATGAAGCGCTGTTCACATTTCAGAAAACCCAATCAGTGTCTCGGCATACACTCATTCACCGCTTCATAAGTAACTATATTCAGGGTGGGAGGGGAGGAGACGGACGGCCCTTACTGTACGAGAATGGACGGTAACATGCAAGAGTTGGATATGTTGCTAAGGTAGTAGATACTTGTATCAGGCCAGTGTCACGTGAACCATACTACCAGTCACCTCACTCTCCCTCATATAATTCATCCACACTTATCTACCTAATGGATTCTTATCTCAGTTGCCTTGTACGTGTTCGGGAATTTAAGTTTTGTATGGATTTTATTTAGTCCATGATCCAAAATGGCCAATTCTTTAGAATGGACTTCTTTTAGCCCTCAAAATTCACCCTTACTCTTTTGCTCCATAAAGGTCACACTGTCGCTAGGATGTCAGGACTCTAGTGTCATTGTTGAAGGTTATGTGACATGTGTCCACCCGCATGACATTATTTACTGGGATCGAGCTCCCGTTTATAATTAATCCTCCAGTATGACACTTCTCCAATCCCGTGGGGTTTGTCATATTAAAATTTGAATTCATATCTGGAGGAGTCTTCCACTGCTTACCTAAGGGCGCTCTTAGGTAAGTAGAGTCATTGTAAATCATTTATTTATAGCCTAATGCTTATATGTCACTCTTACTCAGCTGATGAATAGGGAAGTGTTGATAATGGAGGCGCCAGACGGTTATCAGCTGACACAGGCGTGACAGCCCCATGCTTCCCTTCTCTCCTAGCAACTAGCAATGCCACAACCTTTCCCTTTTTTATAATATAATTTTAAGATTCACGTACTGATGTTATTATTAATATTGCAGCCCGTCCTCCTGTTTAGATAGTAACGATGAGGACTATAGTACATATATTGATGTAAACGACAATTAAAAAGTAGAAATCGATACTGATTGATTGATTAAGATTAAGCCACCCCAGGAGGTTGGCACGGGCATGAATAGCCCGTAAATTATACTCAATACGATTAGCAGTCCCCGTGGGGTAGTGGTAAGACACTCGCCTGGCGTTTCGCGAGCGCTTTGGTGTGGTTTCGTATCCTGGCCGGGGAGGTTTTACTGGGCGTCAATCCTTAACTATAGCCTCTGTTTACCCTACAGTAAAATAAGTCTGGTTGTTAAACGATTTGGCAGGTCGTATTCCGGGGAATATTAGGATTAAGGACCTGCCCAAAACGCTATGGGTGCTAGTGGCTGTACAAGAATGTAAGAACTCTTGTATCTATAAATAAATACTAATGTATTTGGATAAACCGAAAAAGGCTTCGTATTTATGTTGCAAAGAAAACTTTAACTAACCTTCCTAGCCGTAATACACGCTATCTCAGGGCTAATATGCCCGACACGCTATGCGTACGCTATGCATTCGTGAATCTAATATTACTTCTCTCACAGGATTCGGGAAGGTGGAGTATAAACCTGAAGCTGGCGCCAACGAGACCTTGGTGTTCCGCCATTATGACGCCAGGCAGGAGGTCCTGGGCAAAACCATGGAGGACTGGCTGCGCTTTTCTGTCTGCTACTGGCATTCCTTTCGTGGAGTAGGTAAATATTAGAAGCTAATGATAACAATTTATTGCATTTATAAAATATACATAGGAACATGTTTCACCGGTTATATAAAAGCTTTATTTACACATACACCGTTTCAGACGTCATTAAACATAATGTAGTTAATTTATTAGTACATTTAAAGGGGTAACAGTTCTATATGGCTTCAGCGTCGGCCAGCGCCAGTAAAATTAATGTCAGACAGTTATACAATTTTAACATATATACCTGGTTGACGGGGTTCTGGGAGTTCTTCTTGTTTCATTCTCTGCATAACTTGGAAATTAATCAACAATTATAATTAGCAGCTGTTGATGTTTTAGGTATGGACCCGTTTGGCAGTGCAACCATCAAACGCCCTTGGGAGGACGGCACCGACTCCCTCGAGAACGCTAAACGTCGACTTCGTGCTTCTTTTGAATTCTTCTCCAAGTTGGGTAAGCTGTTATATTTTACAGTGTGGCTGCTTCCAAAGTTGAAAAGGGCAAAATCTAACTTACAGCAAAAGGAAAGCAGTCTTTTAAAGGGGTAAAACATTTGTTAACAATTAAGAAGGAACCACATACAATAATAATTTATCACTTTCCTCCTCCCGGCAAACGACAAAAAAACTAGGGCACAGTGCTCTCCGCGTTTCGGGAGATCGAGCGGCAACACTGAAAAGTGTATACTTTTTTCACTGTCCTGACCTTAATTTTCGATGTACATATTTCATTTTTGTACCAATGTGTTCGCAATATAATGTTCTAGAAGAACATATATATAAAATGTCACCAAAGCATGAGTTAAACCACCACCAAATAAAGAACTACGTCGATCACTAGCTGTGAGCTCCAAACAGCGACGATATGTTTCTATTCTTTTCAGGGTTGTCAACTCCACACTTGTCCTACAGCGTTAAATTTGGTATCTCTGAGATCGCAATAAAATTCTCTACACGGACATATGCATATATATATGTAGAATCATGATAGCGGCCCACCCGCAAGAGTGTGGGAAGTGGGCGAAGTGTTATCCGTTTCTGTACATCTGCGAAACCAGTATTGAAAAGTGAATATTTTTTTCACTGTCCTGACCTTAATTTTCTATGTTCCTTCCTTAATTTTTCTATTTCCTATGGCCTTCCTCCATCAGTATGGACTTACAAAGCATTTCAAACTCAACATTGAGCCCAACCACACTACCCTGGCCGGTCTATGTTTTTTTTTTTTTTTTTTTGAGATATATACAAGAGTTGTTACATTCTTGTACAGCCACTAGTACGCGTAGCGTTTCGGGCAAGTCCTTATAATCCTATGGTCCCTGGAATACGATCCCCGCCGCGAAGAATCGTTTTTTCATCCAAGTACACATTTTACTGTTGCGTTAAACAGAGGCTACAGTTAAGGAATTGCGCCCAGTAAATCCTCCCCGGCCAGGATACGAACCCATGACATAGCGCTCGCGGAACGCCAGGCGAGTGTCTTACCACTACACCACGGAGACTGCTGACTGCTGCTGACTACACCATGTTCGTATTTCATTTTTGTACCAATGTGTTTGCAATAGAATGTTCTAGAAGAACATATGTATAAAATGTCACACAAGGATGCATTAGACCGGCACCAAATAAAGAAACTTCGTTGATTACACTTGACGTGTCAACAATACAATAGTTTTACCACGAAGATACAAGATAATTCCGTTCTCCCAAATACGCCATGTGGCTATTAGAAAAAACGTAAATTTCATGGCAAACATCTTCATACTATCCCAAAGTCGATCAGATAGGAATTGAATATTATAGAACTATTTGTTCGTCAGACATAAAAATATATCGCGCGCTCACATTCAAGAGAAAAATAGTTGTCCCATTTTTGTGTCTACTTGGGAGGAAAGTGATAATTATTAAGGACATTCAGAATCAATATACAGTATTTACCGTTATTTGTCTAGAAAATTAACATTAATTATTGATATGAGAAATTCTAATACATGAATGTGATTTACTCACGTAGGCAACAAATATTGGACTTTCCACGACCGGGACGTGGCCCCCGAGGGTGAAACACTGGCAGAGACTAATGCCAACCTGGATGAAATAGTTGATCTAGCCGCTGAACTGCAAAAAAAGACTGGCGTCAAGCTCCTCTGGGTCACGTGTAACCTATTTTCTCACCCAAGGTACTTTGTCCAATCATTTCTTTTGGGTTATAAATTAATATTGTTTCTATATTTAGTTTATATGCGGTATTCAATGCCTTATACACTATAAAGTGTTCATGTACTATGGTGTAATACATTGTTCAGTATTTATGGCACATCTGGAGAGAGTTCTGGGAGTTCTACTCCCCGAGGCCAGGCTCGACTTGTGATAACTTGGTCCAACAGGTCGTTGCTTGGAGCGGCCCCGCAGTCAATGAACTGATAAATGAAAGTCTTAGAGTAAATGCACATTAAACTGTGGTTAACGTGGACCAAGGTACATGCACGGAGCCGCGACCAGCTGTGACGCCCACGTGGCGACCTACGCCGCTGCCCAGGTGAAGAAAGGACTGGAGGTTGCCAAGAGACTTGGAGCAGAAAACTTTGTGTTCTGGGGAGGCCGGGAGGGCTACCACTCGCTCCTCAACACTGATGTTAAGGCTGAGCTCGACCACCTCGCCTCCTTCTACAAGATGGTTATCGGTGAGGATACAACTCTGCTTCTGTGGGTACTTAAATTCGTGTTTCTAAAGCAGAACCATTTAAGAAATGTAATATATTTTTGTAATAACTCTCAACCACATTGTCTTTTATTTCTCAGCTTACAAGGATAAGATTGGGTTCAAAGGTCAACTGCTGATTGAACCAAAGCCCAAGGAGCCATCACGTCACCAGTACGACTATGATGCCCAGACAGTCATGGCCTTCCTCCATCAGTATGGACTTGCAAAGCATTTCAAACTCAACATTGAGCCCAACCACACTACCCTGGCCGGTCACCCTTATGAACACGATATTATCTTCGCGTCAGCGTAAGTTTCTTAAGCAGCTTTCCTACTAGACCATGCTCGGCTCGTGTGTGTGTGTGTACTGGCGTGCTTGCGGGGGTTGAGCTCTGGCTCTTTGGTCCCGCCTCTCAACTATCATTCAACTGGTGTACAAATTCCCGAGCCTATCAAATCTACTGTGTGTGTTATTCTTGATTGATTGATAAAGATTAAGCCACCCAAAAGGTGGCACGGGCATGAATAGCCCGTAAGTGGTGGTCCTATTGAGCCATTACCAGTATCAAGAGCTGATACTGGAGATCTGTGGAGGTGCGACTGCACGCTACGTGACGGGAGATGTCTCCCGTGTATTATTCTTGAAGAAGATAGAAGATAAAGATTAATTAAGCCACCCAAACGGTGGCACGGGCATGAATAGCTCGTAAGTGGTGGCTATTATTCTTGTACATTCACTTATTATGTAGTTCAGACACGTATTGTTTTCACGTTTCACACGTTGATGTGCTAAATGTGATTATGTAAATTATGGTTAAGATTAAGAATATTGTATTGTAAAGTAATTTATTGTAAAAACTAATTCATATACTAATTTTAACTTCAGATACTATTCTTTAGTTTTGTTAGTTAATTCAATTATTATGCGTTTTTTACCCATCCTGTGAGTGGTAGTGGACCCCATTCCCATCCTGTGAGTAGTAGTGGACCCCATACCCATCTTGTGTATGTGGTAGAGGACCCCATACCCATCTTGTGTATGTGGTAGAGGACCCCATACCCATCCTGTGGGTGATAAGGGTAAAGGATACAGAGTCATATAATGTCTTAGGTACTGAACTCCAATATTAATTTAGCTAATCAGGTTAAAGCATTGCTAAAGTTGTAAAGAGTTTGGTAACATGTACCTTAATAGTCCTTTAATGATGAATTTATCGTGGTCAGATATGGCATGCTTGGCAGTATTGATGCCAACACTGGCTCCCCAGACTTGGGATGGGACACCGATCAGTTCCCTATGGATATTCGTAGCTGCACTATGGTCATGAAGACTGTGGTTGAACAGGTGCGTTATATACTTTAGTGTACCCTTCGTATTATTCATCTTTTAAGGGCAACCTTTTAAATATGCAGATATAAATTCATCAGTAAGGTTACAACAATCTCGTATATTACTGTAATACATTATATAGTATTCTGGCCGTTCGCAATATAAAAATGACCTTGTTTATGAAAATTATTGAAGTAAATATTGTAAACAAGGTATTATATTTTTGTTATTACATAAAATACAATAGTGTCAACTAGTATCATAGTTCAGAATGTAAAACTAATTCTTAATATAATGCAGTGACCCATTAGTAATAAATGTTGACCAAACTTCACACTAGAAATTGAAGAGACGACGACGTTTCGATCCGTCTTGGATCATTATCAATCGACTTGATTGATAGTGTTTCGGTCCAGAACGGACCGAAACATCGTCGTCTCTTCAATTTCTAGTGTGTAGTTTGGTCAACATTAGTGTCACTTTTCATCTGTTCAGTAATAAATATGAATTGTGAGATTCATATAGACTTTTTTCTATTACATGTGGGATTTATACTTCTTCCCACTTCTATATGAGTGGGATTGGGTGGTTATAAATGGGAGCTGCCTCGTATGGGCCAATAGGCCTTCTGCAGTTACCTTTGTTCTTATGTTTTTATGTTCTTATTATAGGGAGGCGTGGCCCCAGGCGGCCTCAACTTCGACGCCAAGGTGCGCCGGGAGTCCACGGAGCTCCGAGACCTGTTCGTCGCCCACGCTGCCGCCATGGACACTTTTGCCCGCGGTCTGAAAAATGCCGCCAAGATCATATCTGAAGGGATTTTAAGGAAGTCTCTAAATGTAAGGCTCTGCAAACCCTTAGTTTTATTCAGCTGATTAATCGGGTTCGTTGCATTAATCGGGTTTGTTGCATTAATGTATTATGTCAAGGTATAACGATTTATCTTCATACAAAAATAGAATGAATAGACGCGAACACATAAAATGTTGTAAAAGGATAACATAAAAGAGACGGAAAATTTTTTATAGGTCAGCATAAGGTGATATTTAACCAATAACGCGGTAAATGGTTGGAATAAACTTCAGGACGTTGTATGACCTGAAACTTTGACAAATATTTATGATAACATACACAAGGAAGTGAGAACTACTTGTAACTACAAGTGGGTAATATCACACGAACCAGCCCGTCCTCTTGAGTTGCCACAACGGAGAAAAAACGTTGTATTAAAATGCAAGAAGTCAAGAGACTGACGTAACCTAACCGACCCACTCATAGAAAACGTAACATGTTCAAAGATTTCAGTAAGGAGTTGTCTGGTACTGAATTTGTTATTGTTCTAGTTGCTGATTTTTGTTGAGTAATTAGTGGTCGTAGGTAATTAAGGGTGGTTGATCCCGCGACAGATACCATAGGCGAGATATGGATAAATGAGTGAATAATACAGAGTTACTAGGACATGGCGAAGAACATAGTATCGTAACATGTGTTTAGTTATATATTGTATATGATAATATTTAATGACAACAAACATTTAGTTTGTTGTCAACGTGAACACTAAAGAAGTTCCCATATACTCTGCTCATAATTTGGGTATTATTAATTCTTAGATTAATTTGATTCCTGAACTTATTACCAAACAATATATAAAACGTGTTATCATTGTTCAGGGTAAATGTGTTAGTAGGCAACCACAAATGAACTTGATTTCATTCAGTATTGACCGTGTCGTTCAGAATAAGTGGGTTAGAATGGGAGAAAATGAAGATTGTTTCATCAGCAACACGGAACAACTGCCAGAGTGTATGGAGCTATGGCTACAAATCATTGCACTCACAGATAATAACAATGGCAAGGGTAGCACTAGAATGTCGAAAGGAACAAATACACGGGGTACCCTACACGCTAGAGGCAGGGCCCTAGAGCTAGATCTCATACATTGTTGGCGGAGATAGAAAAGCAGACATACGTACACGATTAGTTACTTATAACAAAGTTAAACCAAAGCTGAGGACGATTATACTACATTTCCACTTCTACATTTATTTGTCATTTATTTTATTTTGTTGTTATTGTCGTCACCTTTCCTTTAAATTTGCAAATAATGAATAAAAATGTATACATGGAAACGTGTATACGGTGTTCATATGTATTACTTAAGTATCACATCGTCCCCAAATTAAATGTTGTTGCGGAAATATTATATTCTCCTTATATAAGGTTTTGTGTGTTCTCAGGCTCGCTATTTGTCATGGAACTCTGGAACTGGCGCCAAGATTGCATCAGCTGAAGCCACGCTGGAGGAGTGTGAGAAGTATATCTTTGAAAACGGGAACCCAAAGCCAGGCTCGGGTCGCCAAGAACATTTTGAGGCGATGTTGAATCATTACATCTAGTGTTGAAAAGCTTATACACTCAACAACACCATCATAGAGGGAAGTAAAGGCAGACATATTTACCACATGTCTGAAATGGGATAATAACTATAGTGAATTTTTCAGAGGAGGACTGGAACTGAGCCTGTGTGAGTGTCTGTGTTTACAACATTTGAGATAAACAACTATTTGTACTATACTGCCCTGCACAATATTAGTATGCGCTACTGTGCAATCATTGATGGAGAGATATGTGGAGCTTGCGCTCTTTATTAGAAAGAAACCCTTAGAAAGGCAATAAATTTAAAGAATATACAGAAGTAACTGAGAATGTTGTGTAGAGAGCCTAAGACACTATCTCCACAACCGGGCTATCCATAAGTACAGGCGCATTGCCTTACCAGCAAGTGCCAGGTTTTCACGAATAAACCCAAATTAGTAATACCTACAACGGCTTAATTCTTCCAATACGAGAGGCCTAGTTTATTTCTTAACCGACCGCATACAGGCATCTCCTAAGAGGGCTTTCATATACCGGACCATCACATGTACCCCAAGAATGGAACTCCAGCCTCTCTGTTCATCGTTTTGAGCTTGGCATTGCCACTGAAGCGTCAATACCTCTAACTATCCTACATCAGTGTGGAACATCACTAATATGTTACCTAGGGCTAGGTGATGTGTCCGGCCAGCCTAATACAAGAGGTAAACCAAAGAGGAAACATCTTCTCATGCTGATTGTGGTGTTAATTTATGTAGTTTATAATGAATTCCATGGCCATCTTAGCGGCAGTTAGTTTAGTTCTTATTGCACCCAAACCCATGCTGTGAGGGATGGTGGGAAATGTTACACAGGTACATAATAGCCTCACGAACTGAACTACAAAATTCAATTAGCTAAGCAAATTACAGTCTTGATTAGCTAGTTACACGGCTTAACATATGTATCAACAGTTCTTATATCATATACAGTAATAGGTTGAGGAATTCAACACTGAAATTCGTTTAGCTAAGTAAGTGGCAGCCTTGATAAGCCAGTTACATGGCTTGTTGCAGTATACGTCAACAGTCAGTTCACATTCATTATTAAACTAACATAACCGTGATCTCCAGAAATCCTAACACAACGAGTGAAAGTTGATTTTTTCCCTCTAACTTTGAATTCCACCTCTCTATCTTTGCTCTCTCCCTCCATTTAATTATTTCTACTTCCCTCTACCTATTATTTCTACCGCCTTTCCTCACTACATCCCTTCCTCCCGCCCTCTTTTCCTCTACCTCCTCTCTCAACCTGGCCTTCGGCTCTACATTTCAAGATTACACACCTGGCACTAGATAGACTAACCAACTCCGGTATTTGGCTTAAGGTCTAGATCCCACCAATCATCATATGTATCTTCTTGCAGACCCTTCTTCCATTAATATCCTCTCACCTTCACTACACCAGTCTGCACACACTACACCAGCCTGTACTCATGATATCCCCGTTAGTTATAACACCTCTGTTATAGCATTTTTTTTATCGCATGGTGAGGCATGCCTCCATGCAGGAAGATCTTAACCTAACGGTAGAGGATCGGTCTCGCTTCGTGCAGGTCAGCGTTCTATTCCCGACCGCCCAAGCGGTTGGGCACCATTCCTTTATCCCGACCCATCTCAAATCCTTATCCTGACACCTTTCCCAGTGCTATATAGTCGTAATGGCTTGGCGCTTTTCTCCTTCCCTCGATGCTTGTTTGACGCACTCAACTGTGCACTCGTTCAACGAGCCAGAGTGTATTGACATTATGCTAATTTTCATCGCAGTATCATTACCCTCATCAAAATTGTAGAAAAATTAATATTCATGCATTTGTACCATATGCTATGGCTCCTTTTAGCACGTTTATATATGCAGACGATGAGTCACAGTAACGTGGCTGAAGATATGATGACCAGGACCCGGATTCACGAAGCAGTTACGCAAGTACTTACGAACGTGTACATCTTTCCTGAATCTGACGGCTTTGGTTACATTTATTAAACAATTTTCAAGCATGAAAACTTGCCAATCAACTGTTGTTACTGTTATAAACAGCCTCCTAGTGCCTCGGAGCTCATTAACTGTTTAATAATTGTAAACAAAGCCACCAAAGATTGATAAAAGATGTACAGGTTCGTAAGTGCTTGCGTAACTGCTTCGTGAATCTGGGTCCAGACCAAACGTCAGAAAATGAAGAAATAATGACTCGGTACGTTCTGAGAGTTGAAGAAAATGGGATGCAAGGTGAGGAGCAAGTAAGAGAAAGATAAAGGTAAGAGTAAGATGAAACGTTAGAATAGGATAAAAGATAAGAATAGGTATGAATAAGATGAAACGTTAGAATAGGATAAAAGATAAGAATAGGTATGAATAAGATGAAAGGAAATAATACGATGAGAGGTAAGAATAAGATGAGGGGTAAGAATAAGATGAATGAAAGAATAAGATTTGAAAGGACAGAGTAAGAAGATAATCAAAAAGGAAGGTAAGAATAAGATGAAAGGTAAGAATAAGAAGAGATAAAAAAAGATGAAAGTTAAAAAGCAGAAAAATTAAGAATAAGGGAATCAGGTAAAGGAAAGGTAAGAATAAGAGAATCGGCTAAGTAAAGGAAAGGTAAGAAATAAAGAAAAAAGGAAGAATAGGAAAAGGTATAAATAAGAAAAACAAATAGAGAAACAAGAAGGAAAAATAAAGAAGAGAAAGAACCCCAGCAACGTAAGAGACATAAAGGAAAAAGAGGCTAAAGTGGACGAAGCTTAAGTCAGATCACATTTGTTAAGAAAGTTGGAGCATCTAAGTATATACTGTGAAAGGGAAGAGTCAACAGCAACAAAGCCAGGACTAAAATTCATGTTGAGCATCGAATCCGATTCAACAAGACGGCGTCTGTGAAGAGTTGAGGCAGGAAAGATTATTTTAGATCAATCTATAGGATGATTTCTATATCATGACAGAAGAAAGCATTGTTTGTGTCTGCTGACTTAACACTTCTTTTGTGTTCCTTAAGTCTGTCATTCAGTATGCTGCCAGTTTCACTAAAGTATTAGAGAGGATAAGAACAGGAAATAGAGTACACACCAATAGCACTTTAATTCTTGCCTTATTTATTTGCCTCTTCTACTCTTTCCATTACCCGACTTGATAATGGTCCACAATGGACCGAAATGTTGTCGTTTTTTCATTTTCTGATGTATGGTTTGGTCGTCATGTTTATGTATGTTGTCATAATAAAATGAGGTTGTATATTTGTAAAAGTTTTTCTTAGCCTTAGTATTACTAAGATGGCAGTATTATTGAAAAAAATGCCAGGAAGGAATACGAATATTTCTTAGCGTGCTGCTCAGATATTTCAAGCTCAACAAGCCACAATGTAGGAAAGAAAACAGGAGATGTTTTTCACCTATAGAGTTATAAACTCACAAAACCGCATACCCGCTGAAACCATAAAGGCCAAAATGCTGCTGAAATTTAAAATCCAGCTCGAAAAAATTGTCAGGATAAATGGGGGTGGCCTTTGACAATCCGACGGCTTCCTGTCCTCAGCTGGATAGTGTGGCCCTCATGTAAATTCAGGGAATTTAGTATAAAGAGTAAATTTACACTTAATTTAGTGTAAAGGGTTACAAAGGCACATAATGGCTCAGGGACTGAACCCCACAATTCATGTAGCTAAGCAAGTTGCAATCTTGATAAGCTAGTTACAAAATTCAGTATAAGTCGTCACATCAACAATGGGTTCGAGATCGACCACAAGTACAGTTTGTAAATTAACCAACTGACATGTGGAGAGCTAGTGTCACAATTGATGTTTGTCCTGCACACCGCCCGCCATCCAGTGGGCAGCGGTGGATAGGTTACAATCACTTAATTACAACCTACAGTTAGCAAACTGGGGATATTTGGCTAAAATTTCTGGTAGAAGATCATTTTGAATGAAATATTTACACATCTCTTGAACATTTGTTGTGCTACATAGCCTTCCCGGCTTGGTGCTTTCTTTTTTAATAATTACATGAACATTTTTTTATAGAATTGTCTCTGAATTCATGTATCTTTTCGCACTCCATCACATAGTGACGGAGGGTGTGGGAATAATTTTATCCAGTATATACATGCAGTACATGTTAGGCTGATATCAAGGTCACCCCCACCCCAGAATGCAACTATATAACAGGCTAAGTACTGCTAGGGTGAACAGAGTCATTAGGTGATAGGAAACGGACCCAACCATTTCTATTCCGCCCGGGATTCAAACCTGGTATTCTCGATTGTGAGTCGAGAACAAACCCGACTGTACTACTGGGACCCCAAAAAATAAATAAATAAAATGTAGCTCATAATGATATGTCAATTTACTGCATGTTCATGATGAATATAATTGTAAGTGTAAAACTGTAAATATATATCTGAACATTAGTGAGTAGATATATATATATATACACAAAAAGATATACACAAATGATTTCTAAAGTGATTTATAAATATATAAATTCACATACATTTGTGAATAAATATTTACAAACAAATGTTCAGTCTTTTAAATAAAAGAGCGAGAGCGAAGTAAATAAGCACTGCGAGGACTTTCACTACCAGAACCGAACAAATATAATCCAGTAAAATTTATATTCATCAAAAAAATATGTTATATAATATATTAAGATAAAGATACCAGAATATCAGTAATAAAACTGAAATCCTTTTGAGAGGGAACAAGATTCCAATACTCCAGCGTGACGTCAGACCAGTCCAACCTTGCGAAAAAGGGGAGAAAGTGAACGCGGTTTATTTCCAAGACAATTGAGGGACAACACAGCGGTTTGGTGTTGGTGTGAGTATAAGTTGGCAGGAGGCTGCAGCCCGCTGCCACCCCTGAGAGGCGCCAGCCCTGTGCACCTGTGCACAATTGGCCGATAATAGTCAAAATGGCGACCCGTGGTGAAGGGTCTCCCCCCGACGAGGGCGAAATGGACTTGACCCAAATACCTGTGTCTGGGCAGTTAATTTCTGGCTATGGCTATGGTTGGGTGTCTGGTGGTGCTCCCTGCCCTCACCCCGCGGGCTGGCCCTCGAGGGAGGGCAGGGCAGGCCCAGCACTAGCCTAATACCTGACTTTAGCCTCGAAAAATGTCATGGCGGAGGGTTGTAATGCTCCAGAGTTGGGATAATATTTCACGAGACTAAATATTCCTGGTTGCACCAAGCGGGAGGGATGGGTTGGGGGGATTACTTCATGTATGGCTATTCACTGTATGTTATTCACTCTATATTAAAGATATTTGTAGGGAAATTGGTGATAGAGGTAAAGGGCGGGTGGTTGGAGATGTGAGAGTGGCTCTAGTGCCAGGGAGGCGTGGCCGGGGTAGCCTAAGCTGGGGTCAAGCTGGTAAATGGGTTGACAGGCTATTATCTGGTCAAGTTAAATCATCCTTGACACCTATCTTGGTGTCAAGTTTTCAGTAATTAATTGATAAGGGTTAGGTAGTTATTTTTGATTGGCTTACACACTTAGTATATGTAGGTACAGTATTTAATATTTGGAGTTAGAGTAACTCTTGAGAATATAAGAACTTTGAGCTAAAGATTACACTTTTGATACATTTACATGTACCAAAAGTTGAATTTTGACATGGAAGATACAAGTGTATACAGTACAGTATTTTCATTGATATATAAAGTCGGGCAATAAATCTTTTGAAGTATCTACTATAAAGGCAGTTTGTTCTATCTATAACCCAACTCACTCTTGTTTAGTTAGCACGTTTTGTAACTATGTGCACCATTGTACAAACATTGACGTACTACCTTACCTTGAGGTGCTTCCGGGGCTTAGTGTCCCTGCGGCCCGGTCGTCGACCAGGCCTCCTGGTTGCTGGACTGATCAACCAGGCTGTTAGACGCGGCTGCTCGCAGCCTGACGTATGAGTCACAGCCTGGTTGATCAGGTATCTAAGCAATTAAAATGGTAAAATTTAGTACAGTACTACTATCTAAATAGTAAAATTTAGTACTATTTATTTTACAGTTCAAAAAAATGAAGCCAAAAAACAAACTTAAATATTCCTAGGCCTAGTATAATGCGCACAAGTACTATTTTAGGCCTCGGATAGCTTGTTAGGCTCGGGAAGGTTAGGTTAGGTTTGTTTTTGCAACATAAATAGAAAATCTTTTTACGGTTTGTCCAAATTCACTGGCAGAGCCAAACCCCCAAAGCATTTACCTAAGTGTAGTTACAGGATGAGAGCTACACTCGTGGTGTCCTGTCTTCCCAGTACTTTGTCATATAACGCTACTACAAAATACAATGCTGTAATCTTGCTTAAGAAGAAATTTTTTTACCAAGTCCATTCCATTGCAATATAACTCCTTTTGCATCAAACTTGGTATTTATGTATAAAGTTGCTGTTTTTATTTATTTTATAAATTGCATAAACAATTTTGAACAGATTTTGGTGTCAAAATTAACTGTAAAAGTAAATTTTTAGTACTGTACTGTTCATTTTATGAAAGAAAAATTTAGGTGATTTTTTGCATAAAATTCTAATCCAACTAATATAGTACATGGCCTCATTCCACTGGACAGGTTATATTATTTTCTATTGCAACCAGTATCAATAAACTTGTAGCTGAAATAAATCCTACCATTGCATACAGACTTCCAGTGAATTGGAGTCCACTGGAGTTGGTCCTGAATGTAAAGTACCTGTATACATTCTTCTTATTTACAAGAATATACTGAATGAATGTAAAGTATACATTCTTCTTATTTACAAGAATATACAAGAATATACTTGTAGAATATACTTACATACTTCTTATTTACAAGAATGTAATTACTATGCCATATATCCTCACAATCCCAATGTACCTTCTTGTATATATGTAAATAAATATACTGGGCTGTGCAGTGTACTGATTGTCCATTATTGGCGACTGTCACTATGGAGACATGCCCTATAGACCAGTGGAATATTATCCAACACAGTGCACAGTTACAGATGCAATAATGTTTCAGCTTAGATTCAACGGAGCAGACGTTGTTAAACACACAAGGCAAAATAATCTTATTAAAGCGACCATAAGAGTCATAAATGCTCATACTCCACCTAAGTAAAACGGAAACAAGTAACTTCGTGGGCCAGCAAGAGGCTTGGGGCCCGTGCAGGAATATCCTTGCAAAAAAAAAAAAAAAAAAAAAAAAAAAATGGTGACAGGAAACCTGTTAGGCTTGTTAACAAGTTAAGCTTGTTAAATTGGCTCGTCAACAAACTTGTTGTTTACAAGCTCGTTAACTAGCCAAGTTAACAAGCATTTTTGTAATTAAAATATTTGATAAAGAATAATTTAGTACCAAATGAATGCATTATGGTACGTATATAAAGTTTGTGTAATACAGCATTTGGAGAACTCGAATACTTTGTGCAATAAAATTTCTTTGTATAAAAAGTATATTTAGTGTTTGTTGTTGAGTACAGTACTTGTAATTACTTAAATGTAGATACAGGATGAGAGGTACGCTCGTGGTGTCTCGTCTTCCTGGCACTCTTTATCATGTAATGCCTGGAAACTACTGACAGTTTCAGCCTCCACCACCACCGTACTTGTTCCAACCATCTACCACTATTTGTAAAAGTGAATTTGCTTATGTTTCTTCAGCAGCTTTGTTTAGCTATGACCTCTTGTTCTTGAAGTACCAGGTCTCATGAATTCTTCCTTATCAATTTTGTCAATTCCTGTTACTATTTTATAGGCAGTAATCATATTGCTTCTTTTTCTTTTGTCTTCTAGTTTTGGCATATTTAATGCCTCTAACTTCATCTTGTAGATCTTGTCTTTCAGTCCCAGAAGCCATTTAGTTGCATGTCTTTGCACCTTTTCCAGTTTCTTGATGTGTTGCTTAAGATTTGGGCACCATACAACTGCTGCATATTCCAGCTTGTCTCACAAAGGTCATGAACAATTTCTTAAGTATTTCACCATTCATGCATTTAAAAACAATTCTGAAATTGGAAAATGTACCATAGGCTCCTTGCTCAATGTTCTTTGTGGTCCTTGAGTGACTGTTTTCTATTTAGAACCACCCCTGGATCAAGAGGTCATAGATTTAAACTAACGAAACAAAGCTGCTGGAGGAATATAAAAAAATTCACTTTTACAAACAGAGTGGTAGACGGTTGGAACAAGTTAGGTGAGGTGGTAGTGGAGGCCAAAACTGTCGGTAGTTTCAAAGCGTTATGTGACAGTGTACTGGGTAGACAGGACAGCACGAGCGTAGCTCTCATCCTGTAACTACACTTGGGTAATTACACTTAGGTAATTACTTAATCAGAATTTTTTCAAGCTTTTTCACATAATTTGTAGGTTGTGCGGTCTATTTTCTCCTATTCCACTTTCCATAACATGGTATTTATTCATATTAAATTCCATTTGCTAAGTGGCATTCCATGCACTTATTTTGTCCAGGTCTTGTTTATACAGTACTTGTACCATACTAGCAATGTTTGTACAGTACAGTATTTAATTTAGTTAATAGAATGATGAGCTGTACTTAGTTTTAAATTTCATATAATGGAAAATGTAAATTGATAAATTTAATTTGTTTTATAGGTACAGTACAGTAGAGTATTTAAGGGCGTGAGTATTGATGGCAGGCAACACCAATCAAGATGCTGCCATTCCATCATCTGTGGGGCGGCAGTTGTCACAAGACTCTGACTCTGTTGACATGGATGATGGGGAAATTTGGAATCACAGGCGACTCCAACAGCAGGTTTGTTTTTATGTAAATTACCATCATTTTTCACATGACATTTAAAAGCAATATTAATTGTTTATTTTTATAGCCTATGCCTTATAACTCGTTTTAAAAATTACGCTCGGCATTATATCATAAGATTACAGTACTGTACAGTACTGTACTATTAATACTACTTGTTTAATGTAATTTTTCTTCTTTATATTAAAATACTGTTTAAAGGATAAATTCAAATGCAGTAAGTAGGGTTCTTGTACCCAGTAATGGCACTCAAATATTTGTATCGTAATACTGTATATTGATAAAAACTATTGTATATCTACAATTGGATTTACTGTGAATTCAGTTCATAAGAAATACAAAAAATTCAAATTTACAGTAAACTCTCAACTCTCCAATCTTCCTGTTTGGAGAGTAGCCTTCCTCTGTTGCCTCCCTGCAACAGAGGAAGGCTAGGGCTTAAAACAAACTATATTCTTGCAACTAATGGAATGTGGAAAAAGAGGCCAAGCTGGCTAACAGGTCAACCCAAAGACAAGTGGAATGAAAAGTGGAAGCTTACATTCTTAACCACCGCACTGCGCACCTGGTTTCGGCAAAAACTTCATAGTGCAATTATTAAGGACATATTTTTATTGTTTTTATAAATGTCGGGTAAAGTTAATGGCAAAATGTTTCGAAACTTAATCATTTCAAAACACAGTGATGAAAACATTAAAATATAGCCAAATTAAAAAAATTAGCATAACTCTCAGAACGCCTCAAGGTTCTCTGTGCAGCACGGTGGTTAAGGATAGCCACAGAGGGGGCTAGACCAGAAGCAAGAGTGTAGTGTAATAAAATTCCCCTTTCTGGAGAGCACAACAACTCGGTGTCTTTCCTGAACATATGTTAACAACTAGCTAGGAACATTCTGAATATGCCAGGATCCTGTGACCATCTTGGCCCACTAGAAACAAGGGCCCCTTTTAATACCAACTTGTCCACTCACCAGAGCTGGGAGCATATTTGAATCAGATCAACCCACAACTGAAGTGGGTTGACACCCACCCATAAAAATCTCAAGAGAAGTGACAAAACAATCGCCTTCCTTTTGAGAAATGTTTGGTAATCACAGAATCAAGATAAGATAACCTCAAGAATCGGCAAATATAACTGAAACAATCTGAACCTGGATTAATCTTCCTTGCACAACTACTTTACTCTTAAGCCCAAGTTGCTGACATGGTTGCCTTCATCTTATCTTGAGGTTATCTTGAGATAATTACATGAAAAAAAAGAAACTGCCAGGAAAAGATAACACTAAGGTGTTATCCAGAAGGGGCATTTCATTGCACTTCAGGCCATTTTCTTTCTGGGTTTATGTGCAAGAAATTCGGTTGATTACTATGAATAAGAGAATATTAATCCCTAAAGTGTGGCCATCGACAAAATTGACACCTTCCCTCTAAGCAAAAATAAAGATAATTATTTTATATGTTTTTTTCTTAGGAAATTATTTGAATTGAAAAGTATGGAAAATACACTAAAAATCATTCATCTATCCTTATTTTGGCCTAGGCAGTGGGCAAAATTCCCTTTGCCATTTATCAGCATTTAATTATGATAGCAAAGATGAAACAAAAACATTTATACAGTATTTATTTTTCATGGGGAAATATAATACATGTGAGTAATCTGTATGCAAAAGTAAAGAGAGTCTCTACATAAATATATATTTTAAAGATCTTTATATTGATCTAGATACGTGTTGTCATCATAAAATGATAGAACCAGTAGTTGTAGTCTGCCTAGACTCCAAATTATTTTGTGGCCTTCCATGATTGCTGGAAGATACAGTTGAGCTCTGTGGACCATTTGGTCAACATTGGTGTTGGTATTCAAACATTGATGCAAATGTAAATAACCATGTTATGATAATGACTGCACTTCTAGACGATGAACATATGATGATGACGACAGCACAGGGTTAATACTATAATAATGACCGCATTTAATATTTTTGTAACATAAAATATATAGTTTGTTATACTATGTAGAGTGGAAGCTTTTTTCTTATTATCTTTTTGATGAGTTATCTGGATTATTCAGAATTTTCTAATAATTGTTAGTTAATACACTTGTACTCAAGTAACTTCTTAACACATTTTTATTCAACAGGTGGGATATTTAAGCCTGAGTGCAGGCTTCAGTGGAGAATTGTCACCACAGCCATCATCAAGTGCAGAATGTGAGCGTCGTGTCAGTCCTCTGGACCCCAACTTATCATCAGCGGCACGGTATTCTCCACCTCCACCGTACAACAGCCCTTTGGCAGGTATAGAAGCATCATTGGAGCATCCCGACTCTCCAATGGAAGATCTGTCCAGTGCGACCTCCCTTCCTAGTCTCCCAGCTGGTGTTAGCAGTAGTATATCAAGTGCCACAGAAAGCCTTGCAGTTTCCGAAGCACACAGATTGCCACGTTCCTCGGTAGGACGAGCGTCGGGCAGCAGAGGCAATAGTTTAGTATCCGCTAACAGTCTGTTTGCATCGCAACCAGTTTTGTCATGCTCACAGCCAAGATGGGCCTCGCCTGATGTAATATCTGATGATGACGAGGATGAGGATGTTGTTACTGTAAGCCCATCTTTGGGGGAAAGTGTGTGGGCCAAACAGAAAAGACTAGCTCTGAGTAATATTGTAGACAGTGGTGTGTCTCAACCAGGTCCTAGTGGACTTCAGATAGTGTCCAGGGCCAGTCCTAGTGGCCTTCAGAGTATATCTCAACCTGGTCAAAGTGGACTTCAGGTTGCATTACAACCTTGTTCTAGTGGGATTCAGACTCTGCCACGGCCTGTTCCTAGTAACCTTGGAGCTATGCCACAGCCTAGTCCAAGTATTCTTCAAGCTGTGCCATCCAGCCATCAAGCTCTTCCACAACATCAGAGATCAACTTCTTCAGACAGTGATGCTGATGATAGCAATGATGTTTCAGAGAATTTGCCACAGCTTAGCTCAACTCCAGGGCCATCTAGTATTAGAAGTAGGTTAGTTCGACTCAGTGATGGAGAAGCAGAGGCACTTAATGGTGCTGTATCTGGCTGTGAAGCTAGTAGCAGTATCAGGGGACACGTATCACCTTTAGAATCACCCAGCACACCTACAGATAATTGTATTGTATCATCCTCTACTGGGCATATTGACTCTATACCTCCTACACCTGCTGAATTTCAAGGAAATGATGTGTCTGGTCCCAGTAGTCCACTTTCTCCAAGTCTAGGTAGTGCTGCCATACTTGACTCGACTGTGGATTCCACTAGTGGCCGAGGAATCATGGATCCAGAAGGCGAGACTTCCGATGACGATTCTGATAATGATAATCTTGCACCAACGGGACAGATGCAGTTATCAGTAATGGGTGAGAGAGATGAAATATCAACATCAGAAGTTGGTTTGCAACAGAGTGATGACAGTGAAGATGTTGCTCTTCTTGTCAGCCCTCAGGGAATGTTTTCGAGTGGAAGAGCTAGTGCTAACCGTTTTATAGAGCAACTTTCCCTTTCTCTCTCTCACTTTTCTGGTGATGCTTTAGATGCCAATTTATCTGGAGTTGTGAATGAGCAGCGATCTCCTCCCAACACTCCCCCACCTGATCCTGGGCCATATCTTAATGATGCTCTTGCTATTCCAGGACCCAGCAGGGCATCACTTCCTTGTTCACAGACTACCAGTAGACAAGTTAGTACTCCAGCTGACCAAACTAGAAATCAGCCTTCTACTTCTAGTACACACAGTTTGACAGATCCAGTGGAAGTTCTTGACAGTAGTTTACCACTACTTGACATTACATCAGGTTTGCCTGGTTGTAGCACAGTTCCTGTTGTAGATCGTTTGAGCAATTCGGGTGCATCTGGGGATTTACCCTCTTCAGTAAGAATAAAAAATGAATCCAGACTAGGAAGTGGATCGGGAGGATTAGAACCTCTTGTGTGTCTCTCCAGCAGTACATCTAATGCCATTGATAATGATAGCTTGACTGGTAATGCTGAGAGCCAAGACCTGAATCAACTAGGTCAGTCTTATGTGCTTGGACTGAATGATGAGAGCTCAGTTGGAAGTGAAAATGTACTGAGCTCTAGTTCAATCATAAAACATGATTTGGCTGATAGTGAACTTCAGCAAAGAAACTTTAGCAGTTTATCAACTGGTAACCAGTCATTACTTGTCCCTAAAAGGTTAAGAGAAGAAACTCTAAATAGCTCTCTCAATTTGAGTTTAGCATCTTCAGAACCAAATAGGGTGATGGAAACAGATGTGGCCTTACCAGGACCTTCTCAGCAACCTACTTTGGCACACCACTTGCTTCCCGTTCAACCGGATCAGGTCGGATATATTTTTGTACTTTCATATGTTGACTGTATGTTTTATTACAGTATTCATATACTATACATGTACAATACTTTGACAAAATTGAATTTCGGTCATAATTTCTAACGTGGGTAATAATTTTAATAATTTATATTATCATTGAAGAAGTAGATATTTTTTGCCACAGGTTTCTCTTTTGGATGGTAGTGGAGATGAAAGTAGTGATGGCGCTCTGCTGATGATGGTATCATCTAACACTCGTTCTATACACAATACGCTTTCCCTCGGTAAGTTATAATACAGGTATTTAGTCTTTTGATTTACTAACCTTTGAAACCTCTACCAATGACAATTTCTAGCTTGAAGGAACAGGATTTTATCTACAGTATATTAAGACTTGCAGGCCTAGTGATGGTGTACCTTCGTTGCATTCATCAAAGACCTGCTATTGTATATAAATGGATAAGAGTATAGCAAAGGGGCAATAAGTACAGTTTTAAAAATATCAACATAACATAGAACACGAAACGATGGGTATAAATTGTAGCAGTTTAGATTCGGAAAAGTCACTGGTAATTAATGGCTTAGAAGTAGGAGTGCTGATTTATGGAACAAAATACTAAGTAGCATAATAGACATGGGAACACTGGAGTGTTTCAAGCATAGGTTAGACTTATGAAGGAGTTTGGGTGGATATAAATAGGAGCTGCCTTGTAGCTCCCAAGTAGGGAGCTACAGTAGGCCTTCTAAAGCTACCTTTTATTTGTAGGTTCTTCCGATCTTCTTATCTCCTTAAAACCGTGGAGCTACTGAGGGCCCCGCTAAAAAAGAGCATTGCTTTACATTCAATATTTGATATTTCTGTTCTCTATGTAGAAAATTTGTTTCAAGATTTTGGGTAAAGAATCATTTGTGTATATCAACTGATACTTAATATGGAACAAACTGTAAATCATGCACTCAAGCATGGGCATAAAAGATGCACCCTCCCATAGGATGCTCCCTCCCTATTTTACAAGAATATTTTGCATTTTATCAACTGTGCCTATTCTCAAGCTAAACAAAATTTTTCATCCTAAACCTGCTTCCAACACTTGTAGCACTGTGCTCTACCTTCCCTTCAGATATGAACTCAAAACTTGTACTAATACCGTTTGTCCTCTTGACATAAAGCTCACCTTTCGACAAACTAATACTCTTCGTAGCAATCTAGTTCACACTGCTCCTCCTGCTTCTAATGCTGCTGGTGTCTACTCTATTTCCTGTTCATCTTGTCCTCTCCAATACTTTGGTGAAACTGGCCGTACACTTAATGATAGACTTAAGGAACACAAAAGAAGTGTTAAGTCTGCAGACACAAACAATGCTCTCTTCTGTCATGTTAGGGATTCTAATCATCCTATTGATTGGTCTTTCTCCAAAATAATCTTTCCTGCCTCTACTCTACACAGACGCCGTCTTGTTGAATCGGCTCTTGATACACAACATACCCAACATGAACTAAGTCCTGGCTTTGTTGCTGTTGAGTCTTACCTTTCACAGTATATTCTCATATACTAGAAAGTTCTAAACTTTCTAACAAACGTGACCTAACATAAGCTTGCCTTTCCATTTATCTTTTTTTTTTTTTTTTTTCCTTGTTTTCTCTAACGATCCCTTTCTTGTTCCTATTACAGTACTATCCCCTTTATTATACCTTACCTTTTGTATTCTTTTGCCTTGCTTTTTCTTCCTCTAAGATTTCCTTCTCCTCGCCTCTCTCTTGCCTATTTATTGCCTTCGCCTCCTTCCTTCATCACAATCGACTTGAGAATGGTCCAGGACGGACCGAAATGTCGTCCTCCCTTCACTTTCTAGTGTGTGGTTTGGTAAAACATTTCAGCCACGTTATTGTGACTCCTTGTCTGCATATTTTTTGGAAAAAATTACTTTGGTATGTTTTATCATACCTTTATTGAAAGATATTTTAAAGTGGTTTTTGTACCCCAACTCTTAACTCCTTAAGATCAGCTGTATAGTTGTTTATATTTGGGCAAGAGAATTGCTATACAGGATGTGAGGTTGGTATTACTGGATGTGATGTTTTGTGTTGCTGCATCAGGCCACCAGGGCCTGATGTGTCACCACCCGGTGGTGGCACACCATCACACCACTCTGATTTTGTCATTATTCACTCATTGCAAATGGCTGGCAGGTGGATAAAAGTTTAACATTCCTTTCAAATTTCTAGAAGCATTTTTCATTTAGATAATGGAGTCAATGTTTGTTAAAGGTAAGAGTCTTTAAATAATGTGTGACATATCAGGCGTGGGTTATGTATGCTGGGTAAGGTGGTGAGATGTGAGCTTACTTCATAACTATCTTCATATCAAACTTTTTTTTTTTTTTGTGAGTTTGTGATAAAAGACTGATGACCCAGCTTGTTTTGAATATTTTATTATTAGTAACACAATTTACTGTAATAATGTGGTTTGTTTTCAATATTTAATTATTGGCAATGAATTTTGTGCCTAGCACTCCGTGGCTGATGCAATGTAGTAGCGGGAACCATCTCTTTATGTAGCTTCAGGGAGCCACAAGAGGCTTCCTCCAGAAAATACATATACTGTATAATATAAATGATTATTTGTACTACTACAGAGAAGCAGCTAGAACACGGAGAAGCAAGAAGCCTTGTTCCCAGCCTTCAAGCATCTGAATCACAGGTTAGGATTTGGTTTATTTTCTGGAAGGTCCCTTTTGTAGCTTTCTGTAGCTTATACATTAAGTGGAGCCAAACCGTAAGATGTGCACTAGGTCTGTCATTGCCTAACGGGGTCTAGGATGATAATTTGGCTCTTGAGGTGGAGCTAAGGGATCAGAGGTCAACTGAAAACCAAGAAAAACAACAACAGAAAGCACAGGCAAAACAAAAGCTGTTGCTTGAAGAATGGAATGAAACATAAGGCACATATGGCAAACTGATCATTGCCACAGGTGAACAACCCTAACCTTAATGTGTCCAACTGTCACCAGGTCATGACCCAGGTCACTTTGTCGTGGCCATCTATCTTCCTCACTCCCTCGTCTGGGCTGTCTAAGGGGGCACCATTCAGCTGGGACCTGTGAGCTGCTGCTCCGTCCAACCACTTGGGGTGGACGGTAGAGCGACGGTCTCACTTCCTGCAGGTCGGCATTCAATTCCCGACCGTCCAAGTGGTTGGGCACCATTCCTACCCCCCCGTCCCATCCCAAATCCATATCTTGATCCCTTCTAATTGCTATATAGTCGTAATGGCTTGGATCTTTCTCCTGATAAATCCCTTCCCTTCCTTTCAGCTATATAGAGTAATATATTTAATTTAATTTTAGTTCTGTATTTTATAAGTGCACCATTTTATAAGTTATTTTCCTTAAGGCTCCCTCAGTGTTGATGTAATATTTGGAGCATGTGTTAGAGAGAGAGTGAAGAAGTGTTCAGTGATAAAGGAAATGTTTAAGGAGTGTGTGTTTAAAGGAAGGTATATAATTGAGTTGTTAATATAAAGCATTATGCACTTGTATATTAGAGACAACCCTGAAGTGAGGTGTAGCTCTGTTCTGCTTTCTAGCCTTTTGTAACTGGTACATTTTTTCAAACTTCTGAACTTTCAGATTTTTTTCTCCTGAAGTTATGGATGGAGAAGACTTTTATGACATCTTTCCGTGCATTCCACCAACGTTCTTTTGTTTTGTTTTCTTTCACTTAAAAGAAACTTTTCTTTCCTATGCATTCTATACCTGTTACTGTTCAGTATGTAGTCAACATATCTCCTATGTTCCTCTCCTCTAGGGTTGCAAAACTGAGTTGCCTCAGACTGTAACTGTAACTTAATTGTTGTGATTCATGAGCTTGTCTAATTGCGTACCTGTTTAGCTTGTCAAATTTCTGCTTTTATCATAGGCAATGTAACTCTGTATAGAGCACTGATTAAATTGGGTGATTAATATTAATTTATTATGTATGATACTTCAGATAAGATTTTAAAGTGAACAAACATTGGTAGATTCAGTATAATGCTGACACAAAGGGTTCTGAGCCTGTTACATTAATAAAGAAACTGGATACACTGTCCTAGCTAACTGTATATAACCTTAGATTAATGGTACAGTGAATACTAAAGCAAACTTAGGAAATAACCAAATGTGATGATTCAGAAAATTGATAGAGATTTTCTGTAAAAAAGTTTTCTATTCAGAGTGTACAATCTACAAGAGTGGAGGGCACCTCACCAAGTCTTTCATCCGAGGAACCTAACAGTAGAAGTGAGAATGAAGTCAACTCTTCAGCCACTGGTCATGAAATGGAAGCAGAATTCATTGGAGCAGATTTTTGTGAGTACAATCAATCTATCTTGAAGTGTTTATATGAACTAAACAAATTAAAGAAAATATATTAGAAGATACTTTTTAAGGAAAAAAATAAATGCATGTCAAGGGAAGTACTGTACTCTCCATAATTTTATAACTGGAGATGTTCAGGAGCTGCCTCATATGGGCCAATAGGCCTTCTGCCCTTTATTCTTGTGTTATGTTCTTATGTTTACGAAATGAGTGTCCTTGCTTTGGTGTAATGTCTTTATTGGAAATAAACAAGGAATAAATAATGTTTTGTCCCTCAATGCTGTAGGTGAGTGGCAATCATATCTGATTAAGTATACCTTTGGGAAAATTACCACACACACATGGACACACGTGGACAAAATATGGTAAACAAGAGCCTCATAACAATCATGAGAGATTATAGAAAGAGCAGATAAAGATACATCTCGATTGTTGGTACTTGGTGACTTCAACTTGAAATCAATAAGACTTGGAGGCCTGTGAAGCAAAAACAGAGGACTGTTGTACTGGCAGAGTTGTAAACCTAGTCCTGGAGATTTTCATGTATCAACACGTCAAGCAAGCCACAAGATGAAGGTAGGTGTTGTTCCTTCAATGCTGGATTTGATATTCACCAGGAAAAAAGATATTTGACATTCAGTACCATACTTCCTTGGGTAAGAGTGACAATGTCTTTTTGGAACAAAAATATGCAGTGCATTGTAATCTTGAAGAGAATGAGGAAAATGAAGCGGTGAAAAACTTTATTTCAGGAGAGGACACTATGGGGAACTTAGAAGGTTCTTTAATGAATTTGACTGGAAAGCCCTTTTGCTAGGCAAGAAAGTAAATGAGATGTATACCAAGTTTTGTGAAATATATATGATGAAAGCACTAACTAATTTATACCAAAACACAGATGCAGAGCTAAAAATCAGGATTGATTCAACAGATTGTGAGAGGGCCCAGGGAGCAAAAGAAAAAACATGGAATCAATATAGGAACAGGCCAAACCCACAAACATACCAACAATACATATCAGCAATAAACAACTACACAGCTGTGAGAAGAGGCAGAAAGAAATTTTTAGAAAGGGATAGACAAATGTATAACAGAACAAGGCCAATTCTATAAATTCATTAAAAGCCAGTTGCAGGTAAAAGGTAAAATTCAGAGGTTCAAAATGGGGGACAGATTCACGGAAAATGAAAAGGAAATGTGTGAAACGCTAAATGAACAGTTTCGAAGTGTATTTGTGCAAGATGGAAATTTTTAGAGAACCAGACACAGTTCGAATTTCAGAGAATAACGTAGAGTACTCGAGATGAAAGTGAAAAAAATGCCTAAGGAGCTAAGAAGGAACAAAGTAATTGGCCTAGATGGAATTTCTCCTTGGGTTCTGAGAGAATGTACATCAGAGCTCAGCACTACACTTCAATTGATTTTTCAGTCATCTTTGTTCTTGCCTAGTTGTGGTTGCAGGGGTTGAGCTCTGGCTCTTTGGCTATCGGTTATATTCTACAAAAATGGTAGCAAGGACGACCCCTCTAAATTATAGACCCATGTCATAGAAAATAATTAAAACTAAATTGGTAGAACATCTGAAAAGAAGTGATATAATAATACCGACAGTATGGGTTTTGATCAGGAAGATTCAGTGCAACAAATCTACTAAGTTTCTGAGATAGAGCCACAGAGTTTTTTACAGGAAAGAGATGGCTGTTGAAATTAGATCATACTTGAGTGACGAGGAGACTTCTGACACGGATGAAAACTTTTTCGACAGAAAACTGAGGGCAGTAACCCAAGGTAATGTATCGGACTGGAAAAGCATTACCAGTGGAATACCACAAGGCTCGGTTCTAGTACCAGTAATGTTCATTGTCTATATAAAGAATCTACCAGAAGAAATACAGAATTATATGAACATGTTTACTGATAATACCAGGCTACTAAGGAAGGAGCTTAGATGATTGTCATGCCCTTTAATAAGACCTGGACAAAATAAGTGTATGGAGCAACACTTGGCAAATGGAATTTAATGTGAATACATGCTACATTATGGAATGTGAAGTAGGAGGAAATAGGCCACACACAACCTACATATGTGAAAAAAACTTAAAATAATTCAGATCAAGATAGAGATCTAAGGGTTGTTTTGGATATAAAACTGTCACCCAAGCATCACATAAAGAACATTGTACGAGGAGCGTATACTACGCGAACATAGTACGATGAGGTATGCTACGCTTTCCAACATTTAGAATTGGTTTTAAATTGTTGGTGAAATATTAAAGAAATTATTCACAACTTTTGTGAGACTAAATTTGGAATAAGCAGCAGTTGTAAGGTGCCGATATCTTAAGAAGCACATCGCTAAACTAGAAAAGGTGCATAAGACACGCATCTAAATGACTTTCAGAACAGAAAAATGAGAGCTATGAAGAGAGGTTAAACATTCTAAATATACCAAAACTAGAAGATAGAGGAAAAAAAAGAGGCGATATGGTCGCTACTTACAATATACTAACAAGAATCGATAAAATTGACAGATTTTTTTTGAAAACTGCAACTTCAAGAACAAGCTTGCTTAGGTATAAGGAAACAAACCTGCCAAAAAAACATCAGAAAGTTCACTTCTGCAAACAGAGGGGTAGATGGTTGGAACAAGTAAAGTGAGTAGAGGCCAAAATAGTTGGTAGTTTCAAAGTATTTTATGACAGAGTACTGGGAAAATGGGACACCATGAGTGTGTATCTCAACATGTAACTACACTTGGGTCATAATTACACATACTCACTTGACCACATATGGACACGAGTAATTTCTTAACCTTGACACTGCTCCACTCGCCGTCTGCAATTTTCTCCTTTGATCAAATCGCCATATGGATTGATCCTTATGGGTTTTCAATGCTATTTTTTGTGTGCATTTGGATGTAGCGCTTTTAAATAGCTTAGCAGTTTAAGGGTTAATAAATTACTATATTATAATTAGAGAATGCTAGATAGGATGTGAGTTTTAGACAGTTATAATATAAAAATCGGAGTTTAAAGTATGATTTACAAGTAAAGAAATGCAGAATGCTCCAGTGAATTTGTTGAGTGTTTTCTTCAAACTTTTATCTTTAAAAACGTGTGAAGATGTACAATGAGTAAGGTATTTTTATGTAAATAATTCAGATTATCCTTATCAAAATATTGAAAACTAATTTGGAGTTAAAGGTAGAAATAGTTCTGCTGTAACTGAAATTTGTGTTTGTTGTAGGGTGTGGGGAATGTGAACAAATGTATGCCCACGAGTGTCCTCATCACCACATGCAAGAGGAGTCTGCGGAATCCACCAGGACCCGAGCATGGGGGCACCTTCCTACGCAGCAGTTGGCGATTCCTGAACGTACTAGCACAGAAGGTAAGATATGAAGCTCTTCTGAGAGTGTTGCCATCTAATTTCTGAGATTGTTGTTCAATGAACCGACAGCTGACAGAGCAACATGACTGATCAGCCATGATTTCCTGGTTGGCAAACAATCATTGGTTTTCCTTGGAGAAATTGGCTCATCTGCCATTTCAGCATTTTTAATTAGGGTGGATCACAAGGCGCTAAATGTTTTTGATATAGGTATGCAGAGGTGGGTTCCCATACTTTGGGTTCCTGTTCCAGCTTGTCTACTGCAAAATCTATTTCAGATGCCTTACCCAAGTTTGTTTTTGCTCCATTCCTTCATGATGAGCTTCCCAAACAGCATTTAGGTCTTGCCACCATGCATCCTTATATCTCCAGGAGTCTGCTTGGTCACTCCTTTACTGTTTACTGTCTTCATTTTCCATTTTACTACTGGAAAACATGGGGTGGGGCCAGCACAGGCTTTAGCAGAAGCATTCTTCCAGCTGTGGTGTGACTAATCTATTTCATGTACCTTTCTCAGCAACAGTGTTATCTGGTTATTAGCCGAGGTACGGGTTGTAGTGAGCTTCTGGCTCTGGTATGGACTGAACTACCGCCTTATTCTTCCTCTTTGAGCTTAGTGCCTCTCCAACATTTGGCTAGTTGGGTGTCAACAGGGCTTCTTCATCAGTCCTTTATGGTAAGCTCCAGTGCCAGTGTAGTTAAGTGACATCTGCAGGGTTCTTGGCAGTCTTAGTCCCAGAATGCTGGGATTTTCTGCCATATATTTCTGGATACTAGTAATTTGAGAGTGCTACCTGCTACACCTGTGCAGAATGTTGACCTACCTAGACTATATGAGATCCTGACAGACCAAAAGACTTAGGTTTTGCCTTAGGAAGCAGCCACTGTATTCTGTAAGAAAGTGCCTTTCATATGCATTCTGACTTTAAATTTGATGTTAGTTTAGAACAAAATACAAGTATTTAATCATCAGATAAAGCCCGAGCTTGTGACTTGTATTGATTTGTAAATATTTTTAAAGCAAATGTAAAATTATATGGACATTTACGACCTTTTATGTGTATCAATAATTTGTCTTATTGTCCAAGATTGCGAGGAGTGTGAGGAAATGTGTGGCCATGACTGTTCGCACCACCACATACAGGCTATATCCGATAAACCTGTCAGGACCAGAGCCTGGGCATCACTGCCTGCTCAACATTTATTAATTCGCAAAGTTCCAGATACAGAAGGTATGAAATTGAGCTTCCCTGTTATTTTTGTATTGCATGACCTATTCCTAAAATATTGCTCATGTTGGGCAAACACTCCAGTATTTCATTGTGCAACTATAATATTTTGTTATTTATTGGAAGATAGCTTTGATACATGTGTACGGTACAGTACAACCTGGATTCAACGAAATAGAGGGGCCAACCCCAATCCATTGCAGTGAAGGATTTGTTGCAACTGGAGATGACTCTGGGCTGCATTTTCCGTGCCCTATGGTTTAATTTCACTTTGCAAAATTTAAATTTTAACCTATAATATAATAGACAATTACCAAATGAACATGTGATTTTTTTATTTTTTTTTATTTTTTTTTTTTGCAGGCATCTAGCTTATTTAATAATGATAATGTTTATTTAGGGAAAAAGTACATATATATATATAAGAAGGGTTACAGGCAGCTCCCATGTATCCTCCTATTCACAAGTCTACCATTTAGTCAGTATCTCTGATTCCAGTCAAACGCTGTTAGTATTATTACTGATATCATTTACTTCTATGATAATACAGTTTATTCCACAGCTCTCATGAAAGGTGTGTTGCTCCCATTCCACTCCTGTCTTGGTCACCTGTTGTTGACTCATTTGTTGTACAAGATTTATAAGACTGTTGTCTACTGATATGAATACTAGTATTTTACTATATTGTAGTTCTGTGGTAAAGTTTTTGTAAAGTAAAGAGCAAGGGTAACCCCTTTCCCTATGTTTTGCTTCTCCTTCCTCGCCATCTGAGCTGCCCAGGAATTTTATGCTGTGGCTGATAGTTTGATCTTGATAATTCCTATAATTAGGGGTAACATTTCATAAGACTCATTCCTAAAATTGTACAAGTATATTATGACCTCTTTTGTGTTCATAAAATAACCTAGTCACTGTTAATGTTTGCTGACATATATAACTTTTGCATGATTTTAGAATGCTTGGTTAGTGGGAAAGGGTGTGCCTGTTTTTATCATTCATTTCTATCGGTTATCGATCAAATTTGAAACATAATTCATGGGATGCTTATGAAAGGATGATGTGCAATTGATGAAATTGTTTTAAAACATGCCAGCAGAACTCATACAATTCTAAGTTTCCTCTGGCTGTTAAGAATATTTCACTCTACAGGTAGTGTGTGTTTCAAGTTGGCTTTTTCTCTTAGATTTTGGTGTATTTGCTCGCAAGTCCATTCCCAAAAGAACACAGTTTGGGCCCTTAGAGGGGATCATGAAAGCTGAAGTCAGCGAGTCTCCTTCTGGTCTCGTCTACACCATCAGTTCTAGAGAGGAATTTGCATATCTCGATACTTCAGATGAAGGTACAATATGTCTGAAGCAATTTGTTACCTACCCTTTAATTTTTATTTGTTATATTTTCAAATTTGTTTAGAACTGTATGCACAATTAAATTACAATAACATGGTCATGGGTCAAAATTTGATTAATTTACGAGAACCAAGAGTTTCTCTTTCTTGAAATAATTTTCCAAATCATTTTTCATTATCCTTTCTGTAAAATAAATGTTACGTGAAAACACAGATTTTGGCATTCATAGCTAATCATATTTGAACAGACTCTTCGAACTGGATGAGATTTGTACGGAAAGCAACAACGTACTTGGAACAAAACTGTGTGGTTGTACAGACAGATGGATCTCTCTTCTTTCTCACCACCACTGACATAGCACCTCGTGCAGAACTCCGAGTTGGGCAAGTAGTTGAAATATTTAAAATTGTATTATAATACAGAAGTTGAAATATTTTGGCAATGTTGATAGTTGTGCAAACTCAGATTGTATATTTCTCAAGACAGTATTTCAAGTAATTTGTTTACTTATATTTTGAACAGATACTCAAAGCAGTATGCTGATGAACGAAATTTGCAGACACTGGAGCCAACTGAGGAGGAGATAAAAAGTGAGAAATTAATTACTTTTTATTTTTTAATTTGATTATTTATAGTGTTGTTAACAAAATCAGGCATTGGGGTATAAAATATGCATACATCTGATTTGATAACTCATGTATTTTGTCATATTTTGTGAGGGACCCTCTTCAGTATCTCCACACAGTATATAACACTGTGGCTACAGTGTTATACACTGTTATACACTGTAGCCACAGTGGTGCAGTTCACGAACCCTAGGGAACTGCATCGGGCCTCTTGAGACCCACTCAAGCCTACTGGCATCCAAGGAAAGATTTTGCCTCATTATGAAGCGAGGTTAGCTCAGGAACCAGATGTTAACTCAAAACTAAAGAAAAAATTAAATGCATCCAAAGAAGCAACTGCTTTAAGAAAATTAGTAATCTTTAGGAAAACAAGTCAATCATTGCTGTGGTGTAAACACCCAGAGTCATCCGAGGGCCCGGCCAGCTGACTGCTTCATTCACTCTTCTGTGGCAGCCAGGGTTTACACTTCTCTGCTGAGCAACATCAGCCACTTATCTAGTCTATACTTGCAGACAAGTGGTTTTGGCTGTCTTTGGAGCTCTTCATTCCATTTAGAGGGAGGGAATTATGAAGGAAAGTGCCAAGCCATTACAATTATATAGCACTTGGAAGGGGTCAGGTTAAGGATTTGGGATGGGATGGGGGTAGGAGAAAGGAATGGTACTGTTCACTTGGACAGTCGGGAATTGAACACCGACCTGAATGAAGCGAGACCGTCGCTGACAGTGTTGTACATGTCTGAATGCTGATGAGCTTTACAAAACTACACTTTATAATTTAGTTTCATGTAAACCAAAGTTATGGGTATGTTTACACTAGTTCCACTCATTATTTTTTGTAGTATTTAAATGTAATGTGTTAGTACTTTGGTAAGTAATTTTTTTTTATTGGTGGCGATAGTGAGTCGCTGGGGAATCAATTTTTTACATACTTAATTTTGTTCCAGTCTTAGATTCACTGAAGAAGTCATGGCCTTGTTATGAATGTGATGAAGGTTTTGAGTCGTCTGCTGAACTGCAACATCATTTGACTTGTCATGATGAGGTTAGATATTGTCTTCATTCATTTAAAAGCTATATTGATGCACCCATGAATTGTCGGGTTTTGTATACATTTATAACATTCTTTACTATAAATGCTGCCTGGATAGAAGCAAAATTTCTCTATACTACATAATGTATTGCAGGAAGTTGGGGAAGATGATCGTAAAAAGCGGAAGAGAATCAAGCCAAGGCGACCAAGAGGCAATGGGGAAAATGAGGCAGGGTTGAAGAGGACGACTAAGAGGATTAAGGTGTACTACTGTTGTTTGTTATATTCTCAAGTTTAGTATTGTAGTGTAATTCACCGATATATTTTTCTGGGAGGAACGTCTCGGTTGCTCCTCAAGCTTAACTCTGGTACCACCAAGCCTAAACCCAACACACCAGGCCAGTGAGATCCATCTGTTGCAGAGAAAATGCCAAGATCAGAGTCTGGGTTACTGTACATTTAGAAGGGTGCAGAGGATCGAATATCAATCTCAAAACTAAGGAAACTCCCCAGAAAAAGCATAGGTGCGAGAAAATGAGTAACTGTTTGAAGTAAATCGAGCACCCAAATGTTAACAAGGCAAATGAGTGTTGCCGAGGGGTAAATACCCTGACTGTGATGCAAATGGCTGTCACCATATGGCAGTCCAAGACCCCTAAAATCTGGAGTAGCATGCCCACTTACTTCTGCTTGGTTTCCTTAGGTCAACACTTGTTAGCGTGTGCAGTGCCTGTCACCAGCTTTCTACTTTCAGCTAAATGTGTTGTCATTTCTAGCACATTGGTTTTGTTAGGGAGGCCATTGTTTTATTTTAGACTTAATGATTGTCTTTATGCCACCCATATTGTAAGTGTGCTAACATTCCATTTTGCTGAGACTATGACTAGGGTTACCTTCCCTGAGGTTAGCCTGTGTTAACCTTTGCCCCACTAGGGTTTGCCACCTCTGTGAGCTGATTTCTCTTTAGTTACCTCACTTTTGGGCAGTGCATAAGACTTGTTTTTCCCTGTGGGGTCTGTTGACGGGGAAGAAGACGGTCTTTAAAAAAAATTCTATGCATTTGTGTGCATTATTGGCATGCTTATTGTGGTAACCTAACTCCTGTGTGTGATTGGTACCCTATGCTTTGAGGGCACATTTGTGTTGCACAAGTGATATATTTTTTATTATCTTATGACCACCTTTGCTGAGTGTTATAGCTCAGTTTTAGTTTCTGCTTCATCAAGATGCTTCGTTTGTGTCCAGGCCGGTAGGGACTGGATATTCCTTCTTCTTGCCAGTAAGTTGTATTCCCAGATCTCTACTTGGGCCCTGGATGTGCCATCCCCCTCCACTTTTTCTTAAGCAGGTTTCTGTGTTCATTTTCCTTCAAGTGTGACTTGGTGGGACTTGATTCTGTACCTGCTGTGAAATTGGGATTGTGCATCTGAGCTTAAGCTATTGCTCTTTGTTTATGGATTGTCTTCTGCTTCCTGGCTGCAGTGCAGGGTCCTGGCTTCACCCTCGCTGCAGTGCAGGGTCCTGGCTTCACCCTCGCTGCAGTGCAGGGTCCTGGCTTCACCCTCACTGCAGTGCAGGGTCCTGGCTTCACCCTCGCTGCAGTGCAGGGGACTTTCCTTCATCCTGGCTGCAGTGCAGGGATTTGTCTTCATCCTGATGTTATCCTGGCTGCAGTGTAGGTTCCTAGCTTCATCCTGATCTCTGCCATTTCTGCCAGCTTCTCAGATAAGGGAATCCCCAGAGGGCCTCAGCTTCAAGACATTTCAGGCCTGAACTAGCAGAGGAGATAAACTGACCAAACCAAAGCTGCACTAACTGGTATAATGCTGACACTGAGGCCTTGGGCAAGGAAAGAGTGAAAGGGGCACAAGCACACATGACTATTTGCTCAAATTTCTTGTCACGGAACAAGACAACACAGCCACTCCACTGCTCATTTCCAAAGAAGGCTCCTGATTCCACCTGATATGCCACCAGCCAGGAGGGTGGCTTATTCATTACTAAAGACTAGTGACATCCCACTTCACTCTCTCAAGGATTCAAAGATAAAAAGACTACACCCAGTAGAAGGAGTGGTGGAGACAGCAAGCATTCCTGATGACTAAAATCACCGATTCACGCTCGGTAAATATCATGCAGGTCCAAAGGCAGGTACTGCAGTGTTAATTGCCAAAACTAGGGCCTGAGGAAGGAAACAGACACCTAACTGAACATAACTAGCAGGCACAGCAAACACCAACCCCCAATTTTCTGCTACTCGGTAAAGGGGGTGTAAGCCATTGAGGATAAGCAATCAACCATGCAAACCCCTGCCCCCCCTCACACCTTATGCTATGCATCAGAAATAGTACTGAAAGAATGAGTGAATCACAAATTATATCGGCTCAGGACAGGGAATACAACTCCTTATGCGCTATCTGGAATGAGAAACTTCAAAGAAGTGACTTGCCACAGAGAAAATCCGAACCCCACAGTGAATAAAACCATGGAAAGCAGGGGGCAACACAAGCTAGCTACCATTGATGATAACCCTTGTTTTAACAATTGATATGAACTGTCAAATTGGGTTGTACACATTGTGGGTGGCACAGAATACACGTCAAGCGAGAAAGAAAAGTACAGTGCTAGCAACAATCAAGCATGAAAAATTGATTCTAGGGATGACCAGTATCACTTATTGGAAACCCGAAGATAGGGGTGAGGCCCCTGGACAGTGGTGTGCTGACACCAGGCTTATGAATAAGTTGGTTGGTTGGCTGGGGCCCAGAGTTACTTGGTTTGCCATCTACTGTAGTGGTGAATGAGTGAAGCTAATCAATGCTTTTGCCACAGTAACCAATGCTTCCTTTACTATAGTCAGTTTCAAGGGTTTTAAAGCAATTGCTTGTTTTGGACGACAGTACCTTTCTGTTTTCTCTTGGTTCTGTGGTCAGCTCTGATCCTCGGGCAACTCTAAGCATCATTGGGACCAGGTTCTGGTCATGGTACCCAATAGGCACTCAACAGTCATAAGAGGCCTGGTGTCAGATTCACGAAACAGTTACGCAAGTACTTATCAACGTGTACATCTTTCCTAAATCTTTGACGGCTTTGGTTATACTTACTAAACAATTTACAAGCATGAAAACTTCCCAATCAACTGTTGTTATCGTTATAAACAGCCTCCTGATGCTTCAGAGCTCATTAACCGATTAATAATTGTAAACAAAGCAGTCAAAGATTGAAAAGAGATGAACAGGTTCGTAAGTGTTTGCATAAGTGCTTTGTGAATCTGGCCCCTGGTATGTTTCCCTGTGGCTTGGATGATTTCAGATTGATCAAGGTGCTACTTAGGGGACCCTACCAGAAATTCTCGTGTGAACAGGTTGCTAGATGGATGCAATAAATTACATGTGTAGTAGTGTATGTCAGAACTATCAGAAGCTTCCAAATGTAATTTGACAAAACCTTTAGGAAAACAAGACACCACGAGCATAGCTCTCATTCAGTGTGTGTGTGTGTGTGTGTGTGTGTGTGTGTAATTACCCAAGTGTAATTACAAAAGTGTAGTTACAGGATGAGGGCAACACTTGTGTCCTGTCTTCCCAGTACTCTTGTCATATAACGCTTTGAAACTACTGATGTATGTATGTGTGTGTATATATAATTATAAAATAAACATATATTTACTGTAGGAATGAATTTTTGTTTGTAACACATTGTGTGACTAATAGTATTGTATTTTTCTTAGCTAACCAATCTTTCATGTTTGGGTGACCAGGTGGGCGAGGATGGAAACTCTGTTGCTGGAACATCTGAGGGAGGAGGAGGAGGGTAAGAATACTTCTGTCTGACTTGCTTAGTCACACTGTTGCTTTCAGTTGTATACATTTTGCTTTTGACCTTTTTATGTCCTCTGAAAAAGTGTTTCATTAGAAGCCGTTTGGTATGCACTTGCAAATTTTTCCCCGAGCCTTTTCATATTCTTTTTCCTTAAACATAATACGACATAAGAACAAAAGGCATAGCATATCCAGGACCTTGATACTGTAATAGTAAAATTTCTGAAAAAGTGTAAGAATATTTAGATGCCACAAGTAACTGGATTATTGTGCTGTGTAATTGTTGATCTTGGCTTTCTCTTGCATCCACTTTGTTATTCTGACATCTCTTGCAGTAAAAGTTAAAATTTCCTCTTGTGGTCAAATTTGTGATATAAATACAGTTGGCCAATGCTTTGTGCAGTTTTGAGTGCAGTAATGTGGATTTTGAGAAAACAGGTTAGAGAAGTAAATCTTTAAAGAGCATCTCTTATGTACACAACTCGTTAATTCTTCAAAATATATGGTTGAGGTACAGTACCTGGAATCAAGGCAGCGAACAACAATACTCGTTACTATAAAATATAAACCTCCACGTACAATGGTTGAAGAGTTTCATGGAACAGATGAATAAAATAGGAAAATGCCTACAAAATCCTGCACTGGATATCATCCTCTAGCAAGGTTTCACTCTACCCAATTAAAGTTGGATAACAAAAAATAAGATTGTTTTTGAAGTATGGTATGGCTATTGCACCCCCCCCCCCAAAAAAAAAAAAAAAAAAAATCAGATTTAATGCAATAAAGCTCGGTAAGTTCCCAAGGCTAACAACCTAGTATAGTCTTGGTAATCACACTGGACCTCCGAGACTCAGGCTGACAAACCTGGAACCAGGACCAGAATATGGCACTGTACAAGGCTAGAGGGGGGGGGGCGATGAATGAAGCTCTTCCTAAAAGCTGAAAACAAAGTCTGCATGAAATGTTAGATGAAAGAAAACATGCTACTCCTTAAAATAGCTGTGGCAAACAAGACAAACTATTGTTGCCGCAGGTAAACAACCTTAACCTTGATGTGTTCAGCTGCCATCAAATGGCAGTTAAGGTTACCCAGAATCCCTGCCAGTAACTCGCCTTAATCTCAAGTCACCAGTACCGAACCCCAAATATCTTGCCTGAAAGCACATGAACTGGGTGGTAACAGAGCTACTGAGGCTCGCCAGAAAATAGTATTTAATTACATTCAATACTTGATTTCTGGAATCAAGTGTTCATTAGCTCCCCAGAGTTTACTCCCATTAGCTCTTAACACATTAAGGATAATTTTCCTGGAATGGAATATAAGATAAGTAGCAACAAAAATAAGCATTCAAGGATTTCATGTGAGAAATGATGGTAGAAGAACAGGGCCTGAAGCGAGAAAGCAACAGCTCTGCACCAAATGCTAAAGTGCTACGTAGGAATATCCATAGAGCAGTAAGGGGCCAACAACCATAGGGACAGGTACAGAAAAAAAACAAAGCCCAGACAGCAGCCAAGGACAAAGAAGCCAGATTTGCTTCCAATTGGTGAATGGCGCTCGCCACAGAGGGGCAGAATGATATCAACTTCTAGACTTCCCTGATCAGCAGGGCCATGGATCCAGAAGCAAGATTCAACTGACAAAAGGCATCCAGCTTCTGGAAATAAACTATAGCAGACTACAGCAAAAAAGAGTGCACCATAGAGCATCAAGGTGACAAAAAAGAAAAAGGGGGACTAAATGCCATGAAATCCTGACCACTAAAGGAGGATCTTATGACCAGGATGTTGGTGAAAAATTAAGAGAAAGCAGACTGGTATATGACGGGCCCACAGCCCAGGGATCTGACCACCAGACAAGAGAGCTTGAACCCATGGTCTAGAGGTCAGCCAACTTGTCATCTTGAATAATAAATAGCTTTTTGACATAAAAATCCTCAACAGACAAAATATGATGTACTATGCAGTAAATCATAGCAACTCACAAATATTTGTGTTTTCTATGTGTGGGGTCTATTGGTAAGGTTAGATTAGGTTCTGGCATTTTGGTACACTATTTTCTCTTCATTGTGAAAACTAGAGAGGACAGGATCAGCATAGGACCGAGGCCTCAAAAAAAAAAAAAAGAGGGCCCCTGAATCAAAAGGAATGGTATAAAACCCTAATGACCAGAACGGCTGCCTGAAAGTCTGGAGCATCCTTCCTGAAAGGCAAAGAATGTGTAGCCCAGTGTGTGGGGAAGGCACAGCACAACTGGCCTAGAGCAAACAGCTTTCCCAAGTCAGGAAGCCAATAGGGAAGACTTTCCAAAGGTGAGTGCAATGCAGAGAAATGGAAAAACACTCAATAGCCCACAGCACACTGTGAAGCAGGAGGAAATGTAGTGCGATCATGCAGGGCTAGGCAAACCAAACACCTGAGGAGAAACTAATGTGTACATGTGTGGGAAAAGTACTAGTAGTACAAGTACAGTACAAGAACAGTACAAGAAATACCAAGAGGGTTTGTCTCCAGTTGTCATCATACCAGTCAGGATCAGTAGGCCACATATCATGATCCAGGAGTTTGTGGCAGTCTGAGTAGTGTCACAGCATGTTCTTCACCTGAGGGACTCCATTTTCTGCTGTCATTCGAATTGTGCCCCCATTAGCCCATTGTTTCAACTGTTAAGTGTTCGGCTCATTCCCATTCTTTGAGGCTGTACTCTATGGCTAGCCAGTTTTCTGGCTTATCTGTATTTAGTTTTCCTTGCAGTTCACATTTGTTACTGGATGAGGCTTCCTTCCTGGCCACTGATAGATGAACCTATTCACCTGTGTTTGGAATTGGTGGCTTTCCATATACAGGTACCATATTGGGTTGCAAGGCTTTAGTGGTGAATGCATTTCACCTGGATTGGAGTCTACCCTTTCTTGTATATTTACCCTCTGGTGTGGCTACTGCTTCTATTGTTGACCAGGTTCAAGTTGTCTGCCAGACTCCTCCACCTCCTCCTGGGACCATTGTGGCTGGTTCAGCCTTTGTTTTTCCCGTCTAGCCTGTTGTCCCAATCCTCTTCCCCCTGTGTGTGTCTGTTGGTTCCAGCGAATCAACAGGATGACCTATTTGGATGGTGTGAGGCTCTGCTGATCTTCACATGTAGTTTTTAAGCATGGTTTTCATATTCCCATATGGGGGCTAAGGTGGCAAATTTGTTGCTGTCACATTTGCATCTTTTGAAGTGGCTTGGTGCACTTTCTGCCTCTTCCTGCTTTGGTGGTGCTCTGTACCCTTGTTTTCCTATGGGAAAATTGTTTTTCGGTTTGGGTGGCTGTTAAATAAAATGGCTGGTAGATGGGAACCCTTAGGTGTTGGACCACCATATTGTGGCTGGCAGCAGTTTGATACTTCAGAAATGGGGTATTCTTCCTGCAGCAGTGATTATCTGCCTCATTTTTCTCAGGGTGGGATTTTCTCATTTTTAATTTATCTCTGATCCCCAACTTCCCTTGCCTCTTAGAACCAGATTCTGGTTCTGGCTGTAGGTGGGCTCGAGTGGTCCTCAGATTCCTGGTGCGGTCCTTCAGTTGCAGCCCCAGTGCTAGGGGGCTGCATTTTCTAGCTCCAGGAACTAGAAAATCTCTAATTCCTGCAGCTAGAATTTTCTAGACCTCCAGGAACTGAATCATTAGAAAAGAAAGGGGGTGTTTGATTACATTCACTGCTTGATTTATAATATTTTAAAATTATATGTGCATTATTGCAGATCTTAAACATTGTGAACTTCACTTTCAATAACAAAATTGGCACAAATTAGATGTACAATTAAATATTTAATGTTAAAATAGATTTTTAGTTGAGAATAAGTTGGGGAAAAAAGGAGACCATAACTCCTGATAATCCAGTGGCTGACTGTATGTAGTACAATAATGCATGTATATTTTGTCTTCCATTAATTTTTAGTACAACTTCTGTTTGAGAACCTTCAGCCTTGGATTAGAAAGTAATAATTATACAAAGAACATTGTGGGTTTTTCCGAATTGCACATTAACCTTGTTCAGACTGAATTACAGAGATTTAATTATCTCCTCGGGGCAAAATTTTGTAAATGCAGCACATTGAAAATATGTACATTTATATTAGAATGGCAGAATATAATATTGGGTGGTTTGTTCCTACAGAAGTGACAGTGGTCTAGTGGAGAACAGCGCTGAGCACAGCCAGTGCATGATCTGCAGTCTTGTCTTCACCATGCCAGAGGTATGTGTGCTTTAGTCTGGAGGAGATTCTACTACAGCTTGTTCTCTACTTAAGTACTAGGAGTTGTCAATCTAAATACTGTATTAGGTTTGAATGCTTGAGACAATGAATATAGAGAAAAATATAATTTCAGGAACATAGCTTGAGAAAAAATTAAGTAAATGATCAGGAGATAATATAGTACTGTATATTGAAGTACCAAGGGATGTATGAAATTGTATGATGTATGCTTGACCAAAACTTGTACTTTTCGACTGACAGATTTGTCAACTTCATCCTGGAGAATTTCATATACTGTATCAGCATGTTGCAGCCTATGTATCAGCATGGCCCGCACAACAACACCATGTTACTACTGTAGTTTCCTGGTTAGTGCCACACTCACAGTCACACCAGGCCCTTGCCAGTCATTCAGTAATATACTACTGGGGACTAGAGGACAAAACCTGGCACCCCCTCAGAGACAGAGCAGGGAAGTCTTGATCGCCATAACAAAGAAGTAACCTGCGAAAAAGACAGAATGAAACAAAACAGACAGTAGCAAGGTAAATCTGTAAAAAAAACTTTGAAAATGAGGCACACTATAGTTAGAGAATTCATTTGCTAGTAGTAACTGTCCAATTACAGATTGACAGTACTGTTGTACCTCCTCAGTCATTCTCCAGGTGTGGCAATGTTTGTATGGGCTCTAAAGTTGAAGTTGCTGTCCCTTGGTGTTATTCAGTGCTTGTAGAGCAGCTTTGTTCCCATTAAGCTTTGACATTTCATTGCTGCTATTTTATGAGTTATATTTTACCTCTGCATGCACACACTCCTGAGCCTTCTTGGACTATGGATTGGGCTTTGGTTTTATTTTGTCGTATCAATTCTCTAACTCCTTTGGTACGGTTGTGGCTGTCTGTCATTTTTTATGTGTAACTTGGGATGTTCCACTTCGTACATTATTTGTTGGTCTGGTGGTCTTGGCCCCTTAGCAAAGACCTGTTTGTCTTGGGTCATTGTCATTCTGTTTATCCTAAACCACAGGCTGACTAAAGTCCATGATGTGCAGAAGTTTGCAACAATATCCATTGTATTTACTAAGAAGAGTATGTCTTGGGCTGATATTCAGGCTTGGGTTTTTACTTGTATTCTAACAAGCTTTTGGCTGCTTGTTATCTTAGTAATGTGCTGGGGCTGTGCTGGATTTGAGTGACAATAAGTTGGGTTACCTATCACTGATTTCCCCTTCCTCAGTGTTTTTTTTGGCTGCTGCTCTCATCTACCCCTAGTCTCTCCCTATCCTTTGTTTTTCCTTTGTGAGATAACACCTGGGAGCCACCATGAAGTTAGTTATGCCCAGGAAACCACTTGTTAAATGTAATGAACCATCTCTGTCTGGTGGGTTTGTGGTAACACTCAGGACCCTCCCTTCCCCTTTTCAGGTGTCAGTTTTTTGCCTTTGGTCATCTCATGAAAGGAGCTGCACTGCAATCACTAGGGATCTCCTGGTGCTGTCACCTGGCAATGGGCAGTTTCTATTTGTAGGTGAATGATCCAACACTTTGGTGCCTTGTTTTCAGAAGTGTTTAGATATGGGTGGCTGTTGGTCTGTATTGTATTGCTGTACCTTTTTGCTGGTTTATTTCTTAGAAAAATCTCCCACTAGTTGAACCTCTTTAGAGGAGGGGCAGGGCAGGCTTTGCCCTGTGGTCTCCAGTAGGCTTTGAATGACTTGCAAGGGGCCTGGTTTGAGCTAACCAGGCACTTACCAACAGGGAGCCACTATTGACCCACCAGAAAGAGACGAATGGTCCAGAACGGACTGAAACGTCCTCATCCCTTCACTTTCTAGTGTGTGGTTTGGTCAACAGAAAGAGGTGTTTCATTATATTCGGTGCCGAGTTTTTTCTAATACTGTGTTACAATTTAATTACTGTTTATTACAGATGCTTAGAATACACCAATATTCCCATGTTCGGGCTGATATAAAACAGAAGGATGCCTCCACCATTACATTGAAGGACGTGGATAAGACTTGTCCTCAATGTATAAAGGTGTGTTATCTATGTACAACATATTTTTAAGAATTTGTAGAATGATGTAAAATCTGTAATACTTAATTGTGGTGAGCAATATTTAGTACATCACAACAGCTTATCAATTAAAAGTATAGGATAAAAAAACTCCACTTATGCATTTGTATATTTTATGTAGAGATTTACAGTCTTTTGAACTCTAGTGAGTGGTGTATGAAGGTCTGATTATAGGGATAGAACAAAACTTACATCTCAACAGCTAATCTGTTGAGTGTATGGTTAGTCTCGTCCTAACCATGTACTCAGACCTTGATAAAGCACTCAGAGTACAAAAGACTTGGTGTAAATATTTACATAAAATACACAAATACATAAGTGTGGGGTTTTTATTCTAAGTTACTATGTCTGTGAGAAGACATTGCCATTAATAACAATTATATATATCATGGTAAAATATTGGTATAAAAATGAGTGGTATGTGGTAGGCTGTGGTTGAAAAGGACTTTACTAGTAACCCTATTGTCAAGATGCAGTATACTCTAAAGCTCAGATATAATAACATAAAGGGAGACTGATGGTTGCATTCAAGAATTAGCTGGTCTTCTTCAGGAGAGGTTTTTCTTGGTGCACCAAACCAACATTTGTTGTTCAAGTTTAGATGGCAAAGAGAATTATGTAACAAGCGAGTGGTGTTTTGACCAATGAGAATTGTTGTTACAAAATGCCTATTCATTCATAATCTAACCCACTACTACTACAACAAATAGGGCATTGCCATTTTGCACATTCCAAGGAACTGAGGGGTAAAGGAATACTTTTACTCAACTGTACCTGCTCCCAGTAGGCTGTGAGGTTGTAGATGCTTGGTGTTAAATTGATCTGTAGGGGTACCAGTGTATAAGCTTTAGGTAACCACTTGTGGGATGTTTCATTATACTCAATGCTCTATTTTTCAGGTTTTTGAGACTGAGAAGGAACTGTCATCTCATGTTGAAGATCATGGCTTCTTCCCCCCAGTCCAAACTAAGCCTTATAAGTGTGACTTCTGTTATAAAGTAAGGAATTAGATATCCCTAGTAGGGGTGGGATACCTTGTGGGTTTGTTAAATTTGTTCATATACTGTAATAGGTTTTCATTTAATATCTCGATTAATGCCTCATTGTATGGACTTCAACACTTTAACTCTCACAGAGAGGATTTAACAAACACTTTACTTAATCAACTCTGAGTTGATTACCTAAGTGTAGTTACAGGATGAGAGCTACGCTCGTGATGTCCCGTCTTCCCAGCACTCTTCATCATATAACGCTTTGAAATTACTGACGGTTTTGGCCTCCTCCACCTTTTGAACAATGAGTGCCACTTCAGAAAAAAAGAAATGTAAATAATTTGTTCCTTATCTAATGAAGCATTTATATGCAAACAGCAAGAAAATGGAAAAAAAAAAAAAAAAGCTTTTCTGATTATGCAAGGTGTGCACAGTAGCCAGGTGGAATGGTCAGTGGATGTGTAAGCGCTAGATGTAGCGTGCCGACTTGTGGTAAAAAGGCTCGAATGATCAAGTTGGATGGTTTTTTAACCCACTAACTCTTGGATGTTTTTTTTTTTTTTTTTTTTTTTTCCTGGCTTCACTTGTTAGTTTACATTATGCATTTAATTGTGTTGAACTTGATTCGTGCACATAATTGACAAAAACTGATTGAGTAGTGTATATAGGAGTAAAATATAATGCTGTATGTACATCTATTTATCAAATACACCTTTCTAACCGCTTGGACTGGTAGATAGTGATGACCTCACTTCTTACAGGTAATTGTTCAATCCCGATGGGGCAAGTAGTTTTGGGCACCATTCCTTTCCTCCATCCTGTCCCAGCTCCTCCTCCTAACATCCCTTCCAATGCTGTATAGTTGTACTGGCTTAGAGCTTGTCCCTGCTACAGCTCAAAGTATATTGTAATTCACTTTGCTATTATGTCTGGGAATGTTATTTAGAAATTGATTCGAACACAGGCAGGAAAGACCAAATTGTGATTTGACAATAATTACAGGCCACTAGTATTCAAAAGCCTCACTTAATTGTTTACTATGCGATGAGAAGGTGATAGAGGCCAAAACCATTGGTAGTTTCAAAACATTATACGACGGAGTACTGGGAAAACGGGACACCACGAGCGTAGCTCTCGTCCAGTAACTACACTTGCGTAATTTCCTTCCCTAGGCGCTCCATGAGTACTGCCCTTGGGTGGTCAGGGTTATCTTCCTTGGGGCATTCAGGAAACACTCCCGGTTAGAGGGCTTCCTTGCTTGCGATTGTCCTCGCCGTTGGGGTTAAGCTGGGGGTCTTGGGCTTTCTGCCTTGCCACGGGTAGGGGTGTTTATCAGCTGGTGGGGCACACTACAGCTGGCGCAGCCTGCATATGGTATTACACGGCAACAGACTTTTTCTCAGACTGCTTGATTGGCTGTTGTGGGTTTTCGGGGGTTTCATGTGTTTTTCTTTTTGTTGGCATTTTTTGCCAGGTCCTCGGAGAAGTTCTGCCTAGTTCCTCATTAGGTTACACCTAGGGTGTATTGGTGGTACTCCTCTGTTGCCTTTACAGCGCCTGCTTGCGGTCGGTTTGCCTGCATCGACAGGCTTTACTGGCTTCGCTGGCCCCAGTGCCTGGGCTTCCTGTGAGGCTCATTCACCCTACACGCCCTGGAAACCCCCCTATGGGTTTGATTGTACCATGGATACTTCTTCTGAGCCCACTCTTGCCTTGTGCAATTTTGAGGGTTAATAGTCACCCCTGCCTCAGGGTGACAATCATCCATACTGCCTCTGCCATGTTGCCTATTGGTTATGGAACACAAATGACCCGGAGTCTTGTGAGACTTATTCCCCACTTGTGCTCCAATTTACTCATCCCTTATCTGATCTACCGAATCGGGCAGCTGCCGCATTGCATGAATGGTTCTCTTGCAACGGGCCATGTTGGTTGCCCATTTGGAAGCCCCAGAGCTTGGGGTCTAGGGACTCGGATTTGGGGGACGTTGGTTGCTTCGGCCATGATTCAGTCCGTGCCTCCTCTTCCTTTCCAGGTGGGCGTGGTTAACCCTGCTTCCAAACACCTGAGGCTTTGATTCAGGGTAGGGTTTAGATCGGGGTGAAGCTCGGTTGGCTTCAAGGGCTGCCCCTTCCAATATGAGCACAGAGGTGATTGAGCCTCTCTTTCTCGCCGAGGCTTCCAAGTCGATCCAGCAGACTCCCTTCTTTGAAGCCATCAGGGAGCCGACGGGGCGTTCCACAGAAAGGATGTTGTATATCATGCCATGGATCCCAAGAAAGTCGGTGGTAAAGAGGCTTTGAGGGGGTTTTAGCCTGAAGCTGCTCTGCCTCTTGTCAAGGAAATTGTTTTTCTGGGCTTGAGATTAGGGTTAGAGTTGGATGGTGCTGATATGTAGGAACAAAGTGATAAACTGACTACTGAGGAACTCCTAGCCCTTCACAAGGAGCAGCAACAAAAGACAGCTGAGAAAATTTCTTCAGGGTAGGAAGAGGCAGTAGATGATGTCCTTTCTTCATTAATTAAGAAAACGTGTGCAGTATGGGAAGAACTGCAAACTTTTGCCGAAAAGTCTCTTGCAGATAAAGCTGTAGCAGGCTGTTGCATTAACCTTTTTAATGACAATGTGATGTCTCACTACAGACAAATGTTGAGAAAACAAGTGTTTATATAAAGATTCATAGACAAGCAAGAGTGAGCCACAAGCAGGTCCTAGTGGTATGCCTGCAAAACATAGGAGAGAGCGTACTCCAGAAATGTCATCACTGCCTGCTGTTATAATGGAAGGGAACTCCCCTTCCAAACACTACCACCACCTCCCCCCCCCCCCTCCTCCTCACCATCTTCCATATACCAACAAGTCCTCAGTGAAGGTTAGGTATAGTAAAAAATGAGAAGTATTCTGTATAAAATATATTTTTGGGTGCGTGGAACGGATTTATTCAATTTACATTATTTCTTGTTGGAAAAATCGTTTCGGTGTATGAATAATCGGATTATGATCCATCTCTGGGAACAGATGAAATTTGTAGACTGAGGTTCCACTGTATTTTTATGAGGTAAAATGTCATTAAATCTAAACAGGTGTTTTGTGTTTTATAATGGAAAATATCTGTTTATTTTTGTGAGAATTTTAATATACAGTAATGCAACCATTTTCATGATCAGAAGTAAATAATATTGTTTTGGCCAATTTTTCAACGGATAATTTCATTTCAGTTGTCTGTATTTTATCCTTCCTCCCCAGTCATTTTCACGACGAGAACGCCTAGACGTACATACAGCCATTCATGGAAATGAAGCTCAGAAAGCTTTCCGATGTAATCTTTGCCTCAGACGGTTCTGCAGCAACTTAGCCTTGAACAATCACATCAAATATCACACTGGTTAGTAAAATTTCATGTCTAGTATAGGTGCCTTAGCATTTTTGTTTGCTGTATGTTGTACTCTATTTCTGTGATAATTACGTTATAATGAAAAGACAAGTTGGCCTTCCAGCAAGGCATAATCATTGGAGACCGAAAAATGATTGTCTTGGTTCAAAAGATAACTCTATAGGTAGTTATTGAATGATTGGCAATCAAATGTGTTGGAAGAATTATGAGGTGGTTATTTCTTTCCACCATATGAAATAATGAGATAGCATAGGATTTCGTTCCTGTACGTGTTGTAATTGTGATGCAAATTCTTCTGGGTTTGCAAGTACACAAACTAATTCTGTGTAATTTGTGAAATGGGAAAGATTATAGAGTCGAGAGAATGCTAAAAAACTCATTTAGAGAGATGTCCTGGTTATGTAGATTGTGATTCCCCGTGTTTTGTGATCTTCCTTCTTAGCATTAAAAAAAACAAAGTTTATGATGTAATGTTAGAGCTATTGGTTTATAATTTTTTGCACTTGCTTTACTACCTCCTCTGTGAAGTGGCACAATCTCTGCTGTTTAAAGTATATCTGGGATAACACTAGTATTTCTCACCAGCCTTGACCTTTTTTTTTTCTCTTCCCCCTCCCCCCCCCTTTTTGCAGTTCTAGATGAATATAGAATTCCAGGAATTCAAGCCAGATGCAGAGTGTTTGCGGTCTAGCTCTACCTCAAAGTCCAGTGGAGTTAGTGACATCTGATACATGGTTCAATGGTGGTGTCACAAAGAATTTGTTTGGATTAGTTTAGATAAAGTGTGCTCAGGGATTCACTGAAAACAGAATTGTACTGTTGCTTCAGTATTTCACTCATTTCTTTTTCTCTACATAGCTTTCTTTCTTTGTCAATTTTGGGATAAAGTGGAGCATTTGAGATGCTCAGTGATTTGTTTACTTTGCCAAGAACACTGTTCTGGTTCCAGTTTGCATATTTTTCTCTCTCTCCTTGTAGTATTGTATGTGACTTGACCCAATAATAGCACACTAGAAACAGAAGTTTCTAGTTTCTAGGATAAACACAAGACACACAAACCATATACTGTAAATGTAAGTGGGGGAGGCATGGTCAAGGTATCATATTGATGTGTTAGTGCCGATACCTGATGATTGCTAGGGTTAGGGAAGAGACTGGCCATCAAGCAATTAACAGAGTGCTCCTTGACAGTCTCTTTATTGCTGAGTATTACTTGGAAGAGGTTTGAATGTAGTGGAACATTTGTAGTGTAGTGGAATGTAGTTCGGTTGTGGAACTAACCTTCGGGTCATTCAGGCTTAAATTGAGAATTTATCAGTTTCTCCCTTGCATTAGTATGATCTAACAGGGATGTATGAAAAGATCTTTGTTGTACAAGGTCTTGTCCATGAGAACAATTGCACTTTATCTGAAGGGGCAATCATGTTGTACAGTTCTGAAGAAATATAAAAAGTCGCAATGCAGAGCAATAGCCTTTAGGAAAGTTTTGAAGTCTAATGATGCACACGAGTATTGATAGTAAGAGTACAGGTGAAACTGTGAGACAGAAATAAGCTGTAAGAGATTGAATAAATTACAGTACCGAGTTTGTAGACTAGTATTATGGTGTTTGATTATACAATAATCTTGTTACAGTAATAGTATTATGGTGTTAGATTATACAATAATCTTGTTACAGTAACAGTTTTGGAATAAATTTAAAGTACGGAAAAGGAGGTATTGCACACAAAGACTTCAATTTCTCATTTTGTTGAAAAACAATCTTGTCTTGGCAAATAATTAATGCCCAAATAATTAATGCCTTACATCCTATGTGATGTATATATATATGATGATGTAAGCCTATATGATGGCTTCATCAATAGCTCCCTTAAGTTTATAAATAGTTTTGTATTGGTACTACAAAGTACTGAGATCATATCAGGCCTTTGACCCAGGTTTACTTACCAAGGGCCAGTACCAGAATGTGGTTCTATGAGGCAAGGAAAGCATAGGAATCTAAGATAACAAAAAATAATGAGACCAAACTATAAAGTCCAGAAAAACCAAAACAAACCTTTTCTGAATGACATGACAAAAATTATGAAAACAATAGAAACAATAGTTGGCCATTAGTGAACAGCCCTAGCATAAACTTGCCCAGTTCTCACTAGGTGGCTAGTGTATGTATTCTACTTGGTTAACTTGCCTGCTACCTTGAAGATTTGAAGGTTTTTGCTCGAATCTACACTTGCTGGCTGCTTCAACCACCTAATTGGTGATGGTTTCCCTGAAACAGTTATTCCATGCAAGCCATGCATAACAGTTGCTTAATATCACCCACAATACCTGTAACCTAGGGCTGATTTTGCTCTGATTTTAATCCTAGATTCCCTTCACTGCTTGTTGGGTCTCGGCTTTACTGCTTGATCTAGAATTATCTTTTCTGGCTGGGACATCTGGGGCCTTGGTGGCGGCACCCAGCTATTTTGTCAGCCTTTGTAAGCTGTGTGGTGCCCCTATTGTTTGGACAGTTGGGTGCCCTGTTGTCCGAGTGGTTGGCATGCCCTTTTTTTGGCTAGCTGTGTCTGCCTCCTTATTTGGCATGGGATCTCCTTTTTTTCTTCATGGGGTGTCCTTGGCCTTCTGGAGCATTCATTGATCTGTTTAGTGCCTCCCTCATATCAGAGTTGGTCAAGTGTTTTGCCTGTGCCTCGGCTGCCTCCTTTAAATAGAACCAGTGAAGAGCAGGGGGGGTGTGCCATAGGCACAATCGGGGAACGCTGTATAAACATCAGAGGTCTACGGTTGTTCAACATCCTCCCAGTGAGTATAAGAAATATTGCCGGAACACCTGTGGACATCTTCAAGAGGACCAGATAGCTTTTTTAAAAGAAGTGCTGAACCAACCAGGCTGTGGTGGATATGTGGGCCTGCAGGCCGCTCAATGCAACAGCCTGTTGGACCAAGCTCTAACAGGTTAAGCCTGGCTTCGGGCCAGGCTTGGAGAGTAGAAGAACTTCCAGAACCCTATCCAGCAGTTATCAAGCAAGCAGGTTCCCGGGCTTCATAGTGGTGGCTGTGGCCTGGTCATGAGTTGGGGTGTCCCTTCCTGATAGGTTTGCCCACTGGTGGATTCCCTTGTGGTATTGATTTTCCTTCTGGGTTGGGGATTGAAATGTTTCTTACCATTTTTTCACTCTAGTGTTCTATCTATTCTGTTGTCTGTTCCAGTTTGGTAACTGGCTGACAGTGACCTCCTGTTGACCAGGGGTTTTGCAAAGGTGTTTTCTTTGGGTGCTTTGCTGGTGTCTGTGGCCCTTTTGTTTCTTCTTGAGAGATATCTTGGTGTCTGCTTTCAGTTGGATAAGTTGCATCTGTTATGTCCTTTGCTCTGTGCATCCCAAGTTGGTTTCCCTTGGGTTTCTCTCTCTTCAACAGGGTCCTCTCATATGCCACTGGGCTCATGCCTGATCCTGTCTGTTGATTCTGGCCTGCTGATTGTAGCTGTTGCTGGCCATGTTTGGCTGGCACTCGGTTTGCCCTTTACCCATTGAGGTTTCTTTGTTCTTCTCCTCAGAAGTCTCAAGTCGATTTGAATCGACTTGAGAATGTATGGTCTGGTCAATATACTTTAGCCACGTTATTGTGACTCATCGCCTGCTCATATTGGCATCCTTAGTGATATTTAACGCCCTCTGATTTTTCCGTACATTTAATGGTGCTACATAGCCTTCCTGGCTTGGTGCCTTCTTTTGATAATTACTTACTTTCTGGTACTCTCCACAGTAGACCCCCATTCCCACCTTATGTCCTGCCTTTTCCATGGCATTTTGTCCTGGTGGCTCATAAGTGAGGAAACTGATGGATGGAGCTGGAGCTGTTCACCCGAGTCAAACTATTACTTACTTTAATTTTTTCAAGCAGTCGTTTTTGTTTCATCTAGACTTTCTGATGAGTTTCCATAGTATTTAGGTTGACTGCTGATCCCCATGCTCCCCTCACCTTGAAGGAAGTGCCAGATTCTGGTTCTGGCAGGTCAATGGGAGTCTTGAGTAGCTTGGGGAGCTACGTAGTGCACTACCAGAATGGGGCCAATTCATTGTATTAAACGCGTGATTTTTCATGTGTATGAGATCCTATCAACTTCGTCAGCTGTGATATTGAATCCAAGTTCTTATAAAGAATGCAAATAACGGCATCACACAAAACCAATTTGGTTTCTTTGGATATTTTTATTATGGAATAAAAACATATCTGAATCACCATGTAGGATCTAATGGAATGGTACTTAATCCTAGGTAAGTGTCTTCTATCAAGAAATATTGTAGGTTATTTAGTTTACATAGTTGATGGATTAACACTTATATTAACATGTTAACTCCCCAGACGGCAGTAAAGGCTATGACTGCCCCATTTGCAGGGAAGGGTTCCTCTCTGTGGCCAGTCTGAAGGCTCATGTATCTACGCATTGTGTAAACGGAGAGTATGAATGTCCTACATGCAACAAGGTAAGCTAACATTGTTTTGCTTGTACAAGTGAATAGATGTTAAAGGCAGTGGTGTCTATGTTTAGCTGTCATTTCTCAGAATTTGATTCTTGTAAACTAATTACTTCTTGACACTTTATTTTTCACCATTTATTTTGTTTAGTTAATACTGTATCCTATTCATATGCCGAATACTCTGCACACTGTGCATCTTTGGCATCTATCCAATTATATTTTTCATCTCAATTTTCTCTATAAAAAAAATGCACATTTTTTATTTCTGGAAATGCTCTATTAGTAGTTCCCAGGTGCTTACACACTGGTACCCTTAAGCCTAGGGATTGTGCCAGGTCTCTTGAGACCCCATGCTCTTGCTGGGTAGGCAAGAGGTGCTTAGTGATCAGAGATCAACCCAAAATTAAAAAAAAAACTGATCAAAAATCAAAGATGAAACAAACTATTATAATATCTGAAAGAAAGAATATAAAATGAGGTGAACCCTAGATGGAGTCACAGGTTACTCAGAGTCCCAGCCCGAGTGACTGCGACTCGGTCCTACCTTACTCATCTGGTACCGCACGTGTTGGCAGACCTCTTTTTTTGACCCATTAGATATTTGGTCTAAAAGATTATCAAAAGGATACCAAGCTGCTACATAGTGCCATCAAATTTGCAAGAGATTCAAAAGGCACTAAATACCACTATGGATACCAACACAGGAACAAAAGGGCATAAGGTGAGCGATATCAAAGGTATTGGATTCACCAACAATTCTATTGAGGGACAAACGACAACAAGGGACAGTCGGGAAGCAAGACACGAACATCCTAAAAATCATGACATCCAACAAGGAGATGTACGACCATAAGAGGGACAATGCAGTTTAGACAAGGGGACGAAGGAAGGTCAAGGGAACAGGCATTCCCTTAAGAGCATGTAGTTTACCAGTATCAGAAGACCAATGATCCTGCTAATGGCCATGGATCGAGTAATGAATGATTAGGTAGAAATCAAAATAAGGAATGCTTTTTTGGGAAATAGGATAAATGTGGATAGCCTCCTTAGTGGTAATGTCTGCATGCTCATTTAAGGAAATACCAATCTAGTTGTGAACCCAGCAAAACTTAACCTGTCGGCTAGAGATTAGAAACGGCCTACTACATTTCAACTACCACAGGATGTATAGGATTAAATGACTCCAAAGCCATGCGAACACTATGAGAGTCACAATAACAAAGGAGCACTGATGATGGAAAAGCAGTCGACAAATGGCAAACAAGATACAGTAGCATACAGCTCAGCAGTGAAGATGCTGGCCTTCGGAGATAGGCGGCAGATATACATTTTGTCTGGAAAGATAAGAGTAACCAACAACATCAGCAGACTTAGACCCATCTGTGTAGAGAGTAACAGAATGCGAGTGTGAAGAAAAATGTTCAAGGAAAAGGCATTTCTGAGCAATAGGAGGGGTAGAAGTCTTTACCATGTGACTTGCAAGACTTCACAAGCGGGACCCTCCAAAGAAATAAGGATGGAACGACATGAGAGACATTGCTAACACAGACTGAAAGGGAAGCTTGTAAGAGACATCCGAACAGAAAAGGAAGGAGGTGAAAGGCCACACTCACTGGAGGAGCAACCTCCAAACTCGTTCAAAAGCGAGAATGATGATGATGCAGTCCTCGCGAGGTAGCACAAAGGCAGTAATGATCTTGACAGTCCTGAAGCAATAAGACATCTGCTTCAGTGTACAAGCTCTGGATAGAGGCTGAATGAAAGGCACCAGAGCTGAGCTGCAACCCAGCATGGTACAGAGTAAACATTGGCCTAGTTAGATGATCTTGGCTTTACTTGGCTCTTTCATTCCATGTGGGTTCATTGCTTTGTTACAATTAAGTATTCTACCTGTTTCACAGTTGTGCTTTATCCCACTCACTTGCTTCTTTGCAGTTTCTTATTTCACTCCAGCTTGGTGCACAGGGTTCTCTTTCCTGATTTGTTGGCCTGCATTTTATTGCTTCACCCATCATAGATATCTTCTCAGAGGGTTTTGGGCTCCCCCTCAGTCTTCATCTTTTGAGTTGCATTCTTTCTAAGAAGTGCATTGGACTTGTTACCATTGCAAGGCCTGTTTTGGGGAGTTCATATAGTTAAAGTAGCTGTAAGCTTTTGTGCATGTGCTGTACCTGGCACCGACTCATGTGGGTGTTAGTGGATTGCAACTTGTCCTAGGGTTGGACATGTTGAGTGATTCTTCTCTGTAGCTTCATTCCCATTTCTTCGGTAGCTGATTTGTTGGGGTTAATTGTGCAGCTGCCCACAATGCCTATCTTGTGCCTGGCATATCTGTCCATTTGTTTCACTTTTCAGGCAGCCAGTTCTTGTTTCATCTGGGAGGTTAGTTTATTTTGCTGGTTGGGTTGGCTATTCTTGCCCTTAATTTTGGGGATCTTTGGATACTTCACCCTTGGGTATATGACATCACATTTTTGTTTTGGAATAGGCTGTCTTGCCCTTAGGAGGACTGCTTTCTTTGACACACACTGGGTGTTCTTGGCAGCTGATACCCTATTCCTCGTGGCAGCAGCTCTCAGCCTGCTGTAGAATTATAGAGAATAATACTCTATAATACTACTACTATTACTACTAATATGATACTAATACTATATAATACTGTACTACTGCTACTACTAATAATATGAATAATACATAGTATAATACTACAGCCTGCTATAGTGTTATACTATGTAGTAGTATTATAGAGAACGGAATGAGAGTGAGAGACAAGACCAATATTCAGAAATGACACCCTCTGGAATGGGACTAGCCCAAAACAGAATTCAACTCGTGGATGGGGCTCTCCTGGATGGAAACTAAGCAGCCCAGTAGAAATGAGTAGTATTAAATTTGGTACACAAATGTAGACAGCATTACAAGTAAAGGGGTAGAGCTGGAAGAATAGGTAGCAGAACTGCACTCAGTTATGGAAATAAAACTGACGAACATAATAGAGGATGCAATATTCACAAGATAAGACCAGATAATAAGGAAAGAAAGGATAAACAGGGAGGAGGAGGAGCAGCCTTTCTGATATAACAACACGAACTTTGTGGAGATGAGATTCTGGAAGTATTCAACCAGCAGAATTCCATACTTGGTATAATAACAGTAAGGACCATGAAGATAGTAGTAGGTGTTATTTACCACTATTATAGGTGGTCACAGTGGCAAGGAGTGCCAGAGCAAAGATCCTAATACATACCTTGATATTTTAGCCGGAGAGAAATACTGGTAAATAAAGGCTCCTCACAGGGAAGATTGAAACGTGGAGAGCAACATTTGTGAACACTAAAACGAGCATTTCCTGTGGTAGCATATCAAGGAGCCTGCGAGAGAAAAGTGATTTACCAGCTGCCCTAGACCTGGTGTATACCCAAAATGAAGATGAAAATATTAGTTACCACTAGGAGCCAGTGACCATTACATTATTCTTAGATTTTCTCTCAGTACTGCATTGTAGAGTTGGAAACAGAGGTCTACAAAAGGGGTTAGGGATTATCTGCAGGATGTTCAATGGAAGACTGAAATGTAAGGAAAGTCGGCAAATGAGATGATGGAACTTGTAATACAAAGAAGCAATGAAACACACCTCTCAGGAAGGAAGTGGATAAAAGGAGAATGGCAAACCCATAATTCCACAGACAGTATAAAGAGGAAAAGGAGAACACAAACATGGCATGGAAAAGTATACTGTATGGACATACAGTATACTCTATAGGACCCTCTATAGTGCCTCTTGCATCTCCCCAGGAGGAGCAAGGGGGAGCCCCAGACCCCTCGCGCCAGCTATCCACCCTTCAGTTCTGAGGCTGGATGTCAAAATGCGCAAAAAACTGCCGACCAGTAGGAGGGAGGTATGCCAGGAAGCCTCCGGGTCTCACCCAGAAAATGGCGTTTCACTACATTCAACGTTGGTTTTCTGGGGGGAACCCCTGCAGCTGCCCGGAGCTAACTACCCACAGAGTAAAAACTAAGGAGCTTACCCGGGAGGCGGTCGTTGCTCACTCCTCAACTCGAAGTCGAGACAACTGGCTTCAACCGCCGACCTAAAGCGACACAGGCCCAACTAGGCCCAGGGACATTCATGAGGTAACGAGTAGCCAGGACCCTGTTCGACCGCCAAATGCCCTGTGCTCGAATATCGGCCCAAGACATGTTGCCAAAGACAGCAGCAAGAGCAGCGAACTTACGAATGTCATGGGCACGGGGATAGACCGCAGGCTGGCTAGCCTTAAGAACTCTGCAGATGACCTGGGAGACCCGCACCCACGAACAAGGAAGAAGGGAAACCAGATTAATCCAAAGTGCGTCCCTGGACACAGAAGCCGTGGTAAGCAAAGAATGGCGAAGAGCCGCCACCAGACACAAAAATGATGCACCTCTGGGCCTAACCAACCAAGCATCAACAACCCAGGGACCCCTCCGGAAAGCAGTAATCTCGGTCATCGCCAGAAAAGGAGGAGACGGCTGCAGACGAACAAAACCAACACAAAAAACGAAAGAGTTGAAACCCCTGCGCCGGAGGATAGCATGAATCTCCCCAACCCGACCCCCAGAGGCCAATGCCAACAGAAAAAGACCCTTGGAGAAACAATCTGGAACCGAAGGGGCCACAACAAACTGAGGACAAGAGGGAAAAGAGAGCACTGTCCAACGACCAGGACAGCTCAGGCTGCACATGAGCAGACCAGAGATGAAACAATGCACGAGAAAGGTTGCGAAACGGCGCAGAAGTAACATCAATATCGAAAGCAAGCCGAAGCGGCTCCGCCAGCGCCGCACGATACTAGGCGACAGTATGGAGCAAGATGGCGGCCCCAAACCTTCACAAGAGAAGGACAAGACCACACCAACAAATGCAGGTACCTAAGAAGGGACAGAAGAAAAAGCAAGGACCACCAAAAAAAAACACACTACCGCCAAGAAGCACTCGGGTGGGACACCATCGATTAAGCCACCCAACCACCAACAGAAGGCGAGAGACTTGAGGCAGAACTGAACCAGCCCCTCCATGGGCCAATCAAGTCTAGGAAGAGGCGGAACTGCGGGAAGATCTCGGGTGCGACCACAGAGCCAGCAGAGCCGAAATCCCAAGCCGGCAAAGGAGGAGATGGAACGTCTGCCGTACAGAAAGACATCCCAACGCCTGCGGGCCCGCCAGGAGATCGGAGACAACCGTCCCGACGCAAGACTCGAGAGGAGGGACACAGAGAGACCATGAAAATGCCAACAGACCAGGTAAGCCAGGAAATCAGGAATCCAAACCTGGCAATAGGAGAGCCAAAAGGCACAAACAAAACACACGCCCATGTTTGAGAAAATGGAAAAACACAAGAAAAAGACCAGAAGAAAAACCAACGGCCAGGGACAAGAGCGTAGAAGGAAGATGAGGAACAAAGAAGGCAAGTAGCAAACGGGAATGAAAGAGACATGACTAACAACACACACAGCAGCTGGTCATGTCCCAACAAGCGACGCCAACAACACAGAGGTGTGTGACACGTCCCACCAGACCAGTACTCGAACCAAGGAGTACGAGTGTAAGAAGGTAGAGCCACACCTGCAGAAGAATAGGGTAGAGGCAAAGAAGGAGCCCCACACACGTATGCAGGGAAAACCCAGCGTCCTTCCCAGAGCAGCAATCCAGAACCCCAGGAGCTACGGGGCATGGACTGGAGAATTGAGAAGAGCGAGTGGCGAAGCACCCGAGAGAAAAGGACGCAAAACCCCAGCTCTCATGCACACCGCCAGTATCAAAACGACCAACCACAGCGCATGCGCAGCAGGAATGCCAGACGTAGGTCGCCAAAAGGCGTGAGCTGAAGAAGGAAATCACAAAAGTGACTAGAGAAATAGACAATAGTGTTGTTAACGACCGAATCCCATATGAGTACACAGGGCAGCTGCCAACCATAGTCGAAAAGAGCAGGAAGGAGCAAAAAGAAACATAGCACAGCGTCCCATTTGGGCTACAAAGAGCCCAACCAGGCTACAAGGAGCCCAAGCTGGCAACCTGTGCAGTGCAGGACAGTGCACGGAGAGAAGAAACAAACACAAAAGAACGAAACTGGACCGAAAACAGAGAAGCTTGGAGAAGGACCAACAAGCCCCAGAAAGGACCGGAGGACGACACACGTTCCAAGAATACGGGAAGAATCAAAACCTTCCTGATCATTCTAGAACATAAAAAAGAAGCGTGAAGCACGAAGGCACGGAAGGCAAAGTTGCACCAGAGACCAAAAGTCTCGGTCCGTGAAGAGGGGAATAGGACTGTGAAGGCCCGTCCCAAGAAGGATGGAGAAACGTGCCACCTACTGGACGTTCCCGACGGATCCGAGGGACAAGGAACCAATCCCTGGGAGGAGCCGACTCCCAAAAACATGTATGGAGAGGGGGGGGGGGGGACCCCACTACTTGTAACTGCAAGCCCCGCCTAGAGGGTAGAAAAACCCAGGCGGGGTCCAAACGTCAGCCCCCTCACCAGCCCTGGGGAACCCACAATGCAGGTCTCTAGGCCGAGCCGTTCTCCCAAAGCCCCAGCCTCGCAAGAAAAGCCTGGGCATCCAGACAAGTACTAAAGAAGGGAGCCCACTGGCAGACTCGTACAACATAGCTGGAGGAACAGGCTCGAATGCCTCCGTCGCTACCCCGGAAGGGGAAAATCCCCAAGACCGTCTCAAGTCACAAGACCAGCGATGCCCCGACCCGACCCCAAACCCACAAACGCTAAGAATCCGGATGCAGGGAGGAAGGGGGGGGGGGCAGAACAGGGGAAAGACAAGGTAGCGCGCAGAAGGAACAAAACCGAAGCGTCCAACTCCCCCAAACCCCGTCACAGCAACCAAAACGGGGCAGCCTTGGGGCTCCCGGGGCTGCGCGTTGCACCACCAAAAACAAAACGTGCAAGCCCGTGCTACCTGCACCCGCATAGTCAGCATAAGACTGGGTAATCGAGCCACAAACAAACAACAAAACTCGCAGGGCTACGGGCAGAAGGTGGCACCGACCCCATAGGCAGGAGATGGAGGCAAAACAGTGACTCGCCCCGAAACAAGAGGACACAGTAACTCTCGAACACACACAAAGTGAGGGGGGACTCCGGGGCCACATTCATCAAACCCACACGCCCCCTTGGGGTTTCCCAGGGTCCTGAGCATTTACCTACAGAAACTCTCACCCAGGTAATCCCAGGCAAGGTACTGCTAACTGGCACCCAAGTCTACCAAACAACTTTATAAGAACTGAACCCCCGGGATGTGTACACTCACTGGGACCTAGTAGGGGGAACCACCGGAAGAAGGAAGAGTACTCGGTACACAAGGGAGGGGGGGGGGCGCAAGAACCAAGGCAGACCCCTCCCCCCACCAGGCAGACAAACAAAAAAAGAAACCCCCACAAGAGGACAACGTCCCCGGGTGGAACAGCTGGCCGCTATGATTAGTGAAAACAAGCTGCGCAGTACCCTGTGCCCCTACCAGTGCAAACTGCCCCTACCCCAAGGCGAACAAGGGAGACAGAACACCCTAGCACATAAAGGGCAGCCGAAAACCAAGCAGTAAATGGCCTAGCAGGGGCAGAACCCAAGGAACTTGTGGAAGGTGGCCCGAAGGGTAGTATTTATTTCCCCCCTTCCCCCTCCTGGAGAGGGGGGAGCTGCGCAGACAATGGCGTGTCAACGTGTGACGTCATGATCGTTTGCTCGTTTCTTTTAGGGAAGTTCTATCTAATTGTTTGGCTTTTGGTAGCAATAATTTCACCAGAATAGGGGTTTGTTTTGGGTGCCTGACCCATTTGATGGCAGACATACAATGCTTCCAACCACACGGGGGTTTCTATAGGCCATTGCTCCCCATGCCTCTCTGAGTGGGGCCAGGTTCTGGCTCGTGGTCCCCAGTAGGCCCACAGAACTCCATACACATGACTGATGCCAAAGTCTGGCATTAGCATATCAGCGTAGTAAGCTCCGGGAAGCTGCAGGGGCTCTCCCCAGAAAGAGCTAGATCTCTCATTCCCATTGTCACTGATAAGTAAGCAATGTATCAGCAGCATACTGAACCAATATGACTGGTGGATTTAAAATGTTACTCATGCTGTAATTAATTTCACATTTAATAAAAATAGTTCTGACTATACTGTAATCTCTTAAGATATTTACGAATGTTAACATCCAGTCATATTAATTTATCCAACAGGTATTTCCTACGTATAGTAAAATTCGCCGCCACATACGATCTTACCATGCCGTCATGCCACATACCTGTTCTGTTTGCAGTAAAGAGATGCCTTCGAGTGACAAGCTAAAGATTCACATGCTGAGGTAAGTACAGCTACAGCAAATTATTTGGCAGATAATTTGAACTTATATAATTAACTGACTTAATAAAAATATTTATATAATCATTGTTAAAGGATGTTTTGAATCTTCATAGAGATGTATTTTATGCATCAGAAAGTCATTCTCATAACTTTCCTCAATATAATGTTTATCATAATAAAGTTGTCTTTGCTCTCTTTTATAATGTTACTGATATTCAACACATTGCCTTTATAATGCATGTCTATAACATGGTCCCCCTTGGTTGTTCACCCATGGTTCATGGGTCCAGTCGAGTCACTGCTAGCATGCCAGGCCTTCAGCAACTTTGAGCCCCAATTGAAATAAGTAATGATGTCAAGTGTGTGATTGTTCTGTTGTTCAAGGGTCAGGTTTATCTGTCAGAGGAAACCACTCATTATGATACCAAAGGTCCTGTAGATTGGACCTTTCATCTATATCTTTAGAAAAGTTTGGCCATGCCTTCTTTCATCTCTGTCCTGCTCATATTTTGTTGAAGTCCGCTTGGTCATTTGATATGTTCTTTCACATTTTGTTCTCTGCCAATCCAGACATTTCCCTGTCTTTAAGATGTTACACTGAAGAATGTGTTTGTTGGTCTAATTTGGAAACCAGGGTTGGTAAACTTCATGCCTTGTGGTGGTGGCTGGGTTTTTTGGTTAATGTGATAGGTTTGTGCATTTGCTGCTTTCACCTTCTTTCCTAGCTAGGAAGGAGTTCTCTGCTTTCTGGCTTGGCCCCATTCTCATTTGGGTCAGGTCTGTCCATCTATTCATCATACTTTGACTAGTGCATTTCATTGTTTCTTTCGGGATCTTGAGTATACTTCACATTACATTTGTTTAATCTTCAAACTCTGATCCCTTGTTTCAAAGCTCATATCTCTCAGTTGTTTTGCTAGGTGATCAAGCTGAACCACACAAATGTATACTACTGTGTGTATTGTCTGTGGAAAAGTGTTACACTTGCAGCCTTCTCCTCAGCCATGTAATTTTCTGATACGTCAGCTCCGAGTTTCTGGAGGTTGAATTTAACAATTTGCGTTGTGCTATGTTCCTGATCTGCCACATCCCAGTTGCATGTGTGTAGCCTTGGATCAGCTGTCAAGTGTGCGATGCCTCTGATTAGCCTCGCCTCAGTTTCCCTCTGCATATTACCTACCTAATTTCACACCATTTATTGATGGCTCTGGGGAGCAACTGAGGATTTCTGAGCAGCACCTCTGTTGTTCCCTGTTGTGACCCTTTACTTTCCATCTTCTCTGCATTCTTTTGAATGGACTGGGTCTAAATTAGATTTTTTTATATACAGGTGAATACAGGAACAGACTACACCTGACTCCTGTTAGCAGGCTAAAAGCTTTCCCTTCCCATAGTTCATGGGAAGGGAAAGACACTAGTAGAAGACAACTAGTGGGCCATGCCCACTAGTTAGTGCCAGGTGAACTAGAGGGATCAGTTAGGATTGGGGCCTAGTCAATCCTCCCAGCCAGGACTCAAACTCGGACCAAATCACCGACCTGATTGTGCTATTGCGGTCACCTGGTGCCAGTCTGTGTAGGAATTAGTTACTAATTATTTAGTTTGAGAGTGGTTAGATGTGTTCTTTGGTATCATGGCACATTTTTTTCTCATTGAGTACACATGACTGGAGTGCTAATAGTAAGCTGGGTGAACCCATAGCTATGGTTTATAGGAACAACCAAGGTGCCACTCAGAAAAGTACATTATAATCCACTTAATACTGTATTTTTATCACTTTCAAAGAAAAAATATTATTGTGATCTGTGTGTTTAATTATTCTCTACTTTTCACTTTTACTTATGTACAGGTATTATACTGTTTTTACAGCCATTCAGATCGGCGTGACTTCCTTTGTCCAGATTGCGGAAAAAGGTTCAAACGGAAAGACAAGCTTCGTGAACATGCAAAGCGCATGCATTTAACTGACCGTGATGGCCGAACTATAAAACCAGGTGGTAAAGCACCGCCCAAGTTTATCCCTAAGGTGCAGTAAAAGCAATTGTCACAAAATAACTAGCTATACTAGAATTTTCCTATCCAGAGGTTTAAATGTAAGATTTTTTAAGTTCTAGGAGAAAAGCATGGAACTCTTTGGATAAGTTAATTTTTCAGTGTTGTATCAGATGAGAGTCCTGGAGCAGTTTGCATATGTATAGTTAATATTTCTAAATTAAGAATTTAGTTCCTGTTTCAATATTAGTACTGTTTAATGTTTATTTTCTAGGAGAGCCTCTCATTAGCTCTCTGGACAAAGAGCTGGTTGAGCCAGGACTTGGATGACACCAGGCTCTTGAGACACACGCTTGCCTACTGAAAGCCAGGACAAGAATCTGGTTCTCTCTTAAAAGCAAGGAGAGCTTAGTTATCAGGGATAAACAAATAATTAAAAAAATGTGCCAGAAAGTATAAGTACTATAAAACAAGCAACTGCTTTAAGAGTATTAGGCACAGGAAGATGAGGCTAGTGATCATTGCTGTGGTGTAAAATTCTCTTGACTGTGATGTGTCTACCCACTGCTAGATGGAAGCCTAGGTCACCCAGGGCTCTAGCTAGCTTGCCCTCCCTCACTCATTCACTTTGTTATAGCATCAGGGGAAACTTCTAATGGCTCATTGTCCTTCAGCAAAGTGGTGTTAGCCGTCAGTGGGACATCAATTCTGATGGAGACGTTTTATCATTTCCTTTCTCTTCATGGTTGTGTTTTGGTCATCCATGTAGTATGCCTTAGCTTTGTATTTCACTCCTACTATGGGCCAGGTTTCCCCTTGGTTGTTTGCTACCCCACCAAAGATACAGGCTAAAATGAGTGATACAGAGGTACAGTAAAAATGAGGACCTTAAAATACAAGGTACATTGTGATGGGGTCCCAGGATTTGAAAGTGCTCTTAATCCATCCTATAATTTTTCTGATTGATGCAATATTTGCTTGGTTATGCTCAATAAACATTAGGTTGTCAGACATCGTCTTTCACAGATACTTTACATGCTGTTTACCTAGTATGGGCAGATTTTGATTGTGTTTTGTACCCTGTATTATGTTTAAGGTCCTCATTTTTACCGTACCTGGAATTTATCACTGTTAAACATCATGTTCGTTTCTGCTGCCCAGTTGAAAATTTTATTAATATCTGCTTGTAGTTTTTCAATGTCTTCAACATAGGTAATTTTCATGCTGATTTTTGTGTCATCTGCAAAGGATGATGTGAAGCTGTGACTTGTATTTGAGGCTATATCTGATATGAGAATAAGGAAAAGCAATGGTAAGGACTGTACCCTAAGGTACAGAGCTTTTAACTGTGCTTGGACTCAATTTTATATGGTTGACTCTTACTGTGTTCTGTTCGACAGAAAACTGAGTATCCAGCGTCCTACTTTACCAGTTATTCCCATTGACCTCATTTTGTGTGCTATCACTTCATGGTCACGTTTATAGAATGCCTTTGCAAAGTCCGTGTATATCACAACTGCATTCTGTTTTTTCTTCTAATGCCTCAGTGATTTTGTCAGTGTCTTCTACTCCCTAGGGGAGAACAACTACTCCCAGAACCCCATCCAGCAGGTATCCAGCAAGCTATGAAATGTTCAGGTTCCTCTGCAGATCAACTACTTATTAATCAACTTGCTTTTAGACTGCTTGCTAGACTTGTTCTCTGCTCTGAGGCCTGTTGGTAATCGCAGTAGCTAGCTGGGTGCTAACATATTGCAGTTGTCTTGCCCTTCTTTTCTGTGTTTTAAGCTTTTGCCAAGAATGTGCATAAGTGATTGCTCTTGTTTGTGGCTTCTGCCTGATATTTATAGTCATGGTATAATGTTTATTCAGCCAAGACACTTACCTTGCTCCTGGCATGCAGGTCAAGTGTTTTTGAAAGCTGCTGATCATTCCTTTTGCCTCCATCACTCAGCATGTTGGGTGCAGAACTCCTTCCACCCTCATGTTTTGTTATTTGTCAGCATAAAGTTTGTCAGATCACGCTTTGGGCAGCTTCCGTCCTGGGTGGGGCTATTATGCATGACTTTGCTTTGCTATACCAGCTTTTTATGGGCCTTTTCGGCAGCACATGGTACTGATACAGATTCCCCATTGTTCAGTAGGAATTTTTGGTATTTTATCTTGCTTGATACCTGCTTGATGGGGTTCTGGGAGTTCTTTTACTCCCCAAGCCTGGTTCGAGGCCAGGCTTGACTTGAGAGCTTGGTCCATCAGGCTGTTGCTTGGAGTGGCCCGCTTGCCCACAGCCCAGTTGGTCCAGCATTTTTTTTTTTTTTTAGAAAACAATCTAGTTTTCTCTTGAAGATGTCCACGGTTGTTCTGGCAATATTTCTTATCGTTGCTGGGAGGCTGTTGAACAACCGCGGACCTCTGATGTTTTATACAGTGTTCTCTGATTGTGCCTATGGCACCTCTCCTCTTCACTGGTTCTATTCTGCATTTTCTTCCATATCGTTCACTCCAGTACGTTGTTATTTTAATGTGTAGATTTGAGACCTGGCCCTCCAGTATTTTCCATGTGTATATTATTTGGTATCTCTCTCGTCTCCTTTCTAGTGAGTACATTTGGAGAGCTTGGAAGCAGATCATCAACCTGACTACTATGCCACTTCACTGTGTGGGTATACCCGGGTCCAGGTTCATGGCCTCGATACTTCCCTCTAGCACGGATTTTTAAAGTCTTAACCAGAGTTTTGCTTTATGGGACCCATTCGAACTGGGAGTCTGAACCAGATCCTGACCCTTTTTGTGAAAGAATTGCGAGAAATGCAAGATGGGGAGAGCCTGGCTACCCTGTTGACATGCGAGTGCTTACATCTGAAGGTAGTCGAGCCTCTAGGTAGCAGAGCAGCCCTTTGTGGTTTCTTTATTCTTGAGTAGTGCTTAGGTTATGTAGTGATTTAGGTCTGAGGTCAGGTACTTGAATGAGTTAGGTTATTCAGTAATGTGTATGATTATTTGATTTTGTGTGTTAGAGTATTTAGCCTCCATTGTTAGCACGACTTAGGGAGCACCTTGAAGAGTAGAACTTTGATCCCCAAGGCTAGGAAAAGTTGAGTGTAGATAAATGGACCTTCTGGGAGTCATTTCAGTTTTGGATATTCTTTTACAATCTTCCCCTTGACCCAGAATGTTCCAACTGGTACATTTGAAAAGATCCCTGAACTGTGCTGGGGCAGAATGTTGACCTGCCCCTGGCAGGAGCAGGATGTTTCCAAAGGTAGCATCCAGGTTGTTAAAAGTTACAAGTTATGTATAGTCCTAAGTTATGAATTTAATGAAATTATATTTTTTAAATAATTTCATATACATACCTACAAATTTCTAGAACAATAATTGTTTGATTGCAGTGCTATATTTTCACTGAAGAACACAGTTAATATACATTTCTTTTCATTTTAGGTTGATCCAGCAGACTATAAACAATTTGTGTATAGGTGCAACACGTGCCTGCTTGGTTTTAAAAGGCGAGGGATGCTTGTGAACCACTTAGCTAAACGGCATCCAAGTGTGGACCTAACAACTATACCTGAACTAAACCAACCTATACTCAAAGCTACGAGATGTTATTACTGCCAGTATTGTGAAAAAGTAAGTTTTTTTAATTAAATAGTTTGAACTACAGTTAAATTATCTCATTTAAACTATATTGTAGAGGTGAAATATGTTAAAAATGTATGTTTTAATATACAAAATAATGAAAACCAATTTTATCCGATTTTTTTAGATGTATCGTAGCAGCAGCAAGCGGAAATTGCACATCCTTAGGTATCACCCTGGAGCAGAACTCCCACCACCATCCACTACCCACAATAAGGGTGAAAGTGGAGTGGGTCCTCCTTTTTCCCAAACAGTTGGTGCCACTAGTACATATCCTCATCCTTGTAGATGGTGCTTCCGTCAGTATGCCTCAAGGGCACGACTTCTGCGCCATCAGCGTCACCAACATCCAGAGCTTTGTGCCAATAGTCCATCCCACAAGGATTATGCATCTGATCTTCCTGAGTCAGTGGTGACCGATGTTGATCCACTGCTAGAGACTTCTCCTGACTTGTCTGGAGAACCTGGTACTTCTGGAGTCGAGGGCACAGAAGATGATTTGCTGACTCAGGCAATGGGAGAGATTACACCACTGGCAAGTGGAAAACAGTATGTACGTTTAGTGGCCACTGGGACCGAGGGTCAGCAGGTTGTAGTGGGAACAACACAGGCAGCTCGTCCTTTATTGGTAAGCAGTGATGGGGGTCAACAGGTAGGAACTTTAGCATTAGTAACTGCTGTCAGCCCTGATACAGTTACCCTTTCTCTTCCAACAGGACAGTTTATATCATTGATTCCAGGACTGTCTGTAACAGGTACAGCTTCAACAGTAACTTCAACTTCCAGATCAATTGCAAATGGTGGATCAGTTAACATCCACACTGTTGATGCTCAGGAAGGAGTAGGATCAAGTGGAGGGCTTCAAGCAGAAGGGGTGCCATGAGAAAGACCTCTGCACTAGGTTGTTGCTTAAATAACAATGAAACAGAAGCTGTTGTGAAGGTAGTGCTGGCAGCCTACCAGACACTATCACCCTCAAAATCTGACCATCAGTGCACTTACAAGATAAAACCTGTCTTTACTATAGTGTATCATTCCATTAATACTATATCAACACCAGTCCTTGCCTTCACACATCTTACATAAGGCTAAAACAAGAATACTCAAACTGCATGTATAGTATAATGACAAATTAGCTTAATACGGTGTCCATAATGTGAACCCATTGTTGTCTTTAAATAAAACAAAATCTATTAAATATTTATTACTCAGAATTACTGGAACCTACTTAATTTAAAAGCATCATTTTTTCCCTTTCAGTCTAGTCAAGTTTAATTTGAATTACCTTTAAACTTCATATTATTGATAATTTACTATCATTGTTTTACAATTTTGCTATTAGGCAGAAATACTCTAGCACTGAATATAATGAAATGCCGTATTCTGGTGGGCCTTTGGTAGTCATACCTTTGGGAGATGCACAATCCTCTGAAACCCATTTTTTGCCTACCAAGAGCCAGGACTAAAATCTGGTTCTCTGAGGTGTGGGAAGCTTTGGAATCAGAGATCAACCCAAGAGAGAAAAACAAAGCATGAGAGCAATACTGAACTGCTTGAGAAAGTTACCGTAGTTGTTGCCTTTTTACCCACAGGTAACAAGGCAAACCATCATCTCTGTGGTTTAACTGCCCAAACTATGACGTGCCCAACAAGCACCAGATGGTGTGATGGCAGGAAGGAAATACCAGGCACAAGAGCCTCGGACTAGTACCCTAGTGGCTAACTCCCTGCAAATCCAGGGGCCTCTTTTACAAAACCATGAAATGGCCCGATTGCTGCAGTGAAAATTAGAAAACAGAGGCAAAATGGAGCTCTAACCAGCTGGAAGTAGAAGGCGCAGAGAGCACTCGAGGCTACCACATCTGCATTAAGGAGGCAAAGGCATGCAGTCTTCGGCGGTCCACTGGTAACACACTCGCACTGCGCTTCAGTTCGTATCCTGGCTGGGGAGGATTGACTAGACACCATCCTTAACTATACACCTCTGTTCACCCAAGAGGGAATGGGTATCTGGTTGTTAAATGATTGATGGGTCATATTCTAGGGAACTAATGGGTAAGGCTTGCCATGAGCTATAGGATGGGAAAGCTCTTGGCTGCTAACAGGAGTCAGCAGCCATCTGTTCCTGTGCCCACTTGTGTAATGTGCAACAAATTGTAGATGCCTATCACTATGTATTGGGCTATGAAGACAGTGGGGTCAAAGCCACCACTGCATAGGATGCCAAATGGGATACACATACCTTAGCCCTTCAGAAGCCCATCAGGGCAGAAAAAGGGCAGCCCATCAACTACAGTTGGATAGACTTTGAGGTGTAACCACAGTTAACGATGGAAACAAGGCAGGCATGATATGCACAAAGGAAGCATATTTGTTGAATAAATCCTTAGTCCCCAACCATAAACACTCAGCAGGCAGAGGGGGGCAAATGCTGCCATGGACAGGACTATCACTAATGGAACCCAAGTGCACCCTTGGCAAACGCACAAGGCCCCATATGTACAAGAATAAGGTAAGACAATCGTATCGCGTATTAAATGCACGGCTAACTACTACACTTCGTCATCAGGCTATGCAATAGAAAACGATTCCTATGTACTACCTGTAGTGAGGCAACTCTAGAGGAGTGTTGTTGTTGGAGAAGAAACCCAAACCCCTCTCAGAGCAGGCATCTTTGGTGGAGCAGGGAAATGTAAACTACCAAAAAGGGGAACCCCAGTTCATGATTGGAGCACACTTTGAAGTTTGGGCATAAGTAGTATGACTGACATCAAATTTAATTGTGATGAGAACTACTGTACTGTACTAATATTCCATGAGTAACAAACACCACTTAGCTTGAGCATATAGCAGAGGATGGGCCCTGTCAGTTGTCACGAGACGGTGACCCGGTGAATGAGCGAGAGGGAGTAGGTTGGCTGGAACTGCAGGTGACCTGGGCTGCCCCTGGTGGCAGCTACTTAATTTTATTCTAGTAAAAAAAAAAAAAAAAAAAATTCTACACAGGCTTTGTTTTTTTTTTGTGTTGATTACTCTGATTCCCAAGCGCGCTCTGCTTCAGTGTCAGATTTTTGTTCTGGCTTCCACTAGGAAAGAGTTGACCTCATAGGCCTGGTGAATCTGTCAAGCTTGGCTAAACCCGCACTCAAGTTAAGGAGCTACTAAGGTAATCCCTCTCGGAAAGCAAAGTAAATTGTATTTTGTTATGCTACTTTGGATTAAAAAGAACATGAACACTCCTAGGTACACATGTAAGCACCAACAAATTTTTTTTCTAAAGGTTGGTGGAAAAATCTGGGATTGAATAGAAACTTTATCCAATGTGATTTCTAGAAGGAAAGTACCTGTATATTGCAGTACTGCACATTAACACCATAATTTATTAATGAAATGTTGAACAAACTAACATCTGTATATATATTTTTTTTCATGAACTAGTCAAAGGTACTGTATGTAATTGATTGTTGCATGTATATTTCTGTTGGTTGAATGGTACAAGAGTTAAATGTAAAGTTTATAATAAATCTGTACAGGAGGGTAAAATGGTATAATTTTTTAAATAAAAACTAAAGTTATTTGTTTGTTTTATTAACTTTTATAATCTCCTTGCCTATATTTACAGCACATGTGTACATATCTAGAGAGCTGATTCAGAGTATGGAATGAAAAAATGATTGAAAGATGTAGAACATTACAAGATTGAAAAGAGTGCAGTATTATGGTTTTGGCATGCTGAATGACTTACAATATAGGCTTTTGCAGCCTTTAAGGTAGAAAAAGTGATGTGATTACCAATTTCCAGCTATTTTTTTTTACTTAAAGTTGACAAGTGTCTTTTGGCCACTTGTACTACATGTCTGTCTCGACCAGCTTCAATTTGCTCGGTTTCACTCTAGTTCTGGCTCCTCTGTTTCAGGTTGTGGATCCACCGACTCCAACCCATCCTTTTCTATACTGGATACACACTATTCATTGACTGCCCCAGCATTTACGAGATCACACTTTACATGCACATCCCCAAAGTGTGTGTGCATCAAATTTATCTTCTTGTTTCACCCATGTATTGCAATAGCACTTAATTACTAGCTGCACATTAAGTTCTATTTGAGGAATGTTCCTTTACATTTTTTGTCAGAAACAAAACAAGTGCCAGCTGCTTTCCTGCCCAGCCACGATCACTTTTACCACACTACATTACTTTAACACAAATAATGATGCATCAAATGAAAATGCAGTAAAAATGCTCCAGTTGGCACAAAGCTGCCTGAAGAGGATGACCTAAACACACAGCTGATGCATGGACCAATTGAGGCCAAACCAGCCAGTTGTGAGGTAGGCTAACACACGAGCCCCTAGCAGGTGCAGCCGGGTGACAATCACCCATATCAACCTGGTAAACACACAGATCCAGATTCAAACCAAAAGGAGGAACCTTGAAGCAGTAAACCTGATGCCCCACCACAAAACCTAACCAGCACCTGAAACTGGTATTAATAGGGATGTGTCAGTATATGTCCATGAGGTTCATGGACATCATCCAAGCTCCAGTCTGTAAAACCAGATGCACTTGGGCCAAGATGGTCGTGTGGAAGGTTGGACACGGTATAAAGTTGTTTAAACCTAAAAGATCAGAGGTGTACAGTAGGTCTCCCATGTCCCTCTTCAACACAGGGAACACCCAATGAAAGGCCAAAGTCAATTTGACCATGCCCGAGGCAATCCAACCCGTAATGACCAGATGCAGAGGCAGGAAGAATACCCGATCCAAAAACCCCAACCTCGAGAAAGGAAGAGGGACCGACCAAATTCACTGCAGATTGTGGGAAATGACCTGAAAGGGCCTTAAATTATGGGACCAGTAGCTGGCAAAACAAGCCAGATGGCACCCCACCCCCCATGATGGCATCAAAGTGGCAAACTGCAGAAAAGGAACTTGCAACAAAAACCATAATGGCCTGGAAATCTGGCTCCCGAGGATCTACATTGACCAACAACAGGCAAGGCCCCCAACCCTACCAGACTGCCACCAAGTGAGGGAAGACCCCCAAGAAAGCAACAAATGATCATAAGGGGAACCGTCCCTTAGACGGTTCCAGGAGAAGGCCACTACAGAGCTGAATCATACAAATGGGTCAATACTGACTCATCACACGATGCAGGCTGAGTAAAATGCCATCACCGCCTCCCGAAGAAGAGGGGTGAGCATTCTGAGCAAGGCCGCCAAGGCAGGAACTGCAGACTTCAAGGCCTCCAACCTTGGAACAGTTCCAAGTGAAGTCACATACATCCTCACAGAGCTGCCTAGAGACTAGCCCCTCTTAGGATCCAAACCTGCAAAACTGCCACCAAGTGCAAATGCACCTTATGGTTGTCCACAGTACGAGCTTCAGCCAGTACAGGCAGCTGCACATGGAGCTGTCACTTGCTTACATCCATAAGAAATGCCAGAGTAAATATAGTCTCTTGAGTGGACAAAGTACTGCTGCTCAAGAACACTTGAATGATGAAACACCTCTTGCCAATCAAGCATGGAAGTTTGACAGAATCCTTGCCAAACCCTTAAGGAAAAGAAAGGGATGTCAGCCAACGAGGAAGAATCCAGAATCTCACATTGGAACCAATAAACCAAGATGGACCCATACTCAAAAGTGGCTGGATTCATGAACAGAAAGAAGCCCGAATTCCACAGTAGGTACAAAACCAAATTTGTGAGAGCCACCAAAGGGAAAATGCAGGAAGACAGAAACCTCGAAATAGGATTCCGAGGGACCAAATGGGACTTTGAACTGAACCTGAGGGGAAGCAGCTGAACAGTCATACTCATACATAGAAGGAGGATATAAAAAGTCATACTCCTCAAGCAAAGGACCCTCTGGACAGTAAATCCAGTTCCTAGAAGGATTGAAGTCCTTCAATCTGAGGAATTCATTCCTCGGACTTCACCTCAGCCCCAGAAGCCTAACACAAAGGTGCGGGGTAGTTTCAGTCCCTTGTCCAACACTTTGGACAGAAAAGTGTCCTCCAAAGATGATGACTCGGAGCAGGGGATCAGGTGGCAGTTGTGAAGATTTACACGAAACCCTGACGGAACCAGAAGGCTTGACTGCCTTTACCACTGAATGTAGAGGGGAGATACTCCTGGAAAAGGCTGAACTCTAGAGCATCCAACCTATTACAATGATGCTAATTTCTAACACTAGCAAACCTAGCTTTTAAAGCAGTGGGTGCTTGAAAAGCTTCTGCATTAGAAGCTAAATCAATGTGGAGGCCCAGAGGGAATAAACCACACAAGAATCAGGGTCATAGGTCTTACTGACCCAACAGATAGCATGGCAGAGGTAAAAAGAATGACCATCATCTGGTAACAAAGACAATGAGCACTCTTTAGACTTGCACATGGTGAATGCAGACTTGATGAGTCAAACCAACCACAACAAAGACCTGTAAAGGGGATTACTAAGCCCTAAAAGCAGCTTCCCAAGCAGGACACACAAGCTAGGCCACTCACCTAGAGACATGCCAAGTGCAGTTAGACCAACCAGGATATGACTGGTACCCCATGGCATATCGTATAAACAAACATGCAAGCTCCAACACGCCTTGGTACAACCAACAGAATGACTCCAGCCTAGGGCCCAAACAGATGAGTCAAAGACACTTGAATAGTCCTCAGTAAGGCTCTTCACCCCCCTTCCCCCAGTGGCCTGGCCTCTAGGGGACAAACTCCCGAACACACCAAATAAGATACTGTACCTCTTAGTGCAGGGGCTGTGCTAGGCACCCTGGGAAGGAACCCAGAGTGCATGCAGCCCAAAGCACAACCAAGCCAAGCCCACAAAACATGCTGGATAGAAAAGACAAGTGAAGCAAATAACAAAAGTACATAATAGAGTACAAAGCAAATAGCTCCCATAGTTACAAGTCCAAGGACAGCCAGCATTTAGCTTGAAGCAGAGGGGCTTGCCACATCATCTGAAAGACCTGGAACATCTGTCCAGCTGGATATCAGTGAATGAACCAAGAAAGAAGTGCAGAAGCTGTGCTGCCTAATTTGTAATGTTTTTCATGTTCTGTTGAGTTGTTTGGATACTTTAAGGCTTAAGTCTTTATTATCATCCCTCCAGTTGTCTGTTAAGCTTCACTGATTTTCTAGATGCTTTCCAGGTGTGGTGATGAATTGCCATTCATTCTACACCTCTGAGGGGGCCAGGTTTTGACTTTGATCCCTGGTCGGCCAAACTGAACTCCCACCTTTAATGTGATACATTTGCATGGATCAATCTGAGCAAAACAGTGTCAGGGAGTGACCAAGCTCCTCCTGCATACAACAGAAATACGTTCACCACAGGAAAAGTCAAATTATTACATAATTTCATTTTTTATTAATATTTACTACTAGAGGGAAGATAATAATAAAAACTATATAACAAAATAAAATATACAGGGTATAGATAGTTATTTGGCCTAGTTTGGCTGGACTATCAAGACTGCTCAATAGAGCAGACACTACTTTCTGGTTCACCAAGACATTGTCTGTTAGCAACACTTTCTGGTCCACTGTAATCTTTTCAAACAAGGTTGTACTGTACACTAAATGATATATACTTATATAGTTAATATACCTCCTGATACAAGATGAAGTACTGTACATTATTTCTACAACTAATGGCTATAGCATTATCTGAAATAAATTTCATGTGCTATTAGGACAATCATTACTCCATTTTCCACTTGCACTGAGTCAGGATAATAGGATAATGCAAAATTTATTAATTTTGGATCTATCTACCTATAATATATTATAATATGTCCTAAGTATTCCACTGTCTATTGAAAAATAGTGAACCTACATTTGCAAGTGCCTTTGGTTTCATTTCTGTACACCTACATTGCCTTACTTTCATCAATTACCTTTATTAAAACTAACTCTTAGGCATTTATCTTCTCACTTTATAATTCTTTATGCGCCAACCAATATAAACTCATAAACCATCTCGTATAAACTCCATTTCATCTGAATTCCAATACAGAAAATAAAAAAATATAGTAAGCAAGAACCTGCTAACGAATATCTAAACAAAACTTGCACATTAAATGCAATACAACTTTCTCATCTGGTGAGGCCCACAGTAGCTGGTGCAGCCATGGGATCAGAGATCAACCTAAAACAAAGGAAAATATAGAACAAATTCCAAGCACAACAAAACAAGCCACTAAGAAACTTAAGTATGCCTAGGTAACAACGCAAGTGATCAGTGCCAGTGTGAAAGCACCTGACCACCACCAGGTAGCAGTGCTATCCCATCTGGGGTCTCAAGTCAGCCCACCCCCTCACTCATGAGGCACCTAAACTGAACCCCTTCACCCATGGGAAGAAAAAAGGGAACAGGAAGCTACTAAGGGTCACACCAAAAAATTGCATTTCGTAACATTTCAGGGAGGGTCCTATCAGTAGATACCCCAAGCATTCACAATAGCCCCTCAGCAGAGATTGTCTGCATTTGTAAAATGGAACAAAACAGAAACAGTAAATGTAGCTATGGGTCACCTATTGGAGAAGACGGTACAAGAAGGCCTAGGAGTGCTAAAGCACATGAGCAAGACGAGACTAAGGAACCCCCATGTAGAACCATGGTCAACATCTTTGTGGACCAGCCAAAACAAGCCCCAGGCCCAAACAGCAGCCAGGTAACAAGTGGAATAAGGACAAATGAAGAGCTGGTCTAAACCAAAAGGTTTAAAGAGAAGACGACTAAGGGTTGGGGGATCATAAACCCAGAGCCCATAGCCCCAGGAATTGGACACAAGAACCAGAGAAATTTCATGGAAGAGGTGAGGGATAGAGAGAGATTTAGTAATGGATATAATTCCAACAACAAAGGCACACAAACAGGGTAACATCGACAACATGTGGGACGTTGGCAAACATTTGAAATTCATTTAAAAACAAAATTGGGACTTTCAAGATAGTCTACACAGCCTTTGTCACGCCAATATTTGAAAATGCAGCACCGCCCTGGAATCTGCACCTTGAAAACCATAAACCAAAAATTGAAGGTCAAAAGTTGTAACAAGATCAGTCACAGAGCAAAGAGTTATGCTATGAGGATAAGTTATGCAAACTGGACCTCACAATCCTAGTGGAGAAAAGAAATAGAGGGGGGGACATGATCACAACATACAAGGTACTGAGGGGAATTGACAAGTTATATAGGGGACAGCCTCTTTAAATTGAGAGAACGCAGGACAAAATGATGCACGTAAAAGCTGGAAATGCAAATAGAATAGAAGAAATGTTAGGAAATGCTCATACCCTGTAGAGGTGTTCAACAAGTGGAATGCACTGGAAGTTGTGGAGGAAGCTGCCTCCATCCATAACTTGAAGGTTAAATTCAACAAATAATTGAAATGTCTGAATACTGAAATTATGATGCAACAAGTACAAGGCTAGTATGCGAGGCATAAAAAGCTAGACCTCATTTCCCTGTAGTTACTGATAGGCAAGTACTGCCGGCCCAGAAAGACATCCATCAACACCTGGTAATCCATTCCTAAACCAGCAAACTGCTGACACATCACCCAGACCTTTCCCAGAAATGTCCCAGACACCCTTAGCCAGAAACGTTGAATCACGCATCCCAGAAACATCAAAGCATGAGGCCCTGGATTGTCAAAGCACACAGCCGTAAAGCTTCTGGACACACACAAATAAAATATAGCTAGGTCCAAGAAAAACTGGCCACACCACCCAGTAAAAGCCGTGCATGCCCCACAGAATACAGCTAGGTGCAAGGCCCAGAAACAGCTGGCACAGAGTCAAGAAAGCACCAAGTCCCAACGTCCAAAACTTGGGTAAGTGTGTGACCACGGCCTCGAAGCAGGAAGCAAGACCATGGTTGCCGACTCCAGGGCAGAACTGAGCCATCAATATAGGACCTGGAAATACACCCATGGGAAAGGCTAGAGAACAACCTGCCAACAGACAGGAGAGGAACCAACCAAGTGTCCTGGGCGAATTAACCGCAGGCCTACCTAAAACAAGGTCGCGAAGAGGGAGATAGGGAAACGCAGGTCTTCCAAGAACCCCCCCCCCTCTCTGCCAATGGAGAGAGGGGGTATTAGTAAGGTATATCAACTATACCGTAAGGACACAAAATTAGGAGGGAAAAAGAAATGGTCTCCAAGTGGAGGTTTGTCCCATGCATTACTTGAAAGCAAGGGGACTCTTGAGGAATCCAAGCTTGCCTGGACTAGCACTTAGCTCAGAGAGCTACTAAGGAGGACCTGCTAGAAAATTAGCAATTTCCCTTCATTTCATGTTTGGGTTTGGTTATTTGTTTTCAGCCATGTTATTGTGACTTGCTTTCCGTTTTGAAAGTTATATACAATCGGTCTATATAGAAAGTTATATACAATCGGTCTATATATTAAGTTATATAGAAACATTTGAAAGTTACATAGAATCGGTCACATATAATAATTAAAATCAAAGGTAATGGGAAGGAAGACAGTCATAAAACAAATTGAAATGAAGACCACTTATTTTTGTAACCTTTACACTGCTCCAATCACTTGAGCGACTGGCACAACCAGTACTAACATATGGTTGTGACAATATGTTAGTACTGTACTCATAGCATAAGATAGTGCTATAGCTTCGTTGGTCGTCATGGTGATGAAAAACTGTTTCCATACAAAGGATGAGTCACAATAATGTGGCTGAAGATATGATGTCAAAACCACACACATCAGAAAATGGAGAAATGGCATTTCTGTCCATCCTGGACCATTATTAAGTCGTGTTGATACAACCCGTTCTCGCAAATTCGTAAAGTCAATATTGACTCATTAACTATGTGCATAGGTGATATACTAAACATAATACCCTTAAAAAGATTCATAGAAAACACCAACCTTACCTAACCTTGTTAGTATCTTAAGATAAGCATCTTATTGCTTCGTAATTACAATTATTACTTAATCTATACCTATTATAGGTTAGGTAATAATTGTAATTACGAAGCAATAAGATGCTTATCTTAACATACTAAGTAGGTTAGGTAAGGTCGGTGTTTTCTATGAATCTTTTTAAGGGTATCTATTATGTTAACACTTTCACACTCTTGGCGCTCAAAAAAAAATAATACCCTAGATGCTTTCGGCGCGCCTACGCGGTAAGACCGAAAAAGTGTACACTCTTTTTACTGTCCTGATAATAATTGAAGGCGCACGTATTTAAATTTGGTATCACTGTGTTCGCAATAAAATTGTCTATAAGAACATATCTATAAAATGCCGCCAAACCATAAGGACTATGAACACCAAATAAAAAACTATTCAGATCACTCGCCAAGAGTGCCAAACAGCAACAAAATGTTTCCACTCTCTTAATGGTTGCGAAGCCTACAGTTGTCCTACATCGCTAATTGTGGTATCATTGGAATCGCAATAAAATTCTCTACACGGACATATGCATATAAATATAGATTCAATGTCATAGCCCACCCAAAACAGTGTGGGAAGTGGCCGAAGTGTTACCCGCGGCAGCATATCGGCGAAACTCGCTTTGAAAAGTGTATATTCAATTCACTGTCCTGACATTATTTGTCGATGTATGTATTTCATTTTTGTACCAATGTGCTCGCAATAGAATGTTCTATAAGCAAATAAGTATTAAAGGTCACATAAGGATGCGTTCGACCGGCAACATATATAAAAACTACATCGATTACACTCGTCGTGTCAATAATACAATTGTTTTACCACGATGATTCACTGCCACGCCGTTTTCTTTTATAAGCTGTTCGGCTATTAGAGAAAACGTAAATTTCATGGCAAACATTTGTATACTATTCCCAAGTTGATCGGATAATAAATGGATTTTATACAAATATTTTTTCGATGGACTACAGGCGTCGTCTGTTATGCGAAAACGTAAGAAAATACGGTGACGACTCATGGATAATCCTAAGCGCGAAAGTGTTAAGTATGTCACCTATGCACATATTTAATAAGTCAATATTGACTTATTAAATTTGCGAGAACGGGTTGGTTGATAATGATCCAGGATGGACCGAAACGTCATTGTTTCTCCATTTTCTGATATGTGGTTTGGTTATCACATCTGTTTTCATTTTGCCATTTGAAGCTAATTTGATCCCCAAGCTACTAAATGTAATGAAAATAGTAATACTGAGATCTGTTGTTTGTAGTATGACGCGGCCCGGTAGACGACCGGGCCGCAGGGACGCTAAGCCCCGGAAGCACCTCAAGGTAGCACCTCAAGGTGACTATAGGTGTTTGTGGCACATGTATGCCAACTAATATCATGTAGGATGCATCATATTTACCCGAAAATCTTTGGAAAGGAGTATTGTCTATGACAAGTCATTCTCTACCTACCACCTGTTGTGATGTGAGCCAGATCACCACTAAAACTCTTAGTGCAAGAACAAATTATTAGGGGTCAGAAACACACACACACACTGCTGATGACATATGGTGCAAAAAGGTGTGATATTTGTTGTTTTGCCCTATGAATGTTTCACTGGCAATGGCATTCTCCAGAACTTAAAAAAAACAGCAAATCAGGGATATCCATCATGCAAAATGTGTCCTATGTGCAATTATAAGACTTATGATCATATAAATATTGGAATGAATAAATACAGGGTGTGTGCATATTTACACACATCTGTACATACCCTGCACATATATTTCCAGTTATGCATAATGAATACCACTACTGACATATGAGCATGAACAAATTAAATAAAGTGAGACACTGAAAATAAATGGACCGAGTTATTCCTGTGCGGCACCTTACCTCACCACTGGTTGCTGCAACCATGATTCAGCCACCTGGCCACCCAGATACCGAGTCCTCTGAACCTCTCCAGGCCACTACAGCTAAACCACGATTGGTACAGACTTTTTATGTGGATTTTCATGCTTCCTGGATGCTAATTAACACTGTCAAAAGAAAAAATCATCTTTTTCAGAATGCATTTTCTTGTATAGCCTGCACAGCTATAGCATTAAGCGTGCAGCTGCATAATTCAATACGGTGCTTGCTGTGGGTAGCCGAGTCCTTGAGAATTTGCATGCATCATCTGTTGTTGCTGTTGTTGCTGTTGCTGCTGCTGTTGCTGCTGCTGCTGCTGCTGCTGTTGCTGCTGCTGCTGTTGCTGCTGCTGCTGTTGTACACCCCCCATTGGTCGCTGCAGGTGAGATAATAGAGCTCCTCCCTGACCAGGACCTCCTGGCCCTGTCTGTGTAGCACTGTTTGGTGCATTTGTCATCATCATTCTCTGTCTCATCATACTAGCACTGGTTGCTCCCATGGTTTGTCCACCAGGGCCCATTCCCTGGCCACCAGGGCCCATTCCCTGGCCTCCGGGACCCATTCCTTGCCCACCGGGACCCATTCCTTGCCCACCGGGGCCCATTCCTTGCCCACCGGGGCCCATTCCCTGGCCAGCAGGGCCCATTCCCTGCCCACCGGGGCCCATTCCCTGCCCACCTGGGCCCATTCCTTGCCCGCCGGGGCCCATTCCCTGCCCGCCGGGGCCCATTCCCTGTCCACCAGGGCCCATTCCCTGCCCACCGGGGCCCATTCCCTGCCCACCGGGGCCCATTCCCTGCCCACCGGGACCCATTCCCTGCCCACCGGGGCCCATTCCCTGGCCAGCAGGGCCCATTCCCTGGCCAGCAGGGCCCATTCCCTGGCCAGCGGGGCCCATTCCCTGGCCAGCAGGGCCCATTCCCTGACCAGCAGGGCCCATTCCCTGACCAGCAGGGCCCATGCCTTGGCCAGCAGGGCCCATGCCTTGCCCAGCAGGGCCCATGCCTTGAGCACCTGGACCCAGAGTTTGCCCAGGTCCCATGGCCTGCATACCTGGTCGAGTGTATCCCTGGCTCCCACTCATTATGCCCATGCTGCCATTTCCACCAGGACCCTGGAAAAAAAATCCCTATATAGTTGGCTAGATACATACATACAATCCAATTTGTTCTTATAAAGGGTTAAAGAATTGAAGTACAATATACTGTGTGTATATATATATATATATATATATATATATATATATATATATATATATATATATATATATATATATATATATATATATATATATATATGGATAATAGGGGATAACAAAGGGGAATATAAATAAGGTTTTAAATGTATCAATATAAATAGAACATGAAACAATATAAAATGAATAATTTTAGATTCAGGTAAGATCTGAGTAAATATTATTTTAGAAATGGCAGATGATTTATGGACCAAACTAGTGTACTGGGTAATATAACAGATGCAGGATTGCTGGACTGTTTCAAGTGTGTGAATATGTTTGGGTGTACAGCATATAGGAGATGCCTTGTACAAGTCAACATGCCGCCTGCATAGTCCTTTCTTCTTATGTTATCTTCCAATTCATGAAATTAGCAACATGAATATGAATTAAGATATGATAAATCTGGAAGTTTTGTTTTATTTACACTTTATCTTGGCACTAATTCACGACTAAAAAATCACATTTTCTGAATATCAAGAAAATTTTACACAGTATTTTATACAATACAATCGAGCCTAGCCCCAAGCCAGGGTTGGGGAGTAGAAGAATGCCCAAAACCCTCTCCAGGTAACAGTGTTAGAATTCTGTACCTAAATCCATAAATCATAAGTTCTGTTACATTCCACTCAATGCTCCCTATTACAAGACCAATGAATAGTGACAAAGCAGGATCACATTCTACATTGGTTCATCATGGATAGTTCTAAACATCACTGGTGCTAGGGAGGAGTTCCAGGGAGCAATCTAATTCAATTGCTTCAGTGTCTGTTCTATTTCTTCAAACTCAATTTAAATTATTATTTCTTTATAGGGATAATTGTGTCTGCTTAAGCACTTCCGTTATTCTTTTCCTTTTTTTATAGTATCGTCTGAGTTCTCTTGTCAAGCTGGTGCTTTCTTCCTATCCATAAGTGGAAATTGAGTGCCCAAATGAGCCATAGACAGGGCGCCTGACAGCTGGGTGGACAGCGCTACGGATTCGTAGTCCTGAGGTTCTGGGTTCGATCCCCGGTGGAGGCGGAGACAAATGGGCAAAATGTTTCTTTCACCCTGATGCCCCTGTTACCTAGCAGTAAATAGGTACCTGGGAGTTAGACAGCTGCTATGGGCTGCTTCCTGGGGGGGGGGGGCGAGGGGGTTGTAACAAAAAAGAAGGCCTGGTCAAGGACTGGGCCGCAGGGACGCTAAGCCCCGAAATCATCTCAAGATAACCTCAAGATATGAGACCTTAGAAAGAATTTTTTCAGTGTCAGAGTAGTAGACAAATGGAATGCATTAGGAAATGATGTGGTGGAGGCCGACTCCATATACAGCTTCAAGTGTAGATATGATAGAGCCCAGTAGGCTCAGGAACCTGTACACCAGTTGATTGACAGTCGAGAGGCAGGACCAAAGAGCCAGAGCTCAACCCCTGCAAGCACAAATAGGTGAGTACACACACACACACAAAATATGTGACCAGGCAAAATTACTAAAAGCATTACTAACCTGGATATATTGTGGTCGCTGTACTATCTGTGACTGAGTCATGCCTTGTCCAATATAACCACCAGGCTGCTGTTGGCGTAACCCCATCATGGCCGGGTTACCCTGGTACCCTGGTTGGTAGCCTTGACTCATCATACTATTAGTAGGACCTCCAGGACCTGTAGGAACACTATTTCCAGCTGGCCCTTGACTCATCATCTGTCCACTTGTCATGGGGCCTTGTTGATATGATCCATATTGGCCCATACCACCTTGACCAGGACCATTAGGGCCTCCTGGAGGACCTCCAGGACCCCCAGTACCCATGGCTGAATACATCTGACCACCTTGGCCAGGCATACCTTGAGGCATGGGTCCAGCTTGCATAGCTCCACCACTACCATACATGGCTCCTTGTTGAGGAGCAGGGATACCCCCTCGAAGTCCAGACCTGAAGTGGGAAAATTTACATGAAAGCTGGAAACATGCAAATGATGCACATGAAGAGTACCAGAAATAATATTCAACAAATTAGTGATTACTAATATAACTGGAGATAAAGTTACAGAAGAATTAGTAATTACAACTGAGATATGTATATTAAACAAATTTATACAGCAAGATATTTTGTAACAGGTCAAAAGCCCCAGGAAGCACTGCCCAAAGGCCCAAGAATGCATAGTCCGAGGCCCAGGGATCTGCCTGGAAATCCAGAACACAAAGTCCTGGGTCCAGGACATGTAATTAATGGGACCATGACACACTGATGAGGGTCCACACAAGCCTAATACAAAGGTGTACAGCCCAGCAACAAAGCAAACAGTCCAGGAACTGAAGTATATAGCCAAGGGGCCAGGGCACAGCAAACTGTCTCAAAAACCAAAACACACAAATTGGAGTTCAATGATCTAGGCATAGAACCCAGAGCCATAACAGTAAATGTATGTCAGCACACAAAAAAAGACTAGCCTGAAGGTAAAAATGAAGGAAGAAAGTGAATACTAGCAAAATATGACTTAAGATAAGCTGTGGGGAAGGAGAGCTCTAAGTCTGCTAACAACTATAAGTTATTGTCTTCTGTACCCCCACTCTTATACAAACAATTGTTTACAGACAAAGAACATACCAAAAATAGACCGACACTGTACATCGTACACCTCTAGTATCTCCAATGAATATGTGAATGAGTTGTTTTCAAACTTGCTAATGAGGAGGGTGGCTTGCCTCCCTGGCTGACTATAAATGCAAACCCAGACAAAAAGACACACAGGAGAAAGCTCTACTGTCAAATGCTGTTAGGTGACAAAAACAATAGTAGCCTTTCAAGGGAAAAACAACTGGTGGGCTACCAGGAAGAAGGTACCGAACCCCACAAACAGGAAGCATTTTTGTTTTAAGTTCTTTCTTTCAAGCAGTGGTTTGTTTTGTTTTAAATAACTTTCTGATCATGCTTCCTCAGTTTTAGGTCGATTTTGACTCTCAGTTGGTCAATATGGGTTTCAGAGGCCTTGGATGATCCTAATGCCTTAGGGTTTTGTGGCAATGCAGTTGTGTCCCAGTCAAAAGGTCCCAAATTCAATTACTGTGGCTGGACAGAAATATTTGAGCAATGTTTCCTTTCATCTTATACCATTATTCACCTAGTAGCAAATAGGTACTTGGGAATTAGGCAACTGCTGTGGATTATATACTGGGAAAAGTAAGTAGTTGACCTAGGGGTACCTTGATAAACCTAACAATCTTCTGACCCTAACTATGGGAAGCAATAAGCATGGAGGAACTATTGAGAGCCTACCAAACAAAGAACATTTCATTACATTCAACACATAATTTGTGTGTGTGTAGGCAGCCCCCCCCCCCTACCACGAGCTAGTTACATGTGGAGAATGTGATATGAGATTCTCGTAGGCGCAGTGCTATAAGTGAGGTATGCATTCTTGGACCATCAAGAATCCTCACAAAACCAATATTTTTGAGATATATACTGTAACATAAAAAAAGCACATTATTTATCTTGAATGACAAAAGTTATTCTGCTTATCAAGATTGGCTGTTTTTGAAAAGTGAAGAGGTGTAATTACACGAATAAATAAATGAAAATTCACGCATGTCCAGTACTGTATTGGAAGTCAGCCATTTATACTTTATCTCATGAGTAAACACCTTTCGTCCTCCTTCCATCAGTAACCAACAGACTTTGCCACATCAACAGGGTAAACACAATCTGCTTTTGTTCAAATCATGCAAATTTGTGCATCACATTTTTTTTTGTGCATAACTGAAGACTTGTGAGAGCCTCCACGCTTAACATTGTCATCTCCCCCAAAACATCACTCCCATAAAGACTCCCGACACACCCACCATCACAACCTATCCCAACAAACACCCCCACCTGAAACACACTTCCAAATCCCACCTATGACACCCTCCCCTTGTTGTAACCCAAAATATTATATATTTAGCTAGAGAATTTCCTAGAAAATATTTTGAAGTGGAATATTTCATGATGCACAATTACATAATTACAACACCCTGACACTTAATCTCCACTCGAAGTGGTTGAAGGTGGGTGGAGCCTCTTACATGTAGAATAATGAGATTGTATGACTGTCTGACAGACTCCTTGCCTTACTGAGATTATCTGACTGAGAATGCCTGCCTGCCTGCTTGCCTATGACTGCTATAACAGAAATGGCAGTGAATAAATTAAGGAATAAACATCAGAATTGTGTAGAAACATGCCAATAGCTGTAGATGGAAAGTGGGAATAAAAACACAACTTGCCTGCTGCCAATGCAGACTGTGCCAACATTTACATGTAACATTACCTTGCTCTATTAGAATTTTTGAGAGTAATGAGGATTAGCTCTTTATGAGGGTAATCATGGTACTGCTCACCAGGGCAGTTTTTGTGGGGCAGTGTGGGGTCACAGTATGACACTAGTGGGTCATGTGGACATTTTTATTGATTTATATATTCTAGTGGATTATATTTTGCATAGACAAAATTGGGGACAATGCAGGCTGTTTGGATGGATGAGTAATTGTTAGTAGGCATTCTTATAATGGGGACTCCTATTTGTTATTGAAATGTGTGTAAATGTTTTACCACTTGTGCAAATAATAATGTACTAAAACTGTCCTTAAAATGTGAGTCTGGTTCTATTTAACCCAGTGATAAGGACATTGATCCAGATAGTCCAGGTCTAACAACAGAGATGATTACCTTATCATAGGCCCCTGACGGCTTATAGTTGCCATGGGTCCAGTAGCCATGTTTGTGAAGCCTGGATTGGTAGATTGTCCAGGCATGATTCCCGGTGGGCCTCCAGGGTGGCGCTGTCCAAGCATTTGTCGAATTGCTACTCGACTGTGTGAAATGTTTGGCTGGAATCGAGCCCCACCAGCTGCAAAGATAAAATGCAAGTGTGTAACAAAAAATACTTTTAATATTTGACAAACTTCTCAGATGAAAGAAACTGCACAGTTATGAAAGCTTCGCACACAACTTCGTATTAGGGAAGTATTCAGCACTGCAACCAACCATTTTCTTTTGAATTAGTAAACAATTCCAAGATGTTTGTCTTTAAGAATATTAATTTTATTACAGAAAAACCCTTCAAATAATCACATTTGCATTATATTAATATGCATTACAAAATCAACACTTTTTTATGGTGAGGAGTCCTCACACTTGTAAGTAGACAATAACAAAAATACTGCTCTAACATTCCATATTTTTCGTTATAACTAATGTTCTAAATACAGTACTGTAAATAAATATAAGGACAAAGATATGAACCCAACCTTTAAGTAATCTATGTCTTCAGTGACAATTTAAGAATAATTACTAATAAGAACAATAATGAAATCAACACCTTAAAACAGTGCACAAGACTGTACTGTACTAAGGTTCCTATGAGGACTTTAATAAAACTTTGCTGTATTAGGCTACTGCATATATGTTGACCAGACCACACACTAGAAAGTGAAGGGACGACAACGTTTCGGTCCGTTCTGGACCATTCTCAAGTCGATTGCGTCTCAAGTCACACCATCGACTTGAGAATGGTCCAGGACGGACCGAAACGTCGTCATCCCTTCACCTTCTAGTGTGTGGTCTGGTCAACATACTTCAGCCACGTTATTGTGACTCATCGCCTGCATACTTAATATATGCCATTACTATCCATGTATCCTAAAACAAATACTGTCACCTTGCTTTTAGTTCAAGAAAATGTGAATGCTGAGAATGAATGTACTGAATGTTAAGGAGAATTATAAGTATGGCTGTAATTACCTAAGTGTATCAATACTGGATTTGCAAATCTAATAATTCCTGCCTTTCTTTTATATTACATCATGGCAGAAAATTCTGTTCATACATTGGCCTTCTGAATTATTATTGTGGAAAGTTGACAAGTTACCTGAATGGTGAGCGCTCCGTGCAAAAATAATTCCTGCTGCTATTTATGGCAAGGATAAATACCATTTTCAAACTTACTTGTATCATATACACTGTATAATTACCAAATGCTGTGGCTTGAATCTCTCTTGTGACACAATTTTAGCAGGAATAACTGATCTAAGTTGGATGTAAGCAGTTTAAGCAGAGTAATACGAGTCTGACTAATGCGAGTAAATAGGTTCACACGCATGCTGCTCAGCACCCGCTTACTCTTACACCAGCATCAACACTTTCCCAACCCAATGCAGCAAAAGCAGCAAATAAGCAGTTCTGTAAGCCATGTTTTGGGGCAAATATGCAATTACTGTGAGTATAATACCTTCAGCAGTCTCATGGCTACTGGTTTTAATATCCCTTATATTAAACTCTGTTCCTGTCTTCAGTGGAGATTGGTCATCACTCTTTTTCGTGTATGCATTACTAGCATTTTTTTTAAACCTTGTTGTAAGTGGCCAAGGTTCTGTGGAAATAAAAAGAAAGAATAATTCATGAAAATTAAAAATTTAACTCACACAGCAATGCCAAGCCAACAGTATATGAGTTAGCCACACATCAAACGTCTGAAAATTGCTGAATTTATAAACAAATTGCTCATTCTATAGGAAGCTGAAAGGCACACAATGAGTATTACAGCTTTTGTAAGTGAAGTTTCTTTTCAGATGACATCAATTAACTACAAATTTACAATAATTCTAGTTCACTACAGGTGTACTGAATGCAGTTATAAAGAGCAAGAATTTCTCAAAATTAAATAAAAAAAAAATTCATTATAAAGAAAACTTCTCTTGCCACAATTTAGCATCCCTAGTAACATTTTGGATTTGTTTTTATCTTGCCACAAATTCTACTAATATTATACAGCATAACTCATGTTCAATTGCAATAAAGCATTGGCTATGTATAGCATATAACATGGTCAATGTATTTCTCTGTTTATTTAAATGATACACATCCCCTTAGTTAAGTTTTCATATGGAATAGCCTCACAACCTCTGTATACTTCACAGTAACTTTATTTCCGCACAACAACTGCTCATAACTTCTCATGTGCTTTATTGGTTTTTGTTAAAAAAAAAAAAGTAACTCCTTTGCTAATGCACTTTCATTCTTGTCTCATTCCTGTCTATAATTCTTTCAAGTCAACTTTACCGTATAAGGTTCTCTGTTTTGAGACACGTCTTCGTAGAGCAGATGGTAATTGGTAGAAAGTAACCCTTATACAGTATTGCAGAAATTGACCTCTACAGTACCATGTTTTCACTTTAAATGAAACAAAAAATATGCTGCGAGTACAGTATATAGTATTGTGTATGAAAAGTTATGTTCTAAGCATAACATAATGTTATTCTTCAGCTTTACCTTAGTCTTGTTAGGCCCATTTATGCTATGAAGTTCACTTTTGGTAGCTCTACTATAGAAATACATTAATTTGCTAGACCACGTATAGAGAAGAACGGCAAGTTAATTCCAGGAATTAGAAACCTCCCGTACAAAGAGATATTAAGAAAGCTAAATTTGAATTCTCTAGAAAGGTGAAGAGTAAGCGGTGACATGATTGAAGTACTGCATACAAATGGATGAAATGGTATAATAAGTGAAATACGAATAAAGTCTTAAACATATCAACACAAATTGAAAAACAAAAAATTGGAAACAAACTACGTAAGTTTTGATTCAGAAAAGACTTTGGCAAATACTGGTTAGGTAACAAGGTTGTAAATTTATGGAACAAATTATCAGGCAATATAAAACAGGCATGGGATTGCTGGATTGTTTTCAGCATAGGTAAAATGTGAATGAGTTTGGTTAGGTATACAGTACAGTAATAGAAACTGCCTCACAAGAAGCAACAGGCCTTCTACAGTTTTGTTTATTAAGTAATAATATGCAATAATGTAACCCAATTATGTAATAAGTAGCCACTCAAATTCATCTCAGAATGTTCGGTAATACGTTTATTGCTTGTGATGTGTGTCTTATGTATGTATTAACACGATGTACTGAACGGGGTGAGAATAGCTTGAGCTACCTCATCCCTTTGTGTGTATTTTACCTCAATATACTTATTTCAATTTCAATTTCAATTCAAAAACTCAAATTCAGTTCCTGAACTGCTGCAAAACTGTACTCAAAACTAATTAAGATGGTAGTAACAGGATCAGATTGGGTTAGCAACCCCCAACCTGATTGGGGATTGCTACCCCATATCTACGCCAATCTGATCCCGTTACTATAATCTTAATTAACTTGGAGTACAGTTTTGCAGCAGTTTTCATAATGGTGGTGGTGCACCTGGTGGTGGTGGTGGTACACCTGGTGGTGGTGGTGGTGCACCTGGTGGTGGTGGTGGTGGTGCACCTGGTGGTGGTGGTGGTACACCTGGTGGTGGTGGTGGTGCACCTGGTGGTGGTGGTGGTGCACCTGGTGGTGGTGGTGGTGGTGCACCTGGTGGTGGTGGTGGTGGTGCACCTGGTGGTGGTGGTGGTGGTCAGAATTATATAACAGCCTGGGAAAGAAAGTTATGGCTATTTGATTCCTGTCACAGAACTACTCTGCTGTCATGTTTGATTTTGAATAGCACTTGCAGATGCTTTTCAATGCTCATGATTGTGACCCTGTTGGAGAAGTATTTAGTCAAGCATGACTTTCCTCCTCTAGTTTTAGAAAACAAAAGAGGAAACTAGCACTAAAGGCAAAAATTAAATCCAAGGATCTAGGTTATTTCAACTCTCAAAGGCAAGACCAATTGGAAGTGACATTGTTCCATATAATTTTGTAGGATTAAAAGAAAAAGACCAGCTGTCAGTGACAGCACTTAAAGTAAACTTAAAAGGAAAGGGAAAAAGACCAACTGCTGGTGATATGACCACCCATAAATCCGAAAAAAAAAGTAGCAAGACAAGCTGGCAGTGATATTAACCCATGAAAATTTAAAAGGCAGAGAAAAAGATTTACTTACCAGTTAACTACCTGTTGATGATTCTGAGGATTAACATCACCACGACCCAGTCTCTAACCAGGCCTCTTGGTTGCTGGTCTGATCAATCAGGCTGTTCGATGCAGCTGCTCGCATCTTGATGTATGAGTCACAGCTCGGTTAATCAGGTATCCTTTGAAGGTGCTTGTCAAGTTCTCTTTTGAAAACACCACGAGGTCAGCCAGTTATGCCCCTTATTTTTATGATGTGCAATGTTACAGCTATTGGTCTATAATTTTTGGCATCAGCTTTACTAGAACAAATACACAAGGGCCGTGACGTGGATTCGAACCTGCGTCCAAGAGCATCCCAGACTCTGCCTTAATTGACTGAGCTATGACATGGTCAAAAGGAGTTGAAACCGAAGTTCTACTGAACTTACTGGATCCTGCAGCCTCTCCGAGGCACAAACCAGGGTTTTACACAACTCCCCCCCATGCACTCGAGCTATGTCAATAGGCCGTTCTCCCTCTTCGCCCTTACTTTATTACACACTGAAATCACAATTGCGTGATACATCAAATGAACATTTGATGTGTTCATTTCATGCATCACACAATTGTGATTTCTGTGTGTCAGCTTTACTACTTCCTTTGTGAAGCGGCAATCTCTGCTGCTTGTTTTATTTTTTTAAGTATGTCAGGGATAATACCAGTATCTAAGCTACATCTCCAAAAGATGTTTAGGGCCTGTGATAAGATTTTTTGTGGCAATTCTTGATGAATATAAAATTCCACGAGTTTGAGTCTGGTGCAGAGTGTATGGGCATACTATCTATGGCTACTTCAAAGTCGAGTGGGGATTGGGTAATATATGATATATTTTTCAATGGTGGAGTCCTATTCATAAAGAATTAGCTTGGATCATTTATCAGCAATGTGTTCAGGACATTACTGAAAACATAATCATACTGTAACCTCAGTATTTCACTCATTTCCTTGCTGTCATCTGTGAAGATTCCATCACCCTTGCAAAAGGCCCAATGCAGGATATAGTTTTGTTCTAGATTTTGCATAAGAGAAAAACTACTGAATTTTGGATTCATCTCTATTTCACTTACGGCCTTTTGCTCGCTTTGCTTCTCATGGATTTTATATGATCTTGCAACATTAGTTCAAGCGTTTCTATTTCTCTACTTATCGTCATTCTAGGGATAGAGTTGAGAGTTTATAAAGTTCTGCAACTGGTTTTCATCGCCTATAGAGGGAACTTCAAATTTTGAAGTTCAAAGGAACGTCAAAATTTGAAGTGTGAGATTGAAAAGACCCTCAAGAGGCAGATTAAGAATAAAAGCCAGTTCTAATTCACGTGCAAGAGTTGTCCAGTCAATGAATTGCGCTTGCTATGCAGGTGAATCTAGCCAACACCGCATCTTCCACAATATCCAAATAAAATGTCATCTGCTATTAACAAGTTTCATGTTTTCTAAAGCTATTCTAACCTTCAAGTCATGAATAATCAAATCATGCCTTTAAATAAATAAGCAATACTCAAATTAGCTTACTGCTGGTCACATGCTTGGGTTTTTTAGCTTCCTTCTTGACCATTGGAACTGTATATTTTGTAAAGCTCAGTGGAAGTTTCCAATTGAATGGTCTAAGATGGATCCATAGCTTAAACCAAATAAAAGAAAGTACGTGTACAGTAAAACAATAATGTACAATACTGAAGATCACATTCTCCAGTAACATGCTTTTCTGATAGAAACAGTGGGGAACTGCAGAATAATTTTACCATCTTCAGTTTACTAAAACTTATGCTATGCAAGCTCCACCTGAACTATATACTGTATATGCAATGGGATTTACCTTGCAAGCAAATGATAGTAAGCTGAATGTTCATTACAAAGAAACACTGTAGTATTGTGTAAAAGAAGGGTCAGTGATTCTGTCATCTGTCCAAATCTTTTGGGCACTAACTGCTTATTGATACACCATGCATTGGGTCAATATCTGTACACCCAAATATTATGCTGCACTAGTTTCACCTTTACAGCTTACTCCATGAAGTTGGGGTGTCCATTTATCATGCATGTTAGTTCCTTTATGGAAAGTCTAGTGTCCAACGGTCTCTTTGTCTCATACAAACTTGAAAAATGACAATTTTGATTATATGATAATAGATTTTTTAAATACTCACCTGGTACATAGAGCATGGTCAAAATATCTGAAAACACTTTTTACCACTAGATAAAATTCAATGAATTCGGACATTAAGCAAATTATTAACTAATGCTTGGACGCACCTGGTGGTAATGGCTGCTGAGTGTAGAAGGGTTGTTGTTGCTGCGGTGGCTGCTGCTGGCCAAACCCAGTAGCCCATTGTGCCGGTGCTGGGCCGCTGAAGCCTGGGTTTTGATACGTCATGGCTGGCATTGTGGGCTGCACAAATATACTGTCTCAGTATTGCATCTTACACCAGTTCAACCCAACTATTAAATACAATTCCTAACATACCTAACGTATACTCATATATAATATATATATACAGTACATACTGCAATCATAAAACTCATATAGGTATAAAAGAAACTAAAATTATTTAAAACATAAGTAACATATTTACACTGATGTGAAACCGGTACGGACTACAGATAACTCTGGTTAATTTAGTATGCTGCAGAGATATTAAGTGGGCTACCCATTATTTACTTGGCATTGTCGCACATAGTTCAGCCTTAGCAAACGATTATAACCAGATAAAACATGATGCCACTTGGAAGATATACAAAGAATGTTTGATTCAGAATGCTATGCAAGTGTACCAGAAAAATTAATCTTATTACATTCAATACATTGATTGTTGGGTAAAGTCTGTTACTGTCTTGGCTTATTCCAAAGTATATGGGGGTTGTTTGATTTTTCTATCTAGTATTGGTAATTTCTGTAGTGCTGGATATGACTTCAACCTGCCTAGTTAAGATGGAGAAGAGCAAACAATAATAATATTCTAGGATATCTATCTGGTCATAAACAACCACAGATTAAAGAACTACTTAGATTCTGTGACAAATTTTTGCTCAATCAGCAGATATCAGAGCCAACTAAGAATGAAAATATTCTAAATCTGGTCTTCACAAATAATGAAGACATGATCAGGAAAATTATGATCTCTAATACCACATACAAGCTTATTGAAATGCTTGAGACCAAGACCAATTTTTCTGATCTTCCACTTTCCTGCTGTTTATCGGAGTGCTAAACATGTCCTCATACTGCTTTTTTAGGATTTCACAAATTTCTTTGTCATCCTCAGTGTACAAACCTTCACTCATATGAATAGGTCCAAGACTGGCAGTGGTTTTTGCTTTTGATGTAGCATATATGAAGAAATATTTTGGGTGTTTCTTTATTTCTTGAATTGCTTTCTGTTCTAATTACCTTTCTTCAATCTGATATGGATGCTTCAGTCTCTGTTCGATTTGTTCAATGTCCTTGATTAAATTATTCCTTCTTTGTAGGGAAAGTCGTGTCTGCTTAAGCATGCGGTTATTTTTCCTTCTTTTGTAGTGTCGTCTGCGTTCTCTTTCTACGTTGGACCTCTTTCTGACTTTCCTCAAAGGATCATGTTTCAGACTTGATATGCTTCAGAAGTCACTTTTTGTATTCCTTGTGTAGGACTTGCATTACTTAGAACTGTGTCCCATTGAATGTTTGTAAGGTTCCTGTTTATTGTCTCCCAGTATATCCTTTTATTATTAAAATTAAATTTACTGAATAACCTCTCTCGCCTGATCATTGTTTCAGGTGTATTCTGAGTATATTGATGGTAGTTTGCACTTCAATGTGCTTGTGATCTGAGTATGTTGTATCTGATATTGTAATGTCCCCGATTATGTCTTCATTGTTTGTGAAGACCAGATCTAGAATATTTTCGTTCCTAGTTGGCTCCAATATCTGCTGGTTGAGTGAAAATTTGTCACAGAATCTAAGTAGTTCTCTAATCTGTTGTTGGTTATGTTCAGATAGATTTCCTGGTGTATTATTATTGTTTGCTATTCTCCATCTTAGACTAGGCAGCTTGAAGTCACCTAGGAAAAATAATATCAAGTATTAGGTTTGCCAAATTATCAATGTTATTCTCTATTTTGTTTATCTGTTCTGTGAATTCATCAGCCATTACATCTGTTGGTTTGTATATTAGAATAATAACTAAGTATATTTTCTCTATTTTACTCCCAGTACTTCTACCACTTCATTTATAGAGTTAAGGAGCTCCGAGCAAACAGGGTCTTCCCTAATGCTGTATACAGACTCACTCCTCCATGTAACTTATTTACCCTATCACACCTGTATAAATTATATCCTGGTATCCAGATCTCACTGTCCAAGAATTCCCCTACATGGGTTTCTGTGAAAGCTCCGAATACTGCATTTGACTCGGTGAGAAGGCCATTAATGAAAGGTATTTTGTTTTTTACTCTTGTTTTTAGTCCTTGCATATTGGCAAAGATGAATGAGGTTACTCTATTTGATACAAATGAATATCTTTACCAACTTGAAGCATATAACTGAATAAAAAATGCAAACAAATAGGAGGCTTAGCAAATGATGATACAAAATAGTACAAAGGTACAATACTCACACTTGCCATATTGACACTAGCCACCTGTCTGGGAGCCCGCCGCCTGTTGCGCTGAGTCTTGCCTCCGCGCTTTGACGCTCCACGGGGTGACTGATCAGACGTAGGAGTGTCTGGAGCCTTCACTTCTTCTTTAACTTGCTGTAGTTAATAAATAAACCAAATGCTTTATTTTGTTAGCATACTAATTAAATAACATTAATGAGAACTAAATACAGTATTACCAAATCATAAATACAGTTCTGTACAGTAATGCAATGTGTTAGAATATGGGGGAAAACAGACATGGTTTCAGAAATAGACACAAATTAGGCTACATAACTAAACCACTACTTCTGGAGAAGCCCCACGGTGGTTACCCATAACTATCTCCCAGAGATTGCTCAAATCTACCAGTTACATCATTTACAAAACTTCATTTGGCTTACCAGGAACCAGAGCCAAAACCTGGCCTCTTCACACAAGGTGCAGGGTGCAAATGACATTGTCATTTCATTAGGAATAAATCTAGTAAGTCAGCAAAGCTATAAAGACAACTGCTGGGTTCACAAGGCTCAAAAGCCACTAAACTGCCACGTAATTCCCCAAACAATACAAAATAAACAAAAGAAAACACACAAAAGTAGCTAGAACTTATTAGTACCGAATGCTGCCACCAGGTAGCCTGGAGCTCAGTTCGGAGTTGGCTATCAGATCAGTTCAGGAGCAGATTAACATCACAACAAATCAATGAACATGGAAGGGAGGGAGGGAGACAGAGAGCTACTGGGACTCTACCAGGAAGAGCCATTTCATTACATTTAATGCTGTGTTTCTGGAGAAGCCTTATGGTAGCTCCCTCTAGCTAAATAATCAGAGAAAAATTACAAGGACTTATCAGAGAGGAGAAGAGGCAGCAGGAAGTAAGTCGAAGAAGAGACCAGGAAACATGACCCAGGTCAACACAGGAACCACGAAAAGGAACAGGGATAGTGACTAAATACCTGGCTGCCATGTTAAGTATGCCAAAAACCCCATGCCTGAATATTCACCCAAGACATTAGAGAAGAGTTTCGTGAATGCAGCATATTTGGAAACATCATGGGGCCCAGACTGCCGGCTGGCTGGCCTTGACACTCTGGACAGCCTATGAAACATGAGCCTTGGAACGAGACCAAGGAGCTGGCACTAGTCACAAGAATCTTTGATAACTTGTTCATATAATTTGGAGAGTTCTTTCTGTGGTTCTCGAGGCTGCAGTCTCGTTTGAAAGCAGCAGTGATTTTTGTTTTGTTTTCTACTTTCTGGATGCCTTTCTCAGTGGGTGGCAGACATGACCAAATTAATAAACAATTTTATACTCAAAGAAATCACATTAACATGATGTATCAACAAGAAAATCAGTAGGAGCCATAAGGATGACTCAAACCTATGCTCTGGGTACTCCCAAACAATGCCTTAGACCCCTACACCACGACAGTCAAAATCCCAGGTCCCAATGCTTTTGACCATGCCATGGTGTAGTGGTCTAAGGCGTTACTCGGGAGTACCCAGAACGTAAGTTCAAATCCTTCTCACAGCTTCTACTAATTTTCTCAACTTTATCACAAGTGCCACCATTTCCTGCACCTCTGAGGGGGTTAGGTTCTGGCTCTGGTCCCTGGTAGGCCTTTCAGACTAGTATCAGACGGTCCCCTGATACTACTGGGTCCCATGTCTGATGGGACCTAGTAGTATTGCACACTACCAGAGATAGTAGCTTCAGGGAACCACAAGGGGCTTCCCCAGAAATACATAAATTAATGTGTTAGCTATTTATGTACACATAATTGACAAAAGCAGTGAATGAGTACTGTATATAAGCCTAAGATGCTCAAAGAAAGTGTCTTACAACCCACTCCTTTTGCTGCTGTTCTGTATGGGATCATCATCCAGAAATAGATTGAAACACTGACAGGAAAGCCCAAATGTTGTGAGTTGAAATAATCACAGGCCTCTAGCACATGATGACCTCATTGCATAGTAGAAAATTAAAAAAAAAAAATAGCAGAATTTTGTTTACAATTCTTGGTTAGCTCCATTACATCTACAGTATATAACCACAATTACAGAAAAGAATTTTTTGTCCCATTTGGAATGCAAAAATTTGCTTATATGGCCAAGGACTGGCAACCTTACCTTAATGTTAGCCCTTGATCCTACCGAACAAAATTGTTACTACTATGTCTAAATTAAATTTTTGGCTAATTTTAATTACTGATCATACTGAACAGAATAGATGCTTATATCATCTCATTATTATTCACACTTCAGCACATATGGCCTTTGATTATGCTAAACAGACTACTGCTGTCAATGCATTACTTGTCTTATTTCTAGCCAAGTGTGACTGATCATACTGAACACAATGTACATGCATACGTAATAATATTACACCATCATCCAAGACTAACCTGCTTGTCTGGTACTGGTTCAAGATCTTCCACAGGGAGCGGTGGTGGCTCAAGGTAAAAGGCTACAGGCTTCAGAACTGTATGTGTATGGAACCTATAATATAATATGAAAAATATATCAAAATACAAGAGATAGATGAACAAATTCTCACATGCCAATTTCAACTTGTCATCCAAAAATTATAGTACCTATTATTATTATTATTATTATGGATGGAAGTACAAAACTGCCATATGTTAGCCCTAGGATTGCTAACAATACTAGGGCTAACAACACCTAGGACAGGTTATATTAATAGGTTCAAGTTCAAGTACGTTTATTGAGACAAAAAGATACATCTCTCAAAAGAACAGAGTAGCTTAGACTATTTCTACCCTCCTCTACTTCAAGTACAATAAGATACATCTCAAAAGGAAATAGTAGCTTAGGCTATTTCTACCCTCTACTTCAAATCCCTCAAGGGGCTCACAAATCCAGTGAGTACAAATCCACAAATCACAGTACAAGAATCATAATTTATATTGTACATTAAAATAGTCATCACTGCATTTAAGTGTTACACTCTCTGGGCAAAGTGCTTGTACCTCCTAAGGTTAGTCCCTGCAGGACTAACTTTTATGGTCCCTGCAGGACAAAGTTCAAGAATGGCCAGCACCTAACTTGGAAGCACAGGGACCTGCCACTTCTGATGGTGACCTAGACGCATTACAAGTACTGGTAGTGTGACAAAGCTGACATGAGAGGGTTCGTATCGAGGAGGGGGGGGCTGGGAATCTTGCCCGCCTGGTGGTGGCTATCATTACTACTGTAACGGGTTTGAGGATATTTTGAATGTTTTGATCAGCATTTTGACTTGTTCGGCACCTTTGAGACTATATTTTCTGTGAACCTTGCGGTTGTCTGTAATGCTTTAATGACTTTCTGGATGCTTTCCTGGTGGAGTGACAGAATGTCACGCACACACTATGCCTCTGTGCAGAGGCCAGGTTTTGGCTCAAGTCCCAGGTTGGCCAAACAGAACTCCTGCGACTGATGTGACCTAGTAACTAGGTGAGATATCTTTAGAGAGCCACAGGGGGAAGACTCTTCCAGAAAACATTGTTGAACATAGTGAAACATTTTTCTTAGGGGTGGGAAAGGGACCTCAGTGTGTGTGTGACCTAACTTGTGGATGGATTGTTTGACGAGTCATTTGCTGCTTTATTTGTGAACCCTGCAACTGTCCATTTTGTATCACTTCATTTCTTCCCCTGCTCCCTGCACCTCTGTGAGAGGGGAGCCAGGTTTTGGCCTCTGATCACCGATAGGCTTACAATGACTCCAAGGGCTAATATGACTTGTATGCGTTGAGCTATCTCACCGTGGCTAGCTACAGGATGCCACTGATCGGCCTCTCTAGAAAAATCTGAAACCCACCTTAACAGTCTATGAGCTTCTTCATATTTGAGAGGCTTGCGCTCGAGTCGGGTGGCACCAAACCATGCCCACGATAACGGAGCAGGATTGCGATGACCATCTAAAATATCCCATGGACTAAGCTTCTGCTTCTCTGCTGCTTGCAAACCCTTCAATAAAATGATAAACACCAGAAAATAAATAGTTAAATTACTAAATCTATCTGATAAACAGCAACTAATACAAATTATATTTTAATCATTTTTATTTTTCATTTATACTATTTACTCTATTACACACATTTAATGTAGAGTAATGTGAAGAGGAATTTTCAGCAGACATATCAGTTACCAACCATCTGCACAAATTGTTCCGTGCTTCAACGGCAAGTACCTGTACACCAATTGCAATAATAGTTGTACAATCAATTTAAACATCCCATAATAGAGGCAGATATCAATATACAGTACTGTATATAAATAAATAAAATAAAATACATAAATATATATATGTGTGTGTGTGTGTGTATATTATATATACAGGATATACATACATCACAAACACACATGGAAGATCTTGTGTAACTAATTTACTTAGTTGCTATGATACAGCCACAGAGATATTACAGGCAAGAGATGGATGGGTTGACTGCATTTATCTGGACCTAAAAAAGGCTTTCGACAGAGTTCCACATAACAATTGTTCTGGAAACTGGAACATACTGGAGGAGTGACAGTGGCTTCTAATATGGATGAACAGTTTTCTGGCAGAAAAATGAGAGCAGTAATCAGAGACAATGGATTGGACTGGAGAAATGTCATGAGAGGAGTCCCACAAGGGTTCAGTTCTTGCAACAGTAATGTTCATTGTCTACATAAACGACCTACCAGATGGAATACTGAATTATATGAACATGTTTTCTGATGATGCTAAGATATTAGGGAACATAATTATGGGCTATTCATGCCCATGCCACCTCTTGGGTGGCTTAATCTTCATCAGTCAAATAGGGAACATAAGAAACTTAGACGACTGTCATGCCCTTCAAGAGGACCCAGACAAAATAAGTGTATGGATCACCAATTGGCAAATGGAATTTAATATGAATAAATGCAATGTTATGGAAGGTGGAATAGGAGAAAATGTACCACACACAACCTACAAATTATGTGAAAAAGCTTTAAAAAATTCTTAAGAAAGAAATCTACGGGTGGTTCTAGATAGAAAACTTTAACCTGAGAACCACAGAAAGAACATTGTGCAAGGAGCCTATGCAATGATATGCAATTTCAGAATTGCTTTTAAATAAATGGATGGGGAAATACTTGAGAGATTGTTCATGACCTTTGTGAGGCCCAAGCTGGCAGCAGTTGTATGGTGCCCATATCTTAAGAAGCATATCAACAAACTGGAAAAGGTGCAAAGACATGCAATTAAATGGCTCCTAGAACTGAAAGACAAGAACTATATAGAGAGGTTAGAGGCATTAATATGCTAAAACTAGAAGATAGAGGAAAAAGAGGCAATATGATTACTATGTACAAAATAGTAACAGGAATTGACAAAATTGACTAGGAAGAATTCCTGGGACCTGGACCTTCAAGAACAAGAGATCACAGATTTAAGCCAACTAAACAAAACTGTTGAAGAAATTTAAGAAAATTCCCTTTTGCAAACAGGGTGGTAGATGGTTCAAGCAAGTTAAGTGAGAAGGTGGCGGAGGCCAAAACAGTCAGTAGTTTCAAAGCATTATATGACAGAGTACTGGAAAGATGAGACACCACAAGCAAAGCTCTCATCCTGTAATTACACTAAGGTTATTACACACACCAGTATGAAGATAAATAGTGTTGAAGGAGGAGTAAGAAACAGCAAGACTAAAGTAAAATATAATTGTTGTTAATGATTCAACAATGGATATTTTGTGATCATGAACAAAACAATAATTTTATCTGCACAAGTCAAAGGATACTGAAAGAGAAAATAATTAAATTATATTTTCAATTAGCCATATAATTCAACTCGACATGAAACCAGGCCATATTTAGGACGAAATGCTTGCCACTTTTTTTACTACCGCCGCTACTCTTCACTCCCAGGCTACAGTACTGTACAGTACTTCAAAATCCAGACCCCAGATTACAGTACACTCAACTCATATTAAGCCTTTCGTAGCAGTTGAAGCTCTGTTACATTCGAAGTTTGTAACTCTTTGCTATTTTTATGCTAATCATTATGAACTAATCATTTGTCAGTGTACAATTTCTCCTTTAATCTACTATATCACTTGCATAAGGAGAGAATGCAAAGTATGAGTGCAAAACTGTAGTTTCACAACCTCAGCACACACCTACATGCAGTCATAACCACATGATTCTTATTTAATGAGCACATTACATTAATCCTTTAGTACTTACATGCTTTTTGTCCTTATCAAACTCTTGTAACCGATTGCCTTTCGTGTCTGTCACAGACCCCCAAGGCTCAAGGGTAATAACTTCAGCTTGCAACTTTGGCAGTGGAATCAGTTGACGGACCAGGCGTAGCGACACATTGTTACGCTCACCAACTTCCTAAGGAATAAATTTACAAATTTATTAATTTTTTACTTCAAATCCTGTATTATAATTGTTTAATCAAACTTAAAGTTTCATCTATACTTCTGCACTTAAAGTGTTCTTAACCAGAGCTTCTGTGATTTATTAGTTTTGGATCATGTCAAAACAAGGTACTGTAGACTCAATTCACACTTTTTGATCAAATGGTTCACATTTTTATTGTATCTCATTCCCAACTTCATTCATGAGCTTTCTGGTCATTCTTGTCATATGTATGAGTGAGGTCTATGCTCTTGCTGCATATTTGTCAGTTACTAATCAAGGAACAACACATTTATTATCATTATTTGTTAATTTTGTTCCAACATCTTGTATATAGAGTACATTCAAATTATTATTGTTCCTACCTAACCATTTGTACAATCTTATTAAATGAAGCAAATTTAATCTAAACAAAAAATTACGCCTTCAAATCAACGTGAGGAGCAGCTACATCACCAGAATCATTCACCTGCTCTCGATAGTATAAGCCCGTGTGCTTAGAAAAGTACACTACTGCCAGGCAAGTAAAAATACTGACACCAGTGCCACAGAAAACATATCAAATGGTTCTAGGCAATCATGGAGAATTGTTCAAAACTTCCAGTTAGCCTGCATTGCCGCCTGCATCAACCACCGCCAGGCAGCCGTAACACCATACACGATTCTAGATTATCTGACCCGAGTCACTCTCATACTTTCTGATGCGAGAAAGCGACTGTGTTCCTGGAAAGTAGAGCAAAACTTGAGGTATTGAGACCAGCAAAATGATTCGATTAAAAAGTTTTGAATATGAAAAGTGCCTTTCTCAGCAGAATTATCTAGCTGCTTCAAAAGGTTGGATATTTGTTTGTCTTTTGATTTACATTGTGCAACAGACAGGATGACATTCTGGCACTGAAGCCAAAGGAAGTTTTCAAACACACTTGCAGGGTAAATACAGGGAATGAGATTTAGATCTTTTCACCCTACCTCATAAGCTTTGTATCACATGCACTTTCTTGATGCTTGATGATCACATTTTGTATCATATCTGCTCTTGAGATTGTGGATGGAGGTAGTATCAATGATTACTACTTTCAAGCCACTTCACTTGTCGACCACTCATACATTGTGGGAGTACAATACTATATACTGAATGCTTACTGCATAGCTCTGCCAAAATCACAAGAGTTACCGTTTCTTAAGACAAAACCCAAATAATAGGACATACCAGTGCAATATATACTGTATACTGTAGTTACTTACCAACCTACAGCAGAAAAAAATATTCCAAATATATAAATCCATTAAAACACTGCATTAATAACAGAAAATAGATAAATGATTATATAAAACATTATTATAATTATTGCTAGAAATGCCTGCATTATCCTGCTAAAATATGTAACTTTTTTCCTCTGGCTGCTGATGTGTTGGTCCCAACTGAGTTGTCCTGACCCCATGGAATGACAAACACATGTTTTTCTTCCCTCTCATGTGATGCAACAAGGTGGTACTGTACTACATATCTAAAGGATTTTATTTATAAATAGTTTTTAATACAAAATCAGCTAATTTTAAGCCAACAAGATGTCTAAGAGCAGCAGCAATCAACATGGGAGGTGGCAGGAGTGAGAAACTTAACCATTAAATTAAGGATAAGCCGAGAGGCACTGAACATCTTTGAGAATGGCTGTGCCACTGAGCGTGGTGAGAATGTTCAACACTGGCACAAATACAATGTTGTATCTGATATATCAAAAAGAAGAGAGAAATACATGGAATATATGACTGCTAATGAGTGAAGGAGCAGACAGTAGTGTTTAAAATTTTAAGCTTAAACTGTAAGGTTCTTAAAAATATTACTATACATAGGAATGACATGGTTAAGAAAATAAATTAAACATGAAAAACTACAAGTTATACCTAGTAATGGGACAAAATCTCACCTCTAATATGCCAATATATTAATGGGTATAGTTAGTAAACATTAAAAAGATCCACTTCCATTATACTTACTTTTTTTATCTTTTTGACAAGATTATAATAATGGCGCCTGTTCTCCTCACGAGACTCAGAAGGTCCATCAGATATTAGAGTGGAGTGAATCAGAGTTGCCAGCATGTCCAACACTGTGTTGAAGAGCTCACTGTGACAAAATTTATGTTATAAGTAAGTTTACAGTACTCATACCAAGCACATAAATGTATATAAAATATATATTCATTATATGTACTATTATTCATTTTAATACCTGTTAAATTAAATGATTTGGATAGGCTTTCCAGCTTACTCTAATGTTTTATTAATTTGAACCAATAAAGGATATAATGATTGGAAAACAAAAGGTTTCTTTTTAATATTTTATAATCTACTTTTCACTTAACATATCTCACTTCACAACTGTCTCTCAAAGCACTTCCCAGGAGAGAGCCGACTGAAAAGGCGTCTTCCCAAAGGAGAAATTGTGCCCTTCCGAGATGATAACTCTCGGTGGGAAACACAAACCCAAGCTAAGGTGGCAGATAGCAGCACGAGATACTCAAGATAAAGACTATACTTGCTTATGAAATGTTAGAAAATGTTGGCCGATTTTTTCTCTGATTTCAAACTATATTTTCTTTGTCTCTTTAGGTTGTTTTGATGATTAGGGACCATATTAGGGCTTTTTCACTTATATAAAGTATACCTTAAATATATCCCCTAAATCATTATAATTAATATAATTATCCCTATATTTTGTGTTTTTTGGGGGTTATTTTTTCTTGACTTCATTTCAACACACATTGATCTACAACTTTCACATATTCGAGTATGAGTGCCAAACAATGTATATTAAAACATACAATTAAATTAATGCATTAAAACTACCTTTATTCATTATTGATAACTTCAACTTCAATTATCTCTGAAACCAGAGTTTCAACTTTGAGTGGCTTCTAAAATTCCAGTTATCAACCGATTCTCACTATTTTGACATCCTATGTGCTCAGCTGTCTGTTCTACAATCCCATCAGAATGGATTTTTCATTAACTTTATACATTTGGAGTTATAATTTTTTTGGGTCTAAATTTGTCGCATATTTAAAATTCCCTATTGATGATTTTTTTTACAGTAAACTATACTGAAAACCTATACACTGTATTCTAATTTGATGAAAATGAAGATCATATGCCATTCTGAGAGAATAATAACATTAAATGAACAATTGATGATAGTACATATTTTTTATTCTGAATTGAAAATCCAAAGTTTTCAATATTCATTTTTCAAATTAATTTTGATTCTCTTGTTTTTCAAGTTACGCTGTGATCATTTAGACAAAGTTGGAACATTTGCCTAGTTGATTATGCAAAAAAAATTGGAAAGTATTTGTGCAAGTTATAAAAACTTATGTTAAATTATTTTCTGTCAAATCTTATATATATGTATTGTGCGGTCTAAGGGTTAACAAGCGCTGTAATCAAAACACTAGAACAAATAATTAAAACCAAATGGGCAGAACACCTGGAGAGTAATGACGTAATACCAGACAGACAAAATTTTTTCGAACAGGAAGATCCTGTGAAACAAATCTACTTGGTTTTTTTGGTAGGACTACACAGATTCTACAGGAAAGAGATAGTTGGGTTGACTGTCTATTTGGACCTAAACAATGGCTTTTGACAGAGTACCAAACAAGAGGCTGTTTAGAAAACTGGAACATGCTAGAGGGGTGAGAGGGCAATCCTTGCTAGCAAGAATGAAAAATTTTCTTACAGAAAGATGAGGGCAGTAATCAAGAGGCAATGTATCTGATAAAATCATAGATTCTCTCCAATGCTTTTGCCAGTATTAAGTGACAGATATAAACTTATATTGAAGAATTCAAAGTAGGAAAGATTTTAGTACAAAGCAAGCCCAAATTAAACTAAAACAAATTGTATTGCTACTCACCTATTGTTAGAAAGGTCAATCACACCAAATATAATGAGATTAACAAGGAGCAAAGCCCATTCAGTGATGATGGAATTGGAATAGGAAGATGTTATTACATCAAACAGGCCTCCCACTAGAGCAAACCGAAGACTCAATGCCTCCAGCATCAATTGTCGGCTCCTGCCATCTTCAGGAAAGGTGACTTGCAGAGCTCCAGGCTTTTCCTGATAAATTAAGTCGATTAATACATTACCAGCACATTATGTAACAACAACAGCAACAATTTAATAAAATCCATTACCATTAGGGCGATGGGAGATCTAACTATCGTTCAGATATCACACATTTCAAATATAACTGCATAGCAGCCTAATGCTGTATGTCATATCTCACTTTTATATACAGTGGGTTATTCACCGTCTTCTCCATGTCACCTTACTTTTAGAGAAAATCAGCTTATCTTTAGAGCACTATCTGATTTTGATGGAACGTACTTTATGGAATCTTTGTCTGCATAGTTAACTCTTCTCAAAATAAGAGATCAAATATATACAATGCAAAAACCAAATGGCATTTTATTGGCACACTAAAAATAGAAGTGTCTACTAAAACCCCGTTAGTTAGTACCATGGTCATTGTGACTTAGATTATTTGTGGTTTTGAGAAACTGCACCAGAACCAGGCTGAGTGGTTTCTGTGTGAATAACCCAAATTCATAATTCCTTTTACTGTATGTATATGGAATAGAAACTACACCTTTGATGTTATATCTAAGTTATATTGATCCAGGTTGAGTAGCCTCAAGGCAGATAGCCTTGGCTTGGTACATACCATAATACAGTACAGAATATATATTACTCACAAATTTTCACCAGATTTGGTGGAGGTCGAGTTATATAAAACAATTCTGTGAAAGTACCTAACAGAAACAAACAAAAACAGGAAAACAAATTGTTGTTTTCCTGGAATCCCAGTTAAAGTTTTGGCTCAAGTGCTGGAGAGTTAGCTCATCCTGACCCTCAGCTAGCTCAAGATGACATTTGGTGGTATTTGAGTCTTGGTGGAGATTAACTAGTTCAGATAGAGTTGCTTGGAATTTGGAGATTTCCAAAGATTTTGTTGTTGGGTCAAGATTTGTGTTTCAATTCTTGGCAGCTGATCACAGTTGTGGGTTGATCTTTGATTCCCAAATGTTTCCGAGTTATAATGAGAGAGCGCAAGCAAAGATGGTGCTTGTCTCCGATGTACGAAAATTGTCATAGTGGCTCTGTATCTCCCGGTGAAGTACGCTGAGGGAAGCTACCAAGGTGTAACCCAGAAATGGAGTGTCTCATTATATCATTATACTTGATGTTTAATTCCAACTATATATAAACACTGTGCATGTTTCTATTCTGCTTAAATAGAACCAAGTCCAACAGTACACACTGTATTATAAAATGAAATGATAGGATTCTGGTATGATTAATAATCAGATGCACTGGATACTCAAGAAACTTTTACTGGACCAAAATATAATGCCAACAACACTAAAATTCACCAAAATAAAATTGTGCATAGAATAAAAACTGCAGTATTTTTAAGTAACCTGATTACCTAAATATGCTCTAATATTATAATATAGTCATGCACTACATAAAACAAATGCATATACAAACGATATCTTACCTCTTTAGGAGAGAAGAGAGACTGTGTGAGTTGTGTCCTGAGAGACTCTAGTAATTCAGATAACTGATCATCCTGACCATCAAGGCACATGAGCACCAGCTGGAGGAACGGTCGGTGAGATGCAAGCGGCCAGTGTCCCAACTGTCTTCCTACTGGTGGTATCTCCATGCCGTTACTACTGCTCACGCTGCTAGGCTGACTGTGACTCGGAGGAGGGCTTACTACTGGACCCTCACTAGTTGCATTCTCATCATCCGTTGGTTTAGAATTCCCAGAATAGGCACCAAAATTAACCGACTCTAGCACTTGACCTGTAATAGAATGGTTACAAATTATCGGCGAGGCATAGGGCACAACATACTTGGTATTTTGAAGCACATGTACATTTTTCAACTAAACATTTTTTTACTGGTCTCTTTCATTACAAAATATATGTAACCCCCCAAACAACTTCTGGATACTTCTTATTTCCAATCCTAAATCTGTACTCTATATTGGCATCTTCCATCACTTTGAATTAGCTTTTCTTTCATGAAGTTTTAAGATTACTATTAGCAAAGCCAACACACTTGTATTGGGAAGGACTTCTAAACACCTTTATGTGGGATACCTTATAAAATATGGTATCTAAGTTTTACACCACCTTCATGTGGTGGCCTCGATAATATAGTACACCCAATGTGATGGAACTAAAGGGGCATACAGTATATATCTTGTTATGTCAAGATGCTTTCTGGGAGGATCCTCTCAGCAGTTACTTGAGCTTAAGCACTGGTATAGCCAAGCCTTAAATATTGCACCAGACCTCTGAGATTCATACACACCTAACGGGAGCCAGGCCTAGAACCTGGCTCGCTTCACAAGGCATGCAGAGCATGGGGGGGGGGGGGCAATAAGAGATCTCCCTAAAACTGAGAAAATATCCACCAGAAATGTTAGGCAAAACAAATAAAAACACGATTGTTTGAAAGAATGGTTGAACCTAGAGGCAAACAATCATTGCCACAGGGTGAACAACTCCAACCTTGATGCGCCTGGTTGCCTTCAGATGGTGATACAGATCACATGGATGGGGGGGTGTACAAACTAGCTGCGATGTCTCACACAGTCATTTGGTGTTTGCTAGGGTTAAACTGTACTGCAGGACCCATTGTCCTACTCCATTTTCAGCCAAGGGGGATTTGGCTATTCCTGAAGAAACAGTTCCTCACTGAAGGGACATTGCTTTCCTTTACGTCATTTCTATTTCCCGATTGTATTTTTTATCACCCACATATTAATTCTGCCTGTGAAGCAAGATCTACCTTCCCAGGTGGCTGAATTGCATTTCCTTTACTCTACAAGAGATGCATGCTCTGAGGGGTTCGGGGTCTCTCATCTATGAACAGGCACCTCTTCAAGTCCTCACTTTTGGGTAGTACATGTCTCTCTTCTCCACTGTTGAAATAGGGAATTGACATAGTTATCTGTGTGCTTGTATTGATATTGTGCCTTATTGATTCTCTTATGTTTTGGTGCCTTGCACTTTGGCAGAGTGTGAGCTTGGGTTGTGTTTCAGTGAGTCTTACTTACCCATGGATTCATATGCCTTCGCTCACTGGGAAGACACAAGGTCAGAGTTGGGTGTATGATTTACAGATAATGCTTCCCTTGTGTCTGGCACACTACTTGCCTGTGTAATGGTGCAGGCAGCCAGCACCCTTTGCCCCAGGGAAGGTTTGCTGGTGGGGCAAGAAGGAAGTCATAGTGGTCTTTGCTGGAGAGAACAGTTGAGCATGCCATGAGGGCATGTTATACAACAACAGTGCACACAATTCATATTAATGGTCACTAAATAAAAACATTATAGCATAAATGCACTATATAAACGTGTTATATAAGGATTAACTGTATTTTACACTTAACATTGTGTTACACACAAGACAAAAGAAGTAAAAGCAAAGGCTTATCAGCTAGATCATTTTCTAGACAGTTACCAGATGCTGTCTGGATCCTTCTCTGGGTAAATAACAGCCAAGACTTACCAGCCACTTTCAACACTCTTCCCTGCACAGCTTTTGGAAGTTTAGAGATGAGTGGAGCCACTAGACAGATGGACTGAGGCTTTCGAGTTCTGAAAATATATCGTAACTAAATTTAATGTATATAATTAATAATACAGATAGTTTTAATTTATATTATGTTGTCTCACTCACTCTCTCAGTTTGCACACTTACATTTTTCCTGGGATGCCAAGTACAACTTTTTATAATTATTACATTCAAACTTTCTTTTCTGTCTCGTCACTTGGCACATAGCTTCGGGCTCAGTTAAGGTCTCTCAATTATAACAAATTTGACAAATGATTTTTAGACTGCAAATTACAGCCAAAATGGGGCAAATTTATTCTCTCAAATAGCAAATTCAGCAATGAGAATCTTACGGTTACTGGAAGAGCCTAGTATTTTATGTATGAGTGCACTGTACTAAGAGTAACCAGAGACTACCACTGTTTTCAGAGAATATTTGAGTGTTTGGTCATCAATACAGTGGTTTCCTGCTCCAATATACTGGATTATACATGGAGAGGATTCTGGGAGTTCTTCTACTCCCCAAGCCTGACCTAGGATTTCGATACAATGGATTATGTGTGTCGATAATGATGATGATCCTTTTATTGTAATTCACATTTGAAAAGCCAATAAACAGATAAAATCAAGTCCAGCTTTTCAAATTAAAAGATACTTCCAAGATGTCTTCCACACTCTTGGTTTATCCTGTATGACTTGCAAGTCAAGCAAGCAACATGAGGCACCAGTCACATATATTATGCCAGAGTCACTGGAGACATTGTCACCCAGCATCAATATTCTTATGCTGACAATGTCTATTAATAAGCATGAGCCTTCCAGAATTTCCAGTGATGTCTCACTTAAGACCACTAATGGAAACCCTGGATTAACCTCATGTACTAATTATAAGGAACACTGGTACAAAGTACACTGGAGTGGGCTCTGGAGAGGCCATTCCAGACCGACAACCAGAGTGCAACTCCATACTCTCCTGAGACTGATGGATGCCTACTACTAACAAACAAGCATGCACCATCTTGCCAGGAGACAGCATCTTCCCCAACCCAGGGTACTCCAGTGCATACCCTTCTCATGCTGACCGTGTTTCATGATGGTCTGGCAAGGGGAAACAATTGTTCAAAAATTAAATGATTATTTCCCAATCTTGTGATCATGTTATCTACAAGACACCTGGCAGCACAGTAGCTGTGTTTAGTTTAGTGGCCAGTGTGACAGAGCCTGATAAGTGTCTTTTGTCAGGACAGGATAGAATGTGAGTTAGCATACAGAACACAGTGACAAGGCTGGGTGGTAATGGTTTGTGAAGAGTGTGTGCATTTGCACGTTTTGTGTATGACGGCTCATACTTGGATGATACCTGGTTGATGGGGTTCTGGGAATTCTTCTACTCCCCAAGCCCGGCCTGAGGCCAGGCTTGACCTGTGAGAGTTTGGTCCACTAGGCTGTTGCTTGCAGCGGCCTGCAAGCCCATATACCCACCGCAGCCCGGTTGGTCTGGGACTTATTGGAGGAAACTCCCTAGTTTCCTCCAATAAGTACATGAGGAACACTGTGCACCTATGTCGTATGAAGCACTGCAGTGCTACTGTGGAGTTGGCTGGAGTGTAGTGGTGCCTGTTACTTCAACATGCTATACAGTTAGCATGATATAATGAATGATCAAGAGATTTGTGTTGAATATCTATAAATACTGTAGTCTTTTTTTCTACACTAGTTTCTCTATTTCTCTGGGTTGATGCCTCCCCACCCAATGAAGGTGAAAATGGGGTAATGAGGAAAAATATACTTTATGCAAGTGATTTTGCTTACAAAAATTGTGCAAATGCATACAAGTTCCATCACTTGTGGAGATAAAAACACAGTTTGACAAGTAAAATAATGAACAACGATCTTTTGAATATTCAAATAAGAAATGAAATGGGGTCCATTATTAACAAATACATACTGTTGCTTTGTATATTTACCTGTGACAAGAGAGCGAGACTGACATGGGTGATCTATCAGGATCATGGCTAAGATGGAACACTTCAATAGCTGCCTGAGCCACATTATCAAGCCACGAGTTGAGCTCCTGGGATGACACTCTCTGTTGTTCGTACATCAGATGCAGGTCCAGCCATGAGATGCGTAGACTCCATTCATCTAAATCCTGTACAGGTTATTTTAAAGAAATGCTTAAAGTAAAGTAAAAGGTATTAAATGCATAATTTTATGGAGTAAAATATTAGAGCTGAAAATATTGTATATTTTTTCTAATTACTATATTTCAAGCACAAAATAAATTTTACATGTAGTAGATGTGACAAAATTTTTTTACATGGTTAAGAAGAAAATTTGATCAATTACTGTAATTGATCGATGATAAACAAATACAGTATGAGGATCATGACAGCCAGGGCAGGCCAACAATCTATACCAATGCATCAGGGATCTATTCCAATGTGACTGATCACACTGGTGTTAGGGATTCAAAACAAAAACAAAGAGCTCAATCCAAACCCTAAGGCTAAGCATTCTTAGCCAGCTTAGAGGGGCAATCTGTTAAATTAACTATCTTCAGCCAGATGTGGCCCAGAGAACAAAGTCTACAAGCAAAGTTCTGCCGGCAGAGGAGGCTCTCAAGATTCTGACAAGGCAGTGCAAGACCTGAACCAACTGTAAATGGGGTACAAACCAAGCAAATGCAGTCACCAGCAGCAAAATATCCCAAATAAGACACAGCCAGCCTTTTCTAGATGGCCTCACAAGCTTCCCAGTGCTTTGCCTCTGCTACCACAGCCATCAACAAACCTAGCAAACCTCTAGACATACAGAGGCCTACAAAACTCCAGGTACCAGAATCTGGTAACCTCATAGTGGTAAGACAAGCAAGAGAATTTGAGAGTGACTTAAAAAAAAGAAAAATCACCCAGAAAGCTTAAGTAAAACAATCTATTTATCTAGACTAGAGTTAATTAAACAATCTATTTATCTTGATGGAAATAAGGGGAAACAAAAGTTTGCCGAAGCACAACACCAAGTGGCGGGTCAAGTCACCCAGGTGTCCAGCCTGCCTGCTACCTCACTTGCATGCCATCCCCAAACCACACCCAGTCCTAAAGATATGGGTCTGATCTCATTTTCTCCTAATGTTGCCATTAGGAGAAATAGTTGGTGCCTTGGTAAAGGCATTAAGCATATAAAACTAAAGTTCTATGGCTCAAATTAATTTTGAGTTTTATATGAAAAATATAAAATTTGATAAATAGCCAAAAATGGCAAATTTTGGGAAATCCAGATCAGGTCGAGAACACTATAATCTGGGATTTGAAAGAGCATCTGTATAATATGGTATTGTAAGAAAAATATGCAAGTTCTTTTCTGACCTGAAGTATATGGGAAATAATAGTGCGCTGATCTTGTGAAGCATCATTGTGAGTGCTGGGAGAGTCTGGATGACAGATCTGGTGCAACAGTCGCTGGGCCTGAAACAAAAAATACATACATGATATGAGAACACAAACACTTTAATTAATATAAACAAGAAAAATAAATTTATGCTATCCTACTTAGTGGCTCACTAAGGTAAGATCCTACTCATCTCTGGATAAGATTAACAACGGTCATGCAGGTTGAAATTTTGTACTGACCCAGCAAGGAAATTTGACAACTTTCCCTGTTGCATCACAATGATTCTAGGGAGATATTGGAGAGCTATTATATCCATATTTACATCATACATGTAAAACCCAGACAGTAATGGTTCAAATCATCGTATGACAATGACCACATTCCCCTAGTAATATACATGATGATAACCACATTCACCTAGTACACGTAATCATGAAATGGTTGCAGGATTTTTTCACACAGATCAAGGTAAACTCCATTACGTTCACATACAGGTATTACTAGTATATTCATATTTGCATCATACATATAAAACCCAGAAAGTAATTGTTTAAATCGTCATATGACGACACCCACATTACCCTGTGAATCAACGAATGAGGATAACTGCTGCCTAAAGGTTAGTTAAGAATGTCAATTCATTAACATCTCATTAATGTGGCACGTCTTGTTTAGGGACAAAAGTTGTCCATTCATGATGCAACATTAATGCTCTAAGTACATTACTTACCAAGCCACTATATTGTCCAGAATTTAGTTTCTTGGGGCCAAACTTTCAGGACATTTCCCCCAACAATAAATAAACCCTTAACATTCTGCAGGAATACTGATTAACCTGGTGATGACTTAGTCCTTTAATATAATGCAAAGATATCTATACAACAACCTGTATAGATAGATATCTTTGTACAACAAAATTACACCAGAATTTTTTTTTAGCAATTAGAACAAGGAGACCCTTTAAATCTCAGAAACAAGCTAAAGTAGCTGTAACTTCTCACCTGTCTAGGGGTAATAGCACTGTCTAGGAGATTCTCAGCACTGCAAAGTTCCTCTGGAATTTTTAGACAGCGTTCCCTCACCCACTCCTGTGAGCATATTTGCCTTAAGGAATAACGCGCAAAGTCTGCCAGACTTGCTTTGTCAGCATCTTTTCTGAAACGGAACAAATTTTAGGTATTCTTTGAAGGCCCTTTTTCCTTAACTGTTACAATAGTAGGATTCATAACTTCAAATATATTTCAACTAACAGTAAAGGACAAGGTGAAAAACATGCTGTACCTTCTAAAGTTTTTCAATACACACACAAGGATATACAGTTGTGTACTGTAATTACTGTACAATACCATGTAAGTGACTGCAGCATTTCATTCTCTACATCAAACTCGTTTGCTTTAGCACATATCGATACATTCTTTATTTAGAAGCTTTCGCAGTCATATCATTATACAGTAACAACTTTTATCGCTATCTACTTCAATATTTCTACTTCTACTATAATGTTTTCAATTCAAGTAAACCAATTTCATCTACAAAGTAATTTTTTATTTATTTTTCATTTGTGTTCCCACTGAACAACCTAGTTATTTTTAATATGCTACAGTATTAAGCAGAACAAGTGCTCAAAAGGACTATGACCCGTCCTTCAATTTCTAAAGTTGGAAGATTACTCTTCTTCATCTTATCTATAGACCACAGTATAATACGACAGAGTTGATGTGGCGTTACTGACTGTGGTAACATCACTTCTTATATCTAAGTATCAAACTCCATATGACTATGGAAGATAACAGATAGTTAGCTGAAAATTGCAATCATAATGACTTGATTAACTACAAAACAAGTATACATACCCCATCATATCAGAATCATTGGAGCCACTACCCATGTCCGAGGTGCCAAGGATGTCAGATATAGAAGCCTGGCTCTTACTCTGGCCGCTCAACACGTCACCAACAATAAGCATTGCCTGTATGAAATTATTTGAAAAGAAAATGCATTAAGGTAAATGTGCATACAAGATCTCTCTACCTACATATACAGTATACAATATACAGTATACAAGATAGTTATGAAACCAGTACCACTGAAAACTTTTCAAGTGGATCCTACAGTCACAATACTGTAAGAAAAATATTACCTCCCAGGGATGGGGAAAAGAAATGGTGCCCAACCACTTGGGCTGGATGATAGAGCGACGGTCTCGTTTCATGCAGGTCGGCGTTCAATCCTCGACCGTCCAAGCGGTTGGCCACCATTCCTTCCCCCTCGTCCCATCCCAAAACCCCTGACCTCTTCCCAGTGCTATATAGTCATAACGGCTTAGCGCTTTCCCCTGATTATTCCCTTCCCTCCCCATAGTCAGGGACAGAAAACCTATGGAACATGAGAATTAATCTGCACTTCTCCATGGTAACAAATACCTTCTGGTATATTTTAAATACAATGTTTAAATATATATATATATATACATTTTTGTCTATATATGCACAAGAATGTGTTCTATTCTTACAACTAGTTAAAAAAAACTCACCATCCCCTTCATCCTGAAGACATCACTGGTTACAACGAATCTTTCACTAATGAACAAGGTTTGGTACTATGACAGTTTGCTGAAATGAGGTTATACTATACACTCTTCTTGTTAAACAATTATCAGGTATGCTACTAATATGTCCACATTCTCTATGGATATCTTCCATCTAAGTATGTAGTTAAGTATGGTGTGTTACCTTCAGGACGGCAAGAAGCGGGCTGAGTGTGATAGCAGTGTGAGCCGCTGCTAAAAGGTGTCGGTCACAGCTTAGTCGGATATTCCGTTGAGACATGCCTGCCGGTACATTTTGAGAAGAACCTGCAAATACAAGACGGTAATAAAACTTTATGCTGATGCCATTTCCTATACGAGAATATTTAAGATCCTATTTACCATTTTTAGCTCCCATATGTGCATGCAGAAATTCATGTAAAATCTCACGAGAAAAAATGGATTCTCAATTAATCACAGAACAAATGTGAGAAGTATCCTTTCCCTACCACATTAGGAAAGGATTAGATGTTATCCAATATCATGTCAATATCATGTATCATGTCATGGTTAGGTGTGAAATGGGTTATGAGGAGGAAATCATGAATAATGCACTTCGTTATACTAATTTGTCAAGCATGAATTCAAAATCAAGCCGTCTTCATCTCACATTTGATGGAATGAAGTAGCAGTGTGGGACCTGGATTTGGTTCTAACAGAATCCTGTGGTTAGTCAACAACGCTTACAAAGAGTATTAAATACTTTCGGCACTCGGTGCCCAAGCATTGTTTGTTTATTACCGCTACATGTGAGTATCGGCTCAGGGAATGTAAATACAAAAGCCCAGTCATTCCTATGACCAGTTCTGATACTGTACTACTGTACTGGAAAAATAGTCATGATCTTTAGGTAAAAGAAACTGACCCCTTGTAGTCCTCTCCTATCAAGAATGCATCAGCCCTAATTAGTGGTTTTGGATCAAATATCACTATTAAAAAAATATGGCACACTCCTCCTCATTGATATGCACGACTGGCATAAACTGCTATGACCCATAACCAAGCAAGTATTGCGTCAGCCAGAAAAATGATAGGATGGATTACGAGAACCTTCAAGTCCAGAGATCCCATCACAATGGTTGTACTCTTCAAATCACTTGTGTTGTCCCGTCTTGAGTACTGCTCAGTACTCACTTCCCCCTTCAGAGCAGGAGAGATTGCTGAAATTGAGGGAATACAGAGAACATATACGGCACGCATAGACGAGATAAAGCACCTAAATTATTGGCATCGTCTCAATGCTCTCCAAATGTACTCACTAGAAAGGAGACGAGAGAGATACCAAATAATATACACATGGAAAATACTGGAGGGACAGGTCCCAAATCTGCACAGTAAAATAACAACGTACTGGAGTGAACAACATGGAAGAAAATGCAGAATAGAACCAGTGAAGAGCAGAGGTGCCATGGGCACAATCAGAAAACACTGTATGAACATCAGAGGTCCACGGTTGTTCAACGTCCTACCAGCGAGCATCAGAAATATTACAGAAACAACCGTGGACATCTTCAAGAGGAAACTAGATTGTTTCCTTCAAGGAGTGCCGGACCAACCGGGCTGTGGTGGGTATGTGGGCCTGCGGGCCGCTCCAAGCAACAGCCTGGTGGACCAAACTCTCACAAGTCAAGTCTGGCCCTGGGCCGGGCTTGGGGAGTAGAAGAACTCCCAGAACCCCGTCAACCAGGTATCAACCAGGTAACCAGGTACCTATTTCATCTAGATGTCTTCACCTACAGGAAAATAAGACATTGCCCATGAGCCAGGATAAATCAGGAACCAGGTACTGCAGCAGCTACGGGCAAAAATCCCATTCGATCTAAGTTAAATTCCGAAGTTGAGTGTCACAGAGGTAGGCTAGAATGTCAATCCCACAAAAATGACTAGGCAGAGAACCTCAAGAGTCAGTCTGGGAAAGTTTCGAGATCTAGAAAAGGCCAAACATTCCAGCCTGAAGGTGGTGTGAGATGAGCCTGACACCAAACTCTGAACTCAGGAAGGAAAGACATGAAGCAATGGGCACCTAGAAATCCAACGTAATGAGCCAAAAGATGCTGAAAACCATCTGGTGAACCTGGAACATGGTGGTGTCAACTATAAAACAGGACTAGGAAGGAACTCATGGAAAACAAATTTGTCCAGAAGAAAGCAGACATCCTCCTCAAGGACAGGGTCACCACAAGCACACCCTCAGCCATCAAGTCATGACATTGCTGAGCAGAGTAGACAATGGGGTAAGCCCTCAAGACACCAGAAGAAGCAAGGACCAAAACTACCACAGGAACCCGGGACATTGCTGAGCAGAGTAGACAATGGGGTAAGCCCTCAAGACACCAGAAGAAGCAAGGACCAAAACTACCACAGGAACCCGGGACAACTTGAAACAACCAAGCACTACTTTTGATAAACACAATGTCACGAGTAGTTCTATCTTGTATTGATATACAGTATTTAAAACGTTATCTATATCTCCTTCGTTAAATTCTTTCGTCATTTGTAAACTTTAATCATCTACCCTTTACTCTTCGTCTTTCTACAGAATATAAATTAAACTTATTTAATCCCAACATGAAAAATAGAGACAGGTCTTCCAGTAATATACAGCAGTGCAATTAGATGAAAACCTTAAATGACAGTCACATTTGATTACATTGCTTCAAGTTTTTATAGAACCCTCCTCTACCAGTCAATCCAAGCTGGACTGAGCTTATCTCCATGACCCCTTAACACCTATAATGACCCAGTAGAGACTGTTTGAAAAGTTACTTGTGGTGCTGATACCAAAAATGTCACCTGTCTGACTAACGATCCTTTCCCAGAGGAAACACCGGATCTTAACTTAGGAAGGCAACTGAATGCTAGTTACGAGAATACACGACATGGCAAATCTGCAAGTAACACATAAAATGCAATGGATTATTTTAAAAACTGTTTTCATAAATTAACCTTTATTTTTTAAAATCTGTATATCTTTCAACTAATATGGATATATTATTTAAGCCAAGCTTACCTGCTGAATACTGTGCAGGTTGTGGAGAGTCAACACTCTTGAAGATACGAAGCAGCAGATGACAAGTAAGGCGTGCACCAGGTTCTGCATCAGGATTGCCCTCACCTGTATATAAAACATACATAATATATATAATTAAACTGAATCCTAATCAACAAAAATAACGTGTCACGTATAATGAAACTCCCATTTCTGAGGCCTGTCAGTGGCTTCCCAGTCACCGAGGTGCCTACTGCAAGCAGGCACCAGAATCTTACACCCTCAAAAGAGGTGGGGAATCCAAGGGCAATACTCTACAAACCAGGGAAATCCCCACCAAAATGACTGAAAAGGAGTTGCCTTTTCAGCCATTCAGGAGCTCAATATACAAAGAAATCATTGACATGGACAAATACCAAACAAAACTCAAAACTATCACAAACAAATATCACCCAACTGTTTCCTTTTTTTGCCTCAAGATGACAGCACTCTAAATCCCAAGTAAGCCCCTAGAAACCACAGGTAAGCCAGGAAACAGGAATGAAAAATTCAATGGTACCCCTGAAACTGGTCTAACACAAACTACCAGCAAGCCCAAAGAGCTGTGCAGAAGTCCACAACTGCATCTCATAGAAGAGGGGTACACGAGCTGGTAAAGCTCTGCTGGCTCACTGAGCTAACAATACAGGGAAAGGACTCAAAGACACAGCGGACTGCTGAGAATGTAGCTGAGCAGAGAACATTTCCCCACGATAAAAAAAGGGGCAAGATATGTGCTGAACACACAAGAGTCTTGTGGTCAACAGAGGCCAAAGCCGAAGATAAATGGAAACCTGGAGACAGGAACCAAGTACTTACAATAGGAACAAAGTAGGCACAAACAATGTCTATTAAAAGTGAAGGCAGGCCACAAGAAAAACAAATTGAAGAGAGGGAAAACCTCCTTCCAATTCCCCCCCCCCTGCAAATAATAGTAAGCACTGCACTGTATACCATTCACCAAAGCAAAATAATAGATTGTGTGCTGACCATGACAAAGATGGGACTACATATTGCATCTAAAAAGCAATAGGAGACCCAAACTTGAAAGAGGCCAGGTCCATTTCCAAAGCAGAATTATGGCAATGTGCCAGAAACAGCATCAGGTACTGCTGAGCCTGTAAAGACACTAAACAAGGAATAGACTCCAAACAAGTGAAACCACAGCTGATGCATTCCTCACAGACCCCCAGACTGCTAGGTGAAGAGTGCTTTGACAGGCTAGGGTTAGGGATCCATTCCAAGAGCAAACCTGAACTAAGGGCTGCAGGATACTTGGGAAGGACCCCCAGAAGTGACAACCAAGCCTCCTGCACTCCAACCACAGCCACTGCTGGGGCAGACCCCACTACCAATGCCTCGGACACTACCCGCACTGTCATCAGCTGGACCTCATACCTAAGCAATTTTGGCATCTTAACCGGAATAAATTCTGGAAAGCCATGCTAGAAGACATCTTATTGGAAATTGTTGATTTTTTTTACATTTATTTATATATGCAAGAGCTCTTACATTCTTGTAAAGCCACTAGCACGCATAGCATTTCGGGCAAGTCCTTAATCCTAATTTTCACACACACACACACACACACACACACACACACACACACACACACACACACACACACACACACACACATACATCCCCAGGAAGCACCCCATAGCAGCTTTCTAACTCCCAGGTATCTATTTACTGCTAGATGAACAGAGGAATCAGGGTGAAAGAAACTCTGTCCATTTGTTTCTGCCTGCGCCGGGGTTCGAACCCAGACCCTTAGGACTGTGAACCTCGAGCGCTGTCCACTCAGCCGTCAGGCCCCTAATGCATCCAACAGCAAACTAAGGACCATAGGTACAAGGAGGCAGAAATAGGTGTCCAAAACCAATGCTTTAAATATATCTTCATAAAATCAGTCAGTGTCTGTGATGTAGTGGTAAGACACTCGCCTGGCGTTCCACGAGCGCTTTGTTATGGGTTCGTATCCTGGCCGGGGAGGATTTACTGGGCGTAAATCCTTAACTGTAGCCTCTGTTTAACTCAACGGTAAAATGAGTACTTGGTTGTAACAACGATTCTTCGCGGCGGGGATTGTATTCCAGGGACCTGCCCAAAATGCTACGCGTACTAGTGGCTGTACAAGAATGTAACAATTCTTGTATATATCTCAAAAAAAAAAATAAAGGAGAGTCAGACACATCCTCAACAACAGGGGTAGGAACCTACACTACCTATAACACAAGCAAGAATCTTGTAGACAAACCACGGCCTGTATGTCATTGCTCAAAGAGTAGTTCACATAAAATTTAGGGCTAGCAACAAAAAAACAAACTTGCATATCCTTATGTGAAAGACAAATCCAATCAGCGAGCAGAGTGGAAGAAGCCTCTGGAATATTTGCTGTAATCAAATGAAGATTAGATATTTATACATGAGTGAGTTTGATTGGGTATAAATAGGAGCTGCCTCCCTTTCTAGTTTCCTTTATTCTTTTGATCTCAAGGTACAGTATAGATAAATTGAGTACAGTATCTTGACAAAAATAGAGTTTTCAGTTCTTTTAACCTTCAATGGGAATAAAGAAATGAGATGCCATAGAAAAAGTGTTAAACCAGACTTGCTCATACTTATAACGTTTAAAGTTGGTGAATGATTTAACAGAATATGGTTCAATAGTAAACAGAATATTGTAACCAAATGTTAAATTGTATAATATTAAGCGGTAGATAGTGTATTACCCTACCTGAGTTCCAAGCTTCCATTAGGGAGGGCAAGACAACAGACTTGAGGAAGTCAAGAAGTGTGAAGCAATGCCGAGCAATTAGGATTGCAGTGAATACTGCCAGAGAGCTGTGAATGGTTGGGGTTGAGTGGGGATCACGAAGGCCAACTTGTCCCAGGACATCAATATAACCAGGACTATCCTTGGATGAGCAGCATAGAGCATTCAGGACCCCTATTCAAATAAGGTCACAAAATTAGTCAAATCTGTAAAGAGGTCAATAAAATGTGTATAGTGCATGACTTTCACTATAATGTGTATAGTAACTAATCAACTAACTGGCCACCTTACACAAAAATTATCTACATTATTTAGGTAGTATTGTTTGAGCAAGCAGTCCCTCCTTTATAGATATTCAAGGAAAAAATTAATATCTTTTTGAATTGCCTATCACAAAGATTAAAGACACTTTGTGGTGGCATTATCATTTTTTGTTTTAATATACTGTACTACAAATTTCTGAGTCAAACCAATTTGGTCACTCCTGTATTCATTTCCTGCGTCTCTGTAGTTAGTCTGTAAAAAGTAAGTTAATTTTAACAAATAAGCAGTTTAAAATACACTTGAAGAAAAGCCTCGGGAATACTGGGGAACCTTTGACAAATCAACAACTTCCTGTCCTTGTCAAAGTCAGTCAAGAAGGTAGCTCTTGTGGTAATTTCATGTAAATTTTTAACAAGCATTCATTTTAATGTACTGCCCAGTATTCTTAATTGTGAACAACACATTCAACCATTCATTCATCTAACTAGTCCTCTGCTTATCCATCCTTCCATCCATCAGTCCCTCCATCCTTCATTATGTCGTTATATGGTAAATAACAGTGTTCTTTGATTTTTTCCATCCAACAAATTGTAACATTCAAAATTAAGCTAATAAAAGTTTAAAGTAATGCATAAAATTGTTTTCTTAATTTAAAACTTAATTTGATCTAAATTCCTCATATTAAATTGCTTTAAGACAATAAATGACTGTTTTTGAACTGACATAGTGGAAGCATATTTCCAATTTTGTTTTCAATAATCTAGATATACTTGTATAATGGAATGTGATACACCAGACCCTATACCACAGAGAGAGAAACAATTCACACAGCATCCGAGGTGACACTGAGAGCGGTTGAGGGAGTAAGAACCACTAACTAGACATTATCATTCAGGTAAACCAAAACGTCACGTGGGTTGTCGGTCAGGTCGTGTAAGCGAAGGCCAGTCACCACATCAGTATAAAGATAATGTATATACATCTCGTGTAAGTATAAACACATGCCAAACTCTACAAAACATACACAAGTTTAAACATACCTAACCATTCTGCAGAAAGAGAATTGCATGAAGCAGTGAGCTCTGCACAGAGGACAGCCATGTCATTCAGCTTTTCATTAGAAGTGTTGGATGAGCAAGCATCAATGATAGCATTACACACAAAACTATACCGGTTGCCAGGATCAGATAATTGTTTGATGATACTGGAGTCAATTTTTAATCTGGAAGAAGTTTAAACAATAAATCTCCTCTATTGTGTTAAAAAAGGCACTTGCCTAAGTATTATCTTCTACAATTAAACTCAAAGCATTTGTACTCAAAATTATTGCCATCTTTAGTCACCTCATTTCCCATTTTCATGGGGGTGGAGGGGTTTTCCCTGTTGAAGATAGAAAAATAGAGTTGTAAAGAGTTAAAGAGGTTCAGTGACCGTGATTTCTCATAATGTAATCCGCACACCAGTCACCTCACGGGTATAACAGCTATGCCGCAAGGTTCTAATGCTGTATATTGTTACACATAGAAACTACATGTGGTAAAGTATTGTGAAAATGAAATATTCATTTTCATGCAGGAATATTTTAAATCTCAAAAATATTTCAGCTTTGCTAGAGGCTCACTGTTAACCAATCTCCATACTTTCCTATTTTTTCCATCTTCCTTTCCCTATTTCCAGTAATTGAGAAATAATGGTAATAATAATAATGATGTATGTTAATGCTTTCAAATGACATCAATAAGATGATGATGATAATAAAAGTAATAATAATAATAAAGTGATACAGTATATAGTACATAACAGGAAAGCAATGAACCATTTCAAAGCTAACATTACACTACAGTATTTATTAATGAACTGTGCAATTAATTCATGGTGGTGATAAATATAAGATTATATTTTAGAAATTAACCCTCAAAAATGTAGCTATAATCAGAATTATCACCTCGCCTGTGCGGGTGAAGGAAGAGCAGAGGATTATTGCTGCAATAATTCTGTCCGAGAATATCATGCAGGCATGGATTCAAACTCTGGAGGTATAGATCAATCATGTGATGAAAACTGTAGGTTTCTAGTACACAAAAAAGCTCAACCTCAGATTTTAGAGGCATACAACCATAACGATGTTCAGGCGATAGATCACAATAACGTGGCTAAAGTAAGTTGACCATAACGATGTGTTTTAAAATTATGCTACAGAGATTTTCAACCTCCTAACACAGCACATGGAATATGGGAACTAAACTACACAAATCTATTTCAATACTAACTTTGGATTTTTGATGTATTCGTCCATGAACTGGAGAGACCAACGGTACGTTCCTTGTGCTGGGCTGATGCTGGCATACAATGCTTGCTTAATTTTTGGGTACACTACTGAGAACAGCTCATGATGTTTTGACTGAAAAGTTTAAACATGTGTTGCTTTAATAGGAACCTAAAGTTTCTGGAATAAGAAACATTCCATTACTATCTTGCACAGTATATCAAGCATTCTATTATTAAACTATTATTTATACTTATAGTTGCCCCATGCACACTGCATGTTTTAATACTGCATTGTGTTGGAAGTTGTGAATGAAGTAAGCAAAAGCAAAATACAAATATAGGAGTCTAAAACATCAAAGGCTGAATATATATATACTGTACACACTTACCTTGAGGAATGAGCAAGATGTATAGAGTTCATAAAGGTAAGCAAACACCACTCGCTCAGGAGACGTGCAGTCTGAGGGATTAGCCTTAACCAGGCGACACAAACCCTCAAAGATGGCAGATGTTTGCTCCTGAGACACTAAGAAAAGTTCAGCAGCTTAAACAGTGATGAAGAATTTAATAATAAATGTTTAACTCAATATTACTCATTGTATCTAGTTACTAAAGACGACTCCATTTTACACAAAGAAATCATGTTAACGTGATGTTTTTACGAGAGAATCAATGAGAGAGCCATGATGAGGACTCGAACCTGCACACTGGGTACTCCTAAGTATATGCCATAATAACTGCTGGCATGACATGCTAAAAGCAATTCAACCTGGAATTCAACTGAATCCTCTAGGGGTCCTGAGGCTTCCACTGAAGCGCAATCAAGAAGTGTTGTAGGTAGAACTCCTATACCACATCCAGAGTACATGTGGACAATGCATGAAGCCCTGATTGGACTTCAATGGAAGCCTCAGGACCCTTAGAGGATTCAATTGAATCCCAGGTTGCAGTGCTTTTTTCATGTCGTGGCCGAGTTGGTTAGGACATATACTTGGGAATACCCAGTATGCAGATACGAATCCTCATGGCTTCTACAGATTTTCTTGGCTCCAATTTGTTGCAAAATTCACAAAAGTATACAAATTCCTATATCACAGGGTAATTTGCAAATTGAAAAGCATTCCATCAGTCAGTTACCTTGCCCATTAATAATGAATATACTGTACTTCATTCTACATTCCAATCTTTGTCTTCTCTGTATTATATACTCTATATACCATGTACTGTACACACTTTTAGCTACGTCTTCCTTCATGGAATCTCTTCAAATCAATAGAAATTTTAGTACATTATTTTCAACAAAATCCTACTACTCACTTCATTATTATAAAAAGTTCTTCATCTGCAATATTAACTTCAAATGTGCATGTGGGTGAACGGAAGAGGGAAAGAGTGGGAGAGGAACAAGAATGAGGAGTAGTGAACGGGAGAGAAAGGGGTGAACATGTAGGAAATATGGGTTATATAATAAATGTGAGTACAATTTCAATTATTGGTAACCAAATAAAAAGTTGATGTCAATAACAAGCTATATAAATGTGTGTCATTTAAGGATCTTCTGTGGCAAATTTAAAAAAAGGAGAAATGTGCCGAAAGTAGCTTACCCAGTAAAGAACAATGATACTTCCTGAGAACGCCAACAACGTGAAGGAGAAGAGTTGGACAATACCAGCCTGCAAGACAACCCCGCTCTACCAGCTGAGCCTCAATTTCACTAACCTCTTTTATCATCTGAAATGGAGAACCCAAATGAGCCACATCAACAAAGATTTTATTTTAGTGTCAGAGTAGCGTATAAATGGCACATGTGCCACACACTCACAGTATATTTTATATACTGTATATATTTTTTTTTTCAGAAGATGGCTATACAATAATTCTGGCACATATGCTACATACAATACATTAATATTAGCCTAGTACAGTGAATAACTACAAGTTACCATGCATAAATATATTAACTGGATGCATTCTTCCAAAACATCAATTAGTCTAGCAAAGTATTGATCACACTCACATAGGATTGTGATTAGCTGCATACTACAGTAACATGCCATCCATCCATCCAACCATTTGTTCATCCATCCATCCAAACATCTGTTCATCCATCCATCCAATTATCTGTTCATGCATCCAACCAATCATTTATTTGTCCATCCATTCAACCACCCACCTGCTTATTCATCCATTATACTAGTCATCTGCCTATCTAGCAATCTTGCACATCCACACTAGCACTACACCCACAACTGTCCTAACTAATCCTACTATTCACTCAACCAATCTTCTGCCCAATCCAACACATCCCTACCCCTTCATTAACACACCCCTACCCCCTTACCTACCCCACTATTACATCTACACAGACCTGTACTGGATAAACTAAAGAAAAAACATTATTACAAACCTGAATGCAGAGCTCAATGAGCCCATGAACATTAAGTGCAACTTCCATGAGGTCCATAAGGAAACCAATGTGGTCGTGGGTCGGAAGGTAGTTTGATACGCCAGAACCACAGCCTGACAGCATCTCTAAAACCTAAAAGAATAACTTCTTATAAGCACATCCTTTAAGAAAATAAGTTTCTGTAAATCAATAAACAGAACATTATTTAATTAAATAACAAACAGAATGGCAGATAATTATATTATTTAAGAATTTAATTCCTGTCAAATACAAGTTCAACGTTGTTTAATTTTAAGAACGAGTTTACAACCACCAGATATAATAGGAAGTTGTTATTTATACTGAACCTCAACACAACTGACATTATTTTGAAGTATACAGTACTGTAGCTGCCATCAAGACAATTTCCAAGAGGTCACACCTCATGATATAGTAAGATGATGTATAGTGGGCATAAGGGATGCAACAAATACATGGTGCTATAATGAGATGTGGATGCTGTAATGAGCACAGGGAGTATAATGCGTAGAAGGTATAAACAATTCAGTGTCTAGAAAATAAAATATGGAGAAATATAATGAACACAATGAATGTGAGAATATAGTATACAGTAATCACTTAATGTTGTATATTGGGCTCAAGGAGGTCTATTATTATACACAAGTATACCAAGTATAATATATTCAGGTAACTAAAGAGCACAGTGAGACAGTATAATAAGCTAGATAGGAGAGAAGGTGGAAATTTAGCACTAACCTCGATAAAATTAAGCCAGTATTACTGGATGTTACTTATAAACAATAATCTAGAATCTGAAGGCAGAATCACAGGAGGCCACTGGTATTAAGACGACAAGATACTGGGTTATGAAACAAACTAACCAAACTTCACTAGGGTACAATCAATGGTAACTGAACATTTTGGAAATTTATTTAAATTCACGGTGAACTAAAAATTAAGTATTCGATGTAATAAAATGTCCTACTGTGGGCAGCCTCAATAGCTCCCTAGTGCATTACTCTAGTAGCACAGACAATACATAGGAATCTAAAATCAACCTAAAACCAAGAAAGATCATCTAGAACACAAAGGCAAAGCAAAAGCCATGAATCTTGATTAAAGATAGCAATCGAATCAGATTAGTACTTTGGTATCCATGCATTCAATTAGTCTGACAAAGAAGACCAATGTGAAGAAATTATATAATTTTCTATATAGGGCACTTTGTGCTATGGCAAATGTCACTTTAAATGACAGTCTGGACAGACCATCACATTCTACAAAATCATGGCCAAGAACAGATAACTCCATTATGTTTCCAAATATGTGTACATCTAGAACGGGCCACCAATGACGGCCTAGATTGTCAAAAACATTGGCAACTTCTTGTCCAAAAATGGCACAGATTTCTAGGAATAACACAAAGATAACATTTTCAAATGTCAAAACCAAATGATATCAATCCACATTTTGAAATCCCAGAGTAAAGATTAAGAAAGGAGATACACAGCCATACTCAAAAATTCCATGTTGAATGTCATTAAATGGCTCTTTCTAGTGGAGCACTCGGCAGCTCTCCTATAGTATAACCTGGAAGTATTCAAGCCTTGGGGAACACACCAAGGCTAACAACAAATACCCTACCAAGGGGTCAGGACCAGAAGCTGGGTGAGCACATGATAGTTCAGTAATGTGAGTGAATAAAATTTTGCCTCGCATTCCTTTGATTTTAAATATTCCTTTGTTAAAGTGTCGTTGAATGTATTAGAATGTACCTTCTGACACTCCTTCAGGATTGGACTAAATTCTCCAGTATCTTCTTTCCTCCTGTTACCCTGTTACCTAGCAGTAAATAGGTACCTGGGTGTTAGTCAGCTGTCACGGGCTGCTTCCTGGGGGTGGAGGCCTGGTCGAGGACTGGGCCGCGGGGACAATAAAAAGCCCCGAAATCATCTCAAGATAACCTCAAGAAGATAACCTCCTTATATAGTTGGACAGGAACATTTGCAAAGGTTCTTGTTGACTAAGGCAATGGAAGGTCATTCTGACTTTGGCTACAGGTAGCAAAACTCTGAGGAGAGCAACAGAAAGATATTCTCCAGACTCACCTGAGAAGCCACTGTACTTGTGATGTGGTGCTGGTCAAAGTACGAAAGACCACAAAATTTACTCAAAATTGCTTCAAAGTTGAAGTCTCCTCTTGAAGATTTTTTCACTTTACCACCTGAAAAATATTATACAATTTAAAAAGCATACAGTACAATAGCCAATGACAAGTGATTATACCCTACTCAATCTATTCCCATTGCTAATTGACTAAGTTAATAAATAGAGCAACTGATTACCTTCAGCAATATCAATGCTGTACTTTTTGCTGAACAACTTGCAGATTTCCTTGGTTAGCTTCTTCACTGCTGCTCGCGCTTCATCCCGAGTCTTGCCTACACCGTACAGTAAAACATACCGCTGAAAACACAATCCTATAATAAATAATCAAATATCAAAAATACAATGAAGAGACCAATTTTTGTTCCATCACTACAATGTGAGAAAATTTATCAGGCAAAAAAAGAGCTTTGTAACAATTCATATTTTTAAAGTGATGCACTGAAATAACTGCGGAATATTGGACTCATTCCTGTGTTTAAATACTGTAACATATAATCCTCGCAGAACAATAATGTACTGAATTTTTTGTTTACTGTCATACTAAACTACTGTATTAAAATTTTAGCCACTTCAAATCTTGTGCATAAAATACATTAAGGAGGTACACAAATGCAAGACAATTCCTGTATAATTAATCACTTCTAGCTCGGTACAATTTCCACACCTTTATCTGATCTAATATAATCTTCACATAATTGGTCTTATTATAATTTATCTTCACCTAGCTTACCTTCATTTGATTTATTATTACCTGATTTATCTCATGCATGTAGGAATCGTCTTGAGGCAATGGGAAATGTTGTGCATACACCAGGTGTCTAGGAGGCCGCTGTTTACCTTCTCCTCGAAGTTCTCCTCTTCCACCTGTGCCAGACTCTTCTAGACTAGTGTCAACAGCGATCTTCTGAACCATTTTCCCAAGATCTTCGTCAATATTGTCCGTTCCATCCTACAACAATTAATGTAGGATTTATTACTATAGCATTTTCCTATTTGTTGTTGTAAGACAAGTTAGCTGTAATGTCTTTTCCAAACTATTTTAGCTACTTATTCTATTTTTACATTATTTAAAGTCCATGTTCTAATGAACATGTGTACATTTTGGGCAAAACTATATTTTATTATTTTGTACTTGAACTACCTGTCCAGAACTATGGAATATAAGGGCATTGCATTAAAACACATTGCTTAAGTATCAGTGGAATGTATAAGAATATTTTACAGTGATAAGACAATGCAAAACATTATGTTAATTCTACCTCCTTCTTTTCTCCAAAGGATGAGTCAGCCTTCAGATCTGGAGTGCCCGTAGCTAGATCACCACGGGAGATGAGAGTACACATGTATGTATCGTGGCTAAACACATCTTGACGGATCAGCTCGGAAAACAAGAGAACCAAGTTCCCAAATTCCTGGGATCTAACTGACAGAGCATTCTCATCTGTTGAAGGAAATAAACAAATAAGAAAAGATAGCACACAAAAGTACTGTTAGACCTCGGTAATATGAATTTCAGTAATCCGGGTGAATTCACATTCATTGTTTTCATGTAATTGGCTGGAGTAACCAGGTAAGCCATGAAAATGTGTGGATAAACATCAAGAATAATTCAGCTGTGATACAAAAAATTTGCAAATTTGTTCTTTTTTGAACATTTCTAGTAAGAAATCCAGCCAAGTCAAATGTTAGGGCAACTCGAATAGAGACGAACCCCATGTGATTTGGATTACCGAGCTTAGACAGAACAGTACTCAAAACACGAGAGAATTTTTTTTACATATAACTTATAACTTAATACAGTAATACAAACTTTGGAATAAAACTTCACCAAAATATTAAATTTTAATTTGTTTAATGATAATGACTACTAGGCTAAAAATATAATATAAGCTTTCTAATATTGTAAACACACATGATAAAAAAATGAATGACTGCAATTTTTATGCTATAGTGATGGCCAATGTAAACCAAGTCAGCCTGAACTACTTTTGAGAAATCTATGTGGCTACTTAGAAATTATACTACTATAGTAAATGAAGTTTACAAAAAAAAGCAAAATCAAACAAATTTTCATGTATGTTCACAGAAACACATGTGAATCCACATACTGTATATGCACAAACTAAAATGTTTAGTCAATTCAGTACGTGACCATTTATGCCACAACAAAAATCACAGAAAAATTACTGTACCATAAACAGGAGCTTGTGTATCCAAAAACTTGAGCAAAAGGTTCTGGAAGATGCATCCACCTGGGGTAACCATCTGATTGGAGGTGACCGAGTCTTTTTCATCTGGAAGATCATTCTCAGCCGAGGTAACATTATTCTGCCTCTTCTCCAACAAGCGAGCAACGACCAGAGCACGGTGCTCTCCACAGCGCTGCACCGACACTGCCCATTCACAGAGGGTCCGCACAATAGCCTCGTCATTGCTATTGCTCGTGTTATTACTGCTGGTGTTATTTCCAGTGTATGTATTACTGCTACTGCTGCTATTGCTATTTGGATTCTGTACATAAGAAAAAATGGTTAATTTAATTTCCTGTTAAGACAGCAAAGTGCTTAATATTGCTATGAGGGGTGGTATTCAGAATTTAAAACTTAAGTCAGTTTTTAATGAGGATAAGGGAATGTATGATAAGATAACAGAATGAACAGAAAAATAAGAAAGTACAGTAATGCAGCTTTGACTGTGAGATTGATAGGCACTGTGAAGATGGTCATGATCAAGAAAGAAGTGTGATGACAATGATACCCTGAACTATCAGTGTTTACAGGAAGTAAAATTTAATATTCTTTAATTCCCTGCCTCTTAACTATTTTTTTTACAACCAAAATGCACTGTCCTTTATTCTTGAAGCTGCACATGAAGGCAACTTCCAATGCTACGTTTTACACAGCATTTCACTTGCTGACTACACAAGAGTAATAGTATTTCCATAAGTTTCCCCAATTCATTTATTTCAAATTTTCATGTCCTTTTTGTTCTATTATCCCTCAATAATAAAGGTGGCCCATGTTCATTTTGTCTATTTCCCTCAGTATTTTGCATGTAGTGACCATCTTCACTGGTCCTCCTTCCTTATACAGCAGTTTTTGGACAAGTTCTTTTAACCCGTTTTCACAGCGTAATTCTTCTATTGCTAGCAGCAGCCTTATATCAAACCTCTGGACTTTTTCAATCTTCTTTTTTGTGCTTTAAAAACTGAGGATTCCATACCAGTGCTGCATTTTTTAACTGGTCTGATGTAGAATATACTATTTTGTTAAGTTATTACCCTATTAAAGCTTTGAAGTTTGCTGGTTTTTCATGTGCTGTGGACATCAAACAAAAAAAATCCATTACCAATCCCAAAGTGCCAAAACCATGCTTCCAGCAAAGTGTTGAGTGCCCATTGATCTCCGAGGAAAATGCCTGGCATCCTTCAGGCTTAGTGTCTAGCAGCTTCCAGGTCGTATGCCTTGGCACTTATGTTTACTTTCTCTGGATTCCTGAGCTGTGATGCTTTGGATTGGTTGTGTTGTTCTGCTGCCAGGTAATTTTGTTATAATTTCAGTCTCCTTCCAATCATTTTGCTGGAGTCCCAAGGTTTTGCATCACCTCAGACTTGCTTAGGCTCAGGGTGTCTAGCCTGGCCACCTGGGGGAACAGTTTCCAGGAGTAATGTTCTTGGCTCCATGGAATGGGCATCACTTTGCTTATCCACGAGTCACAGGCTAAGCTTGGTATCTGAGCTCAGTTTGAATATACTGTAAGAGCTCAATAATTCAAATTCCTGTAACCTGAATCTTTGCGTAATCCAAATAATTCAAGTTAAGGTTTTTTGACTGCACATCTTTAATAAAAATTCTGTTTACTGAAATTTCTAATGAACAAAAACTCAAATACACTACTGCCAATTTAAATTTTTGTATTTTTGGAATGCCAGGTAAAAATTCAGCTAACATGAATGGGAGTGGACCTCATATAATTCATATTATTGAGCGTAAACAGTATTACTACATACATACACTGGGCATACTGCTCATGTATGCCCAGACTTTTCTCTGGAGTGTTTCTCCCCACTTTTCTGGGCTCCTTGCCCAGTGTTTCCCCCAAAGCATTTTGGGTTATCTGCCTTTGGCCTTTATTGCTTTGTGCTGTTGGAAAAGTTTGCCCCAGTACTGGTACTATTGCACTGTGTGCCTTCATTAAGATGTGGCATGGACTTTCACATAGCTGCCCCTGTCATCTGGGGCAGCTACCCAGATGACTGGGTTCCCCATTTTTCCACTTTACTGGGTTTACCAAGTGGTTTACCACTTCTTTTGGCAGAACACCCCAGGGCCATGAGTTCCAGTCTCTGGTCTAGTGGTCCAGTTGTCCAGGCGGTGGTCCAGTTGTCCAGGCGGTGGTTCAGTTTTCTTGGGACGTAAGCTCCTGGAGTTACTCCAGGGATCTTGATTGTTCATTTCTGTATCTGTACAGTTCAGCATTCTGCTCCTCTGGGGGTGATGTGTTCTATTTCAGCTACCTCTTATCCTGGTTTTTTAGGGTGGCAGATGTGGCCCTAGTCTTAGGCTGCATTGTTCCCTCTTTGCAGATGGTTCCCTGCCAATGTTCTTATTATATGGCCATTTTGTGCCCTACGAGGTCGAGATTTTTTAATGTTTCTCTTGTCGCTTTATCTTGCCCCAATAAAATTTGCACATGCAAGCCACCCTTCATGGTTTTCAAATTTAGGTGTGCAAAAATAAATTACGTACATGCACAATTGTGATTTGCAAACTTGTACAAATCAAAGGTTTACTGTTTACAAGACAACATACATGACAAAAAGTCTAAAATATATGCTAATATAATGCAATGAACCTTATACAAGATAAAAAACCTAGACATATGCAAGATGCTACACAGGCTACCAAGGTAAGCTATAAATTATTAATTATATAGAGATACATGCACTTGCACAGTTAAATAACAAATGGATACACAATCAGATAAAATTATTAATGAAAGCAAACAAAAAGTTTACAAGCAAAAATACAATTGCAGTACACAATAAAACTAAGAGCTCGACAATTGAGCAAGAGCCAACAAGTCATAATATAGTACTGGCATATGTTCTAATACTGTATATGTATTAAACCAATTTTACCATAAAAATACTGACCTCATTATTTGCTTCCTTTGTAGAGCCGAAAATCTTATTGTATAAGGTGTCGAGAGAATTATTCGAGTCAACCCGATCAAAGCAGTGGCGATCAAGTGCATCAAGAGCTCCCAAGACTCGATTTATTGTGGATCCTGTTGACAGAGGCAAAGATGCTACAGCACCAAGATAAGAACACTGAGTTAATATCACATTATAATTTTGTAATTACTTATATTCATGTGTTGTTATATCAAAGAATCTAATGTTAATAATACAATTGAACTACAGTAAACAGTTTTGACGTGAAAACTTTTTTTTATATTTCTTAAATTGAACAATAGATAACGCTATATAAATCATGACATACGGGTGTAAGTATGAAAATAGTTATTACAATTTAAATCATATAAATTGAGTTAATTACAAATATAATTTAAACTCCCAGGGCTTTATCTTACCAGTTACATTAACAGCAAATTTATCCAACGACCACCGATTCTCTGCAGCACGACTTCGCTGTCTAATGTGTTCCTCCATCATCTTCAGCTGAACTCTGAAAAGTTACAAATATAATCTTTGCATTACCAAGCACTGTACATCCATTTAGTTACTAAGGATGTCTAAACATTGCAGAAAAGAGGTAAACATAACACTGTCTTCCATATCATCGAAAAACTTGGTCAGAAAATATTGTTAAAATGTGCTGTACTGCCCCACCTGACATGCTGGTTATTATAGCGAGGGGGCATCGGGAGATCAGAAGGGGCACAGGGAAGCAGGTCGAGGGGAGACCCAGTGAGCCAAGAAGAGGCTTTACCTTCACTAGCATTGTTCCACACAAGTGCAGTTGGACAGTCAAGGGTGATGGCCTGTACGTGGTGTAACAAAAGAAGATTACTGTAATTTTATTTTAATATGAAGATATTTAAATGCAAAATAGTATTAGAACTGTAATTATAAACAAATATGTACACTCGAGTTCTGTTTTTTCACTGAAGACTTTCCCTACAGGACTATTTTTTTTTAACAAAGCACATCACAAGTGAGCTTTCATTTTTGTCAAGTTTTGCAATTACAGGAGGAAACGTGTTAAAATTAAAGCAAATCTTTAACCGGCCCAACCAGATTATTTATGCCAGAGTTAAAAGCAACTCTGGAATATTTGCTGCAGACTATTGTAAGTTAAATTTTCAGCTAAATACCTGGATGAAGCAGGAGGCAGCCAAGACAACTGGGCGGTGCTGGTGGCAAGAGAGAAGCTCCTGGAAAGTTGCCGCCAAGGGGTTTATTGTTGGGCCTGGTGGCTGGCTACTCCCAGAACCCTGACCAGTCGTGCCAAGTCTTAAAAGTAAAAGTCATCTGCTAATTTGTAGTAAAACAATAAATGTTGCACATGATCTTAGAGTGATTTATTTTCAAGTATAAAGTTATATTATACAGAAATGCAAGAATGTTTAATTTTTTAAGATATAAATAGTCAAAGTGGGAAAGATTACATACATAAATACATACCTATGTAATTGGAACCTACCTTGCATACTAGGCCAAATAGTGTGGTTCTGGCTATTAGGTATGACATGTATACCAATATGTATGTATATACATATTGGTATACATATATACACACACACATACATACCGTACACACACAAGTACAAAAGGTGCACATATTGCATGTCCTTACCCATTACTAGGCTGATTGACAGGAGACTGTGGTCTGGGTGAGGAGTATCCAGAGTCATGACATAGCTGGGCCAGCTTTGCTGCAGAGTAATGGGCTAGTTTGCGTGACAGGTACTCTGACTGTGTGATCTCGTCCAAATACTGTAAGGGCAGAGGCAATACCACACGAAGAACAACATCGTGCTCAGTTCCACGCCAACGCACAAATGTCTCCACAATCCATTCTAAAAGTTCTTGACGATCTAGTAGGCCTTCCTGCAACAGTAAGCAAAGAAATTCGGAATAATTTTTGCTCCTTATATATAATGATGACATTATTCCCACCCCACTGCTCTATTAATAATTACAGCATTGTATAGTGTTTTAGCATTATCACATTCTTCTATTACTTTAGAGCCTTAAACTGCAGCCAAGGTGCAAAAAGTTAACAAAAGTGAACCTATACAAACATACAACCAAGGCATCTTTCACTTGTTAAGCAGTGAAAGATGTGAATGCAAAAGTCTCTCTACCTGATATTATGCTGAGAAAATCAGGAAAGTTGTGGTGGGAGTCTATCATCACACAAACACCACCATCAATTTTGCTATCGATTACTGTACATCCAAATATTTTATATCATTCTACATTATAGGGTCCAGTAGTACAGTGGCTAATTTCTCAAACTTCAAATTTTTTTCTTATGGAATGATAAACCTTTTTATTACATTACAATGATTTGAATTTTGAATAGTCATAACTAACGAATATTATCAAACCTAACCTAAAGTGTGCTACTCATGGTTGCTGTCTTGGTACTAAGACTCTCACACCCAGTAAAGATGACCACGATTTTTGTCCAAGATGGCGTTTGTTTACAAATGACATCTCGCATCCACCTGGCTGAGGAAGTGGATAAGAGCCACATGCTAGACCTCAAGACTACCCAAGATGATATGTGCACCACTGATGAAATGAACTTGGCCGATACATGCAGTTGAAGGGTTAAGAACCAATATTCATTAATCATACCCCTGAAGTTATATAACAAAATTCCCACCATTAAATATGCTCAATGGCTCTTCCAAGATGCCAATTATTTATTCTGTTGTTGAACTTGTGTACAAAAATAGTTAAAAATGTGATTGGAGCAACAGTCAAGGATAATGGTCTAGGAAGGACCAAAGCATCCTCACTTACTTACTTTTCAGCTGTGTAGCTGGGTGTCTAATATTCCAAGGAGTCATATACAGTATTAATTTATCCCATGCTCAAATGGCTGAATTTCCCTGAGCAAAATTTTAAATTGGTCTATCATAGGATGAATATCTACCAGGAAAACTAGACTGTAAAAAGGATTTGACCATCATCTCTGCATTTCCCAGGAAATATATTTTTAATTTATTTCTTTTAAGTTTATTTTGCATTTTATTTGTGATAATTATTTTGAAGTATGAAGCCCCAGAAGTTTATTTTTCAAAGGGTTGACGTCATACAGCATAAGCAATTGTTGAAGGATTAAATTTGAGAACATGCTAAGGGTTGCACCTGATACATGAAGTGAGCCAGCTGAAGACAGTAATTCCAGTTGCGCACAACATGAGTCAACTGTGCAGTTGTTGGCTGCCCTGTTCCACCACTTGCAGGTACTACACTCCCAGATCCTGACATTCCTGAAAAGCAAACAAAAATATTTAAACATTTCATTCAGGACCAGAAAGAAATACATGTACAAAAATCAAGCAATGCATGTATTTAAATGCTCTTTTTTGGTCGATGTCTTAGAAACTTTTCCAGGACTTTAGCGATGTCTAATTCTCTCCAGAAAATGTCAACCTTTCTTCAGCTATATTTCTTATTTTTGCTGAAGAAAGATAAAAGTCGTTGGTCTGTGATATTAAGAAAGTGTTCTCTGATTGTGCTTCCAGCACCTCCAACTCTTCACTGGATTTACTCAACACTTTTTCCTTACAAGTTTTATTGTGAGATTAGCTTTCATATTATGATTGTTTTGACAGCTTTTAATCATCTTGCATGTAAGTATATATATATATTCTGTGATAACTCTATTGTTTTCATTTCACAGCATATTCTGAACTATTTGAGATGGTCTCAGTAATTTAGGAGTTTTACTGTATATGATTACAGTACAGGGTCTCTACATACATTCTGTTTCGGATATCTTGCCTGCCTTGATAAGCGCAGTATTTCAAGGAAGATATCACAAGTGGTAAATTATTGGAGAGGTATCCCTAATTTTGAAGGTTCTCATAATCCACTATCATTTGCTTAAAGGAGTAACCAAGTGAAATAGCTTGTAAGCTCCAGCAAATGTTTAATAGAAATATATTACACTTCCAAATACAATACAGTAGATATGTTTCCCACCATATTGCATAAATCCGATTTAATGCATAAATCATAAACCCCATTAAAAAACCTCCTCTCATGTCAAATTACCCTGTCCATCTGTTGCTTCAAATTCCACAACCATATCAGTCATACCTATACTGAATTTCAGTCATACCAGTTACTCTTCCTTGACAAGCATTTCATACAAATATCAATTCCATTTAATGCTCTATGTTTCTCTTTTACATCCTTACTAGGACACAAAATACATTATCTCTTTCTTTTGCATTCTTTCATTTTGCTTTGTCTCAGACTTGCTACAATAAATTGACCTTCATAAACATGTCCCAAAATTTAGTCCCTTTTTGTGCACTTTCCAGCATACTCTTATCACTATCATACAGCTCTACACTTAAAAAAAATTTTTTTAGAAGGGTGAAGTCATTTTTAAAAAGAGCTCTAGAATAATGAAACAAGAAAAGACCAAAATGTTAACTTGGTTAAAGCATATTGTGGCTTCTTATGACTCTTAATACCAAACAAAACTACCATACTAATAATTTTATGTACCATTATCACAATATTGTCCATGAATCCATTTTAATACATAATGGGATCAATAAAATTCAAAAGGTCTTATCTCACTGGTAACTCCAGGAAAAACAGCAATGCTAGACAAAGTGACAATAGACTAGTACCTTGATTGTGAGGAGATGACTGTGGAGGTTGAGTTGTGGGTGGAGTTGGGACTGCTGTAACAGTACTATTACTTGGGGCAGATGCTCCGCTGGTGTTGGCATTAGGAGTGGAGCCGGCAGATGAAGCACCCGAGGTTGAACTAGGATTGCCTAGATAAATTTCTGCAATTTTATTGTGCTGTTCACGCAGGAGTCTTGTGAGAGTCTGTGTCCATTCTGGTAAACAATAAGAATATTTTAATGCCATCCTAATTCCTAGAAATGTAGCACGTACACTGTACTTAATGTTTAACATTGTTCAAGTAGGCGTACAGCATTAACAAGTATCTATACACATTTTACTCTAGCAAATTAATATTTTTGCTCCAACATTAACATAAGTAAAATGGATTTCTGAATGTCCCTTATATTCAAAATTTTATTCTGTTGTAAAGGTGTAATGATGATAATCATTTGATACTGATACTGCCTTATTAACCCTTAAAGTGAAATAGAGTCAGACGAGGGTAGGAATTACCAAATTATGACATGACAATAATACCAGTACATGATAAACTCATCACATAATAACCATTTAAAAATTATAAATTTTTTTTATGGGCTAAAGTTAACTATTACATCCTTATAATTGTATTATAACCACATTTACATCATTTGTAAAAAAATCAGGCAATAATAACTAAAACCAACACATGATAAATGCAATACTCAGAGGATCAACATTATAGATTCAATAACTGCACTTCAAGGGTCAACTTTATCAACACAAAATAGAACATGAAACAATGGATAAATTGGGTAAGTTTAGATTCAGGAAAGGCCTGGGTAAATACTAGTTTGGAAATAGGGTTCAAAACTTACGAAACAAATGACATATAACATAACAGACATAGGGATCATTGCATTGTTTCAAGCATAGGTTAGACATATATGAATGGCTTGGGGAGGATATAAATATGAGCTGCCCAGTATGGGCCATTAGTCCTTTATTTCTATGTTCTTCAGTGTACATATGATTATGAACTAGAGCATTAAGAGAGGCAAAAGTACTAGGTAAAAATAGTTAGGTGGGCGTCAAAGAGCTAGATCTAACTCTTAGACACACTGATAGGTAGGAACTCATATTAAACATTGAACAAAATTGACTCAACAATGCAATATTCCTTTACTAAATCATTATTTACTAATTCATTAATTATGTAGCCATGACAAACTGCACCTTACCACCACCACCTAATGACCATTCGCAATGTGTCGTCATCACACACACACACAAAACTAACTTGCCTTGTGCAATATCAGGTTGTTGGCGCTTCTTAATTTTAGATTCTGCAACCTTCGACTCATGGTATGCTGAAGTCATTTTTATAAACCAAGTTGCTCGCAGCATAGGCACAGAGTACTCACACAGTGTCAAGAACATGTCTTCTCTCTTGCTGAATATAGGAACCTGTCAAGATTCATGACAAATTATTTTAAAATAGTTAATACCTATAAAGATAAGTATTACAATAATGCAAAGTTAAAATATAATACAGTACAGTATTGCATAATAGTGAATGAGGAAGGTGTAATAAATTTGTTAAAATATATAATCAAGCCCTTAAAACCTATGCATACTGTACAGTAAATTTAGAGAAATAGTAAAATTAAAGTATATAATATACAGTACCCTGTACTGGGTATATATATTATTATATAGTAAAATTCACATCCAAACTTTTCAACGTACTTTTTTGGCGAGGGATGTGAGAGCCTTTGAGCCAGCCAGATCTTTAAACCATGCCTCTATGGCTGTTTTGGATCTTGGTGTCACCAGCCAAAAGTTATCTTTAATGTTTATTTGTTGCTTCTTCCTGGCTGTATCTGGAAGCTGGTTAGACTCTGCTTTCTTCTTCAAGATGGCATTAAAGTAATTGGCCACCTGAAAAACACAAGAATGGCACATACAAAACCTATTATTTTTAACAATTATTTAATACGAAAAAATATGTATTAACTAAGAGAAATTTTACCCAAGTACAAATTCTGCATACATGATCCCAGACAAGGCTGATAGGAGTTTTAACTCCTGGCACTTTGTGGCAGAATCTTCCACTGTTTCTTAAATAATGTAAATATTAAATATGTGACATCAGTGTTTTTATTTAATCCTTTGCTGTATATCAATCTTCATAATTCATACTATGTACATAACATGCACTACAATACAGGCAAATATACCGTTTTGGAGGGATCGGGCCCAGGAGCTAACGAATAGAATAAGTAACTCACTTTTCCAATTGTAAAAGCCCAAGTCTTCAGGAAAAAAATTACTTTCATTATACTGCATGGCACATTTCAATTAATTTTTTCCCTGAACGCTTATTTGTGATATTTCCATCTTACATTATTTTTAATAAAATATCATGGTTGGGTTAATGTACAAATAATGTATATACAGTATACTGTATTCGTGAAACAAAATATATTACAGTACATCTTGACCAGACCACATACTAGAAGGTGAAGGGACGTCGTCGTCCCTTCACCTTCTAGTGTGTGGTCTGGTCAACATTCTTCAGCCACATTATTGTGACTCATCTCTTGCTTACAGTACATATGTACAATATATGGCAGCCAATACCAGTGCAGTATCGTAGGTAACTCCATCAAAATATGTTTATAATGTTGGTAAACATTACCAACTGAGATAGTTATATTTGGTAGGTGAATAACCAAAGCCATGATTGTTTTCTTAATGTAAATACTGTGCTGTACGAGCTCAGTTATCTGGATTATATGGGAAGAGACGTTTAGAAAGTATGAGTAAGGTGCTAAACAAAATGCAAACAATATCACTGTGTATTTTACATCCAGAGGAAGGATCTATTATGAGTTTAATATTGGAATACAAACTGATACTTTATGACAAGCATAATACTGTATTATTAAGTTATATTCTAAAAGTGAAATTGGAAAAGGTATGAGTGAATGCAGAGTGCTGAGCAAGGTAAAACTTGAGAAACTAAATCAATTTATGTGGAAATGGAACAAGTGGGCGCTGGCTCAAATATGTATTTCTCTGCATAAAGTGGTAGGAGTACAGGAAGGGGTTCATATTATGCTAGGGAATGTAGTTTCTCATTACCTAAGGATGACAATATCCTTCAGCACTTATCCCTTATATTTCCTTCAGACAGAAGATTTTGTCATTGGAGGTCATGGCATTGTCAAGTTTAGCTAGTACAGGATAGTGATTAATAGTAAGAAGAGGCATTGAGAGCACATAGAATGTTTGAATGGAAAGAACCCAGTTATTGGCTAAGTGAGGCCATAACAGAATGGCTTGAAGAATGCCTACAAGCTACCTCCATTATTACAGCAGAGGAAAAGGGTACAAAGGTTCATCAAACTGACATACCTTAGCGGGCGTGATCGAGGTATTTTGTGCACTACCATACTCATCCTGAATCTGTGGTCGGTGGGTGAACCCCTGCTTAACACTGACATCATCCAATTCATCCTGAAACAGAGTTAGATGACTTAAACAGTAAACAAATACTGCAGTTGAATCTTTAAACTCTGCCTACATTTATTATTAATTATACTGTGTAAATTATACTGTGATAAAATATTAATGAAGTGTGTGTATATCTTTTGGAGTAAAAGTTTATTAGAGCATCAGAGGGCTCTAAAATAGGAAGAAACATATCATTTACAGGCGAGTACATTAGGGATATACTGTAAAATGCATAGTGACTCCATCACAATGACGGAGTCATAATAATGATTTATCTTTCCCGTTCTGGTGGCATGTAAAGCTTTAAGCTTTATAAACAAACCTCTGTTCATTACACAATTTATTGGAAGTGTGTAGGCTTCTATACTCCATGACTGATAAACAACCAACATATTTTATAAAAATACATATATTCTCACTTCAGATAGTCATATAGGATTTAAAATATAGTTTATATTTGTCTTTCTTCACAATATAAAACATATTTATTAATATATACAAGCAAAATAAACATTCTGCTTATAATTCATTTTGAATGTATGCACAGTACTTTTCCCTACATAAATTATCAAACATTATTCTTAGGGTTTTAAGGATCAAACATTATTCTTAGGGTTTTAAGGATCAAACATTATTCTTAGGGTTTTAAGGATCAAACATTATTCTTAGGGTTTTAAGGATCAAACATTATTCTTAGGGTTTTAAGGATCAAACATTATTCTTAGGGTTTTAAGGATCAAACATTATTCTTTGGGTTTTAAGGATCAAACATTATTCTTAGGGTTTTAAGTATCAAACATTATTCTTTGGGTTTTAAGGATCAAACATTATTCTTAGGGTTTTAAGTTGTAGTCTAAATGTTTTTCCCACATCTTGCCCGAAACGCTGTGCGTATTAGTGGTTTCAGGCATAGGCATAGCATTTCGGCATACTGTACTCTACTTTAGGCATAAGCTAGATAGAGCTTAGGCACTAGCTCTATCTAGAAATCCAACATTATGCTTGTAACTCATTTTGAATGTACTTTTACCTGAATAAACATCTATTTATGTACTTATTATTTATTTGACATTTCTGACGAGCTCTAATTGCATACAGCTCCTTCTCGTATATCCGAATAATTCGAGTAGCACTCAGTATCTTAACATGACCCAATGGTATAACTGTACCTCTTTTTGCTTGGCATCTTGCGGATATACATCGGGTGGTCCTAATTTTTGCCGTTTGAGTGGCCGCTTCTCGGCGGAAGGTACGGCCATCATTTTGTTGACCCCCCACCAGCGGCGTGCTCGCTTACTCTCCGAGGCCGTACCTGACACTCCCAGCCACGGTTGCCAGATTCACGAAGCAGTTACGCAAGTACTTCCGAACGTGTACATCTTTCCACAATCTTTGACGCCTTTGGTTACATTTATTAAACAGTTTACAAGCATGAAAACTTCTCCAATCAACTGTTGTTATTGTTATAAACAGGCTCCTGGTGCTTCGGAGCTCATTAACTGTTTAATAACTTTAAACAAAGCCGCCAAAGATTGAGAAAAGATGTACAGGTTCGTAAGTGCTTGCGTAACTGCTTCGTGAATCTGGCTAGGTTGCCAGATCCAAATTGCGGAAAGTAACGAGCTGACGCTCTAAAAGTAGCGAATTTGTAATAAAAGTAGCTCAATTTTTGGGGGGAGTGAATGATACGAGTTTCAAAGTAATATATTTTGATCTATAGAGTACACTACACGATGTTAATTGTTTTATTAATATTATTTCTGCACATACACACACACATATATATATATATATATATATATATATATATATATATATATATATATATATATATATATATATATATATATATATATATATATATATATATATATATATATAGACATATATATATATATATCAGGAAACCGTACCAAATCCCCATGGTTGCATAGGAAATATAGATGTTTATCTCTCAGAATGTTTGGTAATATGTTAATTGTTTGTGATGTGTGTATATGCATGTATTAACACAATGTACTGAACGGGGTGAGAATCGCTTGAGCTACCTCATCCCTTTGCGTGTATTTTACCTCAATAAACTTATTTCAATTTCAATTTCATGGTTGCACAAGGGTTTTCCAAGATGGCTGCCAGTTTACCCACCAAAGACAGTGCCTGTGATACTATAGCTCTAGGGTGCTGTGGCTGACGCTGGCTCAGCAGTAGACGTAATTCGTCGCCCTCAAGCCAACACCAGTAGGCGTAAACAAGGCATGACTTTCACTTATTTTCTTATATATCCTGATACATTTAAGGCTTATATACCATTTGTAATAATAATGATCTTATCTATAAGGGTTCTAGGTTTATATTTAGTCATTTGTGTCTATGTGGGGTAATATAGAGTTTGTGAGTGATTCAGTCACCTCGTACACAAGCCAGCTCGCCCCCAAGCTTGTTCCCTCAGCATATGTAGTTGAGCTGTTAGTACTCATTTCCCCCCCTGGTTTGTTGGTCTAGGTGGTGGTGGGTAGTTAGGTGGACTAGTGCTGGGTTAGGGTGAGTGAGGCGTGGCAGTATGGTGTGACTTGTAGCCAATTTGTTTGTGGTACAATAAACATGTTTGTGGTTTGTAACTGTGGATCCACTTGGATGCTTTAGCCTACAATAGATATTAAAACCTAAACAAATGATACAGCATATTTGTTTATTGTATTATATATACTGTATATATATTCATGCAGGTCCCTAATTTTAATTTTTGCTGGAATACAACGCGCTAAATCGTTTTAAAAACCAGGTACCCATTCACTGCTAGGTGAACAGAGGCGTACAGTTAAGGGTTGGCGCCTAGTCGATCCTCCCCGGTCTGGATACAAACCCAGGCCAATCACTCGCAAAGTGCCGGGCAAGTGTGTTTCCACTGCGCCACAGGGACTGCAAATATGTTTTTCCTGCACACTGCCCCCCAATCAGTGGGTGGACTGGTTACATTCACCCAGTTACTACCTACAGTTAGCAAACTGGGGATATTTGTCTAAAATTTCTGGTAGCAGATCATTTTGAATGAAATATTTACACTTCTCTGGAACATTTGTTATAGAATTGTCTCTAAATTAATGTGTCTGTTCACACTCCATCACATAGTAAATGAGGATGTACGAATAATTTTGTTGACACAGTTTACATTTAGTTAGGTCTACATCAACAGGTTATGAAAATTCTCAGAGATACTTACAGCCGAATCTAAGCCAAGCAGTAGTAACATTTTTTTTTTTTTTTTTGAGATATATACATACAAGAGTTGTTACATTCTTGTACAGCCACTAGTACGCGTAGCGTTTCGGGCAAGTCCTTAATCCTAAGGGTCCCTGGAATACGATTCCCTGCCGCGAAGAATCGTTTTTTCATCCAAGTACACATTTTACTGTTGCGTTAAACAGAGGCTACAGTTAAGGAATTGCGCCCAGTAAATCCTCCCCGGCCAGGATACGAACCCATGACTTAGTGCTCGCGGAACGCCAGGCGAGTGTCTTACCACTGCACCACGGAGACTGCTAAAGACATGTAGGAGTCTGCTGATTTTATTGGATGTTTCATAGATGTGTGGCACTTCTTGCATGATAGTATGATGATAGTTGGAATAACTAGTGCCAGTTTCACTTTGCCTCAGATCTACAAGGTTTTGTTGAAGTTCTTTGTGTATTATTGTTCTCAGACTGCTTGAAGGAAATCTAAGGTTATAATCAACTCCTTTGAAGGCAGATTCTTTGGCAAACTCATCAGCTCTTATCATGCATTCAGAGGTCAATGTAGCATATGCTGCTGATGATATCCTTTTGATGTGGGCTTCTGGTGGGGGACAGGTTTGGTGTGTGATATCAACCCCCAGATGATTTCTCTCTATTTGACTCATATCTTGAGGTTATCTTGAGATGATTTCGGGGCTTTATCTGCTCGGCCAACCGGCTCCCTCCCTCTTGCAGGATTTCACCTGCCAGATGGTACCTAATCTTCAGCCTCCTGCTCCCTTCACCTAATTTCATTACTTTATACTTTTCTGAGTTAAACTTTAGTAGCCATTTTCTAGACCATTCCTCCAGTTTGTCCAGGTCATCCTGTAGTCTCTGTCGATCTTCATGTCTTGATTCTTCTCATGATTTTTGCATCTTCAGCAAACATTGAGAAGGAGTCTATACCCTCTGGAAGATCATTTACATCTATAAGAAATAGGATGGGAGGATATATTAGAAACAGGATGGGATAGTCATAATGGTTTAGTGCTTTCTTGCCTATCCCACTTCCTACTTCCTAGTTAATGCTTCAATGGGTTTTAATTATACAGGACTCTTTTAAGTCAGGAGTGTTCATGGGTTTGGTGGGAATGTACAGGGCCTGGATTGCATTGATGCTTTCTAAAGGATTGAGGCAGGGATGTGTTTTGATTGGTTGGTTAGTAACAGCCTACCTTTTGATGTTGTAGGGTGTGTGATGTCATTGGCTCTCTGAAAGGCTTGCATGCACTTGTAAACAGATAAAAAATATCTATGCCTTGTAAATAGAGATTGGGAGTAAATTGGTTTTGGCTGTATTGACTTTGACTCCAGGGACTTGCAAACATCTTAAATTAAAATGGTCCAGGACAGACTTAGAGTGGCCTTGACATTGATGTCATACATTCTACCTTAGTATCCAGTGACTCGATGATATTTCAGAAGCGCTAATACCTTAGGGAGTGGCAGAATAGTGCTCTTTTTTTTTTTTTTTTTTTTTTTTTTTTTAGCAATCTCAGAGCCTATCTTTTATGTAGAGTGCATTAGAAATAAAAAGTTAGAAACAAGTTTAATTCATGTGGTCATATTTAGTAGAAGTAGATTTTTGTTATAATCTATATGTTTTAATGTTGTTCTCTTTTGGTTGTCAGGTTTTCCGTGCTGCAAGGAGATGGGCTTTGTAGGTTTGTATACAGTACTGTATGGTACAAAATGATGTTTTCTTGTGTTGCAACATTTTTGTGCCTTTCTAATAAATGTAAAAGTCAAACAGATTAAATTTATTAAGAATCTTTGTTCTGTAGCTTGTATTGTTTTAAACAAATATGGGAATAATAATACTATTATAATGATACAGTAATATAAGTAATAATAATAATAAAATATTACAAGCTAATACATTGGGAAGGGGGAGAGTTAAATGAACAAATTTATTTGTTTTTCTGCAACAGTTTTTGGGCTACTCATTGAATTGCTGTTTGTAAATTGCCTTAGTTTATTGATTTTTTCATATCCTTCTCTAGCTAAAGAACTGTTATTTATAATTATATATAGATAGTATTCTCCTTTGCCCACTTCAATAAAATATTAGCAAACCAGCTTATATATATTTGTTTTCTTATTTAGTTCAGGAAGGAGATGAGATTACAGAAATTTCACACGGATGGCGACGGTTGGTGCGGAAAAGGAAGAGTGGGGCAAGTATTGGGAGAATTGATCATTATTATTTAAGGTAAATACTGTATATACTAAATTCTTTTATCTATAAATTATACAGATAGCCCTTGATTTGTGAGGTCACGTTTCTACCAAAACTCCACAAATCATATTTAATGGTTGCTGTACTTGTACTTTACAGGAAAAATAGGGTTATAATTCAAAGACCTTCAAAAGGTCACAAGTTTTCATGCCTTACTGTACTTAACAAATTATATATTTTTAGCATTATATATTTAATGCTTCTTCAACTTTCCAACTATAAATTCAGCACCTTAGGAAATCTTGAATGCTAGGATGTGCAATGATGCATAAACACAACCCAAAAGGTAGATAAAAGACAGGAATGTAGGGCATGTGGAGCTAGACAACTGCCAAGAGTGCAGTACAGTTGACCTGAGGATCAGCACAGATTTTTGTGTGTTAATCCATTTTTGACCCAAACATCTCCAAAATTTATTACACTTTGTAGCTTAGTACAGTACAGTACAGTACAGTACAGTAAGAGGTCAGTGTGTTGGAGGTAAGATGAAGGCAAACATGTGACAGACTAAACACTTCACGTTATATTTGTATACAGTATTAACACTAGAACAAAGCAGTAATATTACAGTACTACATACTGTATTGAAATTTTCTTAGATCTATTTGATGATATTGTAGTTTTTTTGGTTATAGATTTTGTACTAGCCTAACATTTTCTTATAGAAATAGAAATAAGGCCCCATATAGTTTTATTTATAAATCGTCACATCTAAGTGCTACTTTCTGGGCACCCGCCATGAATCATCCTGTGTTTACAGTGGTCATTACTGGACAGGCATACCCACATCAGGTATTGTAGAGAAAGACTATGAAGGACAAGGACCTTTTTCCCTTGCCCTCTCTCAGAGGCAGAGAGCACATGGGGATCAAAGATCAACCCAGTACGGTAGTGACATTCCAAACCTAAAGGAAGGGGGGCAACGAGACGTCCAAAATTCTTCCGAGAAATGTTTAAATAGATGCTCAACTATATATGTACTCTTAAGTGCTATTTTGCATACAAAATGCATATTGTATTACACAACAGTGCATGTACACGATAGTAATCCTGCACTTTGTCTTGGTTCAGTGCGGTACTGATCTGTACTTGTAAATTCAAAGATTTAAATTTATTATATGTGTTATGAGCAGTCTGTGCAGCACCATTTCACCTGCACACCAACATAACTACCTACAGTATGCACACACCCTTGTAATGCAGGTTATGTATAAAATGTTTGCTACATGATGTAGGTACAACTCCATTTCAATATAAAATTTTATTATTTCAAGAAATGTCCACCAGAGCTATATTTATCAGGTTATTTTGGAAGCTTTTTATGATCATACAGAAATGCTGTAAGTTTAAAGTTGATGCAGATACAAGTTAGATTGGCTGCCTCTAACCATTTGATGATTAACTTGAAAAACCTAGTTTGGAAAACTGAAGACCAACAGCTTGGGAAATTTTACATGCATTTATCTGAGGGCTACCATCTCTCTAGTGGCCTCAACAAGAACAGGAAGCTAGTGACTTGTCAAAGATCCCTCCATTATTCCTGATGATTTTATCCAGCTGGATTTTGAACTGTAGCATTGTTTTTCCATTTACGGCTTTAGCGGGTATGCAGTTCTATGGGTTTGTAACTATGGATGAAAAGGCGTCGCCTGCTTTCTATCCTACATTGTGGCTAGTTGAGCTTGAAACCGTTGCACCTTGCACAGTATATGCTACATTTGACCTTTTGAAGAAGTGGTCTGGATCAATATCCTTAAAATATTTCAGTACAGTATTTTAAAAGTTTCAGCGAGACCAGCCTTATCATATTTGGTTTGCAAAATTGTTAGGCCTGTGGTGTTCAACTGTTCCTGGTAAATAACACTTATCCACAGCAATCAGATAAGCCATGATGCACCTCTGATCATACAAACTAAACATCCATCACCAGAGGTCCTCCCATAGGTTTGTGGGGTCCTATCACACAACCATTATTAAGTTATGTGATGGTCCAGGACGGACCAAAATGTTGTTTCTTCATTTTCTGATTTGTGATTTGGATATCACATCTTCAGCCATGTTATTGTGACTCAATTGTTACAATAACCTGTCACTTTGGGCATGTTACATATTGTGACTCATTGTCCCAAATAACAAGTCACTTAGGATATATTACATGAATAGTAGGAGTCTGGGAAGCAAGGTAGACAATTTGAGAGCTCTTGTATGCACAGAAAAAATGGATATTGTTGCACTTGCCGAAACATGGATGAATGTAGAAAAAACGGAACTATTGGCTAAATATCAAATACAGTAAATGGATTTGAGCTATTTCACATGGATGGATGTATTGGGCGAGGAGGGGAGTGGCCATGTATGTTGGGGAAAATTTGAAGTGTAGTCTCGGAGAGAGAATCTTGGCTGAGCCGCCCACAGAAGTTGTTTGGCTGGAATTAAACAAAGAAGCAGATGGTCTTATGGTAGAAGTTGTGTATGGGTTGCCAAATTTGAACAGAGTGGAAGCAAAGCATCTCTGGGATGAGATATCTGGAGCATCTGGGTCTAACAGTATTTGTGTAGTGGGTGAGTAATTTTAGTAGAGTGAACTATATTAGCAGAATGGGGAATGACGAAGCAAGGGATTTTCTGGAACTGATTGATTGATTGCTTTCTTACGCAACACCTTGGGGAACCAATGCGGGAAAATAATATTTTAGATTTAGTGTTGACTAGCAGGCAAACACAAATTAATGACATCAAGGTGGGGCGTGAGCTAGGGAACAGTGATCACAGGGAAATCGGATTTAGCATGGAGTGGAGTGGGTCTGTGGGAGAAAGTTCTGTTGAAGTGTCAGATTTTCAAAAGGGTGATTTTAGTAGCCTAAGAGGCTTTTTTGGGTCGAATGGATTGGAGGGTCTTGGGCATAGGGGGATACTTCAAACTTCACTTGCTTCAAACTGTGCATTCAAAAAGGTGCCATTCGTCTTCATCTTGAAAAACATAAATTGGTGAATGATTCACAACATGGCTTTACAGGTGGCCGTTCGTGTTTGATGGATTTGCTATCATTTTATTCCAGCATGGTTGGGGTGGTTGATGGTGGTGGGGTTTGTGATATTGTGTACCTTACTTTGGCAAGGCTTTTGATACAGTGCCCCGTGAGAGACGATTGGAAGGACGGAGGCTCATGGTATTGGGGGTGCTATATTGGGTTGGATTGGGGCATGGCTGTACCAAGGGAGACGAGAGTTAGTGTGGGTGGGGTTGAGCCGGAGTAGGAGGGGTGTTGTGGGTGGAGTGCCTCAGGGCTCTGTCCTGGGACCTCTGTTATTCATTATGTATGCCAGAGATTTGGATTCAGGTTTGAGTAGCAATATTTGCAGATTTGCTGATGATACAGGGGTCGGGAGGGAAATAGGCAAGGAGGGAGACTCGCTGTCACTTTGGGACAATCTAGGTAGGGTTTTGAAGTGGTTATAGGATTGGCAGATGCAGTTTGGTGCTGACAGGTGTGGGGTTTTGGGGCGAGGTCATGATGGTAGAGTTGCAGTATGCAAGTTGGATGATGTTGAGATTGTGAGATCAGATTGCGAAAGTGATCTGGGAGTTGTGATTGGTAAGAAGTTAAAGCCAAAAAAATCAGTGCATAGATGGTCGTAATGGGGCAGATGGGACACTGGGATTTATTGATCGAAGTGTTAGTGACGGGACACCTGGTGGTGTTCTTCAGCTGTATCTTGCTCTGGTTTGGCCCCATTTGGATTGTGCAGTTCAGTTTTGGTCTCCATACTATGAAATGGATGTGAGTTCACTTGAACGTGTCCCGCTTAACGTTTGAAACAGCATTTCAAACATAGGTTGGATTGTTTCAAACGACATATGATATGAGTGGGATTGGTTGGTTATAAATAGGAGCTGCCTCGTATGGGCCAGTAGAACTCCTGCAGTTACTGTTATTCTTATGTTCTTATTGTCAATAAGACTCCAGTAACTGATGTGGCTAAGTATTGGGAAGCTGTAATGGCAACATAGCTTAAGAGAAACTATTATGGGGCTTCCCCAGAAAAGAGTATCTGTCCTTGCAGAGGTAGCAGTTAAATGGTTGTTACCAGACAAGTAAGTCAGGCAGGCAATGTAGAATAGAACCAATGAAGAGCAGAGGTGCCATAGGCACAATCAGAGAACACTGTATAAACATCAGAGGTCCGCGGTTGTTCAACGTCCTCCCAGCAAGCATAAGAAATATTGCCGGAACAACCGTGGACATTTTCAAGAGGAAACTAGATTTATTCCTCCAAGGAGTGCCGGACCAACCGGGCTGTGGTGGGTATGTGGGCTTGCGGGCCGCTCCAAGCAACAGCCTGGTGGACCAAACTCTCACAAGTCGAGCCTGGCCTCGGGCCGGGCTTGGGGAGTAGAAGAACTCCCAGAACCCCATCAACCAGGTATCAACCAGGTATCAGGCAGACAACTTGAACCCCTTGGGTGATCTGAGTTGTCATCTGATGATGTGCTTGGACCTGAGCGCATTTTTTAATAATAAGCACACTACTGTTTCTCTCGTTTCTGTCTTTTCTTCTTCAACACAGTGCATAGTTTGTTTTGCTTCATCTGTATATTCTGGGTGGTTTTTCCAGTTATGAGGTTTATCTCGGATCTTCATTCTTCTCATATTACTATGAGCACTCCAGATTCTAGTCCTGCTATTGTATTCAGTAGGCCTTGTTGTTTTGTGTGGTAAATATATCAGCACTGGTGTTGTGTGGTAACACCAACAGTCCCCATGGTGCAGTGGTAAGATACTCGCCCGGCACATCACGAGTGCTTTGGCCTGGGTTCGTATCCTGGCCAGGGAGGATTGACCGGGTGCCAATCCTTAACTGTAGTCTCTGTTCACCCAGCAATGAATGGGTACCTGGTTTTTAAACAATTTAGCGGGTCGTATTCTGGGAGGAAATTAGGATTAAGGACCTGCCTGAAATGCTATGCGTGCTAGTGGCTTTACAAGAATGTAAGACCTATTTTCTTCTTCAACAGCCCAGATAACAAGAAATTCAAAACAAAGAAAGCCTCATTGGCCTACGCCGAAAAAAAGGCGATGGCTATCAACAAGAATGAGATACATTTTGGAAAATTATGTAAAATAGGTAAGTGATAAATTTAAGGGCATTCCTATTATATTGAACTTGTATTATAGTAGTGGTCATTTTTTTTTTACCCAGTATAATGGATTAGTAGGTATATTTAGATAAATACTTCTAAACCAATTTACTGGTTACTGTGACTGCTAATCTCAAAGTTGCTACTTGAGCTAGATCTGACCTGAACATTCCAAGCTATTTATTTTGCTGCTTCCAGAGATACATTGCAGTACAGTATAGTGCAGTATATCTAAGGGCCTAGAAAGCTTATGAATGCTGTTGAGCAAGACTATTTATGGCAATGGTGCCACAGAGCACCATTCAATGAAACTTTATAAGTTTCAGTGGAGTCAGTGAGAGTGCTGCTAAGAAAAACAAAGGTTCACAGTTCTGAAAACAATTTAAAGTTTTACAGATTTTGAGTAACATTACATTTGTAACTGTCAATGGAAACTGGTCACCCTCTCAGTCAATCGCACCCTCAAGCCACCAAGTGGCAGCACATTCCGTGACCCAAGTTTGCCACCGAGGTTTTGGCTTGAGTCCAATTATTCAGTACAGTACAGTAATGTCGACCTTGTCACCTAAGTTCTGATGATTGTCTTCCAGATACATGTCGGCTTATTAGATGTGATCAGTATCCCTGTGAATGTGAAATACAGGTCAGTTTGTGTTCCTGAGTTTTTCTGACCAGTTTCTCAGTTGTTTCCTGAGCTAGAATATCAGCCTCTTTGTTCTCGGACTCATCTCCAGTGCTGCCCATAAGGTTCCGGTAGTTCTTGCTTGGTTCGCTGGCTCAGGTCTTCTGCCTTTGTTACTGTTTAAGGTTATGGTACAACAGACTTGTTAGACAAAGTAGCACTACAAGCTTTGGCTGCACGAGTGGACATAAGTTCCCATTAGGAATTTATTTGCACTAGTGGACATTAGCCTTTTGCTAGCCTTTCCCAGTCTAAAGTTTAGCGTAAGGCTCTGACGTCCAGTAATTCTACCTCTGATGCCCCTCTTTCAATACAACAAGTGTTTGCTGGATGACAGAGCCAGAGTGCATGGAGGAATTGTGTGAAACCCTGGGTTGGCTTCATTGGAAGCCTCGGGAATCCTCGAGGGTGCAGTAGTACCCTAGGTTGCAATTCTTTTGACCGTGTCGTGGCATAGTCATTTAGAGCATGCACCTGGAAATACCCAGCACTTAGGTTCGAATCCTCATCATGTGTCCTGTGGATTTTCTCAGGATAACTCTTCTGTTTAGTTAAATAATATGCAACATTTCTTATACTATTTATCCCGAAAATAGTAGTTTTATGTGAGGATTTTTGGTGGTCTGGGAACACAGCGTCCATTTATATCACTGAGCCTATAGGAAATCTGGTTCTGAGTTCCAAACAAGTGTTTTACGAATGACTTTTCAGAGTGCAACCAATTCCTAAGTTGGGTTCTCCTTGTGGTTAAATTTTGTGTGACTTACTGTAATATAATTAAGATTAGTCCTGCAGTCATTTTATTGAAGCATAAGACAAGAGCTGAGACCAGTTTACAGGCATGTGAGATATGGTTGTTAAGAGCAGCAATGTGTTAATGACTGTTTTTCCTCAGAAAACTCATCAGAGGATAAAGACAACAAGAGTCAAAGAACACAGCCATCAAGGAATAAAGATAACAAACTACAAAAAAGCACAAGGCCTACAAAAGATAAGGACAGCAAGGTTATCATTAAAAAATCCCCCAAAAAGAAACAAATTAAAAGAAAACGACTTAATTAAAAAAATAATTTTTTTTCTATACTCCTGTATCTTGATAAATTTGTAATACTTAACCTTGAGTGTTTATAGCAGGTAACACTGCCAACCACAGGGAGACAGACATGCTCAAGAAGTAATGGGATTACTGTATATCATCAGTACAACTTGTGCCAGTAGGATCAGACCCCTTGTCCCTGGACCAACAGTGCCAAGAGCTTTCTCAGGAAGTTGGTTTCCATTATAATATATACAACTAGAGATCCAACGACTCATCCTCCTGTCTCAGCACCTCGAGTGTTGCAGTCCAGAAGGAGAATCCCTACTGCATTCTTGGTTCCTGTTCTGAATTTATTATAACCCTTTTTTATTTTAAACCAAATTCATTAATGTATATCAAAATAATTAAATAAAATGTGATTTTAGAAAAGAATTTCTATCTGCATTTCCATATTACAATACAGTATTCTCTTTACTCAAACAAAGGGTCTTAAGTAATTTAACCAGTGGTTGGTACCCATATATATAATGTTTAATTGAATATGACTACATATTCCGTGTTGATTAGTTTCTTGTTTAGGGCTTTTATTCCTCTGACTATTGCTCTTGCATCTTGGTTTAATTGGAAGAGTATTTCTCCAAATGTCATATTTGTTCAAGGTTGACTAAAAGAAAAAAAATTGTACTTATTAAAATTTTACACAATGTTTCAAACCTCTACAAGGTTCATTCTCTAGTGAGTGAGAAGGCACGAAGGAACATCTGGTTTATAACACTGAGGGATCAGTTACATATAAAGTTAAGTCAGGGCAAAGAGCCAAAGAAAAAGAATAGCGGTAAAGTGAGCATGCAAAGATGATTCGGGTGATAGGGTAATTGAAGCCTAGGTACAGTAACTATAGAGGGTATGGCGGTTTGGGCATGGATGTCATTGTTGGAATGTTCACATTACAGTCTTTCTTACTCTCATGGTGGGTAAGGTGAATAATTCTGTTACAGTATTTGCGTGTTTATGGTGGGTTCTACTTTTATGTGTAGAGCTTCAAGAATTATAATTTTACATCTTTAGCTTTATCTAATATGCAAATGTTTCTATTCAGCATTTCTTTCATTAGGGTGATGTCATGGGCTTCTCTCATGTGATTTTTAGGGGCACCTGATTGAAGATGAAAGGTTAAATGCTTTGTGAGCTTGGTCGACATCATACCTATGTACAGTACTCAGATTGAAGGTTACATCCTTCATGGGGGAAGGGGCAGGTGTACATATATACCATGTCTGACTGCTGCAAAGGGTTCTTAGTAGACTACGGGCTGTTCTTAATGAGGTCAGTGGTCTTCCTTATTTTATAGTACAGTAACTGATTGTTTTGGTTATGGTTGTGTTTTTTACTCCTTTACAGATTATTTCTTCAATTATTCTTTTCTTTTTCTTATAATCTCTGTGCATGATGGATATGTAATATAATTTTAGTGGTGGTGTTGTGGTTTCTGTTCTTGGTTCAAGTTTGTAGTAGATAGTAGTACATAGTAGAAGAACTAATCAATCTAAAAATCCATCTAGAAAGTGAGTCATGGCTCCATTTCACCCATGAGAATACAGTAATAGCAACAACAGTCTGCCTTTCCTAGATGTGTTAATAGCAAAAACAGAAAAATCTCTAAGCACTGGCATATATACCAGTCCTACAAACATAGGATTATGCCTGAATGGAAGGAGTGAATGCCCACAAAGATATAAAGGAAATATTCTCAACGCATATATCCATCGAGCTCTTACCCACTGCTCTGAATGAAGCAATGTGAGTAGGGAGTTGGAAAGGATACTAGTGAATAATGAAAGAAATAGTGGCTACAGTTACCACAAGATCAATAGCACTATAAGATGATACTTGGACCGGTGGTACAATCCTGAACTAAGAACAGAAACCTCAACACTAAAATTATATTACAAATCCACCATGCACAGTGAATACAGGAAAAAGGAATTCAGGATGATTTTTTTTTTTTTTTTTTTTTGAGATATATACAAGAGTTGTTACATTCTTGTACAGCCACTAGTACGCGTAGCGTTTCGGGCAAGTCCTTAATCCTATGGTCCCAGGAATACGATCCCCTGCCGCGAAGAATCGTTTTTTCATCCAAGTACACATTTTACTGTTGCGTTAAACAGAGGCTACAGTTAAGGAATTGCGCCCAGTAAATCCTCCCCGGCCAGGATACGAACCCATGACATAGCGCTCGAACGGAACGGAATCTTATGTGTTGCTTTCCAACTGTTCCTCAAGAAAATCCTTGGTAAATCTGGTACCTTTGATATCGGTCGCCTTGTATGTTTTTGTTCTAATATGAACTCTGAATGTAATGCTAATCCTGACCTTAAACACTTTCTAGAGGGTTGTAACAGAACCCATGAGCACCACACTAGTATCAAATATATATTTGATATTCAAAGAGTGCAGCTTAACCCAACTAGCAATGGTCCGTAAATCGATGGTCCCAAAATGTGGAATGACTTTCCCAATCACATCAAAGACTGCCTCTCTCTCAACCAGTTTAAGAGAGAAACTACTGCCTAATCAACTCCATGTAATCTACCTTACCTTCTAAATGTCAACCTATTTCTTGCTATTATCAAACATAATGATTAATGACTAGTAAAACTGCTATCTGCCATGTATAAACTTTAATAATACAGTATTGTAGTCAGTCTGTTTATTTAGTTAAAATTACTGTCTGCTGTTCTATTCTACATGTAATTATTGTAATTTATTATTTTTTCTACTTCAGTTCATTTCAAGCTTTTGATCTCTAGTTTTAAGTCTTAGCTTTTAAAGTTTTTCTTCTCACATCTTGCCCGAAATGCTGTGCTATTAGTGTCTTTAGGTGTGGTATATACTAGCTCAATCTAGAAATCCAAGTACAGTATTGGCATCCTCAGTGATATTTAGCATCTTGTGAATATCCAACGACACTGATGGTACTACATAGTCTCTCCGGCTTGGTGTCTTCTTTTGATAATTACACATACACACACTTTGTCCCGAGGCTCAGAAGGCAGCCATCATCGCCAACAAGGATGACAGACACCATCTCATTTACCTTGATATCTCTGCAGCCATAAGTGGAGAACACCAATAAAAGATAACTGAGGAACAAATAAAATGCTGCTTATAATAGATTTTGTTAATAAACTGGTGTGGAGACATAAAAATGCAGTTTTTAAAGCTGTGGTACACTGTCTCATATACAGAGGCCATATTATGCAGTGTTCTACGGTCGTGAGAGAGATCAGCAGTTCCGACCCATCAGAAACACATTAGGAGTCTCTCGGTGATCATTCTTCACTACCCTGAGAAGACTTGCGGTTTGTAATGGCAGTAAGATGATGCACAAATGACTTTTTCATACATGCCAGAAAAAAAGGGAATCCAATACTGTGGTAAAATAAAATTTACATTATATTTTAAATCTGACTTTCAGCAATTACACAAAAACATTGAAAGAGGTTCTATATACTTTGTCAAATTAGTGTAGCAGTTGACTACAGAGACTGAAAACGGAGTGGTTCTTAGCCATAAACAAAATATAAATTATAATGATTCTCTTGCGCACACCAGCACGTCATACAAGCACACGAGTGCTATTAAACTGGTGTAACTCATCCATTGTTTTGAAAACCGTCCTCTTGAATGGTACATTGCGTTTTAATAAATTCCCTAAGATCAAAAATGTGATTAAAATTCATAGTAGCTCACAAAATTGACAGGATGTCCCGTTTTCTATTTGTGGGTCCTCGGTTAGGTTCAGCCTATTTGGTTCCTCATTTTAATTATGTTGAGAATTCTCAAAAAGGATGGGCTGGCTCAAACGGACGTGCGTGAGAATAAACGTAAAGATAAACAACACAACCACACACATTAGGCGAAGGGAGCAGGAGGCTGAACACAAGGTACCATCTGGGAGGTGAAATCCTGCAAGTCAAATAGAGAGAAAGATCTGGGGGTTGATGTCACACCGAACCTGTCCCCAAAAGCCCACATCAAAATGATATCATCAGTGGCATATTGGCCAACATAAGAACTGCCTTAAGAAACTTGTCTAAGGAATCGTTCAAGACCTTGTATACCACTTAGATTAGATCAATCCTGAGTCCATACCTAGTTAAACACAAGACAAAGTTAGAGAAGATTCAGAGGTATGCCACCAGACTAGTCCCAGAACTGAGAGGTATGAGCTACAAGGAAAGGCTACGGGAGCTAAACCTCACATCCCTGGAAGACTGAAGAGTAAGGGGAGACATGATAATCACCTACAAAATTCTCAAACGAATTGACAGGTTGGACAAAGACAAACTATTTAGCACGGGTGGACCACACAAACAAAGGACAGGTGGAACCTTAGTACCCAAATGAACTGAATTGAACTATCGGGGGGAAAGCGTCAAGCCATTACGATTATGTAGCACTTGGAAGGGGATTAGGATAATAATTTAGGATGGGACAGGGGGGGGGGAAAGAGATGGTGCTCAACCACTTGGATGGTCGGGGATTGAATGCCAACCTGCATGAAGCGAGACTGTCACTCTACCGTCCAGCTCAAATGGTTGGACAGTACCCAAATGAGCCAGACAATTTAAAAATATTTTGGTTCAGTGTTAGAGGAATTAATTGGAGTACATTAAGCAGTGATGTGGTGGAGGCAGACTCCATACACAGTTTCAAATGTAGATTTGATAGAGCCCAATAGGCTCCAGATTCTGTACACAAGTTGATTGACAGTTGAGAGGCGGGATCAAAGAGCCAACACTCAACCCCCACAAGCATAACTAGGTGAGTACACAAGCATACTAGCCAGCACACAAACACAAAGATACCTACAAGACTTTCAAAAGCAGTTTATATAATGTCATGAACACCTATTATGTATCTGACTCCTTGCCTTAGTTTTGTTATAATTTATACACGAGAGAAGAGTATTCAGAACCAGGGACATAAATTTTTCAATGCTGTCCCTTCAGGATGTAATTTGACACGTTCTTCGTAAGCATCGATAGATTGGTTGGTCAGACATCAGTCAGAGGGATGGGGGTGGTGAGGGGAATATGATTCTCGAAACCATTGCAAGGTTGATATTCAAGGTATAACTTGAATAGGTAACTAGGTGCCTCCCCACATGACTGTTCAGAACACGAGTAGACCATGCGCATATACATGACTGTTGAAAACTCAGGTCGACAGGGTTTCCCAACATGATTGTTGAGAACAGTAGTAAGTAGGGCCCCTTGCGTGAGTGTTGAGATCAGTAGTAGGTAGGGGCCCCTGCATTAACTGTTGAGAACAGTAATAGGTAGGTAGGGGCCCCTGCATTAACTGTTGAGAACAGTAATAGGTAGGTAGGGGCCCCTGCATAAACTGTTGAGAACAATAGGAGGTATGACTGTTGAGATAATAATAGGCAGGTTCTCCCTTATATAACTGTTAACAACATTAGTCAAACTTTTCCAACATTCTTCAACAAGTCGCAGGCTTCCTGTCCTCGTCGAGGCCACTACGGTTAGTGCCCCTCAGATAAAAAAAATAACTTATATCACGGAAATGTAACCCTCTCGTATATATAATTGCCAAGCGTTCAACAAGTGTTCAACAGGTGTTCCACAGGTGTTGGAAGACATGGAAGATAAATGCAGATGCATTAATGATGTTGAACAGTATCAGGAGGCCTGGTAGGAGGATGAGGAAGCCTGATAGCAGGCATGGAACCATCTCAGCAGTTCTCTTGGTAGGTATTGGCGGATATCCAGTCATGGTACTTAGAAATCCTAGTGAAGATACCAGGAGAGTCCTTGTGTGCACACCGGTACCCGAAGCTGGTTATCCCCGCCAGCACCCACTGGCCATCAGGCGCCTGGACCACCAGAGGACCTCCGCTGTCACCCTGCAACACAGACATGTATTAGTAACAACATTGCAACCAGTCTTCTAAAAAATAGTACTATCTTGAGATGATTTCGGGGCTTTAGTGTCCCCGCGGCCCGGTCCTCGACCAGGCCTCCACCCCCAGGAAGCAGCCCGTGACAGCTGACTAACACCCAGGTACCTATTTTACTACTAGGTAACGGGCATAGGGTGAAAGAAACTCTGCCCATTGTTTCTCGCCGGCGCCCGGGATCGAACCCGGGACCACAGGATCACAAGTCCAGTGTGCTGTTCGCTCGGCCGACCAGCTCCCTAATAGCAACTATTGGACAAATGTAACAACAAAAATAACGTTTGCACCAAAATATGGTTCATGTTATGTACTACAGTATTAATTTTGTAGAGGACACATGCATGAAAGCAACAACTAAGCTTAAACTTGACTTTATCATTTAAAACTAGTTAGAAACGTCCAGTTTCTTGATATACTGCTGTCTTTATTTTTCAGTTTCATCTTTAATTAATTGGCCTGAATTTTACTGAGGGCCACTATCTCTCTGGTGGCTATATGTCAGTTGGCTCTTGGAAGCTAATTAGAAGGCTAGTCTTGAACTAATAGCACTAATACTACTAGTACCCAGAACAACTAGTACAGTATAGAGTTGCAGAACTATCAGTACCAGTAAAATTAGCATCTAGTTATAGAACTACCAGTGCTACTAGCACTGATAATATCCAGTTCCAGAACTACCAGAACCCAATACCAATACCATTAATACCTGTACTAGCATTTAGTGCCAGAACTACCAGTATTACCAGTAACCAGTACCAAAGATCCCACTAACATAACCAATACCACAGAGCTCCAGTGCTAGGGGCCAGTAGTACCAATACCAGTATTAGTAATAATAGCAGTACCCATTGTTGATACCAGAAATAGTAATACCAGGACACAGCCAGCAGTACCAGTACAGTACTACCATTTACCCTGACCCCTGTGTGATTACCGTTATTATACAAAAACAAATGCAAACAGTGATCAATTTAATTATATATGTAATATTTTCTTATCAATAAATTATTATAATTATTACCTGACACGCGTCCTTGTTTTCGGTGTAGGTACACATCATAGTGTCGAAGATATCGTAGAGGCCGCCATAGAGGTCATCACAGGCCTTATTGGAAATGATGTCGAGAGTCACTTTGTGCAGCACTTGGGGGCTCGACCCGCCTGTGGTAGGTGCTACATTAGTGTTGGAGGTGGTGTGGGGAGGATGGGGAAGAATGGTGGTGTGTTCTTTGAAAACTATTATAAAATATTGATGTAAAACAATACGTGGTACTCACGCCAAGACGTGATACTTATCATGAAACATGGTATACTCACCGTAAGAATTGTGTCCCCAGCCGGAGGCGATGGCAGTCCCGAAGTCGCCGAAATCCTGGGATTGGGCTAGGCAAATGGGCATGATTCTGTCTGAGAATGTCACCGGACTCTTCAGCTCCACCAAGGCAATGTCGTGTTCCTGAAGAGACAGGCAATTGTTTTACTGCGAGAAAAGCTTGTGGGAAGGGTAAGGTAGGGAGGGAGAGGTAGTAGAAAGGACAAAGTAATGGGAAGGTCGAGGGAGAGGAGGTCGGAAGGATGAGGTTGTGACAAAGATGTGGCCAGGGGATGAGGTGAGATACTGACCATAGTAAAACTGTCGAACTTCGGGTGAGGGATAACTTTGTTGATCTTGAGGACAACGCTTCCCGGCTCCTCCACGTCCAGGTCATGCTCTCCCAGTGTTACATCTGTGTCGCGATACCTGCAGGTAAAAGTTGATGCAGAGTGGGATGGTAGAGGTAGATAAAAGGTATGGGTGAAAGGTGAGGGTAGACGAGTTGTAACTTCACTGTTAAGGCACGGCGCGCACTTGCCCTAAACATCAAACGATGGGTATCTAGGTAAAAATCACTGATTTCTTCCCTCCTTTTGACCTGCATGTGATATGAGCACATCAGCAGGCTAATAGATGTTTGTGTTGTCCTGTAGGTGCATGTACAGGGCAGGTAGAATTCAGAAAGCAAGGAGTCTTAGTACGTGTGGAGGGCAGAATAAATGCAGTTTGTGAGGAGTATGATTTGCAAGTGCTCACACTGGGAAGGAACACTGCAGTGGACCAGGAATTAAATGTTGGCAGCATATGTGCATATTACCAGTTTTACAACTAGAACTTATTCGCTAGAGAGAGAGAGATTGAAAGAGACAAAGATAGATTGAGAAATATTGTGTGTTAGTGTAGTGAGTGGGAGATGGTAAAAGTGAGAATATGCATGTACACAGGCTACTTATATTGAAAATTTAGAGCACAGTGGGATAAATTTGCGCTAACTTAGTGCTGGAAGCCACAAGAGACCGCCACCAGCCTTACTCACCACCTGACTACAAGCTGACTCTACATTAAAGATGTTCACCTAAGAGAACTAAAGTGATTTAAGCTTTCCAGAAACAGATAAAATTACTAGGAATGCACGGAAATCACAAAATCGTGAACAAAGAAGGTGAATGACCACTCAAGATATATCCATTAACTGGTATGATGACAGAGCTGTAACATTAGAACATGAACAGTTTGACAACGTAAAGAACACTTAAAGAACATTAAAAATACAAAGACTGGAAGGACCTACCCGTTGCGATAGCAGTGTGCGGCGGTGATGACCCAGGAGGGCATGATGAGTGTGCCGGAGCACATAACGCCGCTCACTATCAATTTTGCCTGTCGGAGGGAGGGAGGTGGTGGTGGGTCAGTTGCTGCTCCTTCACCTCCACATTACTCTACACATTTATATAGGTACAAGCCACTTCTCAGAAATAACTTCTACGTCCAATCTCAAAATAAAACCTCTCAAACCATCTAATATTTCGTTCAAACTCTAGTTAAGAATTGGACGTTTACTTTTTGACGATGGATGAATTATGCCTGAACAATGTATCGGAAGCAAGAGGAACTATGTGGACTGCTGTGAGATCTGTCTGCGGCCTGAAGAGCACAAGCGTGAGAGTGATTGTCAAAGATGCTCAATGGTGGCTCATTCATACGGAGTTTCATGTGTCCGTCAGATGGCTTGAAAGATAGGAAGGCTGGAAAGCAATCTTAGGAGGCCTTGCGCCGCGGCATCTGACGAGATGGCGAGTTAACCTCTACTGGGAGATATCCAGAGACGAGCTGAGGAGTTTTTTAATATGAAGTTCAGAAGACGTTGACCAGACCACACACTAGAAAGTGAAGGGACGACGACGTTTCGGTCCGTCCTGGATCATTCTCAAGTCCATTTTAAAAATGAACTTGAGAAAGATTTTCGACTTGAGAATGACATTCTCGACATTCTCGACTTGAGAATGGTTCAGGACGGACCGAAACGTCGTCGTCCCTTCACTTTCTAGTGTGTGGTCTGGTCAAAATACTAAAGCCATGTTATTGTGACTCGTCGCCTGCTTCAGAAGACGTCGTGCTCGCGAAGTTTGATGTTACTCATGAACGTTCAACTCAATGGCGAATTAGCTCATGTTAGGAATGAACATCCAATAAGGAGGTATAAGGAGCTGTGTCATTGTCTAATTGTCTTCCATTCCCTGTAGGTCAGCGATTCTAGGATCTTTTCGATGGCACTAGACCCAACAGACCACGAAGAAGGATCAAAAGTTAAAAATCTTTTAACTTTATTAACGATGTCATTTAGGATAAAATTTATGCTACTGGTTGATACCTGGTTGATGGGGTTCTGGGAGTTCTTCTACTCTCCAAGCCCAGCCCGAGGCCAGATTTGAGAGTTTGGTCCACCAGGCTATTGCTTGGAGCGGCCCGCAGGCCCACATACCCACCACAGCCTGGTTGGTCCGGCACTCCTTGAAGGAAACAATCTAGTTTCCTCTTGAAGATGTCCACGGTTGTTCCTGTAATATTTTTGATGCTCGCTGGTAGGATGTTGAACAACCGTGGACCTCTGATGTTCATACAGTGTTCTCTGATTGTTCCCATAGCACCTCTGCTCTTCACTGGTTCTATTCTGCATTTTCTTCCATATCGTTCACTCCAGTACATTGTTCTTTTACTGTGCAGATTTGGTACCTGTTCCTCCAGTATTTTCCATGTGTATATTATTTGGTATCTCTCTCGTCTCCTTTCTAGTGAGTACATTTGGAGAGCTTTGAGACGATGCCAATAATTTAGGTGCTTTATCTCGTCTATGCGTGCCGTATATGTTCTCTGTATTCCCTCAATTTCAGCAATCTCTCCTGCTCTGAAGGGGGAAGTGAGTACTGAGCAGTACTCAAGATGGGACAACACAAATGATTTGAAGAGTACAACCATTGTGATGGGATCTCTGGACTTGAAGGTTCTCGTAATCCATCCTATCATTTTTCTGGCTGATGCAATACTTGCTTGGTTATGCTCCCTAAACGTCAGGTCGTCGGACATCATTATTCCCAAATCCTTGACATGCTGTTTTCCTACTATGGGCAGATTCGATTGTGTTTTGTACCCTGTATTATGTTTAAGATTCTCATTTTTGCCATATCCGAGTACCTGGAATTTATCACCATTAAACATCATGTTATTTTCTGCTCCCCAATCGAAAACTTTGTTAATATCTGTTTGTAGTTTATCAATGTCTTCAGCAGAGGTAATTTTCATGCTGATTTTTGTATCATCTGCAAAGGATGACACGAAGCTGTGACTTGTGTTTTTGTCTATGTCTGATATGAGAATAAGGAACAGCAGTGGTGCAAGGACTGTACCTTGAGGTACAGAGCTTTTAACTGCGCTCAGACTCGATTTTACTTGATTGACTGTTACTCTTTGTGTTCTGTTCGACAGGAAATTGAGTATCCAGCGTCCTACTTTACCAGTTATACCTATTGACCTCATTTTGTGTGCAATCACTCCATGGTCACATTTGTCGAATGCCTTTGCAAAATCTGTGTATACGACATCTGCGCTATGTTTTTCCTCTAATGCTTTTGTCATAGTGGTCAAGTAGCTGCGAGAGGCATGATCTTCCTGCTCTAAATCCATGTTGGCCTGGATTGTGGAGGTCATTGGTTTCCATGAATCTAGTGACCTGACTCCTGATCACTCTCCCAAATACTTTTATTATGTGGGACGTTAGTGCAACTGGTCTATAATTCTTTGCCAATGCTTTGCTACCACCCTTGTGTAGAGGGGCAATGTCTGCTGGTTTAAGCGCATCTGGTATCTCCCCTGTGTCCAAGCTCTCCCTCCACACTACTAGACGGTGTCATTGTCTAAGTTCTAGACATTGCGCTCACTGAAAGATACTTTTGGTGAATTAATGAATAATTCAGGTAAATTAAAAATAATGAAAGACAAAAATTTCCTTGTCTTCGCGTTAGTCGACTTCAGTTTGACTGAAGTGAAGCTTTGTCACAGGACAAGGGAAAAACAATGAGGACGACCCACTCTGAGTATAGCAACTCTCTTTATCTTAACTAAAGCCATTTTTTAAATTAAAATCCAGATTAGCCAGAGACTTGTAGTGTGGAATATGAGGAGTGGATGAGAAATGGTAAGGTTGGTGGCCTACCTGCCAGGGCATCTCTCCCACGCTGGCTGGTTCTCCGCCGACGATCCTTGACACCGTGATGTGGCCGGGCGTACACTTACCTGGGAGAGGTGCGCGCACACATTATGCTTGGTATCTGAACTTTGTATAGTGCTCTCTCTCTCTCTCTCTCACTCTCACACACTCACTCTCACTCACTCACTCACTCTCACTCACTCTCCCTGTATAACTAGAAAGTGGGTTTAAAATAACAAAAAAGTAACTGCACACTTACTACATAATGACAAAGCTAACACTAGAACAAGTCAGAGTGAATACATAGGGACCAATACCTACATATCACAAAAACAAGGCAATGTCTAGAACATGACTTCATAATTACTAGTGACTGCTACAACGAATCTATAGTACTTGCAAATTAACTACCAATTAACTTTTAGGGAATGACTGTAGAATGACTACAGAGGGATTATGAGGTTGCGGGGTGTCGTAAGAAAAAACTATACTCACTGCAAAATAATCGCGGCGGAGACGGGCCTTGCCCACCTGGTGGGGGATTGGGTGGTGCAATCGGCGCAGGTCCCCCGATTGGTTTGGGCGGTGCAATCGGCGCAGGTCCCCCGATTGGTTTGGGCGGTGCAATCGGCGCAGGTCCCCCGATTGGTTTGGGTGGTGCAATCGGCGTAGGTCCCCCGATTGGTTTGGGTGGTGCAATCGGCGCAGGTCCCCCGATTGGTTTGGGTGGTGCAATCGGCGCAGGTCCCCCGATTGGTTTGGGCGGTGCAATCGGCACAGGTCCCCCGATTGGTTTGGGTGGTGCAATCGGCGCAGGTCCCCCGATTGGTTTGGGTGGTGCAATCGGCGTAGGTCCCCCGATTGGTTTGGGCGGTGCAATCGGCACAGGTCCCCCGATTGGTTTGGGTGGTGCAATCGGTGCAGGTAACCCGATTGGTTTGGGCGGTGCAATCGGCACAGGTCCCCCGATTGGTTTGGGTGGTGCAATCGGCGCAGGTCCCCCGATTGGTTTGGGTGGTGCAATCGGCGTAGGTCCCCCGATTGGTTTGGGCGGTGCAATCGGCGCAGGTAACCCGATTGGTTTGGGTGGTGCAATCGGCGTAGGTCCCCCGATTGGTTTGGGCGGTGCAATCGGAGCAGGTCCCCCGATTGGTTTGGGCGGTGCAATCGGCGCAGGTAACCCGATTGGGTTGGGCAGTGCAATCGGTGCAGGTACTCCAATCTGTCCTCCAGAGGGTCCTGTAGGTGTTCCACCGATTACAGGCAGGACTGGAAGAATCCCCGAGCCAACTAGTGTACTATTTCCTGTGGAGAGAGTGTGAAGACAGTGGTGAGAGCATGATAACACTGGTAGAGGGAAGTCACAATAACGTGGCTGAAGTATTTTGACCAAACCACACACTAGAAGGAAAAGGGACGAAAACGTTTCGGTCCGTCCTTGGACCATTCTCAAGTCGATTGTGATATTCGTCCTGGAGCATTCAACAGTCGACTTGAGAATGGTCCAGGACGGACCGAAACGTCGTCGTCCCTTCAGCTTCTAGTGTGTGGTTTGGTCAACAGCACTGGTAGAGGTTCCAACCGTGTTGGAACCTGGAGGGGGATGTTGTGGTAGCGGGACAGACTTCACAACACATCTAGGTGCTGTATCCTCCCTAACCGAGATTAAAGTGGTAGAAAATTGACACTTTGCAATTAGAGAAATTATCGAGGAAATTAGTTGTGAATACAATATCTGATGAAGGTTTGAGAAGCAGACTGGTACCAGTTGTAGAAGAAACACCAATGGCGGAAGTTGACATCGGTGTTTGGAGAAGTTGTAAATAATCCAGTAGAAAAATGGAAAAAACTATTGGACTACCTGAGGGAAAAGATAAAGAATCAAAACTTGAGGAAACCAAAGCATCCTAAAACAAACCCTCCTCTTGTTTTGATAGTACTCTATGTAATTATGTGGACCATCCTACATATATTGACGTAATGGACAATTAGACAGTAGAGTTTGGTACTATTCACTTTATAGTCAGGAAAGATAAAGCTAAAAACCAAACTTTAATACTCCTATGCCTAGTAGAGCACAAATATAATTAATTATAATAATAATTTAAATCACTATGTTTGATATACAGTGATAATATCACTGTATAGGTACTCTATATAGGAGTATCATAAGCACTATATTATCACTCTAATATATACTATATTAAACCTCGGATAGCGTGTATCAGGCCTAAGATGGTTAGGTTAGGTTTTATTAGCAACATAATTACAAAACCATTTCCAGTTTGTGCAAATTCAACAGTACCAAATTCTGCTTTCTAATTGTCCATTACGTCAATATATACAGTATATGATGGTCCACATCGTTACTATAAGTATTATCTAAACAGCAGGATAGGCTGTCTTAAAACAAATAATGGGAAGATTCGGATGCTTTTAAATTGTAAAGTTTAAATAAGTTGGTTGTTGAAGTCGAGTGTGTTTCCAGGGACTGCTAAAAATGTCAAGTCCGAAACTGCCCGAAACGCTTTGCGTAATAGTGGCTTTAGGCATTGTATGTACTAGCTCTATCTATAAATTCATTAATATCTGTATCACCCTTTGTATGTATGTACTTTACCTAAATAAACATTTTAATTTTTTAATTTTTTTGAAAGTGCGGTGGACCAAGGATAGTTGATGAGTATCATGGATTAGCTGAACTAACTGTGATAAGTCTTCCCGGGAATTGGACTCCTCTGTAACAACAGTTTAAGATAGGAGTCAGTGTGAGCAGGGGCCAGATTCACGAAGCAGTTACAAGCACTTACGAACCTGTACATCTTTACTCAATCTTTGGCGGCTTTGTTTACAATTGTTAAACAGTTAATGAGCTCCGAAGCACCAGGAGGCTGTTTATAACAATAACACCAGTTGATTGGCAAGTTTTCATGTTTGTAAACTGTTTAATAAATGTAAACAAACCCGTCAGAGATTGAGCAAAGATGTACACGTTCGTAAGTACTTGCGTAACTGCTTCGTGAATCTGGCCCCAGGTCCGTACCCTGTGTGGTAGACGCGCTGGTGAGGCTGCTCCCAGACGTTGATGATGGAGCTACAGTTGTGGTGGACGTTGATGGCCTCAGGGTAGTGACTGACTCTGGCGAGGAGCAAGACTACCATTACTTACCTTGGAAGACCTCACAAAACAAACGTAAAACAAGATTTTTATATAGAAACTAGTGGAGGTTTTGCTAGTGACAAATTTCAAAACGGATCAGCAAAGGCTGTGGTGACAGGAGTTGGCAAGAGTAAGAAAACATTATTGATGTCTTAAAAACTACTCAAACAAGAAACCAGGTAGTAACGTGATACGTGAGGTTCAGTAGAGATACAGAGGGTCGAAATGTTACATTGAGAGCACTTATGGACCGACGGTAAGTCAGTTGTCGTACTAGTCATGTTGGGAACACACCGGTGATATAGTTCTTAGGATAGTCGTAGGACCTGCTGTCGTAGTGTTGATGGCGCCAGTGAAGTTGATTTTGTAGTGAAAGCACCTGCCGTGGTAGTGTGGTGAAACTGTTATTGATAATGACTGAAAACCCATACCCAGTACTCACCTAGTTGTGCTTGCGGGGACTGAGCTCTGGCTCAGTCTCAGTCTCTGGTCCCGCCTCTCAACTGTCAATAAACTGGTGTACAGATTCCGGAGCCTACTGAGCTCCGGAATCATATCCACATTTGAAACTGTGTATGGAGTCAGCCTCCACCACATCACTGCCCTATACATTCCATTTGTTTACTACTCTTGACACTGAAAAGGTTCTTTCTAACGTCCCTGTGGCTCATTTGGGTACTATCTTTCTACCTGTGTCCCCCCCCTTGTGCGTGTTTCATCCCGTGCAGGCGTCGATAAAGCACGGGTTGTGAGCGGCCATGTAAACAAGCCCACACTCACGTAACTTGCAGTGATGATGACAGTAATATACACCAAAATATGCACTTGTATATACCCATCACATACACACCCACACACAGGATATATTATCTGTGCCGTGGGGAGGGAATGTTACTGGCTACTTGTAGGCATGTGGAAGGTATAAACGAGTGATAGAGGAGCAGATAGCCACTCTCCCTCTCTTTCTTTTAGAATATTAGTGGTTGTATTCAGTGCCGGGGAAATCCTATGTAACTAACCTGGTAGAATTATATAACAGGTTAACTAAGATAAGATGGGTAAGAAAAAAATGGTTAGACTGCATATTCCTAGACTGCCGGGAAACTTATATCGCAAATGGAACAAAAAGACAGGGTAAGGGTAGCCAAATGAACACTGAACCAGTGCGAGCGAAGAGACACGTCAGTCACAATGAAGGAGATGATGATGTTGATATGAAGTAAAACGTGAGCTTCTGCAAGGGCCGATCTAAGGAGCCAGTCTTCTCTGCTCTGTAGGTGACTTACATGAAGAAATAGACTCCTGTATACCACTGTTTGCGCATCATGCGGAGAAAAGGAAAACTTAAGAAATCCTCAAGAATGGGCAAAGAATGGCAACTGGGATTTAATCCAAACTAATGCAAGTAATGAGAATACGAATAGGAGGACGGAGAGAGAAATAAGTGTATAGCCCGAGGGGAGGGGAGGAAGCTAACACATTAACACGATAACATCACCACATGTGCGAAACAGACAACTATGATAACACAGGTGACTCCAGCCACGACTAGTGATGCAGGAGATACAGTGACGATGAACGTGGGAGTTTTGCGGGAAGCCGGTCAGGGTCTTGTCATTGGCATAAATGTCATAGGTATGGACAAAGACAAGAGTCATACCCGTTCAAGGAGACGGTAGTAGAGTGGAAAACTGTCACAGTGAGATCGGGCAAGTCATTTGACATAGCAGTAGTATGTGGGAACAGGTCGAAGTTATGGATTGTTGTGGTTGTCTTAAGACCTGTCGTAGTGGTATTGAAGATGTTGATATTGGTGGTTTTTGTTAAGTTAGGACCTATTGTGATGTTATTGAAGACGACGAAGTTGTTGGTGGTAGTGTCAGTACCTGTCGTGGTGGTGGTGAAGACGGTGGTGGTGGTTGTGGTTGAACTTGCCATGGTGGTGGTTGAACCTTTCATGGTGGTGGTTGTGGTTGAACTTGCCATGGTGGTGGTTGAACTTGCCATGGTGGTGGTTGAACTTGCCATGGTGGTGGTTGAACCTCTCATGGTGGTGGTTGAACCTCTCATGGTGGTGGTTGAACTTGCCATGGTGGTGGTTGAACCTTTCATGGTGGTGGTTGAACCTCTCATAGTGGTGGTTGAACCTCTCATGGTGGTGGTTGAGCTTGGACCTGTCGTGGTGGTGCTGAAGTCGCTGACGTTGGGGGCTGTGGTAAATTTAGGACCGCTTGTTGTGGCAATGGCTGTGAAATTGATATTCTGACTTGTCGTAGTGAAGATGGGGGAAGTGAAGTTATCGATGACGATGCTTCCCGTGTGAGTGAAGATCAGTGGTGAAGCTGTGGTTGTGAGCGACCCTGCAGGCAGCAATAAGTGCATACTCACAACACTGATGATGATGGCCACACACACACACACACACACACACACACACACACACACACACACACACACACACACACACACACACACACACACACACACACACACACAGCAAAGGGAAATTCCGGAGGGCCAGGAATGAGTACCTCTGTGTGAGAAAAGAAGCGAAGAAACGGTATGAAAATTACATAGCAAATCAAGTTAAGATCCATCCAAAACTGTTTCTCAGCCAAATCAGAGGAAAATAGTAATGAAAGAACAGATGATGAAAATGGGAACAGGGTAGGATAGGTACACACAGAATGACAAGGAAGTGTGTGAAGAACTCAACAAGAGGTTCCAGGTCTTAAAATCAGCTATTCAAGTACACACACACAAGGTAATTAGTTGAAAATCAATCTGACCACATATAGGTGAGTACTGTGGGCCTCCTCCTCCCCCCCCCAAAAATACACACACACACACACACACACACACACACACACACACACACACACACACACACACACACACACACACACACACACACACACACACTCTCTATCTCTCTATCTCTCTATCTCTCTATCTCTCTATCTCTCTCTCTCTCTCTCTCTCTCTCTCTCTCTCTCTCTCTCTCTCTCTCTCTCTCTCTCTCTCTCTCTTTGTCAGCGTCGTGTGCGTTCCAGCGCTGCTGAGGGTCAAGCGAGGACCGAAGAAGCTCCAGATGATGAATCATTAGATGACCATGAAATGGCTTCGTTGGAAAATCATTGTACTGACTAAACACGCACAAAGACGAAGTAACAAGGACATGTATGTGCATCGGTGCTGAGACTTTTTATCAGCGAGGAAAGATCTCTTGCGAAGAAAGTCTGCAGCAGAAGGTCCAGCGCTGGTGTCGCCAACGATGCTTTGGCGCGAAGTCACTCTTGGAGTCACTCTTTGGCGAAGTTGTTAAAGGTGTGTGTGTGACACGTTGAATGTCAGAGGTCAATAGAGTCTAACCGGGTAGGAAGAGGAGCCTGACTTCATGTGTCCCATTTGGGGCAACTGTGTTATACACATGCTTTGAGTAAAGGAAGGGATGTTATTGAAATTGTTGGGGACTTTCGAAATGGCAATAATTTCGGAAGAAGTGCTGGCAGAATAACATTATCGACCTCTCTGTGGAAAGCTTGCAATAAGAAGATAAATTATAGCAACAAGAAGAAGAGTTTCAGTTCTGTGGAGCAGCTGAGGAACTGTTTTAATGAGAGTACTGATAACATGAGCAAGTCATATCGTACCAGAGGTGCTGATCATGTTGACATTAGCGGTTGTTCCCGGTGTCTTAGGATCTGCCGTCGTCAAGACATCGATGTTGCCTGTAGTAGTTCTTATTGGATTTGTAGTAGTAGAGGTTGTGGTGGTAGTTGTGGTAGTGGTAGTTGAGGTTGTGGTGGTGGTAGTTGATGTTGTGGTGGTGGTAGTTGATGTTGTGGTGGTGGTAGTTGATGTTGTGGTGGTGGTAGTTGATGTGGTGGTGGTGGTAGTTGATGTTGTGGTGGTGGTAGTTGATGTTGTGGTGGTAGTTGATGTTGTGGTGGTGGTAGTTGATGTTGTGGTGGTGGTAGTTGATGTTGTGGTGGTGGTAGTTGATGTTGTGGTGGTGGTAATTGATGTGGTGGTGGTAGTTGACGTTGTGGTGGTGGCTGTTGTTGTGGTGGTGGTTGTTGTGGTGGTACTGGAGGTAGAGGTGGTGGTTGTCGTGGTGGTACTGGACGTAGAGGTGGTGGTTGTCGTGGTGGTATTGGACGTAGAGGGGGTGGTTGTCGTGGTGGTACTGGACGTAGAGGTGGTGGTACTGGAGGTAGAGGTGGTGGTTGTAGTAGTGTTAAGACTTGTCGTGGTGGTGTTGAAGATGTTGGTTGTTGTGGTGTAACTTGGACTTGCTGTGGTAGAGTTCAAGACGCTGATGTTGGTAGTCGCATTAAGACTTGCCGTAGTCGAGTTGAAGGCGTCGAGGATGGGGCTTGAGGAAGAGTTAGAACTATCCGATTCGGGGAGGACGATGATGTGGGGGATTTCTTCGAGGGTAAATTGGTTGTTGATATCGAATTGCGATGTAGCGATAGCCGGAAGCAGAGCTGGGGCTGTGGGCGGCTCTGCAGGCAACAAGTGCACACTCTCACAACTCTGATGGCATGGTCACTGGAACTTACAACCATATACAACAACTTTCTCGAACCCCTTCATAACCCCCACCACACATACACACTAACTGACCCTGACAAATGAAAGGTTATGAGGATAGGAGTTGGAGCAAAAAGACCTCAAATACAGTACAGGATGAATAGAAGGCGACTTCCAACTTCAGAAAAGGAGAACACATAGGAATGGACTTAACTCGATATCTAACTTAAGCGGGACACCAGCAGGATAACAAGGAGAGCATATGTCATGCTGGCAAACGTCCGGTTATCCTTCACCAACTTGGACATAGATCCTGAAGGATCTTTGTCCATGATCATGAAAATGATGTGTACAGTCACACAGCAGAGTCATAGTAAGGCAAGAGAAGGTGGACTGGTGCAAGGAAACAGGTAGAGTACCTCAAGGATTGGTGCTGGGACCCACACTATATCTTATTTATATTAATGAACTATCTATGGGAGTAGAGTCCTGTATGTCGATGTTTGCAGACAATGCAAAAATTAACGAGAAGAGTCGAGACAGATGAGGATTGCAAAATTCTCCAAGATGACTTAGACAAGCTACATAAATTGTGTGAGAAATGTCTTCTGGATTTCAACACCAGCAAGTATAAGGCGATGGAAATGTGAATATGTAACAGGAGACGAAAAGGGTGGTACACAGTGAAGGGAAATTACCTCGCTGTAACAACTAGAGAAAAACACCTAGCTGGGAGTGGACATAAATCAAACTTAAGTCCAGAGGCACATATAAACAGGATAACGTCAGCAGCATACTCCTTACTAGCAAAAGTCAGAATATCATTCAGGAGCCATAATATGAAGGCATTTAGATTTTTATACACCACTGTGTTGATATTGACTATAAGCAAGTGCGAGAACGGGTTGTTTCTATTCAGCTTTTCAAGGTAAACTCAAATATTCACAATAAATTAGTATGTCACATATGTACTTATTCATAAGCAAGATATTGACTATAAGTGCGAGAACGGTGTGTGTGCATGTGTGTGTTTTGTGAGAGAGAGAAAGAAAGAGAGAGAGGGAGGGAGAGAGACGTAATATATATGATAGAGAGAAATGGATCGGGAATCAGTATATTAGACAATTGACAGATAGAAAGGCAGGGTCCAAGAGCTAATAGCTCGATCCTGCAGGCACAAATAGTAAACATAAATAATAAAATGCACATACACTCACACAATAATAGGCACACATACCTAAAACAGACATGTATGGAAGTGAAAAATCATGCACACACACACGGACACAAACCCATGGAAAAAAACATTTATGTACATCTCTCACTCCCTCTTTGTATCGCTCGTCTCCTATCTCATTTGTTTCTCACCCCCTTCTCTATCACCCCACGTCCCTTGTTCTCCCACTCTCCTATCTCTATCCTCTATCTCACTTTATTCCTCCTCCCTTTCATTCTTCCCCCCTACTGTATGGGGTAGAATAGAACATGAAAAGGTCCTGGACGAGGGGAGAGCAAAGGGGGAAAGGAAGGGGAAAGGTGTGGACAGGATTGAATACAGACTAAGCCAGAGGGGATACAATAACTTGACAAGATGAACCCGTTCTGGGAAATGCCCATTAAGAAACTGAATGAAATGAGGTGAACAATAAATAGCCCTCACAATGAGCTAGGATTTTACGGGGTATTCATGCCCGTGCCACCTTTTGGGTGGCTTAATCTTTATCAATCAGTCAGCTAGGATTGGCAAACGAGATAAAAAACCTGTACAAAAACCTACCTCAGACCTAGTATGAGACTACTGAGCCTCATCAAGCAGGAAACTAAACACAGGATGGACCGCCTGCGGGCCGCTCCAAGCAACAGCCTGGTGGACTAAACTCTCACAAGTCAAGCCTGGCCTCGGGCCGGGCTTAGGGAGTAGAACAACTCCCAGAACCCCATCAACCAGGTATCAACCAGGTAACCCCTTACAGGACAGCCGCTTGCAGCAGTGAAACAAAAAACAAAAGCCATGTAATCACTGCTATGCAAGTAGCAATGATAACATGGCTTCTGTGGAATCAAACAAATTTCAAGAATTATACAGTCCAGTAACCTCAACGAATAACAACTGGCCACCTCTCCCAACTCGCAAATTAATCGACAGCTAAACAGTCTGTTTATATAGATAGAAACACACAAATGCTACAGATGTAGGAAAGTATTCCTTCATTGTATTAGTTGTGAGAAAGTGGAATAAGCTACAAGAGTGGAGGCTGTTCACAAGAGCTACAAGAGGTAGTGGAGGCTGACTCTTCACAGCCTATGATACAAGTACAGTATCATAAAGAGAGCTGTCGATTTCGCAAATTAATCGATAGCTAAAATACAAGAGTCAAGAGCTGAACTTCATTCCTCACAAACACACCACGTATGAACATAAAATAAGATCAGCCTTCCTAAAAACACACACACATCCACACACACACATACACACGTATGATGATTAAGAGGCGGGGCCCAGGGTCTGGAGCTCAATCCCTGCAAACACAAATAGGAGAGTACAAATAGGTGGGTACACACACACATCCAGCAGCTATAACTCATTCCCAGTAAATAATTATAGGCGAGAACACAACACCTGCTCCTCCCCCCCCCTCCCCACCAATCCCGTACAGACCCCCCTATGACACGCACCTGTGCCCTTGGCGACAGCCACTTCACAGACAAAGACGCCCGGGCAGTCCTTCTTGGCCAGGTTCTTCCGACGGTGCTGGACGGTGAGGGTGTCGCCCAAGCTCTCTAGAAACACCACCTCCGTCTTGCAGAACTTCCACCTGCAGAGTGAGAAGGGCAGCAGTCAGAACCCAGATTCACAAGCAGTTATGCAAGCACTTACGAACGTGTACACCTTTTCTCAATCTTTGGCGGCTTTGTTTACAATTATTAATTAAACAGTCAATGAGCTCCGAAGTACCAGGAGGCTGTTTATAACAATAACAACAGTTGATTGGGAAGTTTTCCCTTTCACACACACCTAGTTGTGCTTGCAGGGGTTGAGCTCTGGCTCTTTGGTCCCGCCTCTCAACTGTCAATCAACTGGTGTACCGATTTCTGAGCCTACTGGGCTCAATCATATATACATTTGAAACTGTGTATGGAGTCAGCCTCCACCATATCACTGCCTAATGCATTCCACTTCTTAACTACTCTGACATTGAAAATGTTCTTTCTAACGTCCCTGTGGCTCATTTGTGTACTAACTTTCCACCTGTGTTTCCTTGTCTAAAACCTGAACCATTATTTGTTGGATCTGTCATTCAGCAATGTTTTCAACAGTAAAAATGTGCCATTATTCCTAGTGTTATATACAAGGATGGGGGATATAAACATTGGTTGATCCCATTTCCCTGTGTAAATATAATGAATTTACATTAGGTTTTAGTTGTATTTAAGACTAAGGGTACACTTGCTGGTTGGTCAGTGAGCTAGCGTGGAGGCCTTTATAACCCTCCCGCAGTTAATAGGTTTTAAGTTGACCAGACCACACACTAGAAGGTGAAGGGACGACGACGTTTCGGTCCGTCCTGGACCATTCTCAAGTTGATTGTGGGGTCTATGAACTTAATGGTCCAGGACGGACCGAAACGTCGTCGTCTCTTCACCTTCTAGTGAAGGGACGACGATGACCTTCACCTGGTCAACATTCTTCAGCCACGTTATTGTGACTCATCAGTGAGATTTCTAGCAATATGGAAGTTGTAGTAAAGGACCTGGTGACTCTAGTGGGAGCCCTGAGGACAGAGTTGGACTCTCTGCGGGAGGAGGTGCGTCAGCTTAAAAAACAACGAGAAGTAACGAAGGAGGAGACCAGCAGTAAAGGGACCTCGTCTTGGAGAGTTGCGAAAGACAGGGGCCTTAAGAAGACTTTGATTAAGCCGCCTTCAAACGCCATAGCAACTTCAAATTCATTTGACGTTTTGGAGGACGAGTGCTGTGGAGAGACTGTGGATCGCGCAAAAGGGAAAGCAACGAAGAGAAAGGAAGCGCAGGCCCCTCAGAAAGTAAAGGAAGTACCTAAGCAAACATTAGTTGTGGGAGATTCCCAGATAAGGTATTTGGATAGAACGTTTTGTGCTAGAGATAGGGGGAACAGGTTAAGGGTTTGCTATCCCGGAGCTGGCATTGGTGATATTATAAACAACATGAATGATATTATGGCTGGTAATGGGAACAATCCCATTATTTGCATTAGCGTGGGAGGAAATGATGTTGGTCGAGTCAGGAGTGAGGAACTGATTCAGAGGTATAAAACAGCCATAGAGTTAGTTAGGAGCAAGGGAGGAATCCCGATCATATGTGGCATTCTTCCAAGAAAGGGAGTGGGAAATGAATGGATATCGAGGGCACTTGGTGTCAATTGCCGGCTGGAAAGATATTGCAAATCAAATGCAATATCTTTCATAGACAACTGGGAACACTTCTATGGAAGAAATGAAATGTATGCTCGTGATGGGGTGCATCTATCGAGAGCTGGGGTTGTTGCTGTTGCGAACTCGCTAGAAGAAGTGGTTAGAGGTGTTTGTTTGGGTTTAAACTGTTAGTAGATAGAGGTATGGGAATTGATTTGGAGGAAGGAGGTAATAAAAGTATGTGTTTGTGGGAGAAAGGAATTGGCAAAACGATCAGGGAAAGAGAAGGTCCGCAAAATAACAATTCACTTAGGGTATATTACACTAACAGTAGAAGTCTAAGAAATAAAATTAACGAATTAAATGCTCTTGTCTGCACAGAAAAAATAGATATTATTGCACTTACCGAAACGTGGATGAATGTAGAAAATAGAGAACTATTAGCTGAATATCAAATATATGGATTTAAACTATTTCACACAGATAGATATATTAGACGAGGAGGTGGAGTAGCCATATATGTTAGGGACAATTTGAAATGTAGTCTCAAAGAGGGAATCAAAACAGAGCCACACACAGAAACTATTTGGATTGAATTAAACGAAAAAGCTAATAATATTATAATAGGAGTAATATATAGGCCACCAAATTTAGACAGAATGGAAGCAAAGCATCTATGGGATGAAATATCTAGAGCATCTAGATCTAACAGTATTTATGTCATGGGTGACTTTAATTTTAGCGGAATAAACTGGTTGAACAAAACAGGGAATAGTGAAGCAGAAGATTTTCTAGAATTAATTGACGATTGCTTTCTTACGCAACACATTAAGGAACCAACACGGGAAAATAATATTTTAGATTTAGTGTTAACTAACAGGGAAACGCAAATTAATGACATCGAAATAGGGAGTGAGCTAGGGAGCAGTGATCACAAAGAAATCAGATTTAGCATAGAATGGAATAGACCAGTAGGAGAAAATTCTGTTAAAGTGCCTGATTTTCGAAAAGCTGATTTTAATAGCCTAAGAAATTTTTTGGGTCAAATTGATTGGAAAGGCTTGGGTATGGGGTGTGGGCCGGTCTTGGAGCGAGACATGAACCCAGCGATAGGTGACTTAAATGGGGATTTCGATGTGGATTCAATATATAACTTATTTAAGAATATTCTAAACAAAGCACAGGAACGTAGTATACCATACAAATTGAATAGATCGTATACTAATGACCCAAAGTGGATAACAAAGAATTTGAAGAACCTTATAGGTAAAAAGAGAGCTTGGTACAAAAGGATTAAAAATGGGGAGGTCACTTTAGAACAGGAATTCGTACAACTGGTTAGAAATGTTAAAAAAGAGATAAGGAAAGCAAAAAGGAACTATGAAGTTCGCATAGCAGGGCAAGCAAAGACAAATCCTAAAGGTTTTTTTCAGTTATATCGTACTAAGACTAGGGAAAGGATAGGTCCATTAAAAACTGAGACAGGTCAAATAACAGATAGTGATGAAGAGATGAGTAGTATTTTTAATAAATATTTTGTATCTGTATTTACTAAAGAGGAACTTAACAATATGCCTTCAGCCGAACAAGTCTATGTGGGTGGGGACGAGGACAGGTTGACGAGTTTAGCAGTTACCAGGGAGGATGTTCTTAAACAAATAGTAAAACTCAAACCAAACAAATCCCCAGGGCCGGATGAAGTGTTTGCTAGGGTGCTTAAAGAATGCAAAGAGGAGCTTTGTGACCCACTGTCAACCATATTTAATAAATCAATAGAGTCAGGCAGAGTGCCAGAGTTTTGGAAAGTTGCTAATGTGATACCAGTTTTTAAGAAAGGAGATAGATCACTTGCGTCTAACTATCGACCAATTAGCCTAACGTCTATTGTGGGAAAGTTACTCGAATCTATAATAGCAAATAAAATTCGTCTTCATCTTGAAAAACATAAATTAATAATTGAGTCGCAACATGGTTTTATAAATGGCCGTTCATGTTTAACAAATTTGTTATCTTTTTATTCTAGCATTGTTGAGGCAGTTGATAGTGGTAAGGATTGCGATGTTGTATACCTTGACTTTAGCAAAGCTTTTGATACAGTGCCACATGAAAGACTGATTAAAAAAATAGAGTCTCATGGTATTGGGGGTGCTATATTAAGCTGGATTAGGGCATGGCTATACCAAAGGAAACAGAGAGTTAGTACATAAGAACATAAGAACATAAGAACAAAGGTAACTGCAGAAGGCCTATTGGCCCATACGAGGCAGCTCCTATTCTATAACCACCCAATCCCACTCATATACTTGTCCAACCCGTGCTTGAAACAATCGAGGGACCCCACCTCCACAATGTTACGCGGCAATTGGTTCCACAAATCAACAACCCTGTTACTGAACCAGTATTTACCCAAGTCTTTCCTAAATCTAAACTTATCCAATTTATATCCATTGTTTCGTGTTCTGTCCTGTGTTGATACTTTTAATACCCTATTAATATCCCCCCGGTTATGTCCATTCATCCACTTGTAAACCTCTATCATGTCACCCCTAACTCTTCGCCTTTCCAGTGAATGCAACTTAAGCTTTGTTAATCTTTCTTCATATGAAAGATTTCTAATTTGGGGAATTAACTTAGTCATCCTACGCTGGACACGTTCAAGTGAATTTATATCCATTCTATAATATGGCGACCAAAACTGAACTGCATAATCTAAATGGGGCCTAACTAGAGCAAGATATAGCTTGAGAACCACACCAGGTGTCTTGTTACTAACGCTGCGATTAATAAATCCAAGTGTCCGATTTGCCTTATTACGAACATTTATGCATTGATCCTTTTGTTTTAAATTCTTACTAATCATAACTCCCAGATCCCTTTCGCAATCCGACTTCGCAATCACAACACCATCTAGCTCGTATCTTGTAACTCTATCATCATTACCTAACCTCAGAACTTTACATTTATCAGCATTAAACTGCATCTGCCAATCCTTTGACCATTTCAAAACCCTATCTAGATCAACTTGAAGTGATAGTGAGTCCTCCTCCGAATTAATTTCCCTACCGATTTTCGTATCATCGGCAAATTTGCAAATGTTGCTACTCAAACCTGAATCTAAATCATTTATATATATTATAAACAACAGAGGTCCCAGGACAGAGCCTTGAGGCACTCCACTTACAACATTTTCCCACTCTGACTTGATTCCATTTATACTAACTCTCTGTTTCCTTTGGTATAGCCATGCCCTAATCCAGCTTAATATAGCACCCCCAATACCATGAGACTCTATTTTTTTAATCAGTCTTTCATGTGGCACTGTATCAAAAGCTTTGCTAAAGTCAAGGTATACAACATCGCAATCCTTACCACTATCAACTGCCTCAACAATGCTAGAATAAAAAGATAACAAATTTGTTAAACAT